GCTTTATTCCTGTGGTTGTGACTGCATACCTCAGGCAACCAGGTGTGCATGAAGTCTCCACAGAAAGAGTCTGAGGCTGGAAACTTTGCCTAGCAGTTAAGACAGCACGTGGGACACCTACTCCCATGTTGGAGTGCCTGGGTTCAACGCCTAGTTCTGCTCCCTATTCCAGGTTCCTGCTAATGCACACTGCTATGCCAAAGTTAGTTCTCATTGTCTACATTCTTATACAGTTCTTATTAATGTATATACTATGCTGTCAATTTAACATCAATTTTTTTCCTTACAATGTTTTCTTAAAGAGTATGCATGCATAGATTTTTTCTTAGGCTTTTTATAGTCTATACTTCTTCATATATTTCTGCATTTTGTTATTCAGTATGTTGAATATTTTAAATATCACCTTCATAATACACATTTCCTAATTTTTATTATTTCCACCAAAAAAGTGTTCAGAAATGGGAAACAGACTCAGTGACACTTGCCAAAGAATACTTACAAATTACAATCTAAGAACAGAACTCAGAGGTTTCACTTTTTAATGTTTTAGATTTTATTCATGTTATCAATTTTTATTTATTCATCTTCAGTTTTTATTTGAAAGGCAGAGAGACAGAGAAAACAGAGACTGAGAGAGATCTTCCATGCACTGGTTCCCTCTCCATAGCCCACAACAGCTGGGGCTGAGTCAGGCAAAAGCCAGGAGCCAAAAACTCAATCTGGGTTTCCCACATGGGTGGCAAGGACCCAAATAGCTGAGTCATGACCTGCGTCTCCCAGCCTGTGCACCAGCAGGAAGCTGCAATGGAGGTGGGGCCAAGACTTGAACCCAAGAGCTCTATGGGATGTGGCGTTCCAAGCAGGATCTTAACCGCTATACCAAATGCCTACTTCTGTTTCAGATTTTAAAGGTTTTCCTATATATCCTCTCACTTGGCATTTACAACATATACAATACTTCTGTGTTGATAGTAAATGATAATTATTTTAATCCTACAGATGAGCAAACTGAGGCAAAGATGAGTGGCTTCTCCAAGTCCTGTCAAATTCAGACCTGAGTGAAGTAGAAACATTTCCACTCTGCTATAATTCCTCTACCTTCTTCTCCTTTCTAAATAAAAATTCTCATCATTAAAAACTGCTACTTTCTGAATTTTTCTTTTAGCACTTTATCTTTCTGCCAATACAACTTTCGAAATCTTTGCCCTTCTGCCCCAGACCAGTAATCCAAATTCAACATAGAAATCAAAGCAATAGATTCTAGAAAAGCCAAAATGTTTAGTGGGCACATATCTTTATGTCTTAGAATCATGTTGAAAGAAGTCAATCTCTTGAGGGATAAAGTGCTCAGCATTTAGACATGCTAATTCAGTGGGAAATGCACTGACCTAATCTTACCATGCATTTCCTACTTGATTAGCGGACTCATGAGCATCTCTCTGGGCGGACAAGCTGAGCTTTCTGGAAGGAGGGCAAGTGAATCAGACACTATAGTTACTAGCTATGTTCGTGCTACACAGAGAAATTTCCAAAGTGGAGGTATATTTAATTTCCTAACATGAAAACACAACGACAAATGTGACAGAAAACGCTTGAAATAGAATGTGGAATGAGATGGTTACAGTTCTTCAAATGTCAATCCAAAGAGCCAGTTGGAGTGTCAAACCTACCCTTCGCCACCAGAGGGCTCTGCAGCCGAGTGCTGGGTCAGAATTTCCTCTCCTCGACTGGCTACTGAGCGCAGGAGGATCTTTTGCTCCGCTAATTCCTGTTCCAACTCCTGCTCGAGGGAAACGCAAAGGCACAAGACTTTGTTACTATCGACTCCGTGTCTGGCGAATCCGAGAATTCTAGCAACAAGCGGTCAAGTTCACGCACTGTATTGCTGTGGTTTAGGTAAACATCAAACATGTCTCCAAAGTACACTATGGCTTTCTTTAGCTGTGATAAAGGCGATCTCTGAAAAATCTGGGAAAACCAACGTCTCAGAAAGTTTTGCGGGACAATGGTGCCCCCCAGTGGCATAAAATGCGTGTTCGGTTTTCAATACCAATACTGCCTTTTGCAGGTTGCCAGGGATGGTTGGGAGCAGCACTTCGCTGTAATTCTCCACTTATTTTATAAATTGGATTGCCAACAGATTTGGTTTTGCATTTCATTATCTGTAATAGATGTTCTTGGTTCTGAGATGAAGAAACATTTTAGTGCTCTCTTTACGTGAGGATAAGGTTTCAATGAGAAATCATTCTTATTAACACCCATTTGTTTCCCTGGGCAACAACCTATACAATCCTATTTTGTGATAGCATCTACTTGAAAATGAAAATAAATTCCATTTCTTAGACACACACACACACACACACACAAATCCAACTTTTACCCAATCTCAGAGGCCTCCCTAAGATTTCTTACAATAAAATAGACTCAGATGGAGGAAAATCTGAAAACAGAGTTGGTATCCATGATACAGCAGGCCATGGTTGAGACGTCCTGTTTGTAAACCTAAAAACATGCTTTTTTTTGCATTTTATTTGACAGGTAGAGTTACAGACAGGGAGAGAGAGACAGAGAGAAAGGTCTTCCTTCCGTTGGTTCACCCCGCAAATGGCTTTTCTTAAAGACTGGGTTTCCAAACGGCCAGTCCTCCAGTGGGCACGACGACGCACACTGAGGCACGTGTTGCGCTTGATTCACAGCACAGGTAAAGGGACAGTCTGCCTTTTCAAAAGCAGCAACTTGTCCTAAACCGCGTCTCTCCACTCCTGTCCCTGGCCGGTCTGCAGGCTACAGAGAGGTAGGAAACACCTTACTTTTTGTTGCTGGAGACTGTTCTGCCGCTGGTGCGTCCGTGTGGTGCGAGCTTGGGCCAGCCACTCCTGCACGCCCGGGCTCTGTGTGGCCGCCAGATCAACGTCACTCTCCTCCTTCTCCTGTGCTGTTCCCTGCTTTTAGTGAGGCAGAAACCAAGAGTCCTGTTACCCACAGGAAAACCATAACCAGCATGGCAAGAAAGCTACTTGGTACTGTCTGAATAATACCACCAAAGTGGTTCCATTTGGATGTGAAACCACACTTTAAAAAAAGGTAACACAAAACCCATCTAAGTTATGGCATTTGCAGGAGAGAGAACAATAAACAGATGGTCAAACACAGGAATATTTGAGGGGAGACCTGTCTGATTCCGCTGTGGTCACCAAAGACTATTCCAGAATCTTTTTCCACAAAAACATAACTAGGTCCTCCCATGAGTTTGTTCCTTAAGTCCCATGAAGGCAAAATGCTTCTCAAATGACCTTGACCCACCATCAGTCACTGTGTCCCTCCAGCGAAAGCACTGCTCTGTCACCTCCGTCAAGCTCTACCCAATGAGTGTATATGCCAAATACTTGCTTGCTAAAGACTTCTCTAAAAGGTTACCAACCAAAGAGATTTATGTTTGAGAAGCCAGAAGTCTACGGCATTTGTAAAGGTTCACGAATTCAGTAAGAACTTGAACTTGATTGTTTTGGTCTTCTGCAGCATAGAGGTAAGGAATGCAGGCAAGGGCTCCCCTGGGTTGCTGAGCACCCACTGCCCCCACCCCTACCCCCCACCCCTACCCCCATGCTCCCTTCACAACCCAGGCTCTGGAACTCTGTCTACAGGCAAATCAATTCCTGAGGCACTTCAATGTGTCCAATACTGATCTTTGCATACCTTCAATGTCCACCTTCCTAGAGCCAAGCTTTGAAGTCGTCCTAGAATCCTGTATTTGTGAATGCTGTGTATACAGCTAGGTATACAGCTGTGTTTACAGATGCTCTGTATAATAAATAGATTCCACTTGAATCTCAGAATTCTTGAAGTATCTGTCTTTTACAACTATTAAGATGAGCACATTAAGAAAAGTACACCAAGTGGGTACACTTGGTTACCATTTTACAAATGCAAATGTTAATGAAACCTTTAAAGTTAAGCAGTGTGATAATTAAAGGTGAGACGTCTGAAAAGCTGCCTTGTCCTTCCTCTACTCCCTTCACAGTACCCTGGTCCACAGCCATGCTGCTGCTTGCTGGCTCTGTTACCGATTGGCTAAAGAAAGATACAAGTACTTACTTATCTGCTAGGCAAAGGTTTATTCTCCCTGCCCAATGATTCCAAGATTATTCCAATGGCATTTGGAAGGCCCACAATGCTGCCTATCAAATGGAATTAGTTCTTGAATGAAAGTCTTTCTACTAACATCGATGGATAGGTCCATGAGTCCCCTATGCTACTCACAAAGCATAGTTGCCAAACCCCCAGCACTGGCAATCAGAACTCACACACTATCACACTTGTCCTTGATATCTGAGGAACTCTGGCTCCAGGATACCCTATGGATACCAAAACCCACACACGCCTAGGTCCCTTACATAAAATGTCATGGCCTTAGCATATAGTCTACACACATCATCTCATGTACTTTAAATCTTTTCTAGATTACTTATGAGTCTCCAAAATGTTCATGGAAAAAAGCACATTATGAAAAAACTATGCATAGAGTTCAAAAATTTTTGCACCAATATAAAATTATCCTTAATTTTTATTTTCCATAAGCTTTCTGAGTATCCTATGTGTCAAATGATACATTATATGATTTTAATCTAACTCCCTGACAAGTACAGGTTCAGTACTCATTGTGTGTCAGATACTATTCTAGGAAGTGGGGGTATCCTACAAAAGGAAATGAGACAAGGGCCCGGGTAGGGGGTAGACAATGAACAAACAAGAGAAGTAGAGCCTGTGATTAGGGCTACTCAGCTTCCAAGCCAGAGAATGTGGTTTTGGTAGAACATTGCATGTGATCTTCATCTAAAATATGCTATTTGCATTTTGCATCACAATCAGAATTGGTGACTGGTCACACCCAGTTCATGAAATTCTATACTCTACCAAGAATGACTCTCAAAGATAAGCAGTGCTTTTCCTGTGAGTGGGAGGTTTTGGTGGATGGGCAGTCTTCCAAGACTGAAGACCATGATTCTCTACTTCAAAATGTACCATCTTCCATGAATAAATTCTAAAAGAGCCTAGCTCTCCAGGCAACAAGGAAACAAAAGGAGAATGGCAGGTATGACATAGAGCAAACCCCTGAAGGAGGCAGAGTAGGAGACTGAGGTGTTTCTCCAAATCAGTGCCTTAGGCTGACAAAATAGTGAACTTGGCCTGACCTGTTGACTTTCCTCTGTGGGACCCTGGCCACTTCCTCTCTGCTTTTCTCTTCAACGGAGGCTTGTTTTTCAGAGCCCAGTTGGTAACTCCTCACAGCACTCATTATCAACTCCCCCATCTACTCAGGTTACCACCCTCTGACTGAAAGTGATTCTTTGAAACTCCTCATACCACATTTGTCTTTGGAAAAAAAAAAAATTGAAATGTTAGATCTTAAGAACAAAGTTCACTGTAGATATACCCTGATTCCCAGACTTGAAATCTGGAAAGGGAGTCACATCTGCTTAATTGAGTCCAATTAATAAAAATACGCAGCACCAAGAGCAGATGCTAACATGTATTTTCTATGTGGTCAGGTGTAGCTTGCCAGTTAGTGTTTCCCTGACATAGTCATTTAGAAACAGAAGACTTGGGCCATGGGAAGCCAAAAAGGAGTAAGAATTCAGTTCAAATTTCATTTCCTATTCCCTGGGGAGGAGCTGGCACTGCCAGGAGGAATGAGATTCTGGGACTTACTCTGAGACGTGAAAGCAGCTTTTCCTACAAGTTAGAGAACCCGAAGGCAGGCAGTGTGTGTCACCAGAGTCCCACTGGGTGGGGCTACCTAAGCTGTTTATTTTGGAAATAAAAGAGTAATCTCTTTTGCCAAGAACATTCCTTGGAAGATTAGTGAGGATTGGGAAATGCTAAACATAAATTAAACTTTCTTTACAAAGCATTTTATTATTTATAGAGAGCAAACTCTCCTCCCTGTTGATGGATGATAATGTGTGAAAATGACCCAAACCCTTGCGAAGAAAGATAGCATGAAATTCAAGATGCATTGTGATGAAGGTCAGTATTTTTCATGTAGAGAAGCAATCTACTTGAGCAGAAGCCAAAGGGATTGTTACTCAAGGATAACCATTCAAGTCCCATTAGTTAGAAAGAATGGGGTAATGGCAGTTCCCACTCTATAGGTACAGGTGCATCAAGAAATCATGCTCTGGCAGCCATCGGAGGCACAGGAGGGGGATCTCAGCCTTCCAGATCCTGTGAACCTAAGGTAAAGGACAACACCTGCCTGCCATATGCATTGAAAGCAAGACGCTTCTCCAATTCACTTTAATTTCAGATCAACTCCAAATTATTTTTAGTTTTTTGTATGGAAGGAGATGGTCTTTTTCATGGCAATACTAATGAAAATTAGGCTCCTTTTACTTCCCACATATTGAAAAATAATCTTGGAAAAGTCTAATTATTTTTAAACATCTCATCAATATTTTATATGCTAGACACCCATTAGAAAAAAGACGATAGAATTTATAGACATTTTTTTTTTTTTTGACAGGCAGAGTGGACAGTGAGAGAGAGAGACAGAGAGAAAGGTCTTCCTTTGCTGTTGGTTCACCCTCCAATGGCCGCCGCGGCCGGCGCGCTGCGGCCGGCGCACCGCGCTGATCCGATGGCAGGAGCCAGGAGCCAGGAGCCAGGTGCTTTTCCTGGTCTCCCATGGGGTGCAGGGCCCAAGCACCTGGGCCATCCTCCACTGCACTCCCTGGCCACAGCAGAGAGCTGGCCTGGAAGAGGGGCAACTGGGACAGAATCCGGCGCCCCGACCGGGACTAGAACCTGGTGTGCCGGCGCCGCTAGGCAGAGGATTAGACATTTTAAAAACAAACACCGACTAATTTCATGGCAGTAAAACACTACCATATTTTCTTGCATTTTCACTGCACATTCTTGGGCAGGCTTCTACTTGGGGGCAGAGTCAGGACCTGACTCTCCTGAATGAATTCCTGTGGCCCTAGGCAGAGTGTCCGCAAGCTCAGCCCAGCCTGGGTCAGGCTGCAGCCTGGCCTTCCAGCACATCGGGAGTTCCATTCTTCCCAGAGGTCATGGCTTGGAAACAGGTGGTTGTCATTATTATTACTGCTGCAATCTGAACACCTATTTTGCGCATTATCTACATTAAAATTCTCAGGATAATTAAGTTATGCACAGTAGGCCTCTCCTCTTTTATCCACAATTCTCCTTCCAGTCTCAGTGGCCAATGGCCAACCATGCTCTGAACACATTAATATTTATCTTGACTCTTTCAAGACATTCACATGACTTTTGTTAAAGTTTAATATTAGAATTGCTCTATTTTAGGATTGCTGTTAACAACTCAGTGCACCTAGCTTATAAACTAAGCTTTATTATAGGTATGTATGCATAGAAGAAACAGCACATGTGTCTAGGGTTCTGTGTGATCTCTGATTTCAGGCATTCACTGGGGAGTGTATCTTAGAACAAATCCCCAGTGGATAAGGGCGGACAAGTACCATTATCCCTATTTCACAGATGAGGAAAACTGATCCCTATGAAAATTTTGGGAAGCTGAAGGATCTTGTCCCAGGCCACTGGTTAATAACTGGTAGGAAAAGGGTGGATACATTTTAAATCTAGTTTGCAGTTACAAAGTGATGGCCCAAGAGCCTATCCCAGCCTGTGGCTATGCTTCATTTGGCACATAACTACCTTAAAAATTGTAAAACTCTCAGTGTTTAAAAATAACTTATTTAGAACTTTAAAATTAAATGTCACTGCTTAAAAATTGGGATATTTTAGAAATAAATGCAAATTTCCTTGCAAAACAGGCAAACCTAGCAACCCAGCCTTGTAGGACAATAGCTGGAACTGAGTAATAGTGGCTTCTTAGATCAAAGACCAGTTTGCCTGGTGCCTGACTGGGCCTGCTCGCTCACTGATGCTCCCTTCCTGGGCTCTGAGGTCTTGGAATGTGTGGGCGCTACCTTGCTTAATTCCAGTGTTGAGCAAGTATCAGGCTACCCCTTAGTTCCAGTATTAAGCAGGTGAGTATCAGGCTACCCCTTTCCTTCCTACCTGCCTCTAGGAGTGGCGTGTCATAGAAGCTTCACAAAAGCCAGCTATTCCACATAGGAAACTGGAAACTTTCCTTTGTTGGTTTCTTTAGCGTTTAAGCTGATTCACAGATCACTTTGAGAACAGCAAAATATTATGCCAGGCATATTTTCCACCACATACATTTTCCATAATCTTTTCGAAAGCCTCTCCTATTTCCTTTCCTCTGAATTATGAGAATCTCTTCTCCCTTATATCTTTGTCCATATTTTTATTCTATGTTCTTTTCTTATAGAATTACAAAAGGTATGTGAATTATATAGTTCCTTTCTTATTTGTCTCTATCTTTTAACTTGGTTAACTTTTAGATTTTTTTTTTTTTTTTACCCATACAGAACCTTTTAAATTTCATATAGGAATTTTAAAAAGACTGTAAAAATTCTGGGTTTAAAGCCTACTGGGAAAGGCATATTCATGCCTTTAGTATTTTTCAGGTTTAATGTTTATGCTTAAATCTTATTTTTCTATAAAAATGGTTGTGTGAAATGTAGTGTATAACTTTCCATGAAACTCACTTTATAACCAGAGTCAGTCATATTTTGTCTGGCGATTTATAATGTCACCTCTAATTTTATCAGGTTCTCTTATGTCCCAAGATTTCTAGAATATTCTATGTAATTTTTGTTCATATATTTTTGTGTCAATTCCAAACTACTTACCTATCATAATACATGAAAAGACTAATAACTCCTTTTAAGTCTGCATTTTCAGAATACTCTGGTTAGTTTTACAAAAATATTTCTCCAGATAAATCTAGTAATATTTTGTCACTTTCTAGAAATATACAGTTAATATTTCAGTTGAAAATAATTTAAACTGATACATTAATAGAAGAATTAACATCTTTAAGAAACTTTATTCCTACCTAAAAGCATTGTTTTTTCATATGGTCTTGTGTTGTTTTAAAGTGTTTTAAAGTGAAATTCCACATAATTCACATTTTGCTCACATTGATAGAAAATTTTCGCACATTATTTCACAAACTTTTCCTTATATCAAAGTTATGTTTTCTCTATTCCTTTAAGCTAGTCTATTTCCTAAATTCTTCCATTGCTTCCAAAACTTTTCAGTTGATTAAGGTTTGGCTTTCTAGATCGTATAATCATAGGAATAGCAAAAAAAAAAAAAAGAAAGAAAGAAAGAAAGAAAGAAAAAAAACCTGAAAAATATGTCGGGTTATTCTGAACAACCATCATAGAATGAGAAAACAAAGCAATTGCAGGAAATGTCCATCAAATTTTCACCACAATATTTATGCTCTAATTCCTTCCAGCATTTTACTCAAATACAGATGTCTTCCCTCCTTCCTAAGTTTTCTTTTTCTTTTTTCTAGTATGTGAAGGGATTGGCTTGGTCCCAGTCCTAAATTATAAAAGAAGGGCAGCTTGGATGAAGCCACTGGAGGGGACAGAAGACATCAAGGGGGCATCAGTAGGTGGGGTGGCCCCGCCAAGGGGAGAGGCAGTTACTCTGCTCCTAGGCATGTCAGTTTCTGGCTTAGCAGGAAGAGCAGAGGAGACCACACTGCCCCTTGTGGTCTAAATTCAAACACCAAACACTCTACCTTTGATCCTAGCTTGTCCCTCCTACACAAGATTCCTTTTTCAGTTTTTTTTTTTTTTCTACTGAGTTATTTCCATCTGTATGTAAACATACAGATACAATTATTATTTTTCTTATCATCAAACTAAATGTGTGTGGGGGGTGCTAAATAGGGGTGGGTGTTTGGCACAACTGTTGGGGATGCCCACATCCCATTTCAGAGTACCTGGGTTAAAGTCCCACCGGCTCCTCCACCGCACCCTGTGAGGCGGCAGATAATTAGTTGAGACCTGCCACCCACATGAGACACTTGAGTTCTGGGCTCCCGGCTTCAGTCTGGCCCACCCTGTCTATTGTGGGCATTTGGGAAGTGAATCAGTGGATAGAGGACACCGTCCTCTCCCTCCTTGATAAGTCAATCAATCTTTTTTTCTTGATCCAGTTCTTACAGCGTATCTCATTCCACTGTTCCATTTTCTAACAAAGCTCCTGGAGCCACCCATGCTCCCCCCCTCTCATGCCTCTGTTTTGTCTCAGAGGGCCCTCTGCTTCTGCCACTCCACAGAAACAACTCTTGCAGAGGTCACGAGTGGCCCGCAAGTCACTAAGACCAACAGGCAGTTCTCAGTCCTGCTCCGATCTCACTCCTCAGGAACCTCTGGGGACTTTCAGGAAGCAAACCCATCTTCCTCCCACCTTACTGGCTTCTCTTTTTATCTTTCCTGTTGGGCTCCAACACATCATCCAAACCCTAAATGCTGGAGCACCCCGGGGCTTCATTCTTCTTTTCAACCTGTCCTCACGTGGTGTGCTCCTCAAACCTTGTACCTCTAAGTGCCGTCTCGAGGAGGAAGCTCACTCGTGCATTTCTGTGATCCACTTGCTCCCCACTTCAGTGGTGGTTGTCACAGCAGCCCAGGGGACTCAGACACGGTCTGATCTCTTAGCTGCCACTGTCCTCTTCCCCACCTCCCTTTGACCACACTGGCCCTGTCCAGAGCAGGTGTGATACTGCCTGGTAGTCTCTGCAGGTGCTTCTCCATATCCTTACAGTTCACTCTGTCCTGAAAAATTAGCGAGGGCTCCTTAGCCACCCTGTTGAAAACCGCAAACTCTAAGTCCTGCCTTTCCCTGTCATTTCACCTATGTCTCTGGTTGTCTTTTAACTTGGTATATAACAATGCATTTGATTTTTCCTCTTTCCTGTCCTTACGAACCATAATCCATTGAGGATGGCAACATACAGTCAGAAATACATAGCAAAATAGAGATTGTTGTTTCCCTGCTCCTTCACCAAATCACAAAAACCAGTAGCCAGCACACAGTAGCTAACTGATAAATATGTGCTTAGTTTTTGTATAGGATGATAACAAGAATGTGTTGTGATTAAAAACAATTAAAATGCTGGGCAGTAATAGTATGGAAGGTACATAGGAAGAAACTGAACATGTTGTAAGGTTCTTAACTGATACGGACCGAGAGTAAGATGCTGACTTGGAATTTATTAGGTATGTATGCTATGTGCCTAAATCCGTGTGTATGAAATATGAAATTTGTTTATATAAACTATTATAAAAATAAATTGAAGCACTTAATCACTTAAAAACAGATTTAAAAGGATACAAAGAATGCAAAAGAGTAGGACAAAATAGAAAGCAAAAAGTAAAATAATGAAAGTCCAACTATAACAGTAAGCACAATCTATTTAAAAGGACTAAGTTTGCCATTTAAAAGTCAGGGGCTTTCCCACAGCAGACATGTGATGTAGCAATTAAGACACATGTCCCTTTTTGGAGTATCTGGGTTTGACATCCAGCTCCTGTTCCTGTTTCTACCTTCCCACTAATGTTAACCCCCTAGGTGTAATGTGGTGATGGCTCAACTAATTAGTCTTTCCATTGCCATGGGAGACCTTAACTGAATTCCTGGCTCCTGGCTTCAGCCCAGCCAAAGCCTGAATGAATGTTGTCAGCCTTCGGAGAGTGAACCAGCAGACTGGGGGAGTGGCTCTCTCACTCTCGCTCTCTCTGCTTCTCAAAAAATAAATTAAAAAAAAAAAACCTGGTATTTCCTGATTAAATGTTCCAAACCAACAAAATACAATTATTCTTTGTAAGAAACAAACCGAAAACATGAGGACACAGAAGGTTGAAAGCTCAAAGAGTTAAAAGATGTGCTTGGAAGGGAGGTTGTTTGCCTTAGAGGTGAAGATCCGTCTTGGGATGCCCATCTCTGATATCAGAACGCCTGGTTCAAATCTTGGCTTCTTTCTGATTCCAGGTTGCTGCTAATGCACACCCTGTGAGAGTCAGCAGTGATGGCTCAAGTGGTTTGGTCCCTGCCACCCATGTAGGAGACCTAGATTGAGTGTCCAGCTCCTTGCTTCAGCCTAGCTCATCGCCAGTCATCGCAAGCATTTGGAGAGTGAACCAGCAGTCTGCAGCTCACTCTGTCTGCCTGGATTTTCTGTCTCTTTCTGTTCATCTTTGGTTTTGGACTGTTATGCTTATTTCCTGTTCATTTCCCACACTGCATTCCCCAGATCTATGGACTCACACACTCCTTACACAACCTATCTGAACATCTACTCCAAGGTCAAAGTGTAAATTCAAACAGCATGCTGCGATGCCTGTGTAAAGTGGCTGTACGGGGAAGCTCGGGTGCTCCTCCGACACTCAGAAGGGGCACACACAGCACGGATCGCGGCTGTCAGGGGCAGCGGGAGCCCTCACCTGGATGTCGAGCTGCCTGTCGTGCAGAGCCCTCTGCAGCTCCTGCAGGCTCCCCTTGAGCGTCCGCAGCTTCACCGCCAGCTGCTCAGCCTCGTCCTTCGTGTGAGCCTTGCCCTCCAGCAGCAGGTTTTCATTGTGCACTGAGAGCTCAGATAAGGCCACCACCTTCTGCTCAATTTCCACAAGCATGTTCTATAATAACAGACATAAACATGAAATCCACATACCTGTAGCTTGTTTAGATTGTCTCTGCAGCAAAACACAATTCTCACGTGGTCTTAGACCAGACCAACAGGCTTTTGTAATTTTCCTATAGCTGGCAAGAGCAGCATATAGATTTTATTTTCAGTTTCCTGAACCCTTGCATTTTACTCTTTCAAAGACTGAGTGTTAAAAATGAAAACCATAGGGTGTGTGTTGTGGAGCAGCAGGTTAAGCTGACTCTTGGAACTCCTGTATCCCATACTGGAGTGCTGGTTCGAGTCTGGGTTATTCCATTTCTGATTCAGCACCTGCTAATACGCATGGGAAGCAGCAGAGATAATAGCCCAATTACTTAGGTCCTCGCCACCATCATGGGAGACCAAGATGGAGCATCTGGTTCCTGGAGTTGGCTTAGCCCAGTCCTGACTACTGTGTGTATCTGGAGATTAAACCAGTGAGTGGAAGATCTTTATTTCTCTCTGTCACTCTGCCTTTTAAACAAATAAATCTTTTTTACAAAATGAAAAAAGTAGAGAACATGTATTATATACAACAGATAAAGAGAAAAGGGTCAATGCTCTAGTGTATCTTATATTTATTACTCTAGTATTTTAGTGTTACATTATCATGCTTATAGCTAGTATTAGTGAAGGTATCATCTCATCAACCTTTTCTTTGTTAATTTAAGTGGGACCCTATCTTTCAAAAGATTGCTTCTTTGTGTTGATTATTTTCAGGTTGCAGTTCTTATGCCTTGTCTTTGTGGTTTTTTTGTTTGAATATGATACAGCTTTATCCTTATATTTCCAACAAATTTTAATTTCCTTAAAATTTTAATTCATATTTCTGAGATGAATCTGTAGTGCTACAAGGTCTTCCTCTAAAATGAATACCAAACCAAGGGAGCAGAAGAAATATTTTCCCTTCTTGCAAGGTAAAACAAAATATAAAGTCTTTTAAAATATCAAATATGAACAACACAATTTATGTATTACTATAACAATAAGTGTATTCAAAAGAAAGGGGAGGCAGTAATGACAAATTCTAATTTGGGAATACCAGTTTGGGTAGTAAGATTAAGTGCTAAAAGGAAGTGTTAAAAATAGATGTCATTTGGGGCACAATGTGGAGCAATGGGTTAAGCCACCACCTAAAACACGAGCATCCTGTATAAGTGCTGGTTCTAAGCTGCTCCACTTCCAATCAAGCTCCCTGCTGATGCACCTGAGAAAGCAGAAGATGGCCCAAGAACACGGGTCTCTGACCCATGTTGGATACAGACCAGCCCTAGTCATTACAGTGATTTGGGGAGTGAACAAGTAGATGGAACATTTTTCTCTCTTTGGCTTTCTCTTTCTCTGTAACTCTGCCTTTCAAAAATAATTAAGTAAATCTTAAGAAAATACATGTCTCTTTCAGAAAAGTAACATTAGAACAGAAAGCAATTACATGTGACTTTTTAATAACTATCATTTGAGCATGTAATAATAATAATAATGTCTTGTGTACACAGAGATAAGTTTCCTAAGGCAATTATAAATCCACATGGTTATACTCAGCATTGCAAATATCAAGTCAAAAACAATAATGACCAAAACAGTGTACTACACATTAAGAAAAAGGTAGTGTTCACTGATGATTTTCACTTATTCTGATTCCAGTTGGGAGAAATATCAAGCTGTACACACTGATGTTTCTGTCTTCAGATTAGGAAGGGCTTTCTAGACATTTTATAGTTAATTAAATGAAAGAGCTTTTAATGCACTCAAAAATATGTTGAAAATCCCTAAATCATTGACAGTCACATCAGAGGTCATATCTATTCTATATAATTAAATGAGCATGTTTGGAAATCTCCTAGTAAGGAGGTAAGAAAATAACGTTAGAATAAGACTTCTAAACAATTAGGCCACACATTAATTCTTAGAGACCTGATGTAGGAGGAAGTAACTCTGCTCCAACAGATAATCTGTCCATGTTCAGTATCTACTGTCTGCCTAAAACTGTCAGTTGGCAGGTTTCCAAATAATACATCAGAGTACACTCAAAATTCCAGCAAGACCTAGAGACACTTGCTATTGTGCTACAGTTGACTTAGTGGTACTGAGTTTGTATTCCTTTAATGTCTAAATATAGATACCACAAGTATTTTAGTATCTATAATCTGTAAAAATGTCTTCTGGTAAGGTGAAGATTTTCTAAAAAATAGATAACTATTGGTGATTCTTTTCAAAAATTAAGTTCAGGCCGGCGCCGTGGCTCACTAGGATAATCCTCCGCCTTGCGGCGCTGGCACACCGGGTTCTAATCCTGGTTGGGGCACTGGATTCTGTCCCTGTTGCCCCTCTTCCAGGCCAGCTCTCTGCTATGGCCAGGGAGTGCAGTGGAGGATGGCCCAAGTGCTTGGGCCCTGCACTCCATGGGAGACCAGGAGAAGCACCTGGCTCCTGCCATTGGATCAGCGCGGTGCGCCAGCCGCGGCGGCCATTGGAGGGTGAACCAATGGCAAAAGGAAGACCTTTCTCTCTGTCTCTCTCTCCCTCACTGTCCACTCTGCCTGTCCAAAAAAAAAAATACACATAAAAAATTAAGTTCAAATTTGGATTTCATTTCAGCTTTTATAATGTATTGCTTTTCTGCTGCCTTGATATATACAGTGTATGAGTTGTGAGAAACATCTACCCACACATTTTTTTCACCAATATTTTTGGCAGTTTAAAAGCATGCATTATGGTGTTGGCATATTCCTTGCAATCATCTTCATACCTGGCAGTCCACCAGCTGAGCTTCCATGTCCATGGGCTCCTTGACTGTCCCCAGTGCACTATCCAGGGTGGCCTTTGTGCTCAAGAGCCAGTGGTCCAGCTCATCAGCCTCACAGCGGTACCTCTGCAGGGCCTGTTCCTGTCTCTGCTCTTCAAGTTGGTCATTTAACTTCTCCTAATAAAGAGTAAAAAATCTTTAAGATCCAATTCAATAGAGTAATAGTTCCAAGCCCTTGTTGCACATCAGAAGCACTGGTGAAACTTCCATAAAATGTGTAAGCCACATGCCAGTGAAACAAATCAGAATTGCTAGGATTGAGGCCTAATAGTATTTTAAAAAACTTCCCTACAAGTTCTATAATGTACCTACAAATAATATACATCTAGCAGAAGGAACGATATGAATGATGAAAATCAGCCAAAGATTAGAAAAAAAAAATGGTATAACTCAACTAGTAAATGGCAATAGACTCTTGACATTAATGTCTGAAAAACAGTAAGGAGTAGGGACCCTGGCTAACTTCAGAATATATGGTCTACTTAATCGTGTAGCCCCATGCAGCTTCAGGCAGCTGATCTCTGTGGGAAGGGATGGTCCAATGTTACTTGTGTTCACAGATAGGCAAAAATCCAAAGTTTAAGGCTACATCCTTGTTTTTCAGTTAGAAATTAATTTCATATAAAAAATCCAGACCAATCACTTCATTTTGAACCCCACATGTCTTTCACAGAGTAACTGCAGACAAAATGAATGAAATAAAATGTTAACTTGTGGGGCCAGCGCTGTGGCATAGCGGGTAAAGCTGCCACCTGCAGTGCCAGCTTCCCATATGGGTGCCGGTTTGAGTCCTGGCTTCTCCATTTCTGATCCAGCTCTCCCCTATGGCCTTGGAAAGCAACAGAAGATGGCCCAAGCCCTTGGGCCCCTGCAACCACGTGGGAGATCCAGAGGAAGCTCTTGGCTCCTGGCTTCAGATTGGCATAGCTCCGGCCATTGTGGCCAATTGGGGAGTGAACCAGCGGATGGTACAATCAACAACTAAGTAAAACAATATTCAATTTATACAATAAGAACTGTATTGAGAACCATATGAGCCAGAGGCATTGCTGAGCCCTTGAAATAAAAAGAGAGAGCCATGATAAAAGCGTTTCTGGAACCTTCAGTCAAACCAAATTAAAGGAGCAACAATGTCAATGTCTTGTATGCTTTGTCCCAAGATTTATAAGACGTCAAACCAAAAGGAAAACAGCTCATTTTAACGCAGAACATTTTTGTCAACATTTGTCTCTATATCAAATAATGCTTAAAACAAATAACATGAGACCCAGAATTAAAAAATGAATTTTCATGAAATAATAGGGTTGAATTGGTGACAGTAGGATTCATTCTTTACAGTATTAGTAACATCATGCATCAAATGCTCTTATTTTCACAGAGCAACCAGCATGGAAATCTTCCGCAATCATTCTTCACAGGCTCATGTCTGTCAAGTCTGCCTCTGATATTCTCAGTATCTCACACCTGCAGTGAGTACAGAAAGGGGAACAGGGACATACCCACGGCTACACCCTCTCACTCTATTCACGAGATGGTTCTTGAAACACAGTCGGGTTCTTGTGATGGGGAAACAATAAAAATTGAAATCACATAAGTAACCCCCACACCTTGCACACAGCTGTAGGAGTTAATTCGGAAGTGAGAGGGGGACTTGAGGGTCCCTCATTACCTCAAGGAGCTGCCGTTTCCCCGAGGCTTTCATCCTGATGGTGGACATGCGCTCGGCCAGGACAGTGAGCGTGGACTGCAAGGCCAGCTGCTCTGTGGGGTCGCACTCCTGGGAGCCCAGCTCCTCGGCCAGACAGGACTGCAGCTCATTGATTTCATCATGGAGCATGAGGATCTCATCCATCAGGGCCTGTGAGGGAGTCGGTGGAATCACAGTCAGGTATACATTTAAGATTTATTTATGTATTTAAAGGCAGCGTTAGAGAGAGGTCTTCCATCTGCTGGTTCACTCCCCAGGTGGCTGGAACAGTCAGAGCTGCGCTGATCAGCTCACACAGCCCATGGGTATCTCCCCTGTATTAAGGCTAAAGCCAGCTTCCTCCCTGTCGTCTACTGCCTTTCTCTTCATCACTCAAGCTGGAGACATAGAAGTCATTCTTCATACCTTCCTCTCCTTCACTTACCATATCCAATCTGTCACCAAATCCTATAACTTCTACCTCCAAAATGTATTCTGTACACTTGCATTTTGCCACAACCCCCACCTGAAGACAAGGTCAACTTCCTGTCTTCTCTGAGTTGCCATACTGATCTTCTAACAGCCCCACCTACTCACACTCTTGTTTTTCTTGACACCTTTACCAAGCAATTACAACAACTTCCTAAAAATGTCAATCAGATTCTTTCACGCTCCTGATTTAAAATATGTAATGACTTCTTGCCTACAAAATAAAGTCTAGATGCTTTATTACCCTTAGAATGTCTCCACCTTCCTGCCCCTTTTAGCACACACTCTTCACCTCATTCTATTCCGGACTGCTTCATTAATCTCAGGGCCCCAGCCCCTTCTGGCATCCTGCCCTTTGTACATGCAATTCCCTCCATTTGGAACACTCTTCCTTCTACTCTTCATGTGATGTTCCCTTCATTCTTCAAGCCTTAGGCTAATTGCCTCAACTCAAGAGCTCTGATATATATATCTTATATATGATTTTTATTTCCATTTTTAAAAATATTTGATTTGCTCTTTAGCTGGCTGTTCACAAGAGAAAATCTCATGTAGGATTTAAATGGCATGTTAGAAAAACAGATACCATCACTAGAAAGGCAACCATAACTTCAAGTAAAATAGCCTAGGTTTTACATAAACTAATAATTCATAGTTTTTCATGCACTTTACTTGCAAAATTCCTGTCTCTTCCATGGGACTGTAGACTCTTCTGTAAGCACAAGGCCTCCTTAGAGTGGATTCTCACTTCTCTAAACCCATTTTGCTTTTTAATATTCTAACTTCACACTTAACTGTACAATACACTCAGTTAATTTTTGTGTCTAGTGTACATAAAGTACATAGTGTACATAAACAAAAATTTTTGTTTTCCTTTTTACCCGTTATTTTGCAATATAATCTTTGCTAAAAGTCAAATGTCTATGTAACTTGAGCCTCCTTCTGGGCTCTAAGTTTCATTGATTCATTTGGTTAATGGAACCAACTTTTACACCACCTTACTGATGTACCATTTATATTAATTCATCTTGTTCAAAGGTGTCTTGGCTAATCTTGGGTTTTGCATGGTCAATATACTTTTTTTTATTTATTTGCAATATATGCATTTTAGAATTAGCTTGTTGATTAGTACCAAAATATCTGCTGAGATTTTTAAATGAGATTGCATCAAGTTTCTAGACTGATCCCTTTTATTAAACATTTAAAGTGTTTTTCCTCTAGTAAATTATTTTCTAATTTTTTTTTTTTTTTTTGGTGCTTGGTTGACAAAAGCATAAAGTCCACATTCTTTGGTCTGATTTTAAAGGCTCCTCCATAATTAGTCTGACCTCATTATGTCTCTTTTTTGCACTGTTCCTTCAGTTCAAACCAGGAAAGAACCACTTTACAATGGTACAGCAAGTGCACACTCTCCTTTGTGCCTTCTCTCTCTCTCTCTCTCTCTCTCACACACACACACACACACTCACACACACACACACACACACACACACACTTACAGTTATGATGCCTGCAACCCACCCCTGTTGCCACTCTGAATTTTCAAACTTGTGTTTCCTCAAAGTCTTGGCTGGATCTCCTTCATTGTACTTCCTACTACTCCAGCTCACAACCACATTTTTGTTTTCTGTACAGTGTTGGTGATTCATAATAGCACTAAAACAGGTTTTACATAATTTATTAATGTAAAAGCTTGTCTTTTAGCTGTGCATATAGGAGATGCTCAGTACATTTAGTTGAATTAATTATAGTTCAAGATATATAAAAACCAGTATCTGAATCATGAAGCAACCAAAAAAACTAAAAATATTTTTTAAAGCCTGATTTAATGTCAGTGGATTTTGAGGCTTGCAGTAAAGTCGCCAGCTTCCATTCCAGACTCATTCAATTCTGAAATAACTCTCAGAATGTTCTACGGTAAAGACTAAAGAGATTAGCAATTCTAAAACTGCCAGTTTTCATCCTATTAGAGCCAGGTACTTTGGTCATGCTTTGGGTTACAATAAGGGAGAACAGGTGGTTTTGGAAGTTGACTGTGCTTTGAACTTTAACATAGAGCAGCCAAGTTCAGTGGGTACAGGATTCTCTCCAGGGATGAGGAAAATATTTTGGAAGCAGATAGTGGTGGTGTTTATACAACACTATGCCACTGAACTGTACACCTTAAAATGATTAATTTAGCTGGTGCTGTGCCATAGCAGGTAAAGCAAATGCCTGCAGTGCTGGCATCCCATATGGGCACTGGTTTGAGTCCCAGCTGCTCCACTTCCAATCCAGCTCTCTGCTATGTCCTGGGAAAACAGTAGAAGATGGCCCAAGTCCTTGGTCCCCTGCGCCCCCATGGGAGACCCGGAAGAAGCTCCTGGCTCCTGGCTTCAGATCAGCACAGCTCTGGCTGTTGAGGCCAACTGAGGGGTGAACCAGCAGATGGAAGACCCCCCTCTCTCTCTGCCTCTCCTTCTCTGTGTAACTCTTTCAAATAAATAAATAAATATTTAAAATTGATTAATTTTATGTTCTGTGATCGGCACAGCTGCTCACTAGGCTAATCCTCTGCCTGCGGCACCGGCACCCCGGGTTCTAGTCCCGGTTGGGGCACCGGGTTCTGTCCCAGTTGCTCCTTTTCCATTCCAGCTCTCTGCTGTGGCCCGGGAGTGCAGTGGAAGATGGCCCAAGTGCTTGGGCCCTGCACCTGCATGGGAGACCAGGAGGAAGCACCTGGCTCCTGGCTTCAGGTTGGTGCGGTGTGCCGGCCATAGCGGTCACTTGAGGGGGTGAACCAACAGAAGGAAGACCTTTCTCCCTGTCTCTCTGTCTAACTCTGCCTGTGAAAAAAAAATAATTTTATATTATGTGAATTTCACCTGAACCGGAAAAAAAAAAAAAAAAGATCAGCAGTGAAATATTTTAGTTCCCAAATTCTGAGTCCAAGAGCTGGTGGCCAGTTGTGCCTCCATATCTGACTCAAAGATAAGAACAGCAAGATGAAAGGCATATTTTGGGACTCTGATTTGTGATTCTATTTATTTTTTATTTTATTTTTTTATTTTTGACAGGCAGAGTGGACAGTGAGAGAGAGAGACAGAGAGAAAGGTCTTCCTTTTGCCTCTGGTTCACCCTCCAATGGCCGCTGCGGCCGGTGTGCTGCGACCGGCACACCACGCTGACCAGAAGGCAGGAGCCAGGTGCTTCTCCTGGTCTCCCATGGGGTGCAGGGCCCAAGCACTTGGGCCATCCTCCACTGCACTCCCTGGCCACAGCAGAGAGCTGGCCTGGAAGAGGGGCAACCGGGACAGAATCCGGCACCCCGACCGGGACTAGAACCCAGTGTGCTGGCGCTGCAAGGCGGAGGATTAGCCTGTTGAGCCACGGCACCGGCCTTGATTTGTGATTCTAAGGAGGGTGTGTATGACACAAGGTTGAGAGAAGTACCTTGAACTTCTCGACAAGGACAAACTCAATAAAAGTTTGAGCAAATCATGGAGCTCACGTTTAGTTCAATGCCAGAGGTAAAAAGTTCATGCTTTCAGAATTATCTTTGTATGTCTATGTATGTCTATGTATGTTAGAATTATCTATGCATGTACCTATGTATATGAATACAGTTATTTGCACATTCTATTTTATTTGTTCTCTGTATTGAAAAACAAAAGCAAAATAGCCTCAGAGCTCTGCCTATGATTTGTCACTGAGTTCACTGGACAAAGATAACACAACCCAAAAAGCAGATGTCCACAACTATGACAGTGAAGGTGGCAATGACAGAGGACTTAACACTCAGAACAGCAGCCATAGCCCACTTAGGTGCCACGTAAAAGACAGAATTAAATATGACACCATTAGAAAGAGTAATGGGAAAGGCAAAGCACTCCACTCAAATTCATTGGATTTAATTAAGTGTTTAGAGGAAAAATGCAGGAATTAGGTTAACTCTAAAGAAATTTTAACTCTATAAAATGGTGGGGCTGAAATAATAATTGAACTATTTCTATTATTCTTTTAGGAAATTTTGAAAAGTAGTCTAGACTTTCTCACCCTTACTTGGTGGAACTTAACAGCAATTCTATAATAGTGCCTGTAATTTTTAAAGTACCACTGCAGAGGGTAAGAACAAATTTAGATACTGTGATACCATTAGCTTTTCACGTGGGCAGCTATGTCCCAGAATTTGTAGAATTTAGGCACAAGTAGCAAAAGTTAGCAAAAAAGAACTTGGATGGAAAAATTTAGATTTGTGATGAAATGCAAAATTATACTGAATCATACATTATTCATATTTTCTCTCCCTCTTATTAGATCATTAATATGACTGCTAAGCCCACAATGACTGAAAATCATTGCACTATTCCCATTTCCTCATTGCTATAATGGTAAGTTCGGACAACCACTCTCAACATAGAAAGGGTCGAAAGTCCTGTGACTGCCTTAATTATAAGAAAAGTCATGTATTCACTTATAATTTATAATACTCAGCATTACTGTCAATTTTTAGTTTTCTCCATTAATTCTCCTGAACAAAATAATTTTGCTCTACATTCAGTGTGTTTTCATTCAAATGACTACTAGGTAAGATAGTGGTGTTGATTGGGTGTACCAGCATTTTCAATTAGGAAGTCTGGAATGGCATGACTGACCACCAGGATCTTGTTTTCATGTAGTTCCTAACTTATGAGGGAGCCAGTGAAGGATCTTCTGCAGTCAGTAACCTGGGCCACAGAGGGGATGGGCCTTGAGCAAATATGGACATGACCTGAATACACAAAGTAAAAGGTAAACTAAATTAGCCTTTCTCCTGGGTCACTGGCTCCCATTAATCAGAGTATATGATCCTCAAATTCCTCTGAATCAGCCCTTGGATAATTGAAACTATTCTAAAATTTTTTTAAATTTTATTTTTTTCATTTGAAAATACATGTGATTGCTCACGCATGCACGCACGCACACACACACACACACAGATAGAGAGATACAGATGGACAGGCCAAAGACAGGTACTAGCAACTCAATTTGGGTCTCCCCCACTTGGTAACAGGGGCCCAGGTACTTATGCCATCACATGTTCCCTCCAGGGGTGCACACCAGCAGGAAGCTAGAAGCAGGGAGCAGAGGTGGGACTTGAACCCAGGCACTCTGATAAGAGATGTGGGCATCCCAAGCAGCTTCTTCACTGCTGTGCCAATGCCCTGCCCCGATGCTATATTCTTTTAGGATACTTGAAGTGACCCTGTCAAAGTTGACCTGCAGGGTTACAATGGAATGGAGAGAAGTGCTGTATTCTCCAGGAACCATAAAGCAGAGGTATGGGGGACAGGATAGAAATAACTGCAGGAATAAGAGGAAAGACACCCAGAGAGCACACTGGGCCAACAGGAACAGCCCCTTCAGATGCGAAGGAAGTGGCTGTTGGCAATTAGAAAACGAGGGCATCAGTTAAAGAGGACTGGGACCGCTCTAGAAAAGAGGGGGCACGAGAGGGTAGCAATTAAGTAGGAAAATGGGGGAGTTCAGAGGACAACAGTTTTGTCTTAGTCACCTAAGTCCTTGGATGTCCTCATGATTGGTCTGGACTAAGAAAACTTAAGGTTAATTTTAATTCATACGTTCATAGTACCCACCTCAAACCCGGCTGATCTTGGGTCACTCTGGGGTAGCAGAAAAATCTTTAGAAGGTGGCTTTACCAAAACAAGACATAAAGATGGAGGCTATGCACTTTTATCTCTATCTTAAGAGGTTACAAGAATGTCACAAACCTGAAACCACTATTTCTCAATATTTCATCTCTAGATGAAATGTTCTCATTTTGTATTACACTGAAAGGTCCTATATTGCAAAAGATGGCAATTGTATCTGATTACACAGATGAGCAAGTGGTATATCCCAAGGTTACTTTGGCTTCTCAAACCAGAAAGTTATAGAGGAAGAGAAAGACCAAGAACAAATTTTCACTTTCATAGATAATAAATTTCCCTGCCCTTAATAGACACATCTAACACACCAGGCTTTCATAGCTCTTAATTAACATATAAAAATCTCTCTCTTCCTCTGCCTTCCGAAGGCTTGTCATACATTCCTGGTTTTGGTTGAGGGCAGTCTGCATATTCCCAAATCATTATGACTATACAGGTGAATGTGTGTCTCAGTGTTTTTAGACAGCATTATACCATATAAATATGGTCATGCATTAATAGCATACCTTGGAATAGCCCTCAAGTATTAACCAGATTTTAATATATGCACGTTCCTTAAGATTCATTTTAGATTCATGCCTTCTGACTTAGGTTATGTGATAATCTCCGCTTTTCACGTAGAGCTGAAGTTTTGTCTAGCTTATATAACTTAAAAAAAATCCAACTACCCTAGTCAGAGACAACCAAAGGTGAGAACCTAAAACCTCTTAAACTGCTTCCTGGCCCACTGAAGTCTGAGACTTGTTCCCTTACGTGACAGTAGGAAGGTGCTGGGCACATACTACTTTACGCCCAGAGAAGGTAGATTGGTGTATAGTTTATTCTTACATCATTGGGTCTCAACAACAATCAAAATGAAGTGGTAACTGTAAGGAAATGCACTTTGTACAAAAGTCCAAAAGCAACATCAGTGCACGTAGCCGTTAGATTCCAGATCTGGGCTTCTTTTCTCCTTTCTGAGATCTGTCCCTGAAGCAGTGGTGGAAGCAACCACGCTTGGAAACTTGTTTACTCTGTCCGAACTGATAGAGCAAAACAAGGTCAGTTTGTTCTCCCAACCAGTCACCAGAGTGCACCTACTTAACCCCACGAACAACAGAAGCCCTCTGCAGTGTTACCTGATGCTCAGCCATCTGGCTCTCCGGACTCCGGCCAGGTTCCAGACTCTCACTGAGTTTCACCTCGATGGCCTCCATTTTTGTGGAGATGGACGGGAGGGAGTCCTGGTACTTTTTCTGGCGTTCCAAAGCTTCATAGAGGGTGCGCTGCTTTTCACTGATCTGAACAAGAAAAGGGATCTTACCAACTGTTGCCGAGCCCCTTATCTTCCACATTACCACATTTCTTTCCTCACTGCCTTACCTACTGGCAGAACAGAGGATACCCAACTATGCACCGCATGTGTAACTTTCTGCATGTATTTCACAAGACCATTGCTAAGGCAATTGGTGTCTGCTGGGCTTAAACAAGTCCGTGTGTTAAACACTCACCACATTCTTCAAGGTGTCCCAAGAACGCTGCAAGTCACCCAGTTTAGCAGTGGCAGATGCCTCCAGTCCTGGCTCACAGAACTCCTGGGATGCCGACGCGCTGGGCTGAATCCTTGCAGCATCTGTTTGCAACCTCTCAGCAGACAAGGCTTGGTAATAAGCAATGTCCTGGGAGTGAGAGCAGAGCATTGGATTCCACAGGTCTTGAGTAAAGTGCTCTGGGTACTGCGTGTCATGCGTAGTGAGGGGTTAGGAGCTAAAGCTTTTGCCGGGGCTGCACGCAAGGAAGTTAGTAAATTCTCGTGACAAGAAAATATGAAGCACATTGCAATTGCTTTGGAATTTCGGCTTATATTTAAAAAGTAAACCATTTTGCCAATATTTCAAGTTGACACACTCAAAAGGAAATTCAAAGGATTTAAGTGATACATGTGTATTTAAGACTGATGAACTAATAGAGCAAAAAGAACTTGAATGATCTAGTTCCTAAAATGTGGTTTAATGTACAGATTAAGGTTTTGAATAATTTTAAGTACTGGTTTTAAATAAAATCAAAGCTATTGAAAGCAATTTTTCTGACATAGCTAGATCTTCACTAGTTGTGAATTCACTATATACAGAAATTAAATACTTTAATATTAAATAAGGAAAAGTGTGATAGGGAAGTTAAAACTACTCTAAGAAACAAATAATAAGAAAGAGTTCTTTATATCCATTTTCTGGAAGTACATAAGAAATCATTGAAGTGAATGATGACAATCATCTTTTAAATTTTTAAAAATCTAGTTATAAGTAATATTACATAGTAATAATTATAATGAATTTTTTTTATACCAATACATACAATTGTTTGTGTTTTCAATTGTTTTTATGGCTATTTATCTATACCTCAATAGAAATTTAATTGGAAGAGTAATGCTTATATTCTATGAATTGCTATTATACTAGTAAACTTGATTGCTTTTACAGCCGTTCTGTAAGGTGAAGGTAATTATGTCAGTTTAAAATAACTTAGCCTTACAGATAATCATTAATTGGCAGAAGTCTTGAAGAAGGTTCCAGCCACATGGGAAAACAAGAGCACATCAGGAAGGGCCTGGCGCTGTTTTGGGGAAGCGGAAAGGACACTTCTTAGGGGCTACAACAGGATGCAATGGAATGAGTTAAGACTGAGAGTTGGGACACTGAGATCCAGCCAGAACTACTCTAAGTGTATGTCCCTGGACAACTGTGCCAGTCACTAACAACCTGCACTTCAGCTTCCTCATCTATACAACAGCAGGTGGTTTTGAGGAATATTCTTTGAGTGACAATACCGACTTTTGCCCATTTTTTGGTTGTGTGGCTGAGACTCCCAGATATGTCGATAACATTTATTGATGACAAAGGAACATGAAGACTCGTTCCTCTTCATTCCTCACTCTCTCAATCTCTTCAATGGGTTACTCTGGTATTTTCATGTCCTTGATAGGCTTATATCCATTGAGCTCACTCATGTCCACCTCATTTCATTCCTTGACACCCTTTAATGCTGTCATCATTAAATTGGTCACCTTCCCACCACCGGATACTTCTCACTGTGGTTAAAGTTACTTAAACCTCTTTCTTGCTAACTTTGTTTCTCTTACTTCTTTAAGCTCTGTTTCACCCACTTGGAAAATCCCAACAACCACCCAATCCAACTTTACTTTCCAGAGTACATGTGCTTGCAGTCACATCTGAAGCCATCAAGGTGACATCCCACAACTTCTCAGCTGATCAAGTCTGTCTATATTCAGACTCCTCCTTATTGCATGCACCAGGATGGGCTCCCCTGTCATGAGATCCCGTGGACTGATTTTCCAAGGACTTCAGTCAACTAATACTCCCTCCCCTCTCTGCTGATATTCACCACTACAGGATATAAAGGGAATCAACTCTCTTCCATCCCTAAAGACCTACATGTCCATGTATTTTTATATCTTCTTTTCCTGAAGGATACTCCAATTTTAGAAAATTCCACAGATCACATTGTGATGGATCATCTCCTAAGAACGTACTCACATGCACTGGCTTAATTGCTAGTTCCTACTCTTCACCTATTCACTTTATAATCCAGCTTGTCAAAAGGGTGGCACATTAACAGATGAGGATACTTCAAAGTGTTCTTAGAAAATGAAATCAGGGCCAGTGCCATGGCTTACTTGGCTAATCCTCTGCCTGCAGCGCCAGCACCCCAGGTTCTAGTCCTGGTTGCTCCTCTTCCAGGCAAGCTCTCTGCTGTGGCCTGGGAGGGCAGTGGAGGATGGCCCAAGTGCTTGGGTCCCTGCACCTGCATGGGAGACTGGGAGGAAGCACCCGGCTCCTGGCTTCGGATTGGTGCAGCGCCAGCCATAGCGGCCATTAGGAGAGTGAACCAATGGAAGGAAGACCTTTCTTCTCTCTGTCTATAACTCTACTTGTCAAATAAAAACTAATAAAATAAAAATTTTAAAAAATGAAATCAAAAGATGTTTATTTTGGTGCAAACAAATTGAAATCCACATTTAGTTTTTTCACAATATGCATTTTTCAAGGGAGATTTTTGAAGATCCCCTCTTTGGGGGGTTCATCTTTATGCATTTCAATCCTTTAGGGATTTCAAAATTTTTTCACCAAAGTAAACTTATTTTTTAATTTCATTTTCCAAGAACTTTTTGAAGTACTCTTATATGTTCACTTTCTCATCCTTAATCCACTTCTAAATACCCATGAGGGCTTCCACCCTAAGGCCTACACTGAGACTTCTCTCATCCAAGTGATCAGTGGCTTCTTTTCTATGAAATAAAATGGTTACTTTTCAAGCCCTTCCCCCTCAGGTCCATGTGAAAGCATCCACCATCCCCTCTGAGAAACACTTGCCTTTTAATCTGTGCTCTCTACCAGCTTTCTTGTCAGCTGATCTGCGTTTATAATCTCCACACTCACATTTCTACTTGGTCACAGACTATGCCCCAATAGTTCTTCAAATGCTATCTTTCCAAAAAAGAACTTAACATGAAAAACTGATTTAGGAAAAAAATAATTTCTCAGCCAATGGAACTTATACCCACCTGATCTAAAAACTTAGAATGTATTCTTAACTTCTCTCCCTCTCTGCTCATGGCTACGTGAAGATGAAGTTCCATCGATGCATACTCTTGCTGCAGCCCAGGTCCAAGTCGTATCTACAACAGCAACTTCCTAACTCAAGGGTAAATGAGAAGCCTGCAAACTGCCTCTGGCCTGTATGCATTTAGTTTGGCTTACCTGAAGTTTTTAAAAGTTCTTATCATTAAGATAGGGAAATTTCATAAAAATTCAGATTCTTAGCTTCTCTTTGTAATCAGAAGATGTGGTAATACTGTCTACCTGGCTATAGTAACTGTTTCTAGGTGGGGGGGGGGCAAGAAGGGTGCAGAAAAGTCTGGGGATGCCTCATTATTGTTATCCTCAAGTGAACAAAACTTATTACATTTTAGCTAATAGCTACTATCAAAAGCAGAGTACACAGACTATGAGTGGGATGGGTTATATAATTAAAATCCACTCATAGCTGCAGTCTAATGAAGTAGCTACATGAAGACAACTGTTTATATTCTGTACAGGGCATTGAGTCTGAAAACTTAAGGTGACTCTAACTGTCCTCTGTAGGTTTAAGAGACAATTTCACAGATGTAATGCATCATGGTCACATTATTGTATTGTTCATTGACTCCTTATTTTGTATTTTATTTTATCTATAATAATATATACTAATATACAACATAATTCCTGTACAGGAATGTGCAATATATGTGGCTGTAATGATGGGTTGACTGGTTGCAGCAACACCAATCATGTTTGCTTTTTCAACAGCTTCCTCTGAGGAAGTTTTCTGATTTAATCTAAACAAATGATATTCATGGATGTTACCAATATGATGTAACTGCTATTTTCCTATGATTAGGAGAGGGGAGGCATCAAAATGGGATTAAAAGCATAATCTTACTCAGCTTTGGATTTAAGTTAAGCTTTATGGTTGATGTCAAATATAAATAAGATGCATGTTTTGTCAGTTACAGGGCACTCTCACATGTACAGTGAGAGATACTTTACAATATATACCATGAGGACTTACAATTTTACCAAAGGTAGTCTTTCCACAGTGTTAGCATCAAGATCAGTACTGCTCAATTGAAAACGTTTAAGAACATTAAGCATATATAATATAAATTTTGTCTTTATAATAATTAGCTGACCATAGCCCGATTTCTCTAACATAACATCTGTGACCACAGGGAAGAACATATGGTCAAAGAGTGAGTAATACATATTTTTGTATCAGAAATTAGAGAACAGTTTCCCAAGTTCCCCATGGAGCCCTGGACTTCTCCTTTATTGTTGCTGTTTTTTAATTTCCTCTTACTGGTTCTGCTATTATTGGTCCCACATCTATCTTTCTGAGTTCCTAGCTGGCAGACCACTGTCCCTCACTCTCAGTTGCATCTCCAAGACCCAGCGTAACATCTTGTGCCAAACAGGTGCTTAGAATACATTTGACGAACGAGTGAGTTAATAGCTTCCCAAGAGCTATATTGATTTTTACCAGAGAATTGTGCTATCTGAAGTTTTCATCAATTTTTATATTCCTTTTTTTTGTGAGGCAGTGGGGGGTTTTCTTTATCACAGAAATCCGATATGAACTGCTTTAAAGTGAATTAATGTGGCTGATTTATAATATAGCTTACAAAACATTTGCTCTGTTCAATGCTTCTTCCTTGAAAAGACATCTGAATTCTTTTGTACTTTATATGATTTCATCATAATAGCTAAAAATGTTTAGTTGTTTTCCCTAGTATGCATAAAGTACTAATTAACATGTATTAAAGATATTTAGTTATAAAAGAACCCATTTCCACCCAATAATTTTTATTAAAATCCTGCAGTTGAATATAATTTATATTTAATATATGGCATGTTAAAAGGAATTTCAACACAATTAGGTATTATGCTTATTTTACAGGAAATAAAATTTAGGATTATTGAAAGAGAAGTAAGATATCTAGGTGTTCCAGTATATATAATGGTAGATATTCTTTAAGTTGGTTTATAGTTAAGTCTATGGTGAAAATATGATATAATGAAGGGAAGTTTTGCATTTTCAAAATCTGAACACTGTACTCCATGAATGTTAAACTAGCTGTAAAATTGTGTTATTTTACAACAGTGACACAGACCTTTCACTTTCTGTTAGAATGCAGGATCCCATTGCATACAATTGTTAGAAAATAAAGCTGTTACACCTTTAATAAGCTAAAATTTCCATGGCCTAAATTTTTTCTCATCTCACTGTCCGTAGGCCAGGAGAAGAGAGAATGCAGTGACTGAGCAAGCAGTCTCCCAAGGCATTCATAGTTTGCACAACTCTAACACCTAAGGTGTGGCCCTGGGGCCACGCCTACAGTGTCCTGAGAACCGAGAATGGAGTCCTGCATTCTCCCAGAGGCCACAGGACACCACGTGGGAGGTACCTGATTAACAGAAGCATCTGGATTAGCCACAGGTGAAGGGGAAGGACAGGCAGGTGGAGAGATCTCACTGCTGGTTCCCTCCTCCCCAGACTCCTCAGTGACAGGTGACAGCAAAGTGTGGCAGCGACCTGCAGTCATCTGCCCCGTGAAACGTAGCCCAAAGGACATGAGAATCAGTTAGCTACATTAACAAAAGACCTGGTCAGGCACAGGTCAAAACACACATCATCCAATAACAAAGTTAGAGATACTGAGACCAAATTCACATGCTGTGTTAGTACTTAAAATTTTGTCTTGAAATGAACGTAATTCTAGAAACCACTTGTAAAACAGGGATGAGGGGTGCATATCACTTCGAAGATATTTTTGTTGTCTAAATACTTCCTTAACTGACTCCACCCCTATTTGATGAATGTCTGTGTCTTTATAACAACTAGAAAAAGCACAAATCATACAAATCAGGAAAGGGTCTGTACAATAAAGCTTAGGCTTTCATGGAATCTCAAGTTGCAGATATTCCAGGGAGGTCACATGCACCCAGAGTATTGCCTAATGGGCCCAGGTGTGATTAAACATTACCCGAGGCACAGCACCAAGGAGCTGAAACACACAGCACTGGAAAGCACTGTAGTTACCAAAATACTCAAAGCAATTTAGATGCAAAATGTGGGGGGGGGGGGGAATAATGGTGCGGAACAGAAATAAATGGAATTTGTCTTTCAATGCAAAGCTGGAATTTGGATTTTCTATTTAGAATTTTTCTTCTCAATGCTGTACACATGCACTTCTCTATCAGCTAATCAGCCTGGAAAAACTCAGCTAAATAAATGCACAGGATTCTCCCGTTCTCCCCTCCCCCACCCAGGAAACCAGAGCACCATGCAAAGGAATTTTTTTTTTTTTTCATAAAAAGAAAGCACAGAGTCTCTCAGTGTGATTGCTAAATCATCCAGGAGATCACGGCCGACCTTGGACAGGTTCGGTAACTCAGCAGCCTGGGGAGAACAGCTTCATCCCAGCTGTCACTGTTTACTCTGTCAAACGCTGGCATCGCCCCAGAGAGACTTAAGGAAACTACTCCTCAATTCCAGTCGGGCGATCCGGAGAGCCCCCAGACCCCAGGCAGGCTGCAGGGGGAAGAGCTAAGCCGCCGGGACTCGACCCCTTACCATGACCACAGAGGGCTGGGCCGCCGGCGCGGGGAGGAGCTCCCCGTCCAGGTCCTCGCTCCCTTCTGCCAGCCCCTCGACCTCGGTCACCGTCAGCAGCATGGTGGCGTGCTTGGCTTTCATGGTCAGCATCTTGCACTTGGAGTTCAAGGAGGCGATCTGCTCCTGGTAGCCCTTGATTTTCTGAGCCAGCTCCTGAGAAAACATTTTTTTTTTTTTTTTTTTTTTTTTGGTTCCTGCCCAGTGTGTCAGAGCAGCATCAAAAGGAAACAGAAGCGGTAGCGTTCATCTTCCTGCAGGGCGAGCCAATGAGCGCGCAGCGCCCTGCGGGGCTGAGAGCAGGATGTGGACTGCGAGCGAGCGCACAGCCCGCATCTCCGCTGGGGGCTGGCCCCCGCACAAGCAGCACTGAGAGACTCCCCCAGGGGATCACGGAACTTCCTACCGTTAAGATCCGGCAGCTTTCTTCCATATACCTACAGCATCTCAAATTTACCAGATGTTCATGCCAATTAGGTCATGTGACGGCTGGAACTACAGCAAAATGCACTGCGCAGCTCCTAACCATACTGAGTCCAACCAGCGGAGATGTCAGTCATTTCTAGAGACACAGTCACAAAGGAAAGCGCCTGTCCCTTCCTGTGGCTCCGGGGGCGGGGTTCAGGGATTCCAGATGGGTTATATATTATACATGAGAAACCCCAGTAAAATTTTGTGCAAGCTTCGCATTTTTGGCATGCACCCCATGATTGTCTCAAACACATCTGAGGCTTCAAACTGGCCCCTTGAACTTCAAGGGCAGTTCACATTTAGTAGCTTTGAAATTCATTTGCTTTTGAAAAGTAAATATTGTGTGAAAGATTTTAATCTTTTTACTGAGAATTTACTGGAAACATAATCTGGACAGCCCACTGGTCTTGGAAAGGTGATTGTACATGTATTTTAGGAGTATGGGAATTCTCAAATATTATAGATCCTTGCTTCAATATTAAACACTAAAGTTATACTTTCTTACATCTTTAAAAAATGAAAAGGTACATTCCAAAACATGGAGTCCTAAAAATATAAAACCATTGAATTTTTCTGTTCCTTTTATTTGGCCCCTTTATCTGAAAAGCTGTTCTTTGCTTTCATACAACATATTTGTGACAAAGACTTTAAATGTCAATGTCTTTGATAGTGTGTATAATATACACACACATAAGGGCCACACACATATATGTTCATATACATATATAACATCTCAGTATTAAGATTGTTCTGTTTCCTCTCTTCTCCCAACCAAAACTAGGCAGATGTGGAAACAGGCCTGTCTTCTTAACTTGTAGCACTGTAGGACTTTTAAAACAAGTATTTAAAATGTAAAATCATTGCTTCTTTATCTCTGGAGCAGTAGATGGGTACTTAAGCCCAATAGAGTTTTTAAAACAGAGATTAAATAGCTATTTAGTATATCTAGTGTAATGGCTAGCATATGAAATCAACAAATGATAAGTATTATAACTGCATAATCCACACATATAGAAAACAGCTACTGGAGTAGCAGGCTCCCTGAGTTCCAAGTCACTTGGCTTTCTTAAAACCGCTTGCCCCATGGGGGTGACTATGAGAACTATTTGTGAAGACAGAGCTCATCTTGAGCCTTCCACCATTACCATCCACATGCTGGTCAGTCATGCTGCAGTCCCCGGCAGAGGTATGCCCACACTGACAGCATACACCCACTTCCTACGGCGAAATTCTCATCTCACTGTGTGCAAAATTCCTCTGGGTCTTTCCTAAGAATGCACGCACCTCTGATCGCCACATCCAAAGTTTGCAATTTGCTGGGTTTGTGAGAATCTGCATTTCACAGTTTGCCCATTTACTATCATGCATGTGACACTCCTTAAGAAATAGTACTCTAGCATTTTCTTCCGTATGAAGAAACTTGCTCATATCCCATCATCTTGTGGGCTGGTTAATCATGCACTAGCCAATTCTGCTCAAATACTATAGAGCACTGATGGCTCATGCGTTACGCACTCTCAGGAAGAACAGGTTGAGCATGCCAAAGCCAAAAATCTGAAACCTGAAATGTATTTCAGATTATAAAGGTTCAATTAGTAAAGCCGTGCAAATAGTCCAAAATCCAAAGAATTCTAAGATTTGAAACAATTCTCATAACTGTTTCAGATAAGAGATACTCAACCTGTGTGTGTGTGTGTGTGTGTGTGTGTGTGTAGGAAGGTGCTTCAAAAATTTAATGGAAATCAGGACAGGCATTTGGCACAGTGGTTAAGATGCTACTTGGGACACTTGTATCTCACCCCAGAGTGCCTGGGTTTGAGTCCTGCCTCTGCCTCAAATTCTAGCTTCCTGCTATGTGTACCATGGGAAGCAGCAGGTGCAGGTATTTGGGTCCTTGTCACCCACATGGGAGACCCAGATTGAGTTCCAGGCATCTGGCTGTTGTGGATATTTGGAGAAGTAACAAAAATCAAAAGATAAGTAAGAGGAAAAAGTTAATGGAACATAAAAGATATTTTAAAATATAAGATTTTGGTGCAAAACTTTTTGAAATCCATAGGGTTCTTTTTTTTTTTTCCCACAATTTTCCATGAACTTTTTGAAGCTCCCATATGTGTATATAGGTGTATGTTCGTTTATTTATTTTAAAATTTATTTATTTGAAAGAGCTACAGAGAGACAAAGAATGGGATTCCATTTGCTGGTTCACTCCCCAGATGGCCACAATGTCCAGGGCTGGGCCAGTCCAAAGCCAGGAGCCGGGTCTCCCACCGGAGTGGCAGGGGCCCAAGTACTTAGATCATCTCCGCTGCTTTTCCCAGGCCACTAGCAAGGAGATGAATCAGAAGTGGAGCAACCAAGACTCCCACAGGCACCCACACAGGATGCCAGCATCTCAGGAGATAGCTTTACCTGCTACAGCAAAACTCCAGCCCCTGTGTGTTCAATTTTTACCAGATTCTTATAATTTATTTATTTGAAAGCAAGAGCAAAGTGGGGAGGGAGGGGTAGTGGGCAGAAAGAGATATCTTCCATCTGCTGGTTCACTGCATAACAGCCAAGTCTGGGCCAGGCTGAAGCCAGGAGCCAGGAACTCCTTCCTAGTCTCCTACATGAGTGGCAGGGACCCAGGCACTTGGACCATCTTTAATGCCTTCCCAAACACATTAGCAGGAAGCTGAATGGGACAGCAGTGGAGAAGCCAGGACTTGGACAGGCACTCCCATATGGGTACTGGTTTCATATGCAACAACTTAACCTGCCGTGCCACAACCCCCATCTCTATCAGGTATTTCTGAAAGTGATGATAAAGTTGAGAATTTCAGGAGAAAGGAAGCACTCAGGAGCAGGCCTTCTATACCAGGTGGACAGCAACAAGGTCTGAGCATTCTCAACTATGATTTAAAAGTGGCAGGATTTAAAAATGGCAGCTGGTGCTGTGGCATGGCAGGTTAAGCCTCCGCCTGTGATGCCAGTATCCTATATAGGTGCCAGTTCAAGACCTGACTGCTCCACTTCTAATCCAGCTCCCTGTTAATGAGTCTGGGAAGGCAGCAGCAGATGACCCAAGTGCTTGGGTCACTGCACCCATACAGGAGACCTGGAAGAAACTACAGGCTCCTGGCTTTGGCCTGGCCCAGTCCCAGTCATTACAGCCATTTGAGGAGTGAACCAGAAGATGGAAGACCAATCTCAATTTCTCTCTCTCTCTCTCTCTCTGTGTGTGTGTATGTCTTCTACTCTTTAACTCTGCCTTTCAAACAAATAAAAAATAGATACTTTAAAAAATAAAAGTTGCAGGATAATTTCTTTAAATTAAATGCAAGTTTTGAAAACGCACAAAAAGTAAAACATGAGTGAATTGCTTAGATATAAATTCCCATTTTTATGAGTTGAAGATATCATATGAAAACCAGTTCCACTTTAAGATTAAAATTTAATTAAAAGCAGGCAGAAAATACAGGAAAAAGCCCTCTTTCAACTTTTACGTTCTCATCAGCCAGGCTTTCTCTACTCAGCACATTCTTTCCTGTGTTTATTTTATGTCTACAATGAGCCTCACACAGGGCTACATCATTACTTTCAAGAAAATGTGTTCTCAAACACATGGTGAAACAAATATCAGAATACTTGAAAAGTTCATGGAAAATTTAAATTAAAAGAGCTCACTTGGGTGTGAAATGTGTTGCAACCCATGCATGGTTTTGTTTCTAATATGCATTTTTTATGAACTATTTGAAAATCTCTCCCATCTACACTGGTATTTAGGAGTATAAGCAGCAGATACAACAAGATGAACAGATCACTGAATTAGGAACCAGAAGACACACTCTGCTGCCTACCAGGCTGAGAACTCTGGCTGTGACCTTGAGTAAGTCACTTATTTTCCTTCATTCTTTTTATTTTTTTCTTTTTATTTTTTGACAGGCAGAGTGGACAGTGAGAGAGAGAGATAGAAAAAAAGGTCTTCCATTTCCGTTGGTTCACCCTCCAATGGCTGCTGTGGCTGGCACGCTGCGACTGGCGCACCGCGCAGATCCAAAGCCAGGAGCCAGGTGCTTCTCCTGGTCTCCCATGCAGGTGCAAGGCCCAAGGACTTGGGTCATTCTCCACTGCACTCCCTGGCCACAGCAGAGAGCGGGACTGGAAGAGGGAGCAATCGGGACAGAATCCGGCGCCCCGACCGGGACTAGAACCCAGGGTGCCGGCACCACAGGAGAGGATTAGTCTACTGAGCCGTTGCGCTGGCCTCTTTTTACTCTTTTTATTTTATTTTTTTTTTTGTTGTTCAATGAAAAAAAATAAGTAATTTCTGATACAGTGGAAAAATCATGGAATTTGGAGCCAAAATCCTGCGCTTGAGTCCAGCTTCAACCAGTTACTTACATTTGACAACTCAAGAAGTCACTTTTAACAAGTCGATTTTATTATTAGTAAAATGCAGATGACTTTGAACATCCTTATCATTTTTTAAAATTATATAATACGGCCGGTGCCGCGGCTCAATAGGCTAATCCTCCACCTAGCAGCGCCGGCACACGGGGTTCTAGTCCCGGTCAGGGCGCCGCATTCTGTCCTAGTTGCCCCTCTTCCAGGCCAGCTCTCTGCTGTGGCCCGGGAAGGCAGTGGAGAATGGCCCAAGTGCTTGGGCCCTGCACCCCATGGGAGACCAGGAGAAGCACCTGGCTCCTGGCTTCGGATCAGCGTGGTGCGCTGGCCGCAAGCGCGCCAGCTGTGGCGGCCATTGGAGGGTGAACCAATGGCAAAAGGAAGACCTTTCTCTCTGTCTCTCTCACTATCCACTCTGCCTGTCAAAAATAAATAAATAAAAATAAAATTATATAATACTTTAAAAGTTACTTTTAAAAATATTTTTAGCCGGCACCGTGGCTCACTAGGCTAATCCTCTGCCTGCGGCGCCGGCACACCAGGTTCTAGTCCCGGTCGGGGCGCCGGATTCTGTTCCGGTTGCTCCTCTTCCAGGCCAGCTCTCTGCTGCCGCCCGGGAGTGCAGTGGAGGATGGCCCAAGTGCTTGGGCCCTGCACCCCATGGGAGACCAGGATAAGTACCTGGCTCCTGCCATCAGATCAGCGTGGTGTGCCGGCCACAGCACGCTGGCCGCGGTGGCCATTGGAGGATGAACCAACGGCAAAGGAAGACCTTTCTCTCTCTCACTGTCCACTCTGCCTGTCAAAAAAAATAAAAATAAAAAATATATTTTAAAAAATTAGTTATTAATATTTTAAAAATAATTTCTGGGTTGATTTTGTGGCATAGCTGGTTAAGCTGCGATGCTGGCTGGCATCCTATGTGGGTGCCGGTTAAAGTCCCAGCTGCTCCTTTTCTAAGCCAGCTCCCTGCTAATGCACCTATGAAAGCAACGGAACATGGCCCAAGTGTTTGGGCCCCTGCATCCACATGGGAGACCCAGAAAAAAACTACTTCAGCCTAGCCCAGCCCTAGCTATTGCAACCATCCGGGGAGTGAATCAGCAGATGCAAGGTCTCTCTATCTCTCCCTCTCTCTCTCTGTAACTTTGCCCTTCAAATAATTTTTTAAAGATTCATTTTATTTATTTGAAAGTCAGAGTTACACAGAGAGGAGAGGCGCAGAGAGAGAGAGAGAGAGAGAGAGGAGAGAGAGAGAGGTCGGTCTTCCATCCACTGGTTCACTCTCCAAATGGCTGCAACGGCTGGAGCTGCACGATCTGAAGCCAAGAGCTTCTTCCAGGTCTTTCAGGCAGGTGCAGGGGCCCGAGGACTTGGGCCATCTTCCACTGCTTTCCCAGGCCACAGCAGAGAGCTGCACGGGAATTGGAGCAGCTGGGTCTTAAACCAGTGCCCATATGGGATGCCAGCGATTCAGGCCAGGGCATTAACTTGTTGAGCCACAGCACTGGCTCCAATAAATAAAATTTAAAAAAAGATGTTTTCTGTAATGAGGAAAGAGTTGTTACAACAAATTTCTGGATCTAAGGAAGTATAATAAAAACTCAGTTTATAATATATAATATACAAATATAGTCTAATCTATGTGTTATATAAACAGTGGCTTCAAAAATTTGCATAATAGGTGAGCATTTCATGCAGCAGTTAAAATGCCATTTGGGATACCTGTGTCCTATATCAGAAGGCTTTGGTTTGAGTTTCAGCTCCATTCCCAATCCCAGCTTCCTGCTAATGCGCAGCTTGAGAGGTCACATGTGATAGCTCAAATAGTTGGGTTCCTGCCACATATTTACGAGACTTCAATTGAATTCTGAGCTCCTGTATTTGACCTCCGATAGCCCCAGCTACTGTGGGCATTTGGGAGTGAACCAACAAGAAAGGACATCTCTGTCTATGAGAGACCTGAGCCTGGATCAAGGTGCAACTATTTTAAAATAGGCCTCCATCTTGTAACTTGGGCCTGACCGGGCCCTGAACCCTGAGCCAAAAGCTCCTAAAAATAAATAAATGAACTCCTCTTGGAATAAGCTCTCCTAGAAACAGCCAATTAGCAGATAGCAGAGAAATACCTAAAGTTCCAGCTGTCTTTTCAGGCAGTTAAGGTGATTGATAACATCCCAAAACCCTGCAGTTTGACACGTACACCCCAGCAAAGCAGCTCAGACCCTATACTTTAGCCAATCAATTTAAAGTCATCAAACCACCTTTACTAGGTCCATTCCCACCACTGGACGCACTAATCAATTCTAGGAGATGGCCTTTGAATTTCCCGTGGGATGAGATGATTTGCTAAATGGAGCTATAATGTATAGAATGTCTCTGAAAACCCTATAAAAACCCTGTTAACTGAAGAGTCGGGGCTCTCAATTCAAATCCGCTGTGTCAGTGATAGTTGAGAACCCAGGCCCGGACCTGTAATAAAACTCTCATGTGTTTTTACAGCGGTATCGGCTCCTTGGTGGTCTTTGGGGACAATCAAACTGGGCCTAACATCTATAAAATTATATGTTTTCATTTAACCAATGCATAAGAGAAATAATTAACATAGATAATGTCTACAATTGTAGGAGAAAATTTTATAGATGGAAAATTTATATAAATTATTTGTAAATCATACATAAGGGCAAGTGTTGTGCAGTGGTTTAAAACCATTGCTCGGGATGCCCACATCGCAATTGGAGGGTCTAGATTAAGTCTCACCTCTGCTTCACATTGAGCGTCCTGCTAATGTGTGCCTTGGGAGGCAGCAGATGATGGTCTAAGTACTTGAGTCCCTGCCTCCCATGTGGGAGACCAAATATAGCTTTTGGATCATGGCTTTAGCCTGGCCCAGCCCTGGTTGTTGAGGGCATTTGGGGACTGAACCAGCAGACAGAAACTCCCTCTTTCTCTTTCTGCCTTTCCAATAAACATAAGAAAAATCATATATACATGCAAGTTATTGGTGTATTTTATATGTCAAGAAATTAAAGAAGGGTGTGAGTTGTAGTACAGTGAGTTAAGCTAGTCCATGTAGACTCCTACATCCAATATTGGGGTGCCTAGGATCAAGTGCCACCTCAGCTTCTGATCCAGCTACCTGTCACCCACATGGAAAACTCAGATGTTGCTCTAGGCTCCTGGTGTTGGCTTGGCCCAGCCCAAGCTGTTGCATGCATTTGAGGAGTGAAACAGCAGATGGACAATCTTTCTCTGTTTCCCCTTTCTCTGTTACTCTGTTCTCTAATTAATTAGTTATATTAGAAGATGATGAAAGTACGATTTTATTACACTTAAAAGACAACATTTTAATCTTCTGAGAGCCTAAGCTATTTGATTTGGAAAAACAGCTTGCTGTTCTCATGAAAAAGTTAAAATAGAGCACATGAAAGATAAATCAAAGACCCATCCTTGGCACAGAGAAATCAGACACTTCTCTTCAGTCACGTACCAAAAGCCATGGTGCTAAGAGCCAGTCTCCAAGGAAAAGAGTCAACTTGATCTATATAGCAATCGCCAGGTGAGGCAAGGAAGTTGACTGCTAACTTTACACTCAAGATGCAAAGAAGGCAAAGCGGCTGTCCAATAACTGAACATGCTACACACAGGACAGGGTGGACCTTTCTCCTCCATTCACAGGGAACCAATCATGTATTCTGAGCAAGCCAATCGCCCGCCCTTGGTGCTTTGCCCACAGCCCTGTCTCACCTCATGCCGAGAAATCTGGGCTTGCAGCTCCTGGATATTACTGGTGGCCACAGGCGTATCCTCAATCTCTCTGTGAGCTCCTTCTATCAGCTGCTGGAGGTGCTTCATTTCTTGCTCATATTGTTCATACTGCACCACGGCCTCCTTGGGGAGAAACAAAATGAAACTCAATTGTCTTCCTATATCAAACTTGGTAAATGACTTTTTGCTGTCTGCCCTCAAGTGTAAACTTCCATTTACTTGTGTGTCTATGGAATACTGAAAGGATGGGTAAAAATTCCTAGGGGGTCCACATTCTCAACTCTGCTTAGCTATTTCAGAACTTTTTCTAAAATACTGTAGTGAAATTAATGATCCATTAAAAATTTTTAAATGGTTTGTGCTTTCTCTCTCCTCCCTACCCATATTTTTCTGAGCATGAAACATAATGGTCAGGTGGTAAGAAGCAGCATGTTTCATTTCTCCACCTAAGAAATACCAGATAAATAAGACAGATACTTGGCTAGGAGCTGTGGATTACGCATGGCTTGTAGTCTCAGAAATTTACTGTCTAGGAAATTACAAGACAATTCAAGGGGCAAGGATAGTTGACCAAATGCACAACTGGCAATTTTAGCAAGAGGATATTTATTCGATTTTTGATGAAACAAGTAAATATTGTTTTAAAGGAGATATATGGTAAATAGTGTCATTTCTCCATAGAAAATGATTATTTTGTGAAGAGAGTAACAGTTACACTTGAATATGATTCTTAGGGAAGAAAATGCATTTAATAAATCAATAGGCTGAAATATAAAAAAACTATATATCAAATAATAATAATAAACCCATATTGCCAGGTTCTAGATTATTCTGAAGTGAATAATAAAAGATAAAGATGGATGGCTGCATACAAAAGTAACCTTTTAGGTTGTTCTTAATTTAAAAAGTCACTACAAGATAGTTTTCTCCAAAGGATTTTTTTTTTAATAGACCTTTCTCTGGACCTTTGTGGGGATCCAAATGACAGCATTTTAATCTCCTGATTTTATATAACCACAACAGTCTGTCAAATTTAACACTGGATGTGTTTTGATGGCTGAGCCCACACAATGCTAAGAAAAGAAGCCCATGACTCATTCGCCGTCGCTCGGGTGGCGTGGGCGCCACTGGCAGAGCCCAGCGCACAGCTGCACCTGCCTGCATGATGTTGCACTGCTGGATGGCCGAGTGCTGCAGCCGGCTGGCCTCTTCCTGCAGGCGCAGAGCAGCGTGGCAGAGCGGCAAGCTGGCAACCACGTCCTCAGGGATCCGGAGGGCACTCTGGCACAGCTGTACAGCATGTACCTTGGGCTTCAGGGACTCCATCTCTGACAGCAAATGCTGAAAGTGCAATTTCATAGTTCAGACATTTAGTATTTTTATCACCTATTGCATTAAGCAAAGGGCATTTACTAACTTAGAGCTATCTTAAAAGTTATAAACATTGTACAAGGAATGTTTTTAATATATCGAATGCTAAGACTGTCATAGAGCTTCGATTTTTCTTGCTATCATTTTTTAAAAACATGTCTCCCTCATCCATTCCACATGATTTTTGCTTACTTGTCGATGTGAGAGTTGCTCTTTGAGGCTAAGACGTCCAACTTCTGGAGAAGTTAGGGTTGCCTGGGCTTGTTCTAAAGCAACTTGCAAGTTTTTTAGCTCTGCTTCAAATTTTTTCATATCCTAGAGAAGAAAAGCCATTTGAATATTAATGAGAATACATCACATTTGAAGTCCAAAGTCATAGGTGAAGAATAATACCACAGTCAGGAAATTATACCACGGAGGAACTCGGTATCTCCACGGCAACATCACCATTTTTTTTCCTTTTTAATTTTTTTTTTTTTTTTACCTTAGCTGCATCTTGGAGGTTCTGCAAACGAGTTTTGATCATCTGTCGCAATTCCGCAGTCTCCCGCCCCAGCTCTGCCACTTGCTGAGACATTGTTTCTGTAGAGTACACACTCGTGAGGTACTGTACTTTCTCAGTCATTGTTTCCAGGTCATTGTGAATTTCTTCAGATTCTTCTAGGAGGGTCTAGAATAAATCATTGACAGGTAGGCAGAGAGAAACAGATAATGGATACAATGTGGTATGGAGACCACTTGACTGGGAAGGGATTAGAAATAAATTGTAATTTGCATTTCCATGCACATGTGTAGGTTATGTGTGTTTGTGATTGTGTTTAACTTTCACAACCCTGCACCCAGTCCACACTTGGTAGCCACCTGCTGTTATATCTACTTCATGGAAAGAGAAATCAAAGTTCAGGAACCAGAACAATTTGCTGAGACTGTGTGTTAAGTGTTGAACAGAGAGGCTCATGCTTAACCCAAGTTTCCTCCTCACGAAAGTCAAGACATGAGTAGAGCTGAGGCTCTTATGTGCTGGGTGTTGTGGTTACCAGGAATCAATGGCTGGGATAGCTTTTCTCCACACTTAAGCTAAAAAATAGCACCTTCCAGATCTCATACTCTGTATGTAAGATCTAAGTGCCTATTGGTTTAAGAATTGAAAACCAGAGTATTACAAATGATCAAAAAATCTTTTCAGGGTGAGTGTTATGGAGTAGAGGTTAAGCCATACCAGAGTGTTGATTCAATCCTTGTTTCTCTGCCTCCAATTTAGCTTCCTACAAATACTCGTGGGAAAGCAGTGGAGGATGTCCCAAGTACTTGGGCCCTCCCACCTATGTGGGGAGACCAGGATGGAGTTTCAGGCTCCTGATTTCAGCCTGGTCCAGCCCTGGTTGTTTTGGCCATTTGGGGAGTGAACCAGTGGATGGAAAATCGATCTCTCCCATTTTTCTCTGTTACTCTGCCTTTCAAGTAAATAAATCTTTAAAATTAAAAAAGTCTTTGATTGCTTATTTTTATTTGACAGATAGAGTTACAGACAGAAAGAGAGACAGAGAGAAAGGTCTTCCTTCTGTTGGTTCACCCCACAAATGGCTGCTACAGCCGGCGCTGCGCTGATCCGAAGGCAGGAGCCAGGCGCTTCCTCCTGGTCTCCCATGTGGGTGCAGGGGCCCAAGCACTTGGGCCATCCTCCACTGCCCTCCTGGGCCACAGCAGAGAGCTGGACTGGAAGAGGAGAGACCAGGACTAGAACCCAGCGCCCACAAGGGATGCCGGTGCCTCAGGCGGAGGATTAACCAAGTGAACACCAGCGCCAGCCCCGATTGTTTGATTTAAACATGACAAAGGGATAAAACCCAGTTGCATTATCAAGAAAAGCCCTCATCCTTTAGGATGGTTTCATCTATTGGGACTAATAACACAAATGGATAGTTACATAACATGCATTTTATGAAAAGTACAGTGAGACAGACTGAGTATTAAGAGATGACAGGGGAGATGTGCTACAACTTGTTGGAAGGTTGAAGAATTCTCCCTGAAACAATGTAGTCTGACCTCAGAGGATGTTTGCAATTTGACAGATTAGGAAAAAGAGGAAAACATTTCATTCGGAGGGAGTGTTGTATACAAAGGCACCTGTAGAATGTATAGTTAGTGGGTACGTGATGTGTCTGGGCCAAGGATGGGAGCCAGGAATGTGACTCAGTTCTTAAACTCAGGAGGCTGGAACCCAATTACTTGAGCTATTAAGGCTGCCTCCCAGGGTGTTCATAGCAGGGAGCTAGAGTCAGGAGTCCAAGCCAGGAATCAAACCCAGGTACTCTGATTTGGAATGCAGACATCCTAACAAGATTTTAACCTATAGGCTAAATTCCCACCCCTAACTCCTTTTTTTTCAGCCACATGAAGAATACATGGATTTTTTTCCATTGTGTACTATTTTTTGATAAATTCAGGCAGCTGTCATTCCTAACGGAGGGAAATGAGAACTCCCAAAACCCGTCCACAGGCTTTCTCTGCTAAGCTTCTGTGCCAGTGTCTGGCGTCTCTTTTCATATGCCTTACGATGCACCTTCAGTCCTCCCAGCCACAAGTCACAAACACCTGGAGTCATCCTTGACTCCATCCTCCCCTTCACTGACATATCATAATCCTCAAGATGGGGAATCCCAGCTCCTCCCAATCTCCTGATTTGGGCATCTCTCAATCTCCAAAGAGAGGACTCCTCATTTTCCACCAAAAGAGTGAAACGCCTCTTCTATTGCTTTACTGTCGTCTGTTTTCCGCTGGCTGCTAGGTTGGTGTTTTTAAAATACAAGTCTGAATTTGTCACTGGCAGGCAACACATCTGTCAAAGGCTTAGGATAAAGTCCAAGTTCTTAACAGCCTTTCATCACCTGTCCTTTCCTTATCTCTCCATTCTTATCTCTTGTCCTTTCCAGCCCTCCAGGAGCCAATCAAAGCCCCTATCCTGCTGTGAGGATTTCCACATCTGTGTTTTTCAAAATCCCAGGACTCACCCCACTATCACCTTTGCCTAATAAGTCTTTTCTCACCTTCTCCAGGCAGTCTAGGGTATGCACCCCCCCCCCACCCGGGGGATCTTTTGGCTCCTGAGCCCTCACTCTCTGTGTCAACATCACCATGTTGCAATCCACTCTGTTCTATCTGTCCCCTCCTCCAAAAACACTCCCTAGGGCAAAGACAGGAAATATTCTTTGCATTCCAAACAAATGCCTCCCAATGTTCCTGATTTGGGAAAATATACCTATTTATCAAATTAACACATGAACAATGAATGCAGGAATTTTTTTAAAGTCTTCATGATCACTTTAAGTACTTCATTATAGTCTATCAAATGCAAATATTTACTCAGAAATATTATTAGATATTTAAGTTTTCTTTAAAATTTCACTAATTATTAATATGACAGAATATATTCTACAGTTTGGATTACTGCCTCAGCAGTGAGTCCAGAAATTCTAATCAACAGGTTGGTGTAGTTAACATTTTTAACATTACTACACATCTTGTCAACTGTTTTTCAAATAGATTTTACCAAGTTAATAGTGTTAGAGAGCTCTCTCATGTCTTTAAATATGAACTTTAAAAATTAGTGCTGACAGTGGAAACTCTCTCCCTGTTTTTTGCTGAAATTTAAATTTCTATATTTCTCTATATAAGGTTGGATTATTTTCATTGTTTATAAGCCAATTGGAACTTCAGTCTTGTCCATTAATATCTAGCTGTATTTTTTTTTTTTTTTTTTTTTTTTTTTTTTTGACGGGCAGAGTGGACAGAGAGAGAGAGAGACCGAGAGAAAGGTCTTCCTTTTGCAGTTGGTTCACCCTCCAATGGCTGCCACAGCCGGTACGCTGCGGCCGGTGCACCGTGCTGATCCCAAGCCAGGAGCCAGGTGCTTCTCCTGGTCTCCCATGGGGTGCAGGGCCCAAGCACTTGGGCCATCCTCCACTGCACTCCCTGGCCACAGCAGAGAGCTGGCCTGGAAGAAGGGCAACTGGGACAGAATCTGGTGCCCCAACCGGGACTAGAACCCGGTGTGCCGGTGCTGCATGGCAGAGGATTAGCCTACTGAGCCAGGGCGCTGGCCCTCTAGCTGTATCTTTAAGCACAAAATTGGAGTTCTTTAAGAACAACATTTTGGAAGGAGTGTCCAAAATTGACTGGAGGAGAAAGATTGTGGATACAGGCTGAAAATTATGATCTAAGAAAGCATTCTAAGTAGTGGGAAATGAAGTTTTGATTTAGAACTCTCAACTGGAAGGAAAATTAGATTCATATAAAGGATATAAGAATACGCAAATCATCGAGAGAAAATCTAGAGAACTTGAGAATATCCATATAAATAAATAAAAGTCATTCTGTATACATATTTGATTGGAAGATAAGTAGCCCATTAGGTATCTGTATATAATTCAAGCCTAAATTATCAAAGGATGAAATAATTTCCTGGATAACAAAAAGAAAAGGAAACTTGTTGTCATGTAACTGCAACGGAAATGAAGCAATGCAACCGCCATGCGATGTGAACTCATCTCTTGTTCCTGGCTGACCCCTACCTGTCGTGGAGGCCAGATGCCTGAGATCTGACACAAGCTGGGAGGAGAGAACATGAGAACTCTGAGCACCAGGATGGACATCTAGTGTCCTAGGTGTCTGCATCATGTTAAGCCATCAGATCCTCATGGTAATGACATATGATGACATCCCCATCTAGTAGATGAGAAGACGGAATTCACAAAGGCAAAGGATTTTGCTGCAAATCACAGCGAGCCAAATGGCAGAGCTATCAGGCCTAGTATGGAGCCTGTTGTCTTTCTATATCTCTTCGGTGGGAAGAGTTTCCCACCATTGCCTGTGTATAATTGTTTCAAAGAAGCTAGAAAAAAAAACAAAGAGACAGCACTATCCATTGGTTTTGGTCTTGGGAAAAGGGAATGTAGAGAATTTAGTCACAGTCTTAGGAAATCTCATGGACAGGCACTTTCTGTCAGAGCACTAGACAGCTCCAGACTGCCTGTGCATTATTTCTATTTGGTACCTAAATTGCACACAATTATTCTCTAAATTTTGTGTCAGTCTAGCCACTAAATCAAATGGCTCTTCTTTACTCTTTGAAAACTATTTTTCCTAAAGTTACCTGATGTAAAATATATTGTTCCCGAAGCTGGCTTGCAGAATTCCATGTAATATTTCCATGTGCCAAGACTTTAGCTTTCTCAATCCACTTCAGAATTAATTCCAGCATCTCATTGTATTCTTCTAAATGTGATGCTGCCTGGAAGATCATTAACATTCATATGAGAAATGTAAATTTTGCTTCCTATTTAGAAATCCATCTTCTAGTTGTATCTTTGAACAATCCTAAGGTTTATTTCGAGATCTGTGATATTTAAGGATATCATGAAAAATAATGTGTTGAAAATCTGTCCATCTTTTCAGTGTGACTTTAGGATAAAGTCCAACTTTTTAATATGCTTGAATGATTCCTGTTTTTCTGCTTCTCCATTCTTATCTTTTATTCCCCATAACTCTCCTCTATTTCTTTTCTCAAACTGCAGTGGGTAAGGAAGCAACAGGTAGAGATTACAGCATGGGGCAGGCATTGTGGCATAGTGGGTAGAGCCGTGCCTGGGATACCAGCATCCTGTACAGGTACCACTTCATATCCTGGCTGTTCCATTTCCGATCCAGCTTTGTGCCTGGGAAAAGCAGAGGAGGATGTCCCAAGTACTTGGGCCTCTGCCACCCACATACTTGGGAGACAGAAGTGACGTTTCTAGCTGCTGGCTTCAGCCTGGCTCTGCGCTGGCCATTGTGGCCATTTGGGGAATGAATCAGCAGATAGAATTCCTTTCTATCTCTCCCTCTCTGTAACTCTGACTTTCAAAATACGTAACTTATAAAAGAACGATTATAGCATGTCAAGTTTAAATACTATAATTCATTGGTTAACAACTCATGATTTTAAATTGTTCTCCTTTAGAAAAACAATACTCAATAGATTTATGGAAGTCCAGTCTATACTCCAGTTATGATGAACATACATCCTATATCTATGAAGCAAATGCAAGCTATTTATATATGGAGACTGAGAAGGGGTGTGTGTGTGTGTGTGTGAGCTGAATTTGAGATACACGAATTCTTCCCAAATTAATTTTTATAAAGCATGTTAATAGATAATTATTCATTTTACAAAATATGCACCAATGGACAATCTATGTCAATGTATTTGTTATATGATGAATATGATGTGTCAAAATAAACAGGTGTATACATAAATTTACAGAACACAAATGTGGTATGAAGTAAACTACACCTGAGCTGGTCACATCATTGTCAATATTGTTTTCATCTATTTTCAAAATAGAAAAGCAGAATCTGTAAGTTCATAGTTACTGTTCTGGAAAACATACCTCACCAAGCTTGTTGAGCCGACTCTCAGCCTGTCTGACGGTCTGCTGGTAGAGTTCAGTCAGCTTCCCTATCTTCTTGGCCAGTGGCTTACCCAGCTGAGTATTCCGTTCTGAGAATCTTTGTATGGCTGCATCTAATTCCATTAACCTTGAATTACACTGATCTAATTCCTCTCCCAGCACCTAATGGTCATGGGAATGAAAGAACATGAGATTACAGACAGTACGTTTCTCCTGGTCTTTCAGTAACAGAAAGATTATGCTACAAATAATTTTTGTAAAAGCTAAGTATTACAAAGGCTAATTCTACTATGATCAGGCCACTTCTGTTTCTTTGGCTGGATAGGCAGAGCAGGATGTGTTGTAATCCTGGTGTTTATTTCCTATGAGGCTGGGTGAGAGAGCTAACATTTTCCCTCTGCCCCACCCAAAAAGGATTAAAGTCACTTAACTCATCAACACAGTAAGAACACAGGTTTAGCTACCAAGAATGCCATTCACTTTAAATTCATGTTCTGTATTTCTAACCCATCATGCACATATATTTATTAATACAGTTTTATTATAATGATAAATCATATAAGCAGATCTGTGTTATTGCATTTATATAGTTTCTATACTGCCTTCTGTTACTATCTGGTTTAAAAAAGGTTGTTAACAAATACAGTTTTTTTTTTCCTTTACCATATCCCCAAATAAAACTGACTCCTAAAATGTATTTAATTGATTATTAAACAAGAGTGTCAATTTGTTAAGTCAACAACAGGAGTCACTGTGTACTTACTCCTCATGTAGAATCTCTGTCCTTAATGTCTTGTTCAATGTGAATTAATTCTATAACTAGTACTCAAACAGTATTTTACACTTTGTGTTCTGTGTGGGTGCAAACTGTTGAAATCTTTATTTAATATATACTAAATTGATCTTCTGTATATAAAGATAATTGAAAATTAATCTTGGCCGGCGCCGCGGCTCACAAGGCTAATCCTCCACCTTGCGGCGCAGGCACACCGGGTTCTAGTCCCGGTCGGGGTGCCAGATTCTGTCCCGGTTGCCCCTCTTCCAGGCCAGCTCTCTGCTGTGGCCAGGGAGTGCAGTGGAGGATGGCCTAAGTGCTTGGGCCCTGCACCTGCATGGGAGACCAGGATAAGTACCTGGCTCCTGCCATTCAATCAGCGCAGTGCGCTGGCCATGGTGGCCATTGGAGGGTGAACCAACAGCAAAAGGAAGACCTTTCTGTCTCTCTCTCTCACTATCCACTCTGCCTGTCAAAAAAATAAATGAAATAAATTAAAAAAAAAAAAGAAAATCTTGATGTGAATGGAATGGGAGAGGGAGTGGAAGTTGGGAAGGTTGCGGTGGGGAGGGAAGTTATGGGGGGAAAAAGCCATTGTAATCCATAAACTGTACTTTGGAAATTTGTATTTGCTAAATAAAAGTTAAACAAATTTATTCAGTAGCATCATTTATATTTCCAAATTTTCTTCTTCATTACCTTTTGGTCACTTCTAGCTTGAGCTAGATCATCAGTCTTCGCTTTCAGCTTTGTCAGAATTGTGGTGAGATCTTTGGCTATCTTCTGAATTTGCCGGCCGAATTCCAGGCTCATGGCTTTGCTCTGTTCAACTTCTTTTACTTTGTCTTGGATCTAAATAATGAATGAGGAAAGCAGAATCAACCATAATTAAATGGGATAACAGATACTAAAAACCTCAAATGAACTGACAAGAGACATTAGGTGGCCAGCCTTGCTTTGGCCTTGATGCACTTTGTCAAAGCATCCGTGCAAGTTCTTCGGTTACCAGGCTGCCTTCCTTCATACCACCCTGTTACATTCACTCACTGTGGGCCGGCAAATGAACAAGGAATTCACAATCCATGTGCGATGAACCATTTATTCAATATTTACAGAATACTCATTACAGATGGCCCAGTGGGCAGCATCAACACCTTTAAGCCTTTTTCTTCACAAAATAGAAAACCTTCCCAAACAGCGTATACAATGCATTGGAGATGTTTAAGAATCCAGCATGCTTGGATGAATTTTGCAGTTTGTTCTTTCCATTTCATTCATCAGTTTAGAACTAGCAGTATATCTTTTCTTTGTCCCAGATAGAAAAATTTAAAATAAATTTCAATGGCTTTAACATTAAATGACCAAGAAGACCCCTTAAACCTATTAAATTTGCATACAGATGTTACTTGAGGTTATTTTTAGGACATAAACATGCGTCTTCTTTATGAGTCCAAAGTTAGAAACCTATATCTGGTCCCAGCTCCAGAAAGAACTACATATTCCTTATAAGAAAAAAAAAGATTGTTCTAAAATTTACAGACATGGAATTATATTTCCTTTCGCTGCTTTCCTTGGATGTCTGGAAGCCAGGTTTCAAATGAAGCCAGGTTTCAGCATTACAGGACCCGGCAGCCTGGACTTTGTGTAATAAGTTTATCTCTGGATTTACCTTATTTTTCATAATTTGATTTTCCCTTTCCTCGAATATCTTCACCTCCTTATCTTGTAATTTGCTGAGCTGCTGAACCAAAATAGCAACTAGGAAAGTGCTTGGCAGATTCTGGGCTATCATTAAATATTTTTGTCACTGTATCCATAAAGAAAAAATTACTGTGTGCCAATTAAAGCATAAACAAACAAAAGTATTTGTTGTATGCATGAACTTTAAGTCATTTTTAAAGATGTGGGAAAGTAAATAACCAATGTTTAATTGTATGACATTATTGATATCCTTAACTGTCTGATGTTTCTTGCCTATGAATAAGAACGTTAACATTATTGTTTCATATTGATCTAGTTTTTGCTCTGTTTCCAAGGAAACATGACTGCAAATCAGGAGATCTCATGCAAGAGGACTGGCTGTTGCAAAAGAAAAGAAACACACTCATTTTCTTGCTCATAAGTTTACCTGGTCCTGGATCTTTAGTTCCAATGCCACCTCAGCCAACTGAAGGGAGATTTCGGAAGGTAATACAGCAGAGAGACCCAAATACTTCTTCTTCTGTTCTTCAGCCATTTTCTCAATGTTCTGTCGGTGATTTGTAGCTTCTGTTAAGAGAATCTGAAGAGAAATAAATTAATTAATTTCTGGAACAATGACAAGGAAATGGATTTTTATGGGTATAGAGACAGGGCTATATGTTGTCCAACAATATATGCTGAAGTGTGGATTTAGAGAAATAGTTTTTAAAAATCCAAACTCTTCTTTAGTTTCTGAATATGAAATGTATCCATCTTATACAAAAGAAAATCCCACAAAGTAGCACAAAAAGCCCTTTATATTTCTGAATTTTTGATTTTTTAAAGTTTTAATTTGAAAGAAAGAGACTAAAACAGATGGACAGAGATCTTCCATCTGCTGATTGCCTAGCAGCTGGGGCTGGGTCAGGCCATAGCCAGGAGCTCATAATTCAATCTGGATCTCCCATATGGATGCCACAGACCCAGGTACCTGAGCCACCATCCATGTGAGTGAGGACCAGGAGGAGGCTGTATTGGAAGTAGAGCAGCTGCGAGCTGAACCAGGCACTCTGATGTGGGATGTACACATCTCAATCAGCATGTTAACTGCTGTGCCAAATGCCTGCTTATGTTTCTGAAATTTTTTTCAGTATTTCATTAACAGCAAAGAAGTATATCTCATGGAAATCAGTGCAATTTTTTCTTTTAAAATGATGGCATGGAAATTTTTGTACCTGAAGCTCTTCGAGTTGGGCATCTACCTCTATTGTTGGATTTCCTAAATACTCCTTTGTTTCCTGAACCCAGGATTTCACAGAATTGATTTGCGTCTCCACTGCTTCGTGGTCCTTGAGCTCTTGCTTCGCCTGCTTTCCACGACTCTTCGCTTTCTCCTGCATGCTTCAGGAACATCAGAGGGAGGAAACAGAATTGGATTTGAAATGAGTCCCTAACACATGACATCGCTTCATCAAAAACATGCAAAAAAGTGGGAACTTGGGATCTTCTTTGCAAGTGAAGATACTTCCCTCCAAATCATCAGATAATTTTAGTAACACTTGAGTTCAGTTCCAATATAACAAACTGAATCAAATATTCCTGGAAAAATGAGGTTCAACTTTCTCCTATGTTACTGTGCCACAATTTTCCTATCTGAAGTACCTAGGAATGATTCGATTATTTGCTTCCTCTTTGGAAGCATGCTCAAACAGCAGAATCACCAGCATTTAAAAATAACATGCAGTGGGAATATTTGTGGCTAATAGAAATCAATCTTTAAGGAATGAACCAAGCTTTCGAAGCTTCACAGTGAATAATGTTAATAAGTGTCCAAGGGTCACATCTTTGATTTGAAATACAGTAAATTCAGTAAAAAGGTTTAAATAAGTGGTGTGAGATGATCCTGACATTATTTGTAACCAAAAGAGGCAAAAAAAAGGGTATGTGTGAGGTAATATTTGTTACTTAAATAATGACGACATATTCTCTCTAGCCTAAAAAATCAACGAAGCTGATGCCATATAATTAAGATTCACCACCAGTGAATAATGGCTCTTATTCACCTGGACTCTAGTGTCCTCCTTGGTCCCCACTTCCCAGCACCCCACATGGCCAGGCGGTCTCAAACCTGGGTTCTAAGTAGCTCCTGACTGCTTCCCTTTCCAGCTCCATTTCTCTTGAATTACCAGCCCTCCTCCCCCACCACCGAAGGAGCTCCTGGAGAGTGACCTACTTACTTCCAAGCCATTTGCATGTCATTCTCATGTTTGCAAAGTCTCCACCCACCTTAAAGTCTGCTTCACCCCTGCTCAACCTTCCGCTCAAAACTTCCTCTGAAGAGCACCTTTCCCGACCGCTCTGAACTCCCTTCACCTGCTCCCATGTCTGCTGCGCTGGCTGACTTGTCTCTGCCGCCTGACTGTAAACTACTGAAGGGGGATACGGAGCCTGGGTCATGCCTGAAATTTTAAAGTTCTACCAGATTTGTATTTGTCAGATACATGATTGAAAGGTTGAGAAAACGGAACAGCGGTGGTGATGGCAACAGAACCCTACATTCTTAAGGTGGCAAGCGGAGCACCCCTGCATCCGAGTACCACACTTGCCCCTGTGTGTGCAGGCCAAGTTAGTGACACAGAATGAGAGCAGGTGGATAATTACTTCAAGCACCGATCTTGCAGTGCTGCAATCTGTTGCAGGATGGGAGGCTCCTCCCCAGGTGGTGGGATGGCTCCATGCTGGAGCATGCTCAGTGCTTGCTGTAGCAGCGTGCCCAGAGCCGACTGCTGCAGCTCCAGCTCCATGAGGAACGCCTCCTGACATTCCAGAAGATCCAAGAGTTCTGCTTTGGAGGCCTTCTCTGTTGAACTTCCAGGTAATTTTTCTTGCAGCTGATCTGACATTTCAGTGGCTTTTTTAACCTGATGACAAATGTACATAATACGAAGTTCAAGAATTAAAAGCTGAAAAACACGGGACGATTACAATAGTACCTTTGACTGACACTTGTGCATCACAGCACATTAAAGGGGCTAGTGCAAGCTCTCAGTTTTAAACTCTAAATCTTAGACTCATAATTTCATTGATGTCTAAACCTGAGCAATTTCCATACCATGAAAGCAAAGGCCACTAATGTAGCTCTAGGTTTAAAACTTTAATTTCACAATAATGTTAGGATAATTAAAAACTATGGAAGATGTAGAAAATTTTTTTAAAACTAAATAAAACCTCCAATATTTCAGTCAACATGAATGTGTGTATCTTTGAAACATGGGAAGTTGTGATTCGCAACACTGAACGCTTCTTAAAAGAAGAAACTAAATACGGAATGAATATCCCTCACCAAAATGCTTTGAAAGTGTTCCAGATTTTGGATTTATTTATTTATTTATTTATTTATTTTTTACAGGCAGAGTGGATAGTGAGAGAGTCAGAGAGAAAGGTCTTCCTTTTGCCGTTGGTTCACCCTCCAATGGCCGCTGCGGCCAGCGCACCGCGCTGATCCGATGGCAGGAGCCAGGTGCTTCTCCTGGTCTCCCATGGGGTGCAGGGCCCAAGCACCTGGGCTATCCTCCACTGCACGCCCTGGCCACAGCAGAGAGCTGGCCTGGAAGAAGGGCAACCGGGACAGAATCCATTGCCCCAACCGGGACTAGAACCCGGTGTGCTGGCGCTGCAAGGCAGAGGATTAGCCTAGTAAGCCACGGTGCCGGCCTGGATTTATTTTTTGAATTTTGGAATATTTGTTTAGACATAATGAGATATCCTGGGAATGGGACCAAGTCTAAATACAAAATTTATTTATGGCTCATACACACTTACACACATACCCTGAAGGTATTATATAATATTTTCAATTCATCTATGTTTGGACTGGAACTCGTCACCTGAATTTTCCACTTGTGGAATCATGCATGTCAACACTCAAAAGTTTTTGAAGCATTTTGGATTTCAGATTTTCAGATTAAAGATGCTCAACTTACATAGGATTTGGGAAATGAGTTAAATTATTGCCCAATTTTCATGGCAATAAAAAAGTATATTGTATTTTTTTCAAGAAAGAATGCAAATGAGGTAAAAGGGCTTATCCTCCTTTCAAAATTTAATTCTTTGGTTTTCATGTGGAACTATTTGATCCTGAGTTTGGAGAAAAATTGCATGCTAAGTATTGCATTCATAATTTAGTTTTCATGCCTTAAAAATAGGGATTATAACAGGCTTTTACTTTCATAAGGTCAATTTTAAATAGGAGAAAAATATGAGTACTTTAAGAATTTTGTGGAGGATGGAATTAAAGTAGGAGATTATTTTGGTGCAAAATTTTTCATAATGTGCATAAAATGCCTATTATGAAAAAATTGTGCAGCAAGATTTTCAATTTTGTGTAGCAAGATAAACTCATTCTTTTAACACCAGCTTTCAGAGAACTTTAAGTAACCCCATACTGTTTTTCAAAACAGGGTCATCACCACCAATGCAAGGGGGTTCAATTCCAGGACTCCCACAGATAATGAAACCCAGATTTTTTTGTTCAAACCTCTTATGTGAAATGGCACAATATTTGCATATAAACCATGGTCAGCTTCTTCTATACTTTAAACAATCTCTGGAGTACTTACAGTACCTAATACCATGTAAATAGTTTTTATACTGAATTGTTTAGGAAATAATGACAAGAAAAAAGCAAGCATTTTCAAAACAGAGGCATTTTTTCTGAAGTATTCCTGCAGATACAGAGAACCAATGGTCACTATAATCAGGTAGGAAAATTAATTTGAACCTATCAATGTTGGAAATTACCTTACTGTTCAAGTCCTTCCAATCACCCACTGCATCTTCCAAGATCTTCTCCTGGTCCTGGGCCACAGCATGGAGGCGCGTCCAACGCTGCCAGACCGCGGTCATCGACCTGCTCAGGGTTGCCTTACTGGCTTCATTTCCAGTTTTCTCCAGTTCTGAAGCCTTTTCCTCCAAGACCACAATTTTGGCACGGAAAGAGTTAACGACTGACACTAAAGCCTGGGGGTTTAGGGGTGGAAGGAGGAGAGATGGGTTCTTTAAATGTTCTGTGGATCTTGGTAAAGCTTAAATTTTTTACAAGGGGAAATGTTTCTACATGACATTGATTTCAGACTGAGTTACGCTTGGAATGTTCAAAACAGGTAAGGTGAATAGTACTTATTTAGTTATTAAAAACAATTTTTTTTTACTTGAGATGATGTTTTCTCATTTTTAAAAAAAATCAGCAAAAGTATAAGTGAATCGAATTTGACAACTTACTGCAGTGACATGAGAGGGAAATGCAGTTACTGTTTTTTTTGAATTTCATGTGAATTAATCTGAATTATCCACAGGAAGTATTTACTGACATTTACTATGTGCCAATTGCCCTGAAGGTCTTTTTCATATCTTAGCTGTGTATTTCCAATGAGGATTCTAAGAAGGTGACAGCATTTAATAAACTCAAAACTGCTATGAAATGTGATTAAATGCATCCTTAGCATATTTAAGGAAACCAGAGAGAAATGAATATTTATCTATCTATTTTTGGAGCCATCGTGTTGCAATGACACATTATAATCATAATTAAAGGATTTTTAGAGACAACAATAAAATGGACCTTGTGTTCTGCTAACTTTTCCTCTGCTTCATGACTGGAAGATGTCTTCAACAAGGAAAACTCAGACAATTTCTTTTCTGCCTCATTCATCAATTCAATGACCTCTTCCCTTGCCTTCTGGTAATCTTGCCAGTGCACTGCACACCTTGAAAGAGTCCAAGAGAAATCAGTAAGCAATATGAACTCACACATTTCAAAGCAGAGCCCTGGTGCATATATGTTTGATGATGTTTATAAAAGAAGAATGAATTTACATGCCAATGTATAGTATTACTGTATTACCATATTATGGGTGAAAATTCATTTCACTGAAGAATAAAGCACAAAGCAACTCAGAATACCTCTGTAAGAGATCCAGCTGGGCATGTGAGTCCTGATTTATCCTCTGACTCCTCTTGTCTAGGGAGGCCACTTTCCGTGCTAGGTCCTCTTTTCCACTTGGCTTGATGAGTGGGTCAAGCTTGTCAACCAGACCTTGTAGCTCTTCCAGATTACTGTGCAACTGACCTTCGGCACTGAAAAATTCCATGTGACTTTTGAGATTTTCCTCTGCACTTTCCACATCTAGGCCATTGCCTGCCAGCTGTAACATTTCTTGGGCATCCTCAAGCCAGTCATTAGCTGCTTGAAATACTTGATAATACCTTTGACACTGACTGTATATTTCAGTCAAGCTGGCCTGAAAAACAGTAATTGAAACCATAATAAACTCTCAATTGCAATGTGTTTGCAGGAAATAGTTTCATTTACCCAATTTTTTTCCAGTACTCAATCCTATAGATTTATGTGTGGATGTACAGCAATATATTGGTGAATTATTTTTGTGGGGTAATCTATTCTTAGTCTTTGTTTTTCCTATTACTATTTTTTATAATTTATCATTGCAGTTAAAATTAATAGGAACAGAAATAGAATAGAAATTTATGTTGGTATCTTGACTACTTCTAAAATTTTCTGTCTCCAAAGGGAAAAAAAAATTGTTTGGTAATAAATATGGCAGACTGAATGTTTACCAAATGGTAGCAGTGCCTCAGTTGGTTAGAAGTATAGCAACACCAAACTTCCCAAATGGAACCCTCCAGACCAGTTTCTAAAAGTAAAACAATATCACATGAATCTTGAATATAGAGTAAAATAGAAAAGTTTCGGTCTGGAATTCTGTCCCCTCAAATCCAAAAGTAAACATTCTGACTGCCTTTCAGTGCCTGCACAGGACAAACTAGCACTGCGCAGCCAAAATGCAGAAAACTAGCAGACAAAGTACAGGCAAAGTTAGCACTGAATAAAGAATAGGGATGGCAAAGCAAAGAATCGGTAGTGCAAATTAGAAATAACCCTGAAACAATTTGCAAGATCAGTCTTTTTTTTTTTTTTAATTGAGAGAAGATTGAGGAAAGGGAGAGAGAGATCTCCCATCTGCTGATTCACTGCCCGCATGTCCACAACAGCCAGCACTAGCCAGGCTGAAGCCAAGAGCCGAGAACTCGAGTCTCCCACATAGAGCGCAGGGACTCAGCTACTTGAACCATCATCTGCTGCCTCGCAGGGCATGCAGTAGTAAAAATCTAGAATTAGAGTGAGGCTGGGATTCAAACACAGGCACTCTCTTAAGAGATGAAGGAATCCCACGTGGCCTTAACCATTATGCTACTACTATATACATACATACTATATATGATATACAATATATACACTATATAGTATATACATATATATACACTATATGGAATATATACTATAACAACAAATACCTGCCCCCAGTTAACTTCCGTTCATACTCCTCACTCTAGGCTAAATACTTTGTTTATAACAATAGTTATAGAGAAATCATGAAACAAATTTAACAAGTCTTGAGTCAATATGAAAAGATAAGTCAATAAATCTATTTGGGAAGTCAGAATTTTACTTGATAAAATTCATTAAAATTTTACCCAAATATTAAGATAAGCATTTTACTATTTGAAGTATTAGCCTTAATCTGTATGTAAAATAAAGTTAAATGATCACAAAAATTTACCAGTGGTTGTCTTACTTCTAGCCCTAAGCTAAGAAGATAAACCTAATGAGGAAACTGTCACTCCCCGTCTTTGTGGAGGAACGACACAGGACCCTGCGCTGTTCTTTTGTCTGCTCGGCCCTCCCCGGGTTTGCTGCTGGTTCTTCCCGGGTTGGCTACCGACCCTTCCACCTCCGTGGAAGGGCGGTTCCCCCTAGCCACTTTCCCCACTTCCGCAGGAGAGTGGCACACCGCCGGCCGGCTCTCTCGGGGGCTGCACAGGTGTTCCTTCAGATAGATGTTCCTCTTAGATGTTCCTGGTGCATGTTGTCTCTCTCCTCCTTTATAGTCCTCTTCCACCAATCCCAACTCTGCTACCCACACGCTGAGTACGCTGCTCTCCTCCAATCAGGAGCAAGATCAGCTCCTGCAGCTCAGTCAATCAAATTGGCGAGAGGCAGCTGTGTAGAAGCTGTTTCTCCCTTCTCAGTGCCATATTGTGGGAGAGCAGATGCATAGAATAAGTCTTAATTCCAGTAACTTAGTCTAGTCCGGGTTGCTCCCCACAGAAACCATTGCTGTTCCCCTTCCACAGAGAGAAAACTGAGACAGAGGTCTAAGTAATTTTCACACAACCATGCGGCTGTGATTAAAACCAGATGCGCCTTACTAAAGGCTTTAGATAATAAATTACCTTGAGAAAAGCTTTTACCTAAATGGTTCGTTGAAATCTCTCGTAATAAGATGGTGAGGACAGATGTGATAAAAGGGAACAAGACTTAAAGGAAGTGATCCTCTGGACACTACTGTATCTCTTTTTATTTTTGAATGCATAGAAATTGCAAGCCCCAGAGCAATCCATATTTAGGAGGCCAATCTGAGAAGTTGCTATCCCAAGTCAGGTCCTCATGAATATTCTAGTCTTGCTTCTGCTGGGCTACAGGGAAATAGGCAAGGAAAGCAGGTGGTGCAGATAAGAGGAGACCCCACAAGAAGATGCCTCAGCATCAGGGTGCATCATCAATTTGCCTCTCTGTCTGCATTTGGAGACCCTCCATGCAGCACTAATCTTAAAAAGGGCAGTGTTCATTATTCAGTGTTAATCAATTTGATTAATATTCTAATACAGTTGTCCCCGGTATCCTAGAGAGACAGGGTTCCCCTTCTCACAGACATAGCAGCACCATGGTTACTAAAATCCAAGATACTCGAGTCCTTTATACAAGATGGGGTAATATTTGCATAGAATCTATACCATCCTCCCATTCACTTTAAATCATCTTTAAATTACTTATAACACCTAATACCATGTAAGTGCTATGTAAAATAGCTGTGATTTTTAAGGCAATATCAGCAAGAAAAAAATTTGCACATTTGCCATAGACACTATTCTTTCTGAATATTTTATATCAGCAGTTTGTCTATATCAATTATTAAAATTTATTATCTCTCCAAATTGAGACTAGCTGAGATATTACACTATTTATTATAAGCAAAGCGGAGTCAACATGGAAACCCATATGAAATGATGAATACTATGACTAACAATAAATACAATCTGAGAGTACAGAGGATGATTCCATGTAGTATCAAAAAGGAAGTATTAAAGGAAGTAATTCTAAGCTAACAGCCAAACACATTTCTCATGCCTGTTCACAAATAAGCTGCAGGAGAAAAGCAAAGCCGAGCCCAGGATGCCAACCTGTCTGGCGCGTAAAGCCTCCTGAACATCTCCGTCCAGCTCCGAGAGCTCAGCGAGGGTGTGCTCTAAGTCAGCGGAAAGCAGTTCCTTGGCCTTCATGAACTTCTCCTTCTCCTTGTTACTCAGGGCATGCATGATTCTCAGGCTGGACTGGACTTCTTCCTGATGAATCTGGATCTTTCTGATTTCTTCCTGGATGGCCTGCAGATTGAGGTCCAGGCAGAGTGGCCCACTGAGCTCTGCCTTCACCCTCCTCAGCCAGTCCAGGGAGCGGCTCATTTCAGTCTGGAAGTCTATACTTTGTACCATCCGGCTCTCACACTCTGTCACGGTCTCGCCGATGGCAGAAGTCAACAGTTTCAGCTCCTCTTGCCACAGCTGGATCTGACGCTTGGCTTTCTCATAAGCCAAGGGGTCCACGTGTGGGGTGAGATCGTCCAGATGCATGGCCACTCGTTTCAGTAGAATGCCCGAGTCCTGCAAACTTCCAGCCAAGGAGTGGTACATTTTGAGCTTCTCCTCTGCAGGCAGAGTTTCCTCATTCACTTTGGTCTGCTGTGTTTTCACAGACTCTAGTTGTCTCTCTAGCTGTTGGCACATCTTTTGGTGCTCTTGGTAAGCACTGGTGGCGTCTTCTAATACACTAACCCTTTGCTCCATCTGTCGTTTCAGTCTGTGATACAAGGTGACGAGGTGCATCATCTTGTCTGGCTGCCAAGGCTGACCTGTGCTACGGAAACTTTCCTTTTTCTGATTCAGTTCATCCACAGCTTCCCCGAGGCCCATCACCTCGCCCAGAAGGGTTCTACAATCATCCTGAAGAGACAGAGCTTCTTCAACAATCAGGTTCGTGGGGACTTTGCTCATCTTCAAGAACTGATCTTCAAGCTCAGTCAGAGACTGGGTTGTCAGCTCAATCAAGGAAGAATATTCTCTCCGTGCAAGAATTGCCTCTTGCACTTTGTAGAATTTGTCTTTGGCCAAAGCAACAATAACATTCAGCTGTTGGGGAAGAGCATTGAGCTTTTCACTGAGGTAGGAATGATCAACTTCATTCAGTGATGGTAATATGGCCTGTCCAGTTCTCTGTAGCCTAAGTAGAAGATTTTCATATTCTGGAGATTGTTCCAGAATGTCTTGGTATTTGGCCAGTTGTGTGTGTAGCTCAGTACTCTCATTCATTAGGTTTATTTCAGGAAATGTAACAATATCTGCTTGTTTTAGCCAGTGACAAGCTTTATCAAAATCTTCCTTAAAATGCTTCCTAGAAACTAAACTTTTTTCCAGTTCTTGCAGCCGATGGCTACATTTTTGTAAAACAGTGTCATAGACACTCTGCAATTCCTGAAGCTTCCCCAGCACTTCACCCTTTTCCTGCTCTGTGACTCCCTTCATCAATTCTCGACCCTGGGCCCAAAGTCCCGAGACTTCATTTTGGTAAGTCTTGAGGCTAGCTTGTGCACTCTTACATGTTTTAACTTGTTTGTTCACATCATCTGGTAGCAGACAGATATGTTCACGGAACATTATCTTCCGTTCATGTTGCTGAATTTGGCTGGTGGCCTGGAACACTGCCATGAGGAACTGGGTCTTCTCGGACAAGGCCTTGTTTAAATACTTTCTTCGCTGGCCCACTAAGTCGCTGAGACAATTCACGTGCCTTTGGGCGTCAGAGAGTGCCTTCTGGATTACTTGCCGCTCATTGAGGCCAAGGTCGGCCATCACCCTATCAGCATCCTTTGTAAGTGATTTCAGAAGCATCTGTTTGGCCTCCAGTTCACTGCAGATGGCCAGGTGGTCCATGAGGAGGTTCTGAGCCAGATCTGGAGGGGGGCTGTGCTTTAGGGCCTCAGCTATGTTGGGCTGCTGCTCTTCTGCCCACTCCATTAGCTCCTGAAATCTGGACTGAACCACATGCAACTCCTCCAGATTGGTGACAGACGCTTGGATTTTCCTTTTTACAAGGTCCTCAAGCTGAAACCAGCGTTGTTCAAAGTGACTGGTCTGCTCTTTGACAAGTTCTTTGTCATCTAAATTTAGGTGCTCTATTATTTTCTGCTTTTGGTCTTTCAGCTCTTCAATGGCATATTTTCTCTCTTGCAAGGCCAATGCTAACTTTTGCAGTGCCTCCAGGTGGACAGCAGTACTCTCTGCGTCAGATCTGTAAGAATATTGAAAGATACAAGAGAAATTCAGCTTCAGTCATTGTGGGTTTTGGTTCAAACCGTGTCAAATTACTCTTCATCTTTTTCTTTAAGTGGATGGCCTTAGCTTAAGGTTAAGCTTATTGTGAGTAGCCTGGTTCATAGTTTATTGATAAAGGTGCTGTAATTATTATGGAATACAAGTCCCATCTCTTTCTATTCCAGAAGTTGAATCACATCAAGCCACCTACATACTTGTCTACTCTGCCCTCCAATCACATCTGCCTTATGTTTTTAGTTTCCTTTGGCTCTGATTAACTGAGCAGAATCTAAACAGGAACAAGATCCCTGGGTGATCTGTGTAACATTATATTTTGAAAAGCAGTAATCAACTGCATTCCTGAAAATGGAACTGAAGGAAAAGTCATGATTTACGTGCTTTCATATGGGAAGTGAATCCAGTAACAAGAGTTAAGTACAATCTGGAAGATGAAACCAAGACTCTAATAAGCTACTCAATTTTGTACTTAGTTTTTTTTTTTTTTTTTTTTTTTTTGTCATTAGAAATCTTTAAGTGTGAAATGCAAAGAATTTTTATTCCCCTGACCAAAAGCATACAAGAAAGTAGAATCTTACTATCTCTTTCATTAACAAAGTGGTCAGTTCTGAAGTATGAGAAGCAGGGTTGGAGGCAGAATGAGTTCCATTTAGGATACAGAACTGAAGTGCTTTAAAAACTAGCGTAAGCTAGAAGTTCAGGATTTTGCTGATACTATACTGACTGGATAAATCACAGAGACCCTTAAAATGCTGAGCAAGTCAAAAGGAAAAAACCAACAAATCAAAATAGTATACTGAAACAACAACAAAAACCCAGCATTGATGTAGCTGAATCCAAAACAATGTTGGTAGTTTTCACAGCTGAAAAGTTAAATCTTAGCAGGAACAGAATAGAGTTTAACAACTATAGTGGAAGTGTGGGATGGTTTTCACATGTTGACCCTGTGTGTGTGTGTGTGTGTGTGTGTGAGTGTCCTTTTCTTCAAAGGAAAAAGGTAGGAGGAGTTCCATCACTCAAATTACAAAAGACACAATTTATTTTGGATGACTTGATGATTTCTAGAATATTAAAAACCCTGATCATATTACAAATATATTATTTAAAACATTCATACGAAACCTAGGGAACATATACAGATTCAAGTGTTCATTTCACAAATTCATAAATAACAGTTCCACAAGGTAATTAAATAAAACCAGAAATATTCTTGGGATATTCTTTAAAGTGACTTAGTAATCATCTTTAGAATATTCTTTGAGGTCACAGAGAAAAACAGAGTCATTTTCAGATGATTCTTTGGCCCACTAGTAATTACAATATTAAGCTAGAAAACTAATGGCTGTATTTACCTGACAAAATTAGGTTAATAATGTTTCATTAACTCAGATATTGGTAATGATATTAAAAACATAAAGAAAGCGTTTTTGATTTTTATAGGAATTAGGAAATTTCTGGCTTTACACTTTGGTGACCCACTGGATAATTTCTCTTACCTGGCCAAGTTATCCCATTCCATAGTAAACTTTTCTAAGAATGCTTCAACAACATTCATTCGATCATGGTAATCTCTTGTTCTCCGAAGATCCTCTTCCCTTTGCAAGCAGAGATTGTTAGACTGAAGGCATAAGTCTAGCCACTGGTCATTTAAGTGGCTGATTTCCTTGTGTTCAGGAGACTCCTGATTTTTGGTGAGCTTGTTCACTTTTTCTATGACGGCACTCACTGATGCTTGCTTGGACTGCAGTTGCTTAACAAATTCCTAAAAGATGATAACAACAAAATAGAGAACTTGAAAAGAACCCTCCAAATACATGCGGAATGGAGCCCAGTTATGTCATCTCTAAACACTTTAAGTTCCTTAATGTAAAAAAACTAAAGATTGTATAATGTGTCATGAGAAAATGAGAAAAATCTATAAATCAGCATACTTCCTTATGAATGTGAAGTTCTGAAGTTCATAAGAATCAGAGTAACTGTAGTATTTATTTTGTTATTTTGAGATGTATAAAGAAAAACATAAATGTGAAACCATATTATTGTCACTAAAAAAAGTTAGTATCTTACCTTGGAGTAGTCCTAAGTTTACTAAAAATTTTTAAAGAGCATATAATTTCAAACAATTCAATTATTTCCTACCATTTTTTCCATATTTGCAAACAATATCCTAGCAGAAAACATGACTCATTATCATAGAAAAAAGTCTTAAAGTTTGTTAAAAATATGATCTCACTTCCAATAAAGTTTATATACTTATATAAGGAGTCTTTGAAATATCCTGAAAATACATATTATGAAAAAACTATGCATGAATTTCATAATTTGTGGATAAAATAAAATTTTTTTTAAAAACAATTTATTTACTTGATACACAGAGACAGAGAATCTCCACCCAGTAAGTCACTCCCCCAATGCCCACAATGGCCAAGGCAGAATACAGGAGATAAAAGCCAAAAACTCAAACCCGGTCTCCCATTTGGGTGGCAGGAACCCAATTATCTGAGTCATCACCACTGTCACACAGTCTGTACTAACAGGAAGCCGGAATTCGGAGCTGGAGCTGGGAATTGATCCCAGGTACTCTAATGTGGAGGTGGGCATCTGAAATTGTGTCTTAATTGTTAGACAAAATTCCCATCCCTCAACATTTATTTTTTAACTTCATTTTCTACATTTTGAGGTACACTTACATATTCTATAAATTAAATTTGTATTTATTAATCAAGTATTTAATTGCTAAGCTTACAACCCTATGACTTTTTAGTAATAAAAATCTAAAAAATACTAAGGCCTCATGTTTGTTTGTTTAGTAGCAGAATCTTCTGGCTTGTAGGCTGAATGACAGCTGCTGTGTTCAGAAACAAAGCAGAGAGGGAATGTCCACTGATGCAAGTGGCCATCTGGAGCTCCAAGAAGATTTGGACGTTTACCATAAGGTCTGTCTTTCCTGGCACCAAAGGAAGGCTACTTGTTTGGATCCTCTCTTATTCCTCAAACAGTTGTGCCGAAGTCTAGGGATTGACAGACACCCCAGCTTATTGAACTGAACTAAGTCCATTTCCTGTTTTCTACTTTGGCCTCTTTATCTCCTCTGCAAATTCATTCCCACCTCTACTTGGGAAACCATGTTCTGGGCAATGTTGAGCTCTAGTTCCGAGTGTCTCCTCTTCATGTTCTGCACTTGCTGATCAGCGTCCTGAAGATAGATCCACAGCTCAGCTTTCAGACGCTTGATCTCCTCCCAGCCTTGAGTTAAGTTCTGTGCCTGCACAATCCTTTGTTCAATCTTGAGCAAACATAAGAATCAAAGTCAACAGAGATAGAAACTTCCATGCTTAGTGAAGACGACACACAGGCATGCAGAAGGGCAGACGCGCACACAACATGTACACACACACAGCTAAGCCCAAAAACACTTCTTTATTTACTTATTTTAGGTTTAGGGTGTCTAAAGACTTTGAATGCCTCAATTATGCCACGTGATTTCAGAGTTGTGGTGCTTTAAGAAATTCAACAATTTATTAAGTTCAAAAGCTGCCTGATTGGATTTTCACACCTCTCATTTCAACTCGCACACCCATCTGACTGACTCATGCATTTGGTGTTGGAGTTAACCAGAAAAGACACTGTTCTCTATTATATACTTGTTCTTCCTTCTGAGTTATTAATGTTTTGGATATATCTTTGGATTTGCTTCTCTGGATTTTGAAATTATATAATTTGTTTCAATAAACCACTCTGTAAAAATCTGCAGGTTATATCATGTCTCATAAAGATTTAACACCATATTTTGATAATATAATATAAGAGAAAAATCTTGTTATTTTAAGATATTTTCTTTTGGATAATTTTGCTACTGTGTGACCATTTATTAAAATAAATTCCAAATCCAAAGCTCATGTTTCTTTTCACTCTAAATATATCACCTTAAAGAATTAAAGGCTGCAGCAGCAGTAGCCATGAACAAATGACTCCTGTGCTGCCACTGTCTGTTGTGGATGGGTACTGCCAAATCATTACCATCCTTTCCACTGAGCCCACGTACAGCTTCAGAATCCTCTCAACAGCACACTTGATGGCCATCGCCTCCAAATAAGAAAGGTCATGACAGATGGCATGCTCTTCACCATTTCTGATGTAGCAGATCAAGAGTCAAGAGCCCCATCATATTAAGAAAAATTATATAGCATTATATATTACTTAATGACAGTAATACATTCTGAGAAATATGTCATTAGGGATAGCTTACCACTCACTTTGGCTATCTGAATAGACTTTTGCTACAAGGCTACAAATCTGTACAGTGTGATATTGTGTTGAATACTATAGGCAGTTATACCACAATGTATTATTGTACCTAAGCATATCTAAACAGACTAGGGAATGTAAAAACACTAGGCAATAGGACTTATGGAGCCACTGTGGCATATGCAATTTTTGTTGAATGAAACATGATTATGCAGAATTTGTGTTTCCTAAAGTAAAAGCTGAAAAACCGAGAAAAGAAAAAATATGGGGGAAGAGAGAGAATGGTAATTAAGGGAGAAAGCATACAAATAGGTAGCAATAGATTGGGAATCAATGATTCAGTTCTTATTCCATGGCTTCAGTGTCAGAGGACTCACTTTTCTATGACTTACCTGAAATTCAAATATCAATTTATTATAACGACATCACAGTACTATAGTAAGAAGCCTCACATATAACATTTGAGCAAGAGAATACAGTAAAACAAATCCCATGTGACCTTAATTTCCTTTTTTACCATTTGCTCTGTTTGTTGAATGTCTTTTGCTGTGGCTTTCACTGAAGAGTTTGACAAGTCACACATGGAGCAAAGAAGATCTAAGTATGTCCTTGCCTGCTCTTGCAAAGCTCTGAAGTGTTTGACCTGAAACAAGGCAATTGTGAGTGGAAAATAAAGATATGCTCAATTTACATGGCAAATATTTGTACCAAATGTAATATACTTTGTTGACATTTCAAAAATAATCTTGGCATGTTTAGTGTTCTTACCATGTCATAAGTGATATACACTAGAGACTCTCAGAAAAGAATCTATGTGTCCTCTGTTTCTCATTGAATTAAAGAAGTTTGTATGATGTTAAAAGAGGGGAGAAACCAAGACATTTCTACAGTCTTTCCAGATTCCCTGCTCACATGCTAGCTTATCCACTACCTTCTCTAGTCTATTGCTTAACATCTTTTTGCAGATCTTGGAGACATAAGGCAAAGGTCAGAGTGAGTTTGCAGGTTTCACTGGAATGAGGTGAAAGCACAGATGGTGGGCTACTTCTCTCTACACAAAGTTCATCTCTGACTCCTCCCTTTGCACAGATCCAAGAGAGGCTTCTCCTGGTGGATCCTTATTCAGAGAATAACGGGCATGGAGCAGTCCACAAAACAAAACCTTTGCTCCCATGGAGCTTATATTCTTAGGAGACAAATAATAAATAAACAAAAAATATACAATGCAATGCTTAGTGGTGTAAATACCAGGAAGAAAAGTCAAGATGGTGAGAGGACAAAGTATGAGGAGGAAGTGATGCTACTTCAGAAAGAGTCCAAGTCCAAGACGTCTCCAAAGAATCGACCTGAATGCTTGGCAGGTCAAGTCCTGGCAGGTCAGATGCAGCAAATACAAATCCGCAAGGCTGCAGCAGAGTGAGCCAGGTAGGAGCAGAGGTCAGAGGGGTGACCAGAGGCCAAATCACAGAGCGGAGTTGACTACACAGCCCAAACACTGTGCTTGTGCCTTCAGTTCACAGTTGCTCAAGCTCAGAACCACTGACATCTGAGGTCAAATGATTCGTCATGGAGGTGGCTGTCCTGGACAATGAAGGATGTTCAGCAGCGTCCTTGCTCTAACTACTGGATGCCAGCAGCATCCCCAGTAGTCTGAGTCATAGCAACCAAAAATGTGTTCAGAATGCCCCGTGTCCCCAGGAGTGAGGGCAAAGTCACTGCCTCCCTCAAGGGAATAACCATTGCAGTAGTTCCACTGGATGAGAAAAGATGACTCTTGTTAACAAAATGCAAGACATTATATGAACAGCTTATTGATAGGTCAGGGCAAGAATTTTGGAATTTACTCTAAGTGTGATGATAGGACATTGGAAGAATCATGGTCTGACCTCCACTCTGAGAGTCACCCATACTGTGCTGTGAAGAGCCTGTCGTGGGCAGGAAGGAAAGCAGGTGAGCACTTAGTCTACTGCAGGCATTGGCTGAGAAGTGATGGTGGTCTGCCTGGTGGTGGAGACTGAGGTGAGAAGTGGTTCTTGGCTACTACATAAACAGCAAGTCCTAAGGGGTCAATTTGACCCACAGAAACAATAGGTGATTTTCAGCATCATAAAGCCAATATTGAGCGTAAGCTTTTGATTATTTCAGTATCTTTTCTTCTGTGCTGTATGGACTGCCTAAATGTGCTATTCTTGTGTAGCTATAACAGACATAGAACAACTTCCCAGTAAGTCAGAGGTAGCACTTTATTTATCCAATGTACAAACTGACCAGCATTTCCCTTCTGATTAGTATTTAGTCACTAAGTAGTATACAAAAGCACCTTATCATGCACCTATGACCCAGAGGTTATCTGTCCCAAACAACTTCTGGAAATGAAAAAAGAGTAAGGTATCAGAACATTAATTTCATAAATGCATTTCATTTAAAGGAACAAATAATGATTTATTTTGGCCTGATTCCAAAAGTGTTGGAAGCCACAAACAGATTATCAGTTGCAAAAGGTTTTTGATAAAGTTAACTTCAAAGGCAAAGCTGGTAGCACTTTTTCCTATTCCCCCAAATTGACATTTTAGGCCTGATAAAAGCATATGGCACTCTGAGTGGAGTCAATTCAGTGTGTCATTTTCTTGTGGTCATGTGGTTTGTTATCATATATTTATTGAATGTCATAAGAGGGAGGTGCTGGGAACACACATCTCAGGACGATGACCATTGTGACCGTAGCCAACCCCAAGTTTCACCTCTCTGTGGTTGTCACAGTGGGATTCCCCACTCACAGATCCAGGCTGGCCAACCATTCAGGATCTGCTGAATTTTACATGAACCGGTACTTCTCAAGGGGAAAAGTAATTAAGATAAAACAAAACAAATCCCTTCCCCTTCAGTGCAGCTGAGGATCAGGTGTCTCCAGCACCTCTAATTCTCTTCTCTGGTTACTCTCAAAGAGCAGAGAGCACGCTCTGAGAGACCAGGGAGAGAAGCAGATAACCATACAGCCACATAAGCTGGACCCAAGAAGGATTAGCATCCACTATGATTTCAGCTTATTCTGCTAGGTTTAGTGACTCTCCTCTCTGCTAGTAAAATGTCATGAGGATTAATACTTTTTCCTCCAGTGACTCACTTCATTTATTTTTTGGTAGCACAGTAAAGGAAAAAATTAAATCATTTGATTCTTGTGAGCTTCAGTTTCTTCCTAGTGATTATATTTATTTCTGAAAACTATAATGAAACACAAATGAAAGTGAGCTGTAAACAAAAAAGCAACATTATCTTTGTTCTGGATAGATCTGAATAAGCCACCAGACAGAACATGACTCAAGAAAGCTTCCATTTCTCATGGAAAAGCAGAGTATAGAGAGTCTTTAATACATTTTTCTAGATTCAAAGACAGCTGGGTTTCATTTGTTTTGATCCCCTTGTTTATAAAATAAAGTATGAGGGTACTTCAAAAATCTCATAGAAAGCAAGGATTGTAAGAAGTATGCACATGGATTTCCAGGTTTCTTTGCACCAAAATCAATCTTTTAATTCCATTTTTCCACAAATGAAGTACTTGTTTATACAGTATGTGAACCATTTCATGACTGAATTAATGTAAATCATTTGGTCAGAAAGTTTATTTTGGAGGATAAACTAGATATGCTTCCTAGATGCACCAAATGAACAAGTCAATTATATTAGTCTGTTTTGAGAAAAACTGAATTATTTATTTAATACTGTCAATATCCTGTAACACTAACCTTTACAACTAAATTCCTTTGAAATGTTTTCTCACAGGATTAATACTGCATAGAAAAGCTGCTTAGTACATAGGCTATTAAAATATTTCCCCATATTTGGATGAAGTCTAAGTAGCAAACATTTAAGCATTTGAATGTCAAAATAATATGCAATAGTAACATATAACAATGTCAATTTCATTAATGATTTATTAAGTAAATATTGTGTCAAAAAACTGTGAGAGAAGCTAGTGTTGTTTTTTTGTTCACAGATTGTGCTTGCTTGTGGTATATTTGAATTTCACCATAACTTTCAGAAGTATATATACAACTCAGCCTTTTCACCTGTAGAGTCTACATCCATACGTTGAGCCAATCGCATACCAAAGACATTAGAAAAAAATTGCATTGGTCCAGAACATGTATAGATGGTTTTTTTTTCCCTTGCCATTTTGCCCTAAACAATATAACAACAACTTCCTTAGTCTTGACATTGTGTTAGGTCTTATAAATAACTTAGAGATGATTTCAATTACATGGGAGCATTGTGTAAGTTACATTTAAATACTATGATATCTTATGTTAAGATCCTCAAGCATCTTGAGGCTTGGGTATCTGTGGGGGTCATGAACTAATATGCCATGGCTACTGAATATGGTCTGCACTTAATCATACATTAACAGGTGGGAAACTGACACTCACAGAAGTAAACTGTGGTCCGCCCATTGACTAAGTGCTAGAGTTGGTCCTTAGTTACAGCACCTATACTTTTTATTCTATCACTGGTCCCTCAATATTTTGTCCTTACTGGCTGGAACAAGAACTCAACCTTTGACAAGCTCAGCCCTTATACTTTGGGATTTTCAGGAGCCAGCACCTAAGTATTCAATATATTTTCAGTGATTATATATCTGAACATACACTAGAGTACAGTGCCATAGAACACTAGAACCAATTTAAGGAGCCTACTACCTGCTTCACGGCTTCTGCCCTGCTGAGAGGTGGCTGTGGGCTCGGCTTTAAGTCTGGCTGGACCGCAGAGAGCCAGGCCTGGCACTGCTGCAGAGTGTCTTGCCGGCTGACGTGCTTCTGAAGTTCATGTTCTAGACTCCGGTACACCTGACACAGAACAATCATGCTGAGGATGAGAGTGTTGCTTTACGTCTCTCCAAGAGCCATTGGAATTAAATGAAATACATCAACACATCCGTTTACAATGACTTTCTCACAGAATCCACCAATACCATATGCATATCTAAGATGCTTGCATATGTTGCAAAATTCTGTGGCTATCCCAACTTTATAACTTTCCATGAACATATCAGGATTTATATAAGCATGGAACCCTGTTAGAATACATGAGATCATCGAAGTAAACTGTAACAAACAGGTCAGAAGTTTTTGCAGCTTTTTGTCTATGGTATACATATTGCACTTTTTGTTTAAGCTAGAGACTAAAAATAATAATTAAACACCATCTCAAGAAAAGGTAACCTGAAAGAAAACATCTAACTCAGATGTTCTTGCTTTCGGGGTAGAGTCAAGCTGGGATGAAATTATAGCAGAGAACATGATGCCCTCATTTCATCTTAGAAATTATGTTCCAGAATAGCAATAACCCAAAAGTTCATACACTTTCTGATATATCCGTTCAATTAACTAGTCTTCAACCAGCCAACCAATGTCATTTTATTCATAAAGACATATTGATAAACTACCATTGTCTCTTTGAAATCGAAGTGATAAATAGCCTTGATATTTCCTGAGCAAACTATTTCATAAAAAGTAAAAAACAGGAAAATGAGTTTAGCCTGGAATTTCTTTCATTAATGAGACAACTAAAGTGGTCAATGAAATCTGTCTTTCTCTGCCGGCTGTTAAATTCATCACTTTCATTTGACATTGAGTGTGTCCTTTATTCTCATTTCAAGCAAAAAAAAATTTTAAAGGAGTTAGTTCTCTGTTATCACTTTTCAAACACAGTAAGGTTCAGACTACATATTCTTAGAGTTTCAACCGCTTTTTAAAAAATTATATAGGTCTTTGCAAAATTTGCCTATGTTTTTCTTTTCTATTTATTTTCATTTATTTGAAAGACAAAGAGACACAGACAGAGATCTCCCCTTTGCTGTATCTCTTCTCAAATGCCCACAACAGCTGGGCCAGGCTGAATCCAGGACTCTGGCACCCAACCTGGTCTCCCACCTTGGGGGGCAGGAATCCAAGTGCTGAGTCATCACTTGCTGAACCCAAGATAGATGGAAGCACAAGTGGGAACTGGAAGCAGAGGCAAGACATGAACACAGGCACTCTGATTTGAGATACAGGCAGCCTAGGCAATGTCTTAACCACTGCATTCAAAAAAATTTTTTTTTAATTTAAGCTCTATAACCAATGCAAAGAAAACATCTGATACAAATAATTCAGTTGCCACAAATCCTTGTCAATGAATGAGCTCACAAAACAGCTCCACATACAGTCATGTTGTTTTTATCTTGTTCTATTCTGCTGTCCGTCATTATCAAAATTATTTGTTAGATTTATTTTTTAAAAACTTTTTGAAAGTTAATTTTTCAAATTACCTAATGTCACTCAGCATTTATTTTTGTCAAATTTGCAAAAATGATAGAACTGGTTTCCTTTTAAAGCACAGACCAGTTTCGCAATCTCTCACTGTATCTCTCTAGTTCTTACTGGCTGGCTCAGTAACAAAAATACATGGAAGACTTTTATAAGTTTAACAAAATTTTTGCCATGTCATTTAAAAGTTCTAGAATAACATGAAGCTATCTACTTATTATGTTTTCATTTAAAGGAGAATTCTTATTCATCTTAGACATTTCTGTAACTTTAATGATACTATTTTAGTGGAAACACACTCTTCAAAGTATAACTCAAAATTGGTACTTACTCCTTTTTGCAAGTTCTATATGAAATGCCTAAAATAGTGAGTTAGAGTAGAACCTAGATTGCACAGAGTTAAAAAAACAAGATAATAATTGTGACAACTATGAAACATTTATTTTGGTCTTACAGAATAACTGGTAAATTGGAAAGAAGTATTGATGGCATGCAAATAAAAACAAAACAACTTTGTAACAAAATTCTTAATCAAATCATGGCATGAAGGCATTGGATAAAATTATATGGCTGAAAGTCTCTACTCAGTCACATCGATTGTATGACAGATTACAAGACTTTAGTTTTGTGTTCCCATAGAGATGATGAATCTATCCTATTTTCTGTCTGGAAAGACAACAGAACTCTCCCAAAGACGTAAGCATTGATCGTGTCCGAGAAAATCTCTAGATTGCACCATCATCACAGAGCATGCTGGTGGCACTCACCCTCTGAGCTGTGCTGCAGATCGCGGAGTAACTGTCCTTTGTCCCTTGCAGATGCGCATGCACACTCTGTTTAAGTTTGGCTTGCAGGTGGTCTGCACATTGGCTTATCAGAGTGTTGCCTTTAGTTTTCAGGCTGTCCAAACGGTCTTCGAAATTAGCAATTTCTTCCATCATTGCCTAAAAAATGAAGCAGAGTCCTCCTAAGCCCACTTTTAGTTCCAAGTGAACTTTGCATCAAACAGGAAGCTTAAAATCCGTAACTTCACTGTGTAGTAAAGTTTCTAGAAGAGTTTTGCAATCTCTAGATCAATATCAGCAAATTTAAAAAAAGCAGCGTGTGTTTGGTGGTTAGGGATACTGCAACAGGAAAGCCAGTGGGTGTAAGGAAATGATAAGTAAGCCTTTGCTACAGTATGCTCATGCATCATGGTACTATTACCGGAGAAAAGGTATGATTACCAGAGAAAAAAACATTGTTCAGACCTATAATTTATAATTTGGAATAATTTCATCTAAAATAATTATTTTTATGAAATTTATAGATTATTCTAATTTCTATAATGATCTAATGTCTAATTATTTATTTATATAAAACTACGTCTAATGTATATATCAATTAAAGTAATATTTACTCTTTATTAAGCACCTATTATATAGTCCAGGTATTATACATAAGCCCTGAAAAAAACATTGTGTGAGGGGTCTTTAAAAAGTTTATGGAAAGTGGATATTATGAGAAAAACTCCATTGGAGTTCAACATTTTTCCCCCCAAAAATGTTACATTTTCTTTCCGTTTTTCTGTGAGCTTTGTATGTTACAGGTGAGGGGGCTGAAGCAGAGAGAGGTCATGTGATACACTCCAGGTCATACAGGTAATAAATGGCAGAAGCCTCCAGCTCCAGACACGGCTCTGCCTGATTTCAGCTCACACTGCAAGACCCACTCGTGTTCTCTAGTGAGCATTCTCATGGATTATCTAGGGGGGAGGAGCCAGCTTTTTTTTAAAGTAGATTGCAATTTCCCTTTCCATTACAGGATGTAATGACAAAGGACACATTCCAACACAGAGTTGCCAGGGTTGACTCTTCAGTTGATCTCAGGGAAATTCAGTGAGCTCTCAGCACTGCTGTGTGACAGAATATTATACACACCCAATCAAAAAGAATGCATTGAGTTGAATAGAATCATATAATGATTGAAATTTTTTTCCTGTTAAGTCACCCCATAGAATTGTGACCATATGGCATCTGTCAGCTGGTCCACCATAAATATTACTAAAACCACATATTAAAGATAATACCGCATATATTGGTACGTGCTTTCACAATTGTAATCTCCTGTGACTATCAGAACAGTTCTTAGCTGGGGATGGTATTGTGACCATCCATCACAGAGAATAAGAAAGCTCAGAGAGGCTAGGTTTCCTGAGGGAGGAAGGGGAACACATGTTCTAAAATTCAACCTTCTTGAACAACAGTCCTGTATCCTGCCTTTGGCTGCACCTTTCTACAATAGAAATAATCTTCTTCTTTGCTAAATTGTGCTAGAAAATTGAATTTTGAGACACCTTTCAACTGGGGAAAGTGCTATACTGTGCTCAGAAGTCCAATGCCAGCACTGAACCGTTCTTGATTCCCCTGTTGAGTTCCATCGTTCTCAGTTGCCAGATGTGCTGAGACTCAGATCTGACTGACTCTTCAGGTACAATCTTTATATCACAGCTATGCACTGTACACAGGTACACACACACACACACACACAGGCAGCGCGAAGGCCATCCTGGGGCAGCCCATCAGGGATCAGTGTACCTTGTGGTGGGCCAGTTGTTGGGTGATTGTCTCCAGGCTGCTGGTCTCCAGCAGGTCAGGTGCCACCAGCCGGCCCGACATCTGCAGCAGCCACTTTTCCACCTCCTGGAGCTCACTGTTGTATTCTTCGTGGTCTTTGACTTTCGCCTCCAGGCTGAAGACATGCTCCTGTCAAACCAAGTGTCCACCAGAGGTGACTTTCAAGCCCAAAACTAACTTATTCAAAGCTGTTTTGTATTTCACAAGTGCAACAACTCACAGGTTTGTAGAGATAGTTATCTCAGGTGACAACTAGGAATAGAAAAACATGCCATCTAAATGTCCATTAGGCTGAAAGGAAAAGCACTGACCCATACCAATTCTTAAAACTGCCTTGTAGAGAGGAAGGACTCAGGCACCCTCAGGCTGGAAAATAAAGACATTTATTGGATCTCAGATATCCCTTACCTTGGCGGTGCTGCAGAGGTCCTGGTAATCACTTTGAAGTTTGTCTACTTTGTCCTTTAATGTAACATCCTGCACCAGTTCCAGGAGCGCTTCCCCTTTCTCTCTCACTGACTTTACTGATGGTTCCTGGGACAGCACCATTTGTTGAAGGGACTTGAATTACAAAGAAAAGAAAAAGAGCTATCACATCCGTCTGAAAAAGGTGGATACACATGTACCTGTGGCACGGATGGCACACCTCTCTGTGCGGAACAAAGTCCATGAGCCAATGTGTGCGAAACAATAAGGAGAGAAGGCTATATGATTTATGGCTAATACAGTTTTCAAATACATAATGAAAGCAACTGATTACACTTTTCTTTGGGCGTGGAGAAGAACAGTGGGAAGCAATCACGTTTGGCTAAATACACATTTGGCTAACAGCTCCTACTTCTGGATTCAACCTCATTCCTTTTGGTAGAGAAATAAAAATCACAAGATCAGATGAAGGGAGTGAAGCCTCTTTCTTTGATTTTGAGATCAGAAAGTTAGCTCCAGGCTGAGCTAGATTTGGAGCTGGGGGACAGGGCAGAATTCTAGTTGAAAGCTTGCTGAGCTAAAAGCACTATTTAAATACATGGAAAAAAAAATGGAGAAGAGGAAAAGTGATTGTGATTATTATGTGGCACCTTCAAAAACAAGCTGTCAGGCTTGGTCAAGAGGCCAAAGATAGAAACAGAAATATCAGTTGGAAGAGATATTTTAAAAAGCTCCTGAAGGAAAAACTTGAGAGTAGGCCAGTCATTATTTCAGACTATCACCAAACCATTCAGATCAAGTTTAGAACATAAATTATTCCACATATAAGCTTTGATAATTGCTACCCAAATTTGAGCAAGTTAAATAGTTTTAAATCATGGGCAGCTACAGATACATCAAAATTCTTTCAAAAATTAATTTCTAAGGTATTTAGCTATGATTTTAATTAGAATTTATTTTATCCCAAATATGATACCTCATTTTCAATTAACCAAACATTAGATTCTAGGCCTTGGGTACCAAAATATGAATATAACCATTGACCTGGGACAGATAAAATTGTTAGGGAAGGGATCCTGAAATTCACTGGTATCTATCCGGAGGACCTAAAGGGCTGGATCGTACTGTCAAGGAAGATCTACATTTATAGGCTGATGGATGCGATAAATTCATTGACAGATCAGACACTTGAATGGAAGCATAGCACTGAGGTATCTTATTCAGCTCAATAAACCTTTCCCATTTTGTCCCTACAGACCTCCCTCCAAAGTTGCTGACAAGCAACGAAGTTATTACCTTGTATTTAGATAACTGAGCTTTTTTCTCATACAATTCCACTTTGGGTTCTTCAGGACCGTGCAGGATTTCTTGGTATTCTGCTATCCACTGGGTCAGTGCTTTGCATTTATCAGAGAATTCTTTTGTTAAGTGAAGACCTTTCTCCAGGCTCACGTGCTCTTTTCGGACAGTGCTTGTCAGCTCTTTCAGCTGCTCCACGTGATCCCGGATCTCCTTTCTCAACGTCTCAGCCTCCCCTGGCTCCAGGTAGGGAAGAGCCTTCTCTCCCTTCTCCCGGGCAGATTTCAGCAAACTGTGGCCTTTTTCCATGTCTTTCAGCAAACCCTGAGAAAGAGAGGAGTGGGAAGCAAAGGCAGAGTTAGTCTTATTTCTCTCCTTTGAAGAAAAATCTGTCAAGTCCTATTTGGAGTCACCTATTTCCCTTTAAAATAAGCTGTTGAGGGAGTGGCCGTTAAGTCTGAATTCAATTCCTGACTCCAGCTTCCCTCAGATGCAGACCAAGGTAGGCAGAGGTGATGGCTCAACCAATAAGGTTCCTGCCACCCATGTGGGAGACACCAAGATCAAATTGTTGGCTCCAGGCTCCAGCCCTGGCATTTGGGAGTGAACTATAAATGGGAACTCATGTGTGTGTGTGTGTGTGTGTGCGTCTGTCTCTTGAATAAAAAAAAAGTTGTTGAAGTTCATAACGAGATTTCATCTTCCAGGAATCAGGTTATTTTTTAATTTAAATAAAGGTTTTAAAAGTATTCAGCAATGTATCATTTTAAGTCATATACTCAGAAAAGGACTTGGCACTTCTCTATCTTTATTGATCTCCCTAAGAATCTGAGTTAAAACGTGTTATGGCGGCTGGTGCCGCAGCTCACTAGGCTAATCCTCTGCCTGCGGTGCCGACACACCGGGTTCTAGCCCCAGTTGGGGCGCCGGATTCTGTCCCGGTTGCTCCTCTTCCAAGCCAGCTCTCTGCTGTGGCCCGGGAGTGCAGTGGAGGATGGCCCAAGTGCTTGGGCCCTGCACCTGCATGGGAGACCAGGAGGAGGCGCCTGACTCCGGGCTTCAGATCAGCGCGGTGCGCTGGCCACAGCAGCCACTTGGGGGGTGAACCAACGGAAAAAGGAAGACCTTTCTCTCTGTCTCTAACTCTGCCTGTCAGATTAGAAACAGAAAAAAAAAAAAAAAAGACCCTGTAAGGGCATTGGACTGGGACTAACTGGACTATGCATCTGAGATGGAGTCTCTTAACACCTAACAAAGTAGAAATTGGTGAAGTCTTTCACGGGAAGCACCACAAGTGAAAGCCACGTTTGGCCTCATGATGTTTCGAATGAAATGATGCGCTCCAGATCATCAGTCGTGTGGATCTGGGTTGGACACAGGCATTTTTCTACATCTCCACGGGGGAAGCAGACACTGAGTGAATGAGGAGAGGTTTGAGACAAGTCTGCAGGATGCAGGCCTACCTCCAATGTCTTCAGTTTCTTCTCCATCATGACTTTATCTACTTTATCAATCTTGGTAGCCACATTCTTGAAGTTTTTATGCGTAGAGCCATACCAGTCAGAATAGGAACTGAGGGATAATTCTGATTCCTCCAAACTCTGGATCTCTTCCTCCAGGAATTTCACTTGTTCCTTGCAAAGAAAAGAGAAACATGAACCAGGGATAGAAGTCCTGCACCAAGGTCTTCGTTGATAAGTACACAAGTGCACTGGAAGTTACAGAAAGGCTTGTGGCCGCCGCCGCGGCTCACTAGGCTAATCCTCTGCCTTGCGGCGCTGGCACACCGGGTTCTAGTCCCGGTCGGGGCACCGGATTCTGTCCCGGTTGCCCCTCTTCCAGGCCAGCTCTCTGCTGTGGCCAGGGAGTGCAGTGGAGGATGGCCCAGGTGCTTGGGCCCTGCACCCCATGGGAGACCAGGAGAAGTACCTGGCTCCTGCCTTTGGATCAGCGTGGTGCGCCGGCCGTGGCGGCCATTGGAGGGTGAACCAACGGCCAAAGGAAGACCTTTTTTCTGTCTCTCTCTCTCACTGTCCACTCTGCCTGTCATAAAAAAAAAAAAAAAAAAAAGGCTTGTGAGGCTTTGGTCAACTCACCAGCACTTGGAGCAGCAGGGCCTGGTACCTGGAGGTCAGCTGCGTGGCCTGGCATCCCAGGCTGCTGCCCACGTGGCTCTCGTCCAGTATCTCCTGTGCTCTCGCTCCCACGTCCTCGACCTCATCTCTGTAAGCAGTCACTTCTTCCTGCCATTTCTGAAATGACACAGGAGTTGGAGGGAAAGTCCAATCTTAGCCATCTTGAACAAGACAAGTACACACATATATCTTCTTAACAGGAAGTGATTCCAGCATGTATTTAGAATATATTTATTCTGAGATGTAATTTTGATGTCATATATAACCTTTGTGAAAAAAATGTATTATGGTAACACTATAAAAGCCATAAATTTGAGAATTTGGGGACCTTTCTTCATATATTACAATTCTGTTAAAAACTGTAAAAAAATGACATTTTTTGTATTTTCTTTCAACTTTAAAAATAGATGAAAAAATAAGAAGAAATTCTCAAAGTCCAAGCATTATTGTTGGATGCATACACTGAAATCGCACAAAACTAGAATAAAATTAATTATCAAATATCATTTCAATGTACAATGTCTGAGCAATTTCATATCAGAACTGTAAACTTAGGTGATTGTAGTACCAGCAAGTATATCTTTACAAAGCAAGGCTATAGGGTATGAGAATAAAATATAAAATACTTCCATTAAGCTACATTCTATCAAAGGACAAGCTATGAAATAAGCACCGTAAGATGTATGCTTCATTGTAATTTTTAAGTTTCTAAGCAGAGAGATTTTACAAAATCTAAGCCTTAAACAGTTAAAATTTTAATGAAACAAGTAACTGCTGTATTCAATTCCCATGAGTGGTACCTTCATCTGATGTAACTGTATCTCCTTGGTGGCCCGGTTTGACTGACGCCCTGTCCTAAGACTAACTTTCTCCTCCACTGTTTTTAGCCATTCATCCACTTGCTGAAACTTCTGCTCCATCAGCCTCAGTTTGTTCACGATGTTATTGACCTGAGTTCGGGTCTCAGACAGTCTGTGTTGGAAAGCCTGCCAGTCCTGCCGCAGGGACTCCAGCAGCCGGTCCTCCGCCTGTGGGATACCTGAGGGGATCACTTCCTCCCTGGTGTGCAGCACTGAATTCAACAGGGCCTGCCCCTCTGCACAGTGCACCTGCAGCTCCTGCGAAGAAAAAGGCATGGCTGTTACACCTCACCCACAGTTCACACTTGCATGGGTTCACACGGCTACACAGCTGACCCAAGCCAAGTGGGCCAGCTTGAACCTGACAGGGGAGAAATTTATTCTACCTATATAAAAAGTTTGCATGTAACACTAAATACTGTTTCTCAAGTCAAGAGAAAGACTTTAACATTTTTCCAATTAAAATAATTACACACACACACATACACACATCCTAATATTTTTCTCAATTAACAGTTTCTGAAATTGGGCTTTTCAGCCAAAAGGCAAAAACATATATGATGAAAGGAGCTATTGTTTAAAAGAATGAACTAAGTTTGTAACTGAATGAGCTCAGTGCCAAACATGTCGGTGGGAATGGAGTCACGGACCGGCTTTCTGCAAAGGAGACATCTGTTGCTAAAGCTGTACGCTCAAGAACATGGCAACTAAGAACAGGTAGACACGGGGGGTACCAGGCACCCATTCCAGGCAGGCTGGATCATCACAACAGCCCTAAGCATGCCCTGGTACAAACACATTTCTTCCACTAAAGCATAAGCCCAAAGATTTTCTCTGCACATCCAGTTTCACCAAGTCTTTAAGAGCATAATCTTTTTCAAAGAGAAAAATCTAATATCCTTAAAGATGTTGGCAAAATAATAGATACTTGCATTTCTAATGATTAAAAATATCTGTACTGTCACTTGATCTGATCATCTGAAGTAAATGGATAAAGGCAAACCCCACCAAGAATGTTTAAAGTACCAACAAATTTAGTTAAAATATAATATTGAGGGGCTGGCTAAGCTGTAGCTTAGTGGGTAAAGCATCCCATATGGGCATCGGTTTGAGTCCCAGCTGCTCCATTTCTGATCCAGCTTTCTGCTATGGCCTGGGAAGGCAATAGAAGATGGTCCAAATCCTTGGGCTCCTGCACCCTCATAAGAAGACCCAGAGGAAGCTCCTGGCTCCTGGCTTCGAATCAGTGCAGCTCTGGCCATTGCAGCCAATTGGGGAGTGAACTAGTGGATGGAAGACCTCTTTTTCTCTCTTTGTGTCTTTGCCTCTCTGTAACTCTGCCTTTCAAATAATTAAATAAAACTTTAAAAATATGTATAAAATCTATTTAAAAATATGAGGTTAAAAAGACCCTTACAAACAGATCCAATCATTCGAAATTGCTGATATCTAATCATTTTACCCAAAAAATTAGCAACCTCATATGGTTTATGCTTATAGAATATTTTTTTCCATATGATGTCTTTCCAAGAATGGTGTAACCTGAAAGTATATCTTCATGGAAAAATAATGTTAAAATATTAATCAAAATAGACACAAACACAAAAACAGAAAATTTATTACAAATTCTCAGATTGTTTTACAAGGTAATTTCAAGACTCACTCAAGACTCCCAACTCAGAGTCACCGAACTGTCTGAAAAAGGCCTAATAGTAAATATCTTGGGCCTTGTGGGCCACTTAGTCTGTACTGCAAGTACTTAATTATGTCCTTGCAGCACTAACGTAGCCAAGAAAACATGTGAATGAACGAGTGTGGCTGTGTTCCACTGAAATTTTACTCAAAACATAGACGTCATGGCCATTGCTGTAGGTAACTGATTCCTACCCTAGTTTGTCTTCTCAGTTCTTCATCATTTCTACCTTTTATGAAAAATGGTTTTATCTATTATACAAATTATACTACTAGATAAGATTCTCATATATTCTATATTTCAACTATTTATTCTGGAGAATAAATATGGTTCAATATTTAATACAGAGATATGTTCTATGACCCAAGTTTGGCTTTTGGCTTACACAAAGTAATTTGTGAATTGGTTCAGGGTACCACTGATGGTCATAGTGCATGCCACAGGACAACAGCATCCTACAGAAGTTCTGCTGTGTCACTGGAGCATTGTAATTCTCTACCACTGTTTCCTGCCATTAGCATCTTCTTGCCTTTTGAGCATTGGTGGTTACACAAATAATAAGGATGAAGTGAGGGGTTGGAGTTATATTTGAGACACAATGATAGTGACTTAAGTGAAATGTTTTTTCTGCTGCTGATGAGTAACTTCCTGATTGGTAATTTCCCAATTCCTGCACTGAAGCCCAGAGTACACAGTGTGTGATGGCCAGGGCATCTTGACCAGAGTCCTAAGGGTTATTCAGAGAAAAGTCTAGTCAAATATATCGTAACAGCTATTCTCCGCAGATCCAGAAATCCCATTCTTTTAAGGCAAGGGTGAATAAGACGCTTAAGTAAGCTAACCAAACTGCGATTCTTCTCACTTCTACTACCTGTTATACAAACAGACCATTGCACTTTTCTCTTGCCTGAAGTCACCACAGGTCCTATTCAAGGAGTCCAAATTTCCTGACCCCAACTTGTTCTTCTACCATTACACAACAGCCCCTGAGGTCTAACAGAAAGAATCCGAAATTTTATAAGCAATGAAACCAAGATAGGCCCTGCTTTTTCCACTTCATCTAAGCTGTGGGTATATCCTGCCCAATCCTGAACCAACACTAGTGTTGGCTAACAATCAATGAATGAGTTCCAGCACTCCATTGGGGGGATGTGGAGTAGCCTTACTTGCCTGCCTTCATTCTATGGCTATACCTGCTAGCCCCTTTTATGGGGAACCTCCATGACCTCTACCACCTCTCAAGGTCAGTTAAGGGACCCTCATGGACGTGACCATAAAATTACTTGCATTAGTTGGTTACTATCTTCATGACCTTGTTCATAATAATCTACTTGTGAGTTTGTGTTCTTCATCAGATTACAAGTTCCTCAAAGACAGAAGCAATACTTTAATCATCTTCACTTGATGTGGCTACCAAAGTATGTGCATTGTATTACCTGTTCCATAAATGCTGAATGAGTGAATAAGTAGATGGGTTATAACTCCTTCCCCTACTTTGTCTGATATCATACCATAAATTGCAGCCTACTGGCCCAAACACCTCTACTTTTTTTTGAGTTTCTCTGATTTCTTCTAGAATGCTGAGCTGTGATCCACAGCCCCATTGGTGTGGGAAGTTTTTATTGAAACCAGATGGCACAAGATACTTCCAACAGTCTGACTTAGAGTAGTGCCACATTCCATTGACTCTAATTATCGTGTCTCCTGTTTTATTTGATCCTTTAGGGAGCAAGAGGCAGGGATACAAGTGAACACCATAAATAAGGTCGTTAGCCATTTCTATCAAGGGCCATCTGAGTATCTGAATGAGTTTCCCAAGTACCTGTTCTAAAATGCCTACCAAATGATCTCAACTAGCAGACACTTCTCAAGTCCCAGAATACCCTATATCAAGCCTTACTTGGGTTGCACCTAATATGTGTCAGCCTGTACAGGAGTCAAGGCCATTTTAACTTCTTGTTTAAAATATTAATTCCATGTTCAGAATGAAGGGCGCTTCATTTTAGGATAAAGTAGACTTTACCTGAAGTTCCCGTAGTGTTGTCTCATGAGTGTGAGCATCACCTTCAAGAATCGAGTATCTATTAAGCTTTTCTTGCTCTTGTGCCAACCAAGCTTCAAAAGCCTTTAGGTCTCTCTGATACTCTTGGTGCAGGCGAACAAGTTTTTCAAACTTGCTCATTGCTTCCTGTAATTAACATTTCGAATTGTTGAGATAATAATACATTGCTATGTGCAGTGTCAAAGGGCTGTACCAAATCACTTTTGAAATTTTAGAAAAATATTATTAAATCACTGATTGATAGGATTTCCTAGGAGAATGAAATTTCAAGGCTTATGTAAAAAATATGAAAATGTAATACTCCAGCATTAAGAGATCTTAAAGATCACACTGAATTAACAACCTGATCTCTACATTTTTTATGAAAGTTAGCATAGATGTGTCAAAACACGAATGTTCATAAAAATTCAATTTTGCTAATGAAGAAAGTTGAAATTCTTATAGTCTGCCTTGAAGAACCAGACTCACTGTGGATTTCATTTTCCATGTACTTTTTCTAATAAAGTAGGATACATGCACAAAAGAATTTTAATTTTCTTTGTGAGGCTTAAATGAAGAATGCTGAATATTATTGGTGATTGTCTTTTACCTGTGAAAACTCTCATCACTAGATATAGGGTAGTTCTGAAACTTCATCTTAATCTATTTCGAACTTTTGTTAAATTGGTACATTTCTATATATTTCTCATTGAGCTTTACTCTATTCAGTAACTTTCGTATGTTGACAATATTTGAAGGCTTTGGCTGATTTTCCCAGTGACACATTGAACACATTCAAATTCATTTTTGCTTCTGTAGTTCTGCCTTCATAAGCTTGCCAGTCTCAAAAATAAATGAGCATTATTCCAAACACTCTAATTTGGGGGCATCTAAGAGGAACCTGCTGAGTCATACCTTGGCCTTCTCTCTGATTGTGCTGTACCGTTCCTGGAGATCCTGGAGTTCTAACTGGGTGACATAGTGCTCCGTCATGCCAGCCCCTTTGACTTCAATGGTCTCCAGCAGGCTGCTGTGGCTCAACACTTCTTCATTCAACAACTAGAAAAAATGTTGAAAAAATGAGTTTCCTATGCATCTATCAGTACTACTAAAATTCAGATATTTTACCTATACAGTTGACAAACAACCTCAGTGTATCCATATATGCATCTATATACTTAGCTTTTTGATATAGAGACATGTTCGAACATATGAATGTATACTTGCAGGCATTCAATATCTGGCCCAGACCTGTCTCTGAGACACTAACTTCCAATTGACTACTTGATATTTCTATTCTGCTATCTCAAACTTACTATGTCCAGAAATGTGTTCTTGATCTATGGCCAGTTGTCATTCTGCCTTGGACCCCACCAAACAATTATCTACTTCAGGTGTTGCTCAGACAGTAAATGCCTCCACTCCCCACCATGTAGACAATTCAGAAATCTGCATGTATGCCAGAGTTGTCCCTTGCTGTCTGTCAAATGAAATCTCATTAGTTCTACACCACAATATCATGATATTTGTCATGCATCCTGCAAACTCCCTTGCCCATGGAGCCCTCATCTCTCCTTTGAGCTTTTGTAGTAGTCTCCTAGTAAGATCCTAGCTACTAATTCTTGCCGCATCCTTTTTCCAGACTCCATACAGTAGCTTACATGAAAAAATGTATGACAACTGAAAATGGAATCATGTCACTTCCCAGTGTAAAGCATCACCTGTCTTCTCAATGCTGTCAAGATAAAATGAAAAATCCTCATGGTAGCCAATAGGATGATGTGTGATCAGGTCCCTGTCACCTCTCTCAACCAGCAAAATCTGCCAATTTATTTTCTGCTCTAACAACTTTCCACATTTCTTTCAATGCCCTAGCACATCAGGTGTTTCCCTTGTTGGGGCCTGTGTACATGTTGTTTATTCAATCTAGAATGCTCTTTTCTCAACTAATTTCTCTGTTTTACGTACTGTAGGATGTAGTCCACCTGCTTATTGTTAGAGGGGTGTTTTGTGTCCTCCTAGCCAGCCCAAAGCCATTATTTCAGCCCGTTCCAAACTCCTGTCCCACCATGCCACTTGTTTCTTCATAGTGCTTATCAGTTATAACTGTTTTTTTATTCATACACTTATTGAGTGTAAATATTCCAACCAGAACACAACCTTGCCTGTTCATTCACCTAGAATGGATGCATTGCCTGCATGGAAAATTTTTCAATAAATATTGATTGAATAGATGAATAATCTAACCAATTGGGCAATTAATTAGTGTAACACATAGTAAATGTGGATAATTACAAAGTAGATAATCCTATTAATATATAGATGCATAAATAAGATGCAGAAATATTAAGTGACTTGTCATAGACCACATAAGACCATGAAGTCATTCAAATATCCATTACTCAGCATTTGCTCTGTTTCAGAAAGACAAGTGCTTAGGATGGAAAGAAAACTAAGCATTTCTTCACTAAGGAGAGGGACATGTAAACATTTTCCTATAAAGCCCAGGATCATTGCGGTGGTAGTATCATAAAAAAAAATAACTTCTAAAACAACTCAGTAAGGTGAGTAGGGCTTCCCAGGTAGAAGACAGAACAAGCACATTCTAGCAAAAGGAAGACATGCTGGGGCTGGCACTGAGGCTAGCGCGTACAGCCACCACCTGCAGTGCCTGCAATCCATATGGGGGCTGGTTCGAGACCCGGCTGCTCCACTTCTGATCCAGCTCTCTGCTATGCCCTGGGGAAGCAGTAGAAATGGCCCAAGTCCTTGGGCCCCTGCACCCACGTGGGAAACTGGAAAGAAGCTCCTGGCTTCAGATTGGCACAGCTCTGGCCGTTGCAGCCATTTGGGGAATGAACCAGCAGATGGAAGACCTCTCTCTCTCTCTCTCTCTCTCTCTCTGCCTCTCCTTCTCTCTGTAACTCTGACTTTCAAATAAACAAATAAATATTTTTTTTAAAGAAAGGGAAGACATGCTGCAAAGACAGGAGAGGTTGGAGACCATAACACTTTCAGGAAACAGTTTGAGATTTGGTACAGCTGGAACATGTAGAGGGAGAGGGTGAGACAGGGAAGGAGATGAGGATGGCAGAGAAGCTTATTAACATTTTTACAAATCAGGCGAGGGGTGTTGATATTACACAATAGCCAGTGAGAAGTCAACAGAGGCTCCTTAGCAGGGAAGTGAGATATTCACCTTTATACGAAGATAGCAGTGGATGGAGGTAAGCAAGAAGGTGAGAAACTAGGAGTCTTCCAGTTTAAACGAAGTGGATGGATCAGGGGTATCTACGAAGTAGATACGAAGTAGGTGGGGATGAGAAAGGAGGATGTGGGGATGAGAAAGGAGGATGTGGGGATTTTGCAGTTTCCAATTTTGTACAGTCAGCATGGGGTGATTAACAGGGATGGAAATTGAGAATCTAAAAGCTTTGAGGGTTTCTGTTTAGGACATGACAAGGTAGAGATATAACAGGCAACTGGTGAGCACGCCCTGGAGTAAAGGTGTAGCTAGAAGTCAAAGGACTCCAAGATTTTATGTTCCAGTACTATTATTTATCAAAAAAAAATTAAGAACACATCTTTAATATTATTTAAAAATTTTATCTGTCATAGGGTACTGATACAGCATTGGGGAAAACACAAAGAAGTAGTAATACCAAAGAATGTGGTACAAAGAAAGCATTTTTTCCTAATGATGAGCAGGCTGAAGATCCTACAAGTTGTTACCTTTTAAATGGTCTCTATCATAAAACATGGATCTGGGGCCACTACTGTGGCGTAGTGGGCTAAACCTCCGCCTACGGTGCCAGAATCCCATAAGGGCGCTGGTTTGAGTCCCGGCTGCTCCATTTCTGATGCAGCTCTCTGCTATGGCCTGGGAAAGCAGTACAAGATGGGCCAAGTGCTTGGGTTCCTGCACCCATGTGGGAGACCTGGAAGAAGCTCTTGGCTTCGGATTGGCTCAGCTCTGGCCATAGCAGCCATCTGGGGAGTGAACCAGTGGATGAAAGACCCCTCTCTCTGCCTCTCCCTCTGTAACTCTGCCTCTCAAGTAAATAAATAAATCTTTAAAAGAAATTTAAAAAAATAAAACATGGATATGCTTGGTTTTCCTGGAACAGAAATTTTCTGTTAATAAATAAACATAAGGACAAAGTCCACTTTAAGAACCATTAGAAATTACAGTTCAGGCTCACAATAAAATTGGCTTGCATGTGCATCCGTGCATACAGGACATCCCAGTTTGTGTGAAGGGACATTCCAAAGCAGCCTGTAGGAGATCAAACGGAATCTGAAATCCATCTCTAACCTTGGCTTTTCCAAGAGCAGTTGCTTTCTCCTGCAGCTCAGTATACTGCCTTTCGGATTCATTTAGGCTGGCTTCCACGCTGTCCATCCAACTGGAAAACTGTCGCACGTCATCCTGATAACTTGTCCATTTAGAAAGTGCTCCTTCAAGTTGACTGGAGGGATTTGAAAGGAGAATCATCAATACTGAAAATCTCTGCGAGTCCAATTATTTTTCACTGCGTCTGCTCTCCCCCAATCCAACTAACAGGGATTCCAGAGATCAGGAAAGGGGCAGGCTTCGCAGAGGGCGGCTGGCCTGGGGTCATCATATCCAAGCCTAAGACTCTGCCAAGGAGAGTTGGAAAGCAAGGGGGAGTGAAATCCATGTCAACATGTAGAAAAGTGGGCCTGGACACAAACCCAAGAGGCAGTGAGCAGGGAACACACTGGGAGGTATGGAGGAGGTTGGAAGGTGAACCCGGGAGGATCCTGGGTGGGTTTTCTCTGAAGCCCAAACTCAGGGCAGGCAGAGAGAGGCAACACCCAACTCTGCCAAGCTGGCCAGGACACTCAGAGCAAGAGAAAAAAAGGAAATTACTAAAGGAAGGAAGGAATACCCAAGAAAGAATAAATGCAGTACCCACCTTTCGTGAAAACTGAAAATCAGAAAATCACAATGGAAAAAAAACAAACATTTCCTGAATTGGTCTAAATATTAAAACTCAATTATTTGTCTTACAAATAACTTCTTCAAGTCCCTATCTCAACCCTCACTGCATTTTTAATGCCATTCATGATTTATACCTAATTTTATCACTTTGATTTGAGTTCTTTTGCAGCAGTCATTGTCAGTGTCGCAAACACAGACACCTGCAGCATATGGCCAGCCAGAGTCTAATGGCCAGCTCCTGGGTCTCTGGGCCTGAGTACATCCTCTCTTACCAGTGTAATCTCAGCCTGGGGGCGATGGAAGTGAGGAGTAGGGGGGATGGTCTCGCCCAGGAGGAAGCCCGGATTGCCCTCTCCTCTCACTGGGTTTATTTAAAACATGCCAGTCCTTTATCAGCTTCTTAGTATTTGCTGGGGCCATTTCCCAATAAACTACTTGATCATATATTTATAGTATAAGTAACATATTTAATATTCTATTTATATTTAATATTTTATAATATTTATATTTAATATTGATTATATATAGTATAAAACCTTTCTTTATCTTTCTGTATGAGCTACAAACTATGCATTTTAGTTATTTGAAATATATTTTAATATGTATTTAAATATATTCTTATTATTTAAAATTTTATTTATTTATTGACAGGCAGAGAAAAAAGGAGAAACAGACACACACATAAACAGATGGCAGACAGAGGGATACAGAGAGATCTTTCATCTGCTGGCCCACTCCCCAAATGCCTGCCATGGCTGGGGTAGGGCCAGATCTGGAGATGGAGCAGGAGCTGTGAACTCAATCCAGGACCATCATGTAGATGGCAAGCACCCAACTCCTTGAGCTTTTATCATCGCCTCCCAAAGGCTGCATTAGCAAGAAGCCAGAGTCAGGAGCTGGAGCTGATAACTGAATCCAAGCACTGCAACGTGGAATGTGGTGTCTTAACTGCTAGGCTAAATGTTCTCTCCTAAAATAGACTTTTTTTTTAACATTAGGATGATCTGCATACAATTGCAGGTCAACATAAGTATAAATACACTTGTCTGCTTTTTTTTTTTTTATTCTAGTAAGAAGAGAGAGAGAATGAGAAAAGAATGATCAAACCAACTACATGACTAGTCTGTTGCTGAAGTATGAGGGGACTTCATAGACTTCAGGAAAAAAAGTCATTAAAAGACATTCTGATGCAACAAATGGAAACCCATGAATAATTTTTCTTTTCTTTTCTTTTCTTTTTTCTTTTTTTTTTTTTTTTTTTTGACAGGCAGAGTTACACAGTGAGAGAGAGAGAGACAAAGAGAAAGATCTTCCTTTTTCCGTTGGTTCACCCCCCAAGTGGCCGCTGCAGCCGGTGCGCTGCGTCGATCCAAAGCCAGGAGCCAGGAGCTTCTCCTGGTCTCCCATGCGGGTGCAGGGCCCAAGGACCTGGGCCATCCTCCACTGCACTCCCGGACAACCAGGACAGAATCCGGCACCCCGACCGGGACTAGAACGCAGTGTGCCAGCGCTGCAGGCAGAGGATTAGCCTAGTGAGTCATGGCGCCAGCCCCATGAAAAATTTTTTAAAGGTACATTTGCATGAACATTTGGAGGACCCCTCAGATTATACCGATTTTTTAGGACATGACTTGCAGTGCAGGGCTGCAGTTTCTCTTACCTTTTGCAACGAATGGCTGCAGACAAGAGCGACGCCCACATGTCCTTTACACTCTGCAGCTGCAGCTGAACTGCAGGCACGCCTTCTGGGGAGGTATTCTGCAGGACGTATTCTCCCCTGGCCACTATCATTTTCATCTGAATCTCTTTTTCCTGCTTCACTGATAATAAAGCCTGTAAAAGCAAATGCAGAAACCCTTGGCTATTTGTATGCTTAACATTTCTCAATTCAAATATTGTAGAGCTCTTGAAGGTGGTAGAATAATATGCAACTTTGTTGAGCTAGGAAGCCCCCAGGTGCTGAGATGGTGGGCGAATAAGCAGCTTGCAGGTGAGTACTAGCAACCAGTCACATGCTGGTATTTTTCTAAAGATTTATTTTATTTATTTAAAAGTCAGAGTGACAGAGACAGAGGAAGATACTGGCATAGAGATATCATCCATCTGTTAGTTCACTTCCCAAATGGCCACAACAGCCAGGGCTGGGCCAGGCTGAAGTCAGGAGTCAGGAACTCTATTAGGGTCCCATGTGGGTGGCAGTGGCCCAAGGACTTGGGTCATCTTCTGCTGCTTTCTCAGGTGCATGAAAAGGAAGCTGGATTGGAAGTGCGGCAGTCTGGACTTGAACAGTTCTAGATACAGGGGCACTGCAAATGATGGCTTAACCTGCTGCACACAGCCAGCCCCACCCACTGGTCTGTAAGTGACCTTGGCTTTCCAGATTTGCAGTTTTCTCTGAATAATCTCTTCCTTCCATAGAAGTTTACTGGTTTTGATAAAGGAATTATAAGCTACAGAATTCATGAATTCTGCAAGGTCATCAGATGAAGAGGTTATAAATGTTAAGGTCTCCAGAATTACAGAGGTCTAGAAATGTATTACATGTTCCAAGTTCTCCACAAGCACCACTCTTTTAATGTTTTAATTCAAAGTTACAAAACCAGTAGTACCACTAGCAATCACTCACCATGCTGTTTTTCTCTGGAATAATTCTCAAATTTCCACCTAGTTATCTTTTGCTGTGATAAGCTCCTCCATCATCATTTATTATTATTATTACATTATATTATTATTTTTATTTTATTTGAAAGTCAGAGATATAGACATACCAAGAGATTGTCCATCTGCTGGTTCACTTGGGCCTGCAACAGCCACAGCTGGACCAGGCTGAAACCACAGGAGCCTGGAACTTAATCTGGATCTCCCACATGAACGGTAGGACCAAATCACTTGGGCCATCACCTGCTGCCTCCAGGGTGTACTACAGCAGGAAGTTGGAAGCAGGAGCCCATAACTGAACCCAAGCACTCCAGTGTGCAATAATGGCATCCCAGGCAGTGACTGAACTGCTGCAACCACACACCTATCCCCGTCCCTCATTCCTAAAACTTGGGTTAGTATCAGACTTCCTAAGAAACCTGATCCAACTTTCAACCCCACCCAGCCCACACAATTCCACTCCTGTCTGTATCTGTAACAACCCTGTTTTTTGTCTTCTGTATTTCAACCTCCAGTCTCAGACAATAAAATCCTTGAGGACAAAGGTCACATTTTACTCACATTTGATCTCTTGATGTCAAGGAAAAGTGCCAGTCTCCTAGAAGGCACCCAGTATACAAATGAGTGCAGATTTATTATTTTCATCACAAACATAAAGTAGAACTAGTATCTTGGGATGGGAAAAGAATTGACTGAATAATACAGGCAGGCAAGTGAGTTGAATAGAATTTGAAATGTATTGCCCTACAAAATATTTCATTGTATTTTCTCAAAATAAAGGCTCTGTGATATAATTGGAAGGTAACCTCTTAAATGACTATCAAGGAAGCAAGCACATTTGGGTTTCATTTTATGTTATATACAGCATTTACGGGTGGCTGTGTCCAGGAATGAGTGACTTGGGACTGCTTGGGCATGCCCCACTACATAAACAGGGTCACATCCTCAAAGCATTCTAAGATTCTCATGGAGAGGGTGTGACGTCATCATGCCGGGAGGAGACACAGCTTGTTAGAGATATTTCTCTTTAAAAGTACACACCTCGGCCAGCGCCGCGGCTCACTGGGCTAATCCTCCGCCTGCGGCGCCGGCACACCGGGTTCTAGTCCCGGTCGGGGCGCCGGATTCTGTCCCGGTTGCCCCTCTTCCAGGCCAGCCCTCTGCTGTGGCCAGGGAGTGCAGTGGAGGATGGCCCAAGTGCTTGGGCCCTGCACCCCATGGGAGACCTGGAGAAGCACCTGGCTCCTGCCATCGGATCAGCACGGTGCGCTGGCCGCCGCAGCGGCCATTGGAGGGTGAACCAATGGCAAAAGGAAGACCTTTCTCTCTGTCTCTCTCTCTCACTGTCCACTCTGCCTGTCAAAAATAAATAAATAAATAAATAAATAAATAAATAAAGTACACACCTCAAGCTTGAGCATCCTGCTGTCCAGCACGCTTTTGTCAGATGTGGGGTGGCAATAGGAATCCAGCATGTGAACTGCATCCGTCATCCAGTCCTGCAAGTCTTTAATCCCGAGAGAGAACTGATTGTGCTCTGTGACAATTCTGTCCAGCCTCGACACTTTCTCCTGAAAGGACAGACATGGTTTTCTAGCTGTTGCTTTCCCAGAGACCTCACCCTCGAAAGCTAATCACATTGTAACTGTTTATTCTTTTAAAGCTTTAATGAATGCATCTTTCACAGGTACAACTTTAGGAATATAGTGGTCCTTTCCCCCATACCCACCTTCCCACCCGACTCCCATCCCACCTCCTACTCTCTCTCCTATCCCCTCCTTCATTATGGTCTGGATGAAAGGCCTGTGAGAGCTTTTCAGGCATGGAAAGCCAAGACTCTGTGGCAAAATATATCCTACACGAAGGGTCTCTGTGACACCTCAGTGGAAAGAAGGGGCCATCAAAGAAGGATGTACTCTTCTCTGAAGGGAGGAGAGAACTTCCACTTTGATTATGGCCGTATCCAAATACTGATGGAGTCTGTGGTCACAAAAGGCTTCCATAGCCTTGAAATCTCATGGCAAGAGCCTCAGGTGATCACTGACATCATAAATAGGAGTTTTAATTGTTAAAGGAACAACAGAAGTCACTGTGCAGTTACTCCCCGTGTAGGACCTCTGTCCTTAATGAGCTGTACTATGAGAATTAACTGCAAAACTTGTTCTCAAACTGTACTCTATATGTTGTGTGTGTATGCAAACTGTTAAATCTGTACTTAACATAGAGTTGGTCCTCTGTATATAAAATTAAACTAAAAATGTAACTGTTTATTGTAACTGTGATCAGTCATATCCTGGTCTGTAGAAACTCTGAGATACGAGAAATAGCCTTCTAAAGGTACCACAATCACTGGATCAGAAAACAGAAAACTTTATTTATTATTCCTGAACTTATTTATATGAATCATGATTTCTTTGTATACCAATAAAATTTCATCCTAATTCCTCATTTGGAGGATTAGTCAAAGTACATTCTAGTTCTTTTAGTTTACAAAGTCCATATCTCTTAAAGCATTCAAATACTGTATTTATTACTTTTTGGTATCTAAATACAAAGAAATAGAACTCCTTTATCCATTCCAATTTTAGCTATGTGCCAGAATTTTCTAAATACAGGAAGAAATAACTTATTCCTAGAATTAGCTTGGGTGTGAAGAGGCTATTTACTCCCAAGTCCTATACTAGCATGACAGTCTCAAAGATGTTTCATTGAAGACTCGAATTAGCAGACCAGAAGTGAGTCCACACTAGAGTAGGTGAGGCCAAATGGAAGAAAACATGCAAATACAATGAGTTGCATATACCCTAACATGAAATTAAGAATACATAGGAAACAAATGTTAAAAGCCACCTACAACCCAATAGGCCTGTGCCATCCAGGTCAAGGTGTGTCTACATTACAGCAGCTGACTGATTTGAATGAGATCAAGGTGGGACCCCACTTTTTCCTAAGCTGTGTGAAGGGATTTAATCAGTCATATAAATCTGCTAATTGTGAGCTCTGCTTGGCAATCTGCACTGAAACTCTCAATCAACACACACCTGACTACCATGAATGTAAGGTATTTAGATAGATTTTTAAAATCACCCCCAAACTCACTATATTTGGACCATGAAGATTCAAACTGAATTTATGTTTTCCTAGGGTAATTGACTCTAAGATTCTCTAGAATAAAAACTCTGAATTTTGCTTTGTGTTTATGCTTCAAATCTTTAAAAATCAAAGTCCCAGGGAACTTCTAATTGAGTACTCAAAGGAATATTTTGTGCAATAGAGATGGGAAATCTCTTTGGTCTTTGAAACTTCCCTGGTTCTTTTCAGAGAAACACGTGGAGATGATGCCGCATAAATGGTCACCTTGGACTGCAAGGTTGGAGACACAGCACTTGCAGGGCTTACTGTAGACAACACACTGTGGGGGTTCAGGACGGACTCCCAGCACCACCTACCTCCATGTCAGTTTTGCAACATCAAAATCACACACACACACAGCATATGCCAGGCGCGTTACCTTGGTTAAATTGCTCAGAGCGAGATACTGAGAAGACAGCTGCGACACTCTGTGCACAAAGCTCCTGCTGGCAGCTTGTCCCTCCCACAGCTGTTGAGCTTTCTCTTTCAGCCTGTGGAGCTGAGGCTCGTAGCAGTGTATTTCCTCAAGGACAGACTGAAAAGCACAAGCGAGTTACCATTCAGAGGCTGGGGGAAGCACATTGCAGACAAAGCACTGGCTCAAAGAACACAGAAATAAACACTGGCAAGCAGTCCGTGTCCCCGGAGGCATGATTATTCCAGGCTACATACACTGGAGCATTACAGGATGGAAAAAAAAAAAGTCACTCCTCAGAAGAAAGTCAGAAAACACAGAATCCATCAGACATAAGGAGGGGCACACCACATCTCAGGGCTGCGTATCCCGACGCCAGCACACATGTCTGCACCTGCAGCAGGGCGGTCCTACAGAGGATGGGCAAAGGTATGCTCAGTCAGCCCACGGGGCTGCTTACCTGGAGCTTCTGCTGTTCCCTCCTCTTTGCCGGCAGGTCGTAGAGACGATTGCTGCTTTCATGCACCACCTTCTCAGTTTTGCTGAGCCAGTTCTGCACAGGCTCAGCACTCACTTCAAAGTCCTTCATTTGGACCTTTAGATTCTGGGAAGATTTAGACAGTGCCAGGGACAAAACAAATTTAATAGTGAGTCTGGAGTCTCTTGCTTGGCATTCAAAGCCCATCCAAAGGTAGCCACACGGCTTCCCTCCCTGTCCCTCTCATTTCCCAATGTTTGGGACATTCCGTCTTTTACCTTGGTACCTGTATCATTTTTGAACAGTCTCTATGAACTTTTTTTTTTTTTTGACAGGCAGAGTGGACAGTGAGAGAGAGAGAGAGAGAGAGAGAAAGGTCTTCCTTTTGCCGTTGGTTCACCCTCCAATGGCCGCCGCGGCCGGCGCGCTGCGGCTGGCGCACCGCGCTGATCCGATGGCAGGAGCCAGGTGCTTTTCCTGGTCTCCCATGGGGTGCAGGGCCCAAGCACCTGGGCCATCCTCCACTGCACTCCCTGGTCACAGCAGAGAGCTGGCCTGGAAGAGGGGCAACCGGGACAGAATCCGGCGCCCCGACCGGGACTAGAACCTGGTGTGCCGGCGCCGCTAGGCGGAGGATTAGCCTAGTGAGCCGCAGTGCCGGCCTCTATGAACTTTTTATGCCTTTTTTTAAGCAAATTTTCCTCTAACTCCCCAGCCCATTTCCAACATCAAACCCATTTCTCAACTCCTAGATCTGCTGTTCAAAGCAGTGGCTACAGACTTAATGATACATTGGGTTGGATTGTGAACTTTTTTTTCTTTCCTTGGTTTGTTAATTTTCATTTGATGCACGCAATCTGTGTCACTACAACTAGATTATAAACTCAGTGAAGAGAAGGGTGTATGACTTATACTTCTTGAGTCACACCGCAATACGATGTAAGAATATAAATCAATGTTAGGAAGCATTTTGTTGATTTGATTAGTGATTGGGACAGGAAGTAGTTTACATGCTTATTATGTTTAAATAGTTTATTTTGAAATAAAAGAATATCAGCAGTGCATGCTTATTACATGAGAAGGCCATAAATCATTTCAAAGACATTGTGTAGGTACTACTAGCTGTGAAATATAATGGATAAAGTTTTATATGGTATCATTTCACCTTAGCAAAATTGTCTACATCAAATCTGATTTTGTTATTTATTTTATTATGTGAATCAACTAAAGGATTTAAAATTTAACAGCACTTTAGGTAGTTTTGTGAATAAAAATGGTTGGCAGAAAAATCAGAGGGTCAACCGTTAATGGATCCTGTAGTAGAATGGCTCAAGCTTTCATCTGTGTCCTGCCCAGGAAAACTAGGATATGGGCATAACCATGTCTTCACATTTACCTTGGCGGGAGACCTGTGAGCTACAGAAATGCTGTGGAAAGTTAAAAGCATCTCACAAATGTCAGATACCAAGGTAATTCCTGGAGTATGATAAAAAAAAAAATGCCTCATAAGGACAGGACTTTTTGTCCTGGTTTACTGTACAATGCATCCTCAAAGCCTAGAATAGTCCTTGGCAAATGGAAGATGTTCAATGAATGTTTATTGAATAAAGAAATTTATAAATGCAAAGTGTTTCCATCTTGTTACTGAAGTTTCTTGGAATCACCAAACTGCAAACTGGGGCAATTGTGATTGGGAATTCAGATCTGCAAAGTGCTTTGAGAAACAGAGTTTTGGGGGCTCAGCCAGAGGTCATCTGGAATCCTTTCCTATGGAGTGCAGTCACAGAACCTAAGCAAGGGGCCTGGAAGATAAGAATGAGGAGAGTGTTATTTTAACTTCCAAAGCTCCTCTTAATCTGAAGATTCTCATGTACTTTGCCCAGGGCTATATAAGCAATCGAATAAATGTTCATTCTACAGGTTTCTCAGTTATTTTTCCCAATCACTTCAATGGCCATCTGCAAACCCTCACAGCCCATATTTTTTGAATTATATATACCTGTATACTTTGAGGCAGCGTACCTGGGTTTGAACTTATCTCCGTCCCTTACCAGCTGTGAAATCTTGACAGATTCTTACCCTTTTTGTGCCTTAATTTCTCCATGTACAAAATACAAATAGGTGAGTTCCTACATCACAGAATGATCATTAAGATTAAATGTGGATTAGTCTAGAACAGTACCCAGTGCTGCTAAGCGGTCACCATCACTCTTACTGCAGCTCTGTCCTCTCTCTTAAGGCTCTTGGTCTTTGGCTCTTGGTTATCTTGCATGCACATAAAATTTGATGTGTATTAAGTGAATACATTTTTATTACCTTCTCTGAAACTACTTTTTCTGTCATATTTATAACTCAGTTTTTGCCATCTTCCAAACTAGAAACTGAGAACTCAAACTTAAGTTCTCTTCATCCCTATGCCTTCATCTAGTTAGTTACAAAATCTTGATGTATTTTTCCTTAAAGGTAACTTCTATATCCTATTAGTATTTTATTAAGTCAGGCCCTGTTTCTGTCATCTGGATCATTATGAAAAGCTCTCTCTGGAATTCCAGCTATGTATTATTTTCCATTTATTCTGTGGTACCAAGTTGGCACATTATCTCCAGCGTAAAAACCTACAGATTCCTCACTTGGCCTTTCTCAGTCAGGTTCTGGAAGATAACTAAGACCTAGTATGCAAAGCATCCATGTGTGTAATGAGTTAATTCCTTTCCTCAGCATCAGGTTCAGTTCCATCCTTGGGAAAACTGTGTCTGGGTTTCAAATAAGGAACCTGGTTGAGGACTAAGGTCATACTGCTTAGAACACAAGACATCTCACTCTCTGGCCCTCATCATCATTTCCAGCTCCTTCATCTCTGTTGCTTTTCTTGCAAAAACCTCACATTAAAGTCAAACTATTCAAAGTCCCAGTTCACAGTTGCCATTCAAGGCTTCCTGACCCTGTGCATTCAATGTCTTCTACCCGAAACTTAAGTGAGCCATGGCAAATTCAAAGGATGCTCGGGCTTCATGTTTCAGTTAACAAGTCTCCTCTCAGGAGACCTTCCTTGACTTTTCTAAATAGTTACATCCTTCAACAAGTGACTGTCACCTGTTGAACATGCCTATCTTATTTTATAGTCATATTTTCCTACACCATCTCTCCTCTAGAAGGCGCACTTCCTGAGGCAACACAAAATACTACTCCACTTTTAGTCCTTCCATAATGTCTGGCACCTGGTAAGCATTATTGTGTATCTGTTCCAAACAGGAAGGAAAGAAGGAGGCAGAGATCAAATAAAAGAGTTGTACCTGTCACGAGGAGGCAGGTTAAGACCACAGACAATTCCTGACCTACTTCCTCTTGGACATTTCTAGAACTAGGAAGTCTTGCAGTCAGGGTTAGGCATAATATATCTGATGGCTAATGTGTCAAACCTTAGGTCACGTTGCACTAATGACTTCTATAGGGTCCAGTGTAAATTTCTAGGCACTGTGAAGCGGATGGCACTCTGCTGAGTGGAGGCCGCCTCCATAATAGAATAGCTACCAACACAAGGGCCAGATCAACAGTCTTGAATTAAGAAACAATTAAAGAGAGATACATTCCTCCTTCTCGATACCAGTCCTCCATTATATTTTCCATTCTGCATTAAATGTTCTTAATCAAATGAAGGACCAATGAAATGCCACGAAGGATTGTTTGAAAAGGTAAAGGTGCTCCTCGTGCCTCTAAAATGTCCTCTAAGAGAAGAGAGGTTGAAAAAATAGATGATGTCAGGAAACAATGCATCGTGGCCGTAATTATTTTATGGTTAATAAATTCTCTGGGGAAGGTGAAATTATATGAGCATTGTCTCTTTGTATATTTAACTCCTAAATGCCTACTATGTGGTATTTATACAAATTATAACTTATCATTCACAGCAGTTTTGTAGCCTTAGGTGTGAATGTTTCTGTTCATTCTCCTAAAGCAGCTTCCAAAGCTGAGGCATTTCAACTGAAGGGTTAAGGGCTAGACTTCAAAGTAAATCGTGTTGGGAGAAGGCATGGCAATTCTGTGATGATAATGCCTAGCATGCAAATGCTGGCAGTTCCTCAGTGACTTCCACATTCTAGTGCCGAGTTATTTCTCACAGTTATTTAGTTGTCCATTTATATTCAGAGGGATGACCAAAGTCAGTGGAAAAGGTCCTTGGATACACTGAAACTGGTTTAACTAAGTAACAAAAAAACAGACAGTGTGCTACACTTTCCTGGCGCTGGCTAAATTGTACCTCTAGGGTAGATTCCTTTTGGTGGAGATTTGAATGAAAATTTTTCCAATCTTCTTTCGCAGCTGCAACCTTGGCTTGTATACCTTCAGCTTTCTCTTTGGTTAAAAGAGTACTCAAAAGTTCTCCTTTAGACAGCATCATGTTCAGTTTGTGTTGTCCATTTTCACTTTCTGACAGAAACTCCTATAAAGAAAAATAAAATCAGGCATGATAAAATTCTCTATTTTAAAATATTTTTCTCACATATTTCTAAATTAAATCAAAGTGAGGGAGGCCAGTGCTGTGGTACAGAAGGTTAAAGCCCTGGCCTGAAGCACCAGCATCCCATATGGGCACCGGTTCTAGTCCTGGCTGCTCCTCTTCTGATCCAGCTCTCTGCTGTGGCCTGGGAAGGCAGTAGAAGAGCCTGCTCCCGCCCAGTGGAGAAACTCCAAGCATAAGCCCTTATACATAATTTTCTCTGTGCATATGATTGCTGAAAACTACTCATACTTCATAACTACACTCAGGACAGCTAGTCCAACTATGAACAGTAATTTCCATAACTGTGCCTAAAAATGATAGACTTGAAGGTGCTGTGTGGAATAGCTCCATGAAGATTCAGTTAGCTGAAGAAATCAAAACCCAAATGAAAAAACAGAAAACACACCTGCAACTCTGAGTATTTTACATACCCATCAGTTCTGTGACCTCACTCAGATTCTTTACACTGTGTGTATACCAGGAAGACTAACCTTATGGTTATTGTGCAAATTAAATGAGAAAATCCATGTAGAATGCTCAGGCACAATACTTGTCAAATAGAAAGAGCTTTCATTATTTCCTCAATCCCTGTTAATATATTAAAGTAGCATGCAGTCATATAAATGGATTAGTTTATCTTCACTTACACAATAATTTCAAGCAGGGATTTAGTGGAAATTTGAGCTTCTTAAGCAAAACTTGAATATGGAATGCACTTATACAAACACCGAGTCACATTTTTAATCCACTTCAACACCATTATTAGAGTGACTTGATAGCACTGTTACCTGAATTTTCTGAAGACTTGTTGAAACTTCACTAATATTTTGAGGTATATCAAAACATTTGGCAGTAGTGATTCTTGCATTAACCATCCACTGCTGGAAATCCCTAAAGGCTTTCCGAAACCTTTGCTGTAAAATCTGTTCTTTATTCTGGCAGCCTTTTGATGCTTGCAAGCAAAGACTGAAAAAGTGTTTTGAGAATTTAATGGAAGAAGAAAAAAGAAAAAATTAATCAAAATAATGTTTCACAAGTCAACAGTTCCCCAAATACATTCTTATCTCATTTACATATTTAATACTTAATGCATATTATTGAAAACATACCCTAAAATAAATAAACCTGTAGCTTCTAATTTCTGTGAAAATATTCTGACTACCACATGGTCTGTGCTCACCAGTTGTATTCTTTAATCAAGCCTGAAACTCTTCCACTGTATGTACTCAAGTCTCTGGAAAATCGACAAAGTTCATTCAGCTGAGACTTGAGATTGTCTGTCCTTGGCTCTGCTTTTTGTAGAGCATCCAGAATTTCCTGTTATGATACAAGACAGAGCATCAAGCATTTAGATTGAGTGATTTCTCACCATGCCTGCATAAATCATATAAATTATTAATGAGGAAGGAATCACTACAGTAGATTTAGTAGAGAAATGAGGCCTAGTTTCAGAATTCCCCATGGCAAATCAAAGCATCTGCTGGATAAACACTCCTGCATCAAATACTGTAGAACAGTCAAATGATTAAATGGCCAAATGACTTAAAATAGGACGAGAAAAATAGAAAATAGCCTACATTTTAAAAAAGAGTCAAAACATTACACTAAGTCATCAAGATGAAAGTATTTGATAAAAGTAAAGAGAAATCATTTCAAAGAATAGTAACACTTATTTTGTATTTTTATATATGTATATATACATATACATATATATATATATAACAAGTGATTTTATGCAGCACACAAAGTATACTTTGACAAGAACGGTTTATTGTAAGCCACAGGTCTTTGTCAGTAATTCATTTCATAATTTCATTCATACAAATACTTCCTAAATGTCTACTGTGTGTCAGCATTTTGCAGGACTGTGGGACTCCCCAGGAGATGACACGCACGATTCTTGTTCCTGAGGTGGTTACAATTTAGCAGATGAGAGAGACACATGAATGAATTGTTACTGCACTGTGTATTCCTAACTCCAAATAAAGTTTATGTCTGGACAAGTACACTTTTGAAATTGAAGCCATGGTCACCTGAGTTACATAAGGTGCTTTACAATCCGAGCATTCTGTGCAGGGAATAAATGATATCGTGAGTGACAATACTTAGCACAATTCCTGTGCACTGAATACTCCCTGATTAGGATGACCACCAGGAACATGACTCCCAGATATCCAAACGGAACTGTGCACACAGTGAAATCACCAAAGCACAGCAATAAATTAAGTACATACAAAAAGATGAGTGATGGCTTGAATAGTTGCTGGAGTTACTATTATTATTCTCAGAGATATGCATCAAGAGGTGACCCAGATTTGTAGAGAATCCACATCCCTCAACAAACCAGGTCTGTGCTTCAGCCCTCACCCTGGTAGATGGCACTGCTGTCCTGATGGAAACTGTAGGACTAAGCACCACCTGGGCCTCTCCCTTTGGTTTCCCCTCTCACTCCTTGCAGGGACACCCCGGTCCGGGATTCTGTCTCAGCTCCTTTAATCACATATGCCTTAGCCTCTGCATATTGATCCTCACAGACCTTTGTGCTTTTATCATTTCTTTCTGGAATGACCCAATATCCTTCCAATTTGACTCCTCTTTTGTATTTTCCTCTCCTGAATTTTTTTTATTGTATCTTGGTGTTGTTCCTTGACTGCACCTATGTGGTCCAGATGTAACCATTCCTCCAAGTTCAGCTCAAATCACGGATGCATCCTTCCCGCCTCTCAGGGCCTCTCATCAGAGGTCACCCCAGCACCTTGTGGGCATTTGCCACAAGCTGCATCCCCAGGGATTTCATGATCCGGTTTGTGTGATCTGGACATCAGGGTGGGTGGTCTCCTGGTCTGCCCATTCTTTGTTTACCAAATTCATAAATAAAAACTAGACTGTTTCTTTCCAAAATTCCAAATGCTAAACCAGACACAACTGTGTTTCATGAACTTCCCGAAACGTGAAAATATTGAGATTCAAATCAATCACATAAAGTTGGGTGACAAAAGTGAAAAACTTTTGATTAAAACTTTGCATTTTAAAAATTTTCATAACTTCATCCTAAGTTAAAGCATTTTACATCACATTATATACTCATCCTCCTTAAAATAATTGTTAAATTTCCAATAGTAAGCCTAAAGAACATTGAGATAAATGAGTTTTGCAAACATGGTAAATAGGTTTTCTTACAATGTCATGTTATATGTTTATAGATCATTTGTACATTTTAAAAGATTTCTTGTATACCATTATTTAATTTCAGAAAATATATACTTATGAATATTTGTGATTATGGCGATTGCTGACAATGACAAGGCCTCTCTAACAACAGAGCAATGCCAAAAGAATCCTAGCAAATCCATTTTGTAAACGTTTTTCTACATACTCTCTGTAATTAAAATAAAAGGGATCATCAAAAAGTTCACATAAAAATGTGTATTATCAAAAAAGTATGCATGGGTTTTAAAATTTTTTGGCCCCAAACTTACCTTTTAATTTTATTTCTCCGTGAACATTGTTGAAGCTTCTTTGTATTGTACTCGTTTTGAGGTAAAATGCCATTTTACCTCTGGTAGTAACAGAGGCAGCGCAGTACTGCCCTCAAAAGAACTGGCCCTGCAGCCAGGTCTGGTGGTGTACCTAAGCATAGGCCCATTCGCTTTCCAAAGTTAACATAACTTGTTACTATTTTATTATCACGTGTGTTTTCATAGGCCTCAGATATTATTTTCAATAATAATATCAATATAAGAATAAAAACAGAATAATAATATAATCTAGGTACAATCAAATCTTTTTTAAATTTCGTTTATATAAATGGAATGGAAAGACTAGGAAAGAAAAAGAACCAAAACAGCACAATTCATTTGTTTCATAAACTGCACTTGGCTTATCCAAACAGACTTGCACAGAATAATCACCAACTTCCTTGCCCTGACTTACAGAACTGATTTGCATGATTTGCGTGCTTTATTCTGGCTTATTAACAAAACCCCAAACTTAGAAACATTACAAATGAAGCAGCATGAAGACAGGATTATACAATTTTATTTTATAGTGTGCTATCTTTGTATCAAAGAGCTGTAAACCAAGGCAATGCTGGAAATGCTACATGACCTGCTTATTGGCTGGAGCTATTTTGAAATGATCATAACATAAATAGAAGCAGAGTTTACGAAACTTCCTTTTAAGGACATCCGTGAGTCAGAGCCTGGTAAAACTGCAGACACTGAAAAGACTTTCAAATATACGATTTCACAGGAAAAGAAAGAAGAGGATTTTAAGCTTCTCCCTGTCTTGCGTTCTTGCTGTCTGAAAGGGCTTTCATTAGTTTAAAAAAAAAAAAAATAGTCCCAGAGGACAACCGGCAAAGCTGACGTAGGAGCTGAGTTAACGGGGCTAACTCACGAACAGCTGTCAAAACCGCACACAGGAGAGCTAATCAGGGCGAAAAGTGCTTGGCGTGCTTTAGGAGACCACCAAATGCATTTGTCAAAGCTGTACATTCGACACTTCACTGAAATAGTTAACTGGCAAGAAGACCGCGATGACTCTCGGTCTATTTATGCCTCTGCCCACAGGCCAGTTTTCAGACTCTGTCTGAATACAGCCTTGCAAACTCTGACACCAAACACCATAAGAACGAAAGTATTGCGTCCCACTGTGGAGAAATGCTGCCTACGGCAAATAACTGCTTCTCCCCCATGTGTTAATTTTTACAAAAGCTTCACTTCAGACGAAAAGAAAAAGTTTGTTCTTATTCTTCTTAGTCTGAATGTTGCATGTTTTTAGTTAGCAAGAATTTTTTGCAGCCAAAAAAAAAAAAAAAAAATAAGAAAACAGAATATCCGGAGTTTGTCAGCATAGGCATCAACAGAGCAAGAAGCCAACTTACTTGTTCTTTGTGCCAGCATTCCACTATCTCCTTATCCGTGTTCTTGCCTTCCAGGAGGCTTAGCTGTTGAGCCCAGGTTTTCAGGAGGGCATCGAATTGTTCCAGGGCCTGCTCCAGCTGAGCCACCTGGCCCGAGAACTCCTGCTCGCACAGGGCCATCTGGCTGACCAGGTTCTCCAGGCTGCTCTGCGTGTGGAACACACTGTCTTCCCACTGCTTCCAGTCGGCGCGCAGGGCCTGCATCTCCGTGTGCATGAGCGCACACCCACTGGCAGCTGTGTTCTGTTTCACTTCAGGGGCCAGCGACTCCACTCTGCTTAGGCGGCCGGCACCGATCTCTCTGGAATCTATCAGCTCCTGTAATGGAATATCGCCATGGTAACCAAGGAGGCCTTGCTCTGAGTCACTAGGACAGCACATTTCCAACTGGGAGCAGAGGGGGCTCCCGTCCTGCTAGGCATTCAGAGCGGGCGAGTGTGCCACAAGGAACAAGATTCAGTTCCCAAGTTTTACTAACAGGGAATTAGCACCACGAATGCTCAGGCTTGTGGGAAAACAACTTGAGAATCTGAAATATCCTGAAACAGATTAAGCAGGCATGCTGAACTCTGGTATTGCTGGAATACGTGGAAGTGTTTTGATAGTGGCTTCAGTATTTCCCAGTGGTGTGTCACTGCAGTACATAAGCAACTGCACACTCCCCATAAGTGCACACACACGTGAGGAAGCTGCAGAACTGGGTTCTGCTCATGGTCTGCACTCAGTTTCAGGCTCCTCCACAAATGGTGGCTCCCTTCTCTTCTGTCAGGAATCTGGCTGATCCGGCACGACAAAAGAATGAGTGCCTCGCCAGGACTCCAGTACCTTAGCTAAACATTTTTATCACAGCTCAATGAAGAATTCATGACTCATAATCAAAAATTTCAATGACCTCTAGCTTGTGTTCATTTACTACTATTTTTTACATTAAAAAAAAAAATCACTAGGTGAACTGGCATTGCAGTGTAGTGGATTAAGCCACAATCCGCAATGCCGGCATCCCCACTGCTCCCTGCTACTGCGCCTAGGAAAGTAGCGGAAGATGGCCCAAATACTTGGAACCCTGCCATCCATATGGGAGACCTGCGTGGAGTTCCTGGCTCCTGGCTTTGGTCTGGGCCAGCACTGGCCATTGTTGCCATTTGAGGAGTGAGGCAGCAGACAGAAGAGCTCTCTCTTTCTGTCTGTCTCTGTGACTCTGCCTTTCAAAATAATACATTAAAAACAAACAAACAAACAAAAACAAACCTAGGGGCCGGCGCTGTGGCTCTACCCATATGAGCACCGGTTCGAGTCCTGGCTGTTCCACTTCTGATCCAGCTATCTGGTATGGTCTGGGAAAGCAATGGAGGATGGCCCAAGTGCTTGGGCCCCTGCACCCATGTGGGAGACTGAGAAGCAGCTCCTGGCTCCCAGCTTTGAATTGGCCCAGCTCTGGCCATTTTGGCCATTTAGGGAGTGGGCCACTGCCTCTGCTTCTCTGTAATTCTGCGTTTCAAATAATAAAATCTTAAAAAAAAATAGAAATTCAACAAGTTAGCTAGTTTTTCATTTTTTAAAAAATAATTTGAAAAGGAGAATTACAGACAGAGTGGGAAGAGACAGAGTAGTCTTCCATCAGCTATTTCATTTTCCAGGGTTGAGCCAAGCCAAAGTCAGGAGTTTCATCCAGGTCTCCCATGTTGGTGGCAGGGACCCAAACCCTTGGGCCATCTTCTACTGCTTTCTCTAGGCCATTAGCAGGAAGCTGGAACAGAAGTGGAGCAGCTGGGACACAAACCAGCAGCCATATAGGATGTCAATATTGTAGACGGTGGCTTTACCCTCTATTCTACAACTTATGCCTTGTTAAACAGTTACAATAGTGGCAAATTTTCTGAGAATAGATTATTTTACTGAAAGTTTTCTTGTGAAATCATCTGGAATTTATCTATCTTCATATATATGAATATATATATATACACACACACACACATATTATTGCTAAGACCAGGATGTTGTTAGTATCAACACAAATTTATGACTTCATTCCTGGATCAAATAAAAGAAAAACTTCAAGAAGAAATCAATTCCAAATTAATAACAAAAACTTGGATGTTAAATACAATATATGTTTTGATGTTTTTCTAAGTACAGGGTATGTGTTAACTTGTCTTTACAATATTGTATCAATTAGCTTGAAATAGATATATCGTCTTACAACTATACAAAATAGAGCTACTTTTTAATACAGATTACTTGGAAATATTTCATTATGTAGTAGGCCAAACTATAACCACACATAACTAGTATTTAGTACTCTATTTAACCTTTACTCAACAGAATTCTTAAAAAAATGTCTTTTCCAGTGCACATAGCAATTAATAACTTGATAAAGGAAAATGATAACTTCTTTATGCAATGTCCTACTAACAGAGTAAGTACTCATAATAATTTGCCTGAATAATTTCAAATTTGGAATTCAGAGGGCATCAACTGTTGAGAAATCAGTTTCTCCAAATACTCTCGTGCATTATCCCAGTTCACTTTGACATGGGACATTTCAATCTTTACGATCACTAACTCCACTCATCCAGATTTTTAACCAGGACAGAATCATGGTAAAGTGTTTTGAAGTGACTTTCACATATATGTTCTTGCCTTTATATGATCTATAAGGATATTGTATACACATACATGTGTGATCTATGTGGGCATGTAACGTACTCATTTTGCTTTAAACTGGCTTCTCCGCAGTTGCTTTTGGGGATGGGGGTGGGAATCGTATTGAAGGTAGAGGCGGCACTTTGTTGAATTCCTGCAGGTTTCCTCCTTACACACCAGCCCACATGACAGCCTGGCCTGAGCTTCTAAGGGGCAGCCTCTAACAGGCCTCACTTTGTCTTTTCTCCTTCCTATATTCCAGCTCCTTTCTGGCAATTGATTGTCCTGTAGTTTCTGCCTTTTTGGAAGCATTTTTGTAAAAAGCTCTTCCCAAAATAAAAATTAAAAAATAAAAAAAGCATTTGGATCCCAGGAAGTAGCCTTGGTAAAACAATTCTCCTGCTTTCTCATATTGACATTTCAAAGGTTGGTGCATTCTTGCTATCTCCTGTCCTCACCTGCCATCCACAGGTGTAGTCTGGCTTCACACCCTCCTGTGCTGTGCAATGGCTCTCAGGGTAACAGTCAAATCCAGGGGCATCCTTCATTCTTCCTCCTTCTGTACTGCAGGGGAGGCTGGCTTCTCCACCCCAGGCCTCAATAGCTCCACCTCTTCTAGGCCTTATTACAGCTCCTATCCTTTTGCTTTCTCCCTTTCAACTCCTCTTCTTCTGGGGCTCCATGAATATTGGGAGCACCTAGGTTTCAGCCCTGTGCGTGTTGTCTGCTTTACATATAGGTCTTATCTACTCTAGTGCATTCATTGACAATTCATATGCTAGTCATATCCAACTTCGTCTTCAATCCCGCTTTCTAGCCTGAAATTTGGATGCAAATATTCAACTGCCCCCCGACATTATTTACCACCACCTGGAAGTTCAAACGTGATGTCTGTCCTTGCACTCTTCATGTTTCCCCTCTATACCTCAGTTCCTGTGCACACCCTTAATCTCAAGAGGTGATACACACTGTAGATGAGGACTTGATCATCAACCTTGATAGTCAGTTAATCATTCCCATGCCAAATCAAGATTTTTTTCTTTTCTTTTCTTTTTTTTAATTTAAAAGCAAGATTTATTTAAGTCAGAGACCTCTAGCAACAGTGACCTGGTGGGGGGAGGCCAAGAGAGGCAAAACCCAAAGGGGTGGTGGTAGTGGGGTTTTTAAGCACAATTTTGGGGAAGGAAAAAAAATCAGTACAAGGTGAGGACAAACCCATCCAAAGACCTTATCTGCTCTTATCGCGTATGTGCTATGTGTCAGGGGTGATGCTAAATATGTCATGTGCATGGTGTAATTTAGTACTTGAAATAACTCTGTGAGACAGGTTCTAAATTGTGTTTCTCTTGGTTGGTTGTTATGAATTAAGAGGCTTGAGGATCTTAAGTAACTCACCCAAAGACATAACCAGAAAACCAGGAGACGATGGTACGTGTCTGATTCTCAAGCCTGAATCTAGACACAGATTGGGCTCCCACCACATGAATATATTATTTTGTAAATGTCAGTTTGTGCATCACTGTTCGCCACTGAACTATGAGTTCCATAGTGGGATGCATAACCATGGTTGGAAAAAATGGAGAGAGAGGTGGATGAAGAATAAATTGGAGCATTACTAAAAATGTATCATTAAAGAATCTCACATACAAATATTAAAGATGTAAAAGTGGCCTCCTGATTATTTGCTTTAAATCTAGTCATTGTAAAAGGTAATGATAATCTTTTACAACAACATAGACATGTATCTTCAAAATAGAGCTATTATTGCCATGTGATTTTGTGATTTTTACATTCTGATCTCCAGGGACCAGAATACAACCTCTGTCTAAAATTCCTGACCACAATGACCTATTTATTTATCTAAAACTATGCCATTGAGGATTCCATCACTGATTCATTCTAATATTTAAATCTTTTTTTTTCCATGGGGGAAATGATTGTAATGTAATAGTCAAACAAGTAGGAATATGCTAAAATATACAGAGATTTCAACTCCCTCAGAAATATGAATTTCTATTTTTTGAAATTATCCTTATAAGGAGTATATTTGGTGATTATTTTAATTTTCATTAAAGTACTATCTTCTATTATGTTGCTGCACTGTTGGCTAGGAAAGAATGACACATTCAGAATGACTTTTCCAAGTTATGGGTAAAATACAGAAGAACTTCAAGAGGTAAGTTTATTTTAGTGCTGAAAATTGTTGAAGTGCATGTGAGAGGTCTTTCCAAAGTTCATGAAAAATATGTATGATTAAACAGTTATGTCTGTATTTCTATTGTTTTTTTAGCAAAGTAATTTAATTCCATTTTCCCCAAACTTTTTGAAGTACATTTATCTAAGTTACTTCATAAACTTTTTTCCACTGCACTAGAAAATTGTATCTTGTTTTATCAGCCCAGTAAGCTGGAATTTTTTTTTGTATTTATTTCTTAAACATATTTGCACATAGGAACATATACAGACAATGTAAAAATTTGCCGCAAGTGTAAAGTCTTGAATTTCTTATGTTTTTTGTATGTTTAGAATTATTAAAGTGGGAAATAATACACAGTAATGCAAAACAGGAAGGAAACATTTTAAGCAACAGGATCTTACCCACCAAATTTTTATCACACATGTGTAGCACTCAAGAACAAATGAAACAAAGTAGTCATAGCATCTGCCAATTTTCTGACCTTAATCTTGGACAACTTTTTCTGGGTGGCTGAGGAGTCTCCGGACATATCCGACCATCGATGGAGTTCCTCCTTTGCTGAATGGAGCCAATCTGTGAACTCTTGGACTGCATCTAAATACATCAGATGGTCTTTCACAGTATCTTCCACTTTCCTCATTTTCTCCTAGTGAGAAAAGCAAAGGGTATTTGAAAACCAGTCATCATTGAGTATCAACTAATAAGATAACAGGCCTGGCTGGGGGTAGATGTGGTGGCACCACTTGGGAAACCTGTATTTCATATTGGAAAGCCAATTTGAGTCTCTGCTACTTTCTTCTGATCCAGCTCTCTACTAATGTGCCTGAGAAGCAGATGATGGCTCAAGTACTTGCGTTCCTGTCACCCACTTGGGAGACTAGATGAAGTTCCTGTCCCCTGACTTCAGCCTAGCTTAGTCCGGGCTATTAAACACATTTAGGGAGCAAACCTGTGGGTGGAAGATCTCTCTCTGTGTCTCCCTCCCTCTGTCACTCCACCTTTCAAATAAATAAATCTTTTCTTTAAAGATTTTATTTATTTATTTGACAGGCAGAGGTACAGACAGTGAGAGAGACAGAGACAGAGAGAAAGGTCTTCCTTCCGTTGGTTCATTCCCCAAGTAGCCACAACGGCTGGAGCTGCGCTGATCTAAAGTCAGAAGCCAGGTGCTTCTTCCCAATCTCCCATGTGGGTGCAGGGCCCCCAAATAAATAAATCTTTAAAGGATAACAGGCCCAATAGTTTCTTAATATATCTCAAAAGATCTCATTTCTGGGGCCAGTGTGACTTAGTGGGTAAATTCACCACCTGTAGTACCGGCATCCCATATGGGCGCCAGTTCGAGTCCCAGCTGTTCTACTTCTGATCCAGCTCTCTGCTATGGCCTGGGAAAACTGAAGATAGTCCAGGTCCTTGGGCTCCTGCACCAATGTTGGAGACCCAGAAGCTTCTGGATCCTGGCTTCAGATTGGCCTAGCTCTGGCGATTGCAGTCATCTGGGGTAGTGAACCAGCAAATGGAAGATCTCTTTCTCTCTCTCTCTGCCTGTGCCTCTCTGTAACTCTGCCTTTTAAATATTAAATAGTTTTTTTAAAGATTTCATTCCTATTATTTAACTTTTTCTGGGGTTAATAGCTTAAATTATTAGATTTACTTAAACTGAAAGATTTGAGGATACAATCACTTTTCCTTTAAGTTTACCATTGTTTTGCTTAGCATAAAAACTACACTTAATGAATATTGGCTAACATCCCTAGAAATCTTTTTAATAATTATCTTAGTAAATATTCTTGTTATTTAAGCAACGAAGAGTGTGAGTTTGGTGTGTAACATTGTGCTAAGCATTTAAATGCTTTTCTCAGTGAATTCTCACAACCACCATGTGAAGTCAATACTATCATTACCACTATTTTATAGGAGAGAATCCTTAGGCTTACAGAGGATCAGCAATGTGCACAAAGTTACACCTCCAAAAAAAAGTTGAAGCCAAATTTCAAACTTAGGTCCTTTTGACTCTAGAGTCTTAATTCTTAATTATAACTAAATTAAGGGCCGGCGCCGCGGCTCAATAGGCTAATCCTCTGCCTAGCGGTGCCAGCACACTGGGTTCTAGTCCTAGTCGGGGTGCTGGATTCTGTCCCGGTTGCCCTTCTTCCGGGCCAGCTCTCTGCTATGGCCTGGGAATGCAGTGGAGGATGGCCCAAGTGCTTGGGCCCTGCACCCCATGGGAGACCAGGAGAAGCACCTGGCTCCTGCCTTCAGATCAGCACGGTGTACCGACCGCAGCGCGCTGGCTGCGGCGGCCATTGGAGGGTGAACCAACGGCAAAGGAAGACCTTTCTCTCTGTCTCTCTCTCACTGTCCACTCTTCCCGTTAAAAAAAAAAATTATAACTAAATTAAAATGAAGATAAGCAAACACATATTAACTGTGGTATCAATAAGATAGCCATCTCAAAAGGCAAATCAAAGAAAACATAAGCAAACAGACATTTCCCATAATTTCTATAACATTCATAAATATGCAATAGAAATCATGGAAGAAAATAAAGGTTCATAAGGATGAAAAATACTTAAGATACCTGTATCTTAAAAAATAGGAAAATATAGTTTTTAGCTGGGAAATAAACACAATGTTTTCTACGTAGTTGAAATCTGGACGGTAAATAGACTTTAATATAACTCAAAAATACCATAAAAAATGAACTACACTGATATTTGATCTCAATCTTATACAGAAAACAGATGAATCAAGCATCAAAGTGGAATAAAAAAATCAAAGAATTATTCAAGATTGCAGGGATTAAAAAAAAAAAAACAACAACAAAAAACACCAGGGACCAGCATTGTAGCATAGTGTGTAAAGCCTGCAACGCTCGCTGGAACTCAAACAAACGCCCATATGGGAGGCGAGCGTTGCAGGCTTTACACACTGTGCTACAATGCTGGTCCCTGGTGTTTTTTGTTGTTTTTTTTTGGGTTTGTTTGTTTGATTCCAGTGGATGGAAGCTCGTTCTCTCTCTAACTCTGACTTCCAAAATATATAAATAAATCTTTAAAAACAAAACATATATATCCAAAGGTGAGAAATGATCCTATTCAATAAATGTTCAAATAGTTTTGAAGCAGCTACTTCTCCAAAAACTTAACCAGGAATTTATTCTTGACGTGCACCTTGGTGCTTTTCCTTCAAGAGAAAGCACACACCTTGGCAACAGTGACTATATCATTAAACTGTGCTTTCAGCTCTTCTTGCACTGTTTCCTTGAAAGACTCGTCCCCTGTCTTCTCATACAGCTCCCTGGACTTTGCAGTGAGGCGGTGAAGGGCTCCGGCGTGATCCTCCGCCTCAGACACGATGCACTGGAAGTGGTCCAGCAGGGCAAACTTCTCTTTCAGACCTGGCTGCAGTTGTAGAGGATGTTCTACTTTCTGATCCACTGATTCCATCCACTGCTCCAGCTGGTTTTTCCTCTCCAAGTAGTCATTCCACTGGCTGATCACAGACTCTAAAGTGCTGGAGTTAACGTCACACATTATAAAAATGAATTATTAATTATTTCACATTTCTACTGAAAACCAATTATAAGGTCATTACATCTATATTAATTTTTTTTTACTGAACACCATTGTTAAGTGATGCAAATGTTGCTTTGAGTACAGGGAGAAAAACTGCTTCTCTGATTCACAGACACCCAGTACAGTTCCCTCAGGCCAAGTAAATCTATGTGCAAGTTTGAATTAAGAAGATGTATACACACAGGCATCTGGAGACATTTCTTCCAAATGCTAATTATCCTAAACAAAGCGACAAATTTGTGTTTTATTGTTAAAAAAATCAGTACTAGAACATAACTTTATTTAATACACTCATATAGGAGTTCTTAGGCTTAGTTTATCTTAAATCAGATGTTAATGGTGTGTTTACTGGAATTCAAAACTCCAGGTATTATTCTTGGGTAAGTAATATCATTAGGTTGATTTTAATTGTGACACACACACATGTCAGTGCTTCAGTGTTGAATGTGCAAATGAATGAAAGCTGAATGCACTAACATAAGAAATATAGTCACAAATAGAGCCAAGTAAATGGATTTCCAGATAGCCAAAGCCTTTCCCAACTTAGCATTTATGGGAAGACCACATCACTCAGCTTACACACGATTCTGGAACTACCCACAGTGGCTGCCCTCATGTCAATCCCCTTTTCATACCAGCATGTGATCTTGCAGATATGATCTATGGCAAACGAATTTCCAACCTAGGATCCTGTGGCAAACAAACTTCCACTGGTTTCTAAAGTACTGGTTTTTACATCAATAGGACCTAATTCTATGTATCTTAAATTCCTGTATTTTGCTTAGGAATTTTTTTCAGCCACAAGTTGGTTTAATTTCTAAGAGATATGAGTGCCATAATGAACAATGCAACATAGATGTCAACTTAATATTCAACAATGGCTAAACAAGATATTTACATTATAAAGTATAAAAAGTAAAAGGAGTGCTAGAAAATAAGAGATCTCTCAATGTCTTAGTTTTGTTTAGGTTTAGATATTTCCTCTTCATCAGAATTTCATCAGTTCTACCTTCTAATCTATTTTTATGAGGGTACTTCAAAGTTTCTATAAAAACCAGAAAAGTCTGTATAAAAAATAGAATTAAAAGGTAAGTTTTTTGTGGTAAATATCTTAAATATCCACACATAGTTTCTATAATATGTAAACGTTCCATGAACTTTTTCCAAGACCCCTCATGGGAAAAATCCCAAAAAATCCCAAAAGAGAGATAACTTTTTAACTTCATCTTGAAGAGTTACCATTAGTTTACCATTAATAAACTGGTATTAAGTAGTATTCAAAGAAAGAAAGAGCAGCATTAGAAAAGTCTTATAGATATAAAGCAAACTTAGATTGGAAAGACAGCCAATAGCCCAAAAGAGATTTCCTTTGTGTTACACAAAAAAAGTAGGTATCATCAGATCACAGATTTCTCAACTATAATAGAAGACAGGGTTTTGAATTAAATGGTAGAAATATGCATAGGAAATTTTCTACAAAGTCCAAAACAAAGTCACTTCTCCAGAAGCCACACAGGGCCTGCTTTCTTGAACAGTTCCACAGGGTCTTACACCGTCTTTGGAATCCAATCTAAGTCAGAGTTTTCCGCAATGTTCCCTACTTAGCCTCTGAGCTCTTACAGGGCAACAGCTGTGTAGTTTTGTTTCATCCTCTTAGCACAATCATTTGAATAGTGTTACTGTTCAGTGTGTGGTTGTCAAATTCAACGTCCTGCTGACAAGGAAGTCAGACGTGAAGCTACTTCTTGTTCTTAACCTTTTGCTCATCATCTGGAAAGCACTTGCCCATATTTCTATTAGATTTTAGGAAACTGGAAAATGACCAAGCACTGGGAAGTTTAGTTTGTGCTCCACCAGTCTGCTGTGTTGAATAAGAACCACTGGGTCTGATTTTTTTTATTCTTTGCTGAACATTCTGAGTTATCAGTAAGTTATTCTGAGTTATTACAAAGTCATGCAGAGTGACTCTCAGAGTCACCATCTATGCACCATACTGCAGGACAAAGGAAAAAAAAAAAAACCTTCCAAATTTTAGTTGGTACCACATTTTATTGTTTAAATAAAAGTGGTTATCTTTGGTTTGATTTTGTGTTGAACTTTAATCTTCTGTTTGCCTATTTGTTATGAATGTCCTAGGCTCTTACTTATTCAGTTGTCTAACAAGGGATCTTCAAAAAGTTCATGAAAAAGTATGATGAAGGGCTGGCGTGGTGGCACAGCAGGTTAAGCCACCGTCTGCACTGCCAGCTTCACATAGAGGTACCAGTTGGAGTCCTGGCTGCTCCATTTCTAATCCAGCTCCCCACTAATGTACCTGGGAAAGCAGAGGAGGATGTCCAAAATGCTTTGGCCCCTGCCACCCCTGTGGGACACCTGGCTGAAGCTCTGGAATCCTGGCTTTGGCCAAGCCCAGCCCTGGCCTTTATAGCCATTTGGGGAGTGAACCAGCTAATGGGAGATCTCTCTCTCCCCCTCTAACTCTGATTTTCAAATAAATAAATCTTAAAAAAGAAATGTATGATGAAAAAACTACATATGGATTTCAAATTTTCAATGCAAAAATGAACCTCTCTTTTAACTCCAGTTTCCACAAACTTTTTGAAATATCTATGTATTTCATGGCCCCCGAGAAAATGCCAGAATAATTCTGACTAGCGGTCATTTGTGCAACAAGCCAGCCAGAATTTTTGTGGACATTTTAAGGCAGAAAGGTGAACATGTTGCGCTCACAAATGTAACAGCACTGACAACACTGCCCGTTGTGACAACTGAGCCCTTTTCTACCTCCTCTTCAGCCTGTGATTTAGGTCTGTTCAACAGCGGTGCTCTGGGCATCCTGGGTGGGCTGGTTTTTGAATGAGTGAGCATGTTCCAGGAGTTGCAGGATGTCAGGTCTCCTGGCCCCAGTCACTAAATTACAAAGTCATCCCCATCACCATGACAATCAAAAAACACCTTGCAGGTTTCCTACATCTCCAGTGTGGGTGGTATTACCTCCAGCTGATGAACAGTTTATACTAAGGCTCAACATTTAGGTTCAACTTATTTTCCTGTATGTTCTTCCAAACAGTAAAAAGGTTGATGCAGATCACATATCCTTGATTTGATGACTTTACAAGGAGGCATTTTAGTGATCCCACGGGATGTGCAAGATTTCAGGCAAAGGGGAGATGTAAATATTTTAAAAATAAACCGAAACAGAAACAAAACAACCTAATGAACAGGAACCAGTCTTTGACCCATGGACAATACAGCACAGGCAAAGATAGGCACGCACTCAGCTGGCTTTACAAACACAACACGCTGGGCAAGCCTCCCACAGGATTCCCCAGCATTGCCCTGCCATTTGCCTAAACCACTGGGTTTACTTAAGCAAATTAACACTAAGAAAGAGGCTCTGTACCTCTGAGCGCGGACAGCAGAACTCATGACGTCAGCCCACACCTCTCTCAGGGTCTGCAGCTGAACCTGGATCACTGCCTGACCTTCTTCGTTGCTGCTCCTCAAGGCCTGCTCCCCTTTGCCGATGGCCATGTTCAGCCTCACTTCCCCATCCCCTCTCATCAGGAGAATATCCTGGGTGGGAAGGAGGAGTATGTGTCAGTCGCAGTAGGAAAACTCTCAATGAAGACACGAACAAACTCTGGCTCCTACCGCAAAGTAAGATGCTAGATGTCTGGGAGTTTGGGAGGTAAAGGTTAACTCCAGATTGTCTCAGGAAACTCTGGGACGCAAGTGCAGAAAGTGTAATTTTATAAACTTGCTTCCCAAGAGCAGAAAGAAATTATTTTTAAAGTGAAGACACAGCTGTTAAGAACTTAACAGTCTTGCCTTCATTGCCTGGCTGATTCCTAGCATTTAAGGTTACCTTCACGGAGTACAGTCCAGGGTGGGGGTCTCTTCTGTGCTCCCAACACACCCTTGTTTGCTTCTAGTATGGTCCCTACATCTGAACTGCAAAGCAAGTAACAATTTACAGGTTGGTCTCCCAGAATACAAGAATGAATGCTACTTCTATATTCCCCACAATTTGCACAGTACTTAGGGCAGAGCACGTAATCCATAATGCTTGCTGTTTAATTACTAGATGAAATTTAAAAGCATGTTAAAGCTTTTAAATATATTTCTTTAAAAATGATAAACATTACCCCTCTATATCCCTTTTTCTAGCTTTCTCTACTTTGACCACATGATCTGCATTTTGAGGCTCCCAGAACAACTAGAACCCAACTCAAACAACTCGTGGATGTAATCAAAACAATTCCCAGCCATTGTCAGCACTTGGCTGTGTCTCGTGTACCTGTATCTGAGCCAGCCTCCTCTCCAAGGTGTCTTTGCTGCCAATGGTGCTGTCTGCACTGGCCAGTCGGTCTTGAATGTCTTTCACTCGGGACCACGTGCTCTGCAGCGCCTCCTCCAGGGCTTCGTGCTCCTGGAGAGCCACCTGGCAGCCTCGCAGCTTCTCTTTGGTCATCCTGAGTAGGTTCTGGTAGCTGGTGAGGAGCTGGGAGCACAGGCGTCCTTCTTTGCCTGCACCGTGGCCTTCTTCACTAAGAAGCTGCCCTCGCTGGGAAAACTTGTCCAGAGACTCTCTAAAAACAAAAATGGAAAAACATTTTTAAAAATTCTGACCTTCTGGACTGCAGGGGAGTGACCAAGGATTGTTGATGTTGGAGCAGGAAGCAGACTGGAGCTCACAACTGACACGCCTGTAAAATTGGGAGGCTGGGAACTGGGCTGACTGCTTGCATCCTCTTGAGGTCTCTCGTATCGTGGTCAGGATACACCAGGGAATACGACTCAGTCTATGCTGGGCCCTCATCCAACTTGCAGTTTTGGAGCCAACTGTCTCACTAGGAATTCCATCCAGAAAATGGGCCAGCCTCTCTCCACGGCCTCATTTCTAGCACCTCTTGATTTCTAGTTGAAATTCTAACCATGAAAAATTCCCTGAAGCCCTCCAAATGCTGTTTTGTGTACACAATCAGATGTTCAATTCTGTGAACATTTTCTAATTTTTTCTGGTTCTATACTAGACCATTGGAACGTAAAGCTGAATAAGACCTAACATCTCTGACCTTGAGAAAATCACAGGCGGGAACTGGGTGAAGAGTGGAAACAAAGAGTTTACAGCAAAGCAAAGACTCCCAGAGATGGGGGCAGAGCACAACCGGTCCTCAAACTGGCATTCCAAACAGTAGTTGTCAGGGTGGGTTCTGTTCTCCGTTTCTTTGTTTGCATGCTTTTTTTCCAAAGGCAAGGGATGCTAGGCATGGTTGACCAAAAAGAGGACTCATTGAAAACCTAGAATGACTATGATATGAATTAAGTGATTTCTCCTCACTTGATTACTGATGATTTATCTGATCCTGCAGGCTGGGTGCTGTCTTCAGCTTCACAGAAAGTACACTTGTTCTCTAAGAGGACAGTTAAGGAGCTCAAGTTTTTCATCCAGGTGTACCTCCCTGATGGATAGTCTTCTCTCTTCTCAGGGTGAGGAGGCAACTGAAGATGACGGGGGTGGGGCATGAATAGACAGCAAAGTGCTAAAGGTGGGAGGGGTTAAAAGCACAGCTCAAAGAATTTTACCAGGGAGGGGAGAGGAACCAGAAAGGTTTTCTCAGTAGGGAAGCAAAGAAGAGATAAAGATTGCCATAAGGAAGAGGAGCCACAAGGAGTGTCTGGTTTGGTTTACTAAGAATATTTTGAGGACGCGTGGATAAGAAATGAACTGGAGGCTGTGATATGTGAAGAACAGATGAAAATTGGGTCTCCAGCAGTCACTGTTTTCTCTTCTCCAAATTGGCTTCACATTATGTTAACAGAGCCTCAAAATAACCCCAGAGAAGAAGGCATAATATTATTAGCTCAATACATAAAGGAGATGAGTTCCTGCTTGATGTCTCCATTGCGGAGGCTGAACTGGGATGGACACAATCTCCTTACTCTACCTGCACACCCCTCAGACCCAACAGGGCCCCAAAGATGCTGCACCATAATTTGTATTCTGGAATTTCACAGGCAGGAATGATCCGCTGCTGAACCAAACCAGCTAACCAACCCACCAAGCAGTCTAAAACACCATAGCAGGTAGAGGACCCACTCATTCTCTGTATCACACCTTGCAGCCAGTAGTTCTCCTAGAAACATTTCAACTTTATGAACTTCGTTTTTCTTCTCAGGAATGTGCTGTTTACTTTCTCCCAAGCTTTCCGTGCTTAGCCTTTCTTCCATTTCATGGATCCACAAGTTCAGTTTTCTGTGCTGATCCTCAAAGCTAAAGAATATTTAAAAAATATGAGAGAAACCTTTAAGTGCTATTCATAGCAAATTTGTTCTCATAGTTGAGGTCATGTCTTTTTCTATGGCATTTAAAATCTCATGAGCTTTCAAGTTATAGAAAACAACCATCAGCCCATCAACACTATTGCTTATTTCAGTAACAAAGTAACAAATCATGGTTGCTTCTTTTGATCTTGAAGCAGAAAGAGTCACCTCACCTAGATGAATGGATTTCATAGCTTGTAACTGCCAAGGTTATCATGCACTTAAGTATGTCTGTGTCTTATACAAAGATCCTTGAATCCAGACCAGTGGATAAGCAGGGCAATGGAAAAAGAAGGGAAGGGATCTCTGTATCTTATTTCTTAAACTAATTTGAATATGGCCCTTGAGTTTTGAAATGAAGTTAGCTCTCAAAGAAACCTGGACAAGAGTCAGGTAAATTACTGTCACCAGAAAGGTACTGTGTCAATACTGATAAATTTCTTACACCTAGTTAAAAGGTTTCATTTTTTCTTTCTAAATTTGTGTTTATTCCCACTGACATAATGTTTGGCCTCTCAACCTAAAGAATTTAGTAGATGTTTTGGACCATGACTCCATCCCAACAGGGTAATTTAAAATTTGGGATGTCAAATTTCCAACGATTTTTTTTGGTGGGGAGAGAGGAGTGGAGAGAAAGAGAGACAGAGAGGGGGTCCATGTGCTGATTCACTCCCCAAATGTTACAGCAGCCAGGGTTAAGCCAGGCCAAAATTAGGAGGCTGAAACCCTATCGAGGTCTCCCACATGAGTGCAAGGGACTCAACTACCTAAGCAATCACCTGCTGTGCCCATGGTGTGCATTAGCAGGAAGGTTGAGTCAGGGGCCACAGCTAGGATTCAAACCCAGGCACTCTAATATGGGATGCAGGTGTCCCAAGTGGCATCTTAACTGCTAGGCCAAACGCCTGCCCCAAGACCTAATCAGATAGACAAGTTACATGCATGTGTGTAATTTACAGATAGGAGTGAACATAACCACTTTATTTATCCTATATAGAAAGTAAAAATCAAACAATAACTTCAGAGTCTAAGTAATTGATTATTGTACTTGTATGAACCTGTACTTAAGGTCAAAGCTAAGTATAATTTCACCTCAATTTCAAATACTTGGTTGTTCACATGGCTCATTTCTTTAAGCCTTTGAAAACACATTCTATATATATGAAATCTATGATTATCCAAACAGCCTACCTCCCAAGTTCTGAAGCACAGTCTTGGAGAGCCTGCTTGTCTTTAAGGCACTGTTTCAGAAATGCCTGGAACTCTTCATTGGCCTTTGTAATTTGTTCCTGAATGCTACTGACCATTTGTTTGGGCAAATGTGCATACAAAGTTTGTCCTTCTTGAGTCACCACATCAAGTTTGCTCTGTCCATCACTGAATGAGTCCAAAAGTCTCTGTTTCAGGAAATAAAGGTAATATGGAACACCTCTTTTATTCAAAGGCCATGGTGCATATGAGTGTTAATTACAAATGGTAAGCCAAGAGAAGAAAAACAAAACTCAGTGAAAAAGTAATCCCTACAAGGTTGATGGTAAAACAGTGCATACAATTGGGTTTAACCCAGCCTCAGAATAAAGATGGTACTAGTTAGCCATTGGCACCACTGGGAATAACTTTGGACAATGTGAGTATGTAAAAGAGGATGCTTTCATCAAGGTCTCCTTCTTAATCTCTACCATATTTATTGACTATTCATAGTCCACAAAACCAATATAACCCATACTGTTGATGATGTTAATTTGAATATATTCTATCTCCAAATTTACACCATAAATTATTAAAAAACACAAATGATATCTCTTCCTTCCAAAAAAAAAAAAAGCTTCTCTACACAAGGACATTAAAGAGAGACTCAATTATTCCATTGTTACTATGATAAAAATTAAAATTTGTCTTAGTTTTGAATTAACTCCAAAGAACCATTAATAGGCTTAAAAAAAGAGGGAGGAAGAGGAAGGGATGTAGGAAGTCGTTAGCTTCCACTTATTTTCTCAACAGACTTTTCACATTGTCCAGCGGCTTCTGACTCAACAAGGCTAATTCTGCCAGGGAAGAAGAAGGATTGGCAAAAGAAAGAGAACACAGGTCTGGCCTGAAGGCCCCGGCGCGGGGGCTGGGGAGGAAGGAAAGGGCACTGGGCTCTGTACCTGGAGGTCCTGCAGCTTGGCCCCCAAGACTTTGCTGTCACCAGTTCGATCAGCTGATTCTTTTGCAGCTGCCTTGGCACGCAAAAACCATTCTTGGAATTCCTGCATGGAATCTTTTGAAAGTATAAAAGTCAAGAGTAAATTCAAACCATCAAATGAGCTTCCAGGATTATCACAATGAATTGCTTCTGGCCTTCAACCTATGTCACCTTGCTTTGCAAATTACTCCAGAAAAGTAAGGATGATATGGAAAGTAATATCATCTGCAACCATGCCTGTTGGTGGTAGACTTGAGAAATTCTCTCAGAGAAAAGAATGAAAAGCTATCTGTATTCTGGAAATGTTTAATTTCCCATTGTACTTCTTTTGGTAAAGACAATAAACTGCAGGAAACTTTGTCTAAGAGTGCATGGGGGAAAATGCACCAAAGGCTTTAAGGCCACTTATAAGGCTATGTACCCGTATCAGAGCTCAGGCAGAGCTGTATTGAAGCAGCATCAGGGACAAAGGACTGCCAGTTTCTTACGGCCTCACCTTTGTCAAGTCACTTCATTACATTATAAAAACATCAGTGGTTATTTGGACAGTGGCTGCTGGGCACTTGACAGGTGGAAGTAATTTTACATGTACATGAGCTTTGTGTGGAAGACCCTGATGGAATGTAGAATCATCAGCACGGTGCACCCTTACTTTCTCAGGGAGAAAAGAGGAGGGATTCTGAGCAGAGTGAGAGCCTTGAGGTCAGCAGTCCTATTGCTCAAGTCCCAGAATCCAAATGGATTTGAATGATACTCATGTGGAAAGTTTCCTCAAACCTGATGGCAGTTTCTGGGCAGTGCTTGCTTTGGATTCTTTCTCATCAACAAAATACTCACACTGCAGTCCATCAGAGCTCACCATGGAAGTGTTTTTCCAGGGAATCCTGCAGGCTGGCCTGAGTCTTGGAGCACAGCTGACTCACAGCTTCATGCTTCTTTATCAACCCTGTCAGTGCCACGCCCAGGCTCTCCAGCTCTGCTGAGTGGTACTTGCGGCACAAGCTATTGAGATTTTCTTGGGTAGAGCTGATGTTGTTTTGCTGACTTTGAAGTTCCTTTTGTGTGTCCTATGGGATAAAAGCACACTGTGAAGGACATTCATCATACTCCAGCAATTCCATGGGGGTATGCTGCTTTAAATCTGAAGCTGATGCTGTTGAGATCCGATCAGTGGTGTGTAAACATTTTGGTGGCATTTGTGGAGTATTTGTGATAGAACTGTATTGTATTGATTCCTTAGTGTTTCTTGGGCACAAATAGCTGTTGGGAAATGGCTAGGATTTGGATTGTTGTCTATGATTTCAAGCTAATGGAATAGGCCCTTAAGGATTCCAGCCCCTGACCGTGGTTTTAGACACTTGATTAGAAACCATCACAGTTCATAGGGCAGGCATCTAGCCTAGCAGTTAAGACATCCCAGTTCCTCACTGGATGGAGTGCCTGGGTTCAATGTTCCATACCTGGCTCCAGTTCCTGACTCCAGCTTCCTGCCAGTGCAGACCCTGGGAAGCAGCGGAAATGGCTTAAGTAATTGAGTGCCTGCCACCCACAGGAGATACCTGGATTGAATTCCTGGCCCCTGGGTAAAGCCCCAGCCAGGGCCATGCAGACATTTGTGAAGTAAACCATTGGATGGGAGTTTCCTTTCTTGGTCTATCTCTCTTTCTCTGAAATAAGATTTCAATAAAAATTTAAAAATTGTTTTAAAAAGGAAAGTACCATAGTTCACATTTGCAATGACCTATTTGAACCTTTTTTTCCCCTGTTATAGGCTATACCAGAAGCACCAAAAATAAATTTATAATTACATAAGCCTTGTCTAGCAGGGATGGGGCACGTCTGATCTGTGGGCCAAGCCAGGGCAACGGCAGGTGAGACTCAAAATTCAGTAAATCTGTAGCAGGCTAATTTCTAAGTTGATCATTTTGTATGACCTGTGAATTACATTATAAATATCTCAAACCACCCTTTGCAGAAAAAAGGTTCCCACTCCTAGTCCAAAGGATTTTTTTTTTTTTTAGTAAGAAAACTGGCTAAAAGAATATGTTGACAAGTCAACTAAGTTCACACTCTTTACAAAGAGTTCATCAGGAACATCGCTTACTTATACAGACATGGAAGTAGACCGCTTTTTTAAGCAAAAATATATCATTCTACAGATGAAAGTAGTCACACTGACTGATAAACATGATTAAGCAATAAAAAACTATCTGGCATTCAAGCTTAAAAATTCATGGACTGTCAAGCAGTTCTTCTATGGTCTTCATTTTTTTATTAATAAAAAGAAAAAAAAGAAATTAACCATCCTGGCTTTTAAGCAGGCCCTAAAGCAATGCATATTTTCTGTTTCCAGATTTTTCTTTGATTTCTTTTTTTAAACACATTTATTTATTTGAAAGGCAGAGACACAGAGAAAGGGAGAGAGAGACAGAGAGAGAATCTTCCATCCACTGTCCCACTCCTGAAATGGCCACAATATCTGGGGCTTGGCCAGCCTGAAGTAAGGAAACAGGAACTTCTTCCAGGTCCCCCACGTGGATGCAGGTGCCCAAGTCCTTGGGCCATCTTTTGCTGCTTTCCCAGGCCATTAGCAGGGAGCTGGATCTAAGGAACAGAATCCAGACAGGAACCAGCGCCCATATGGGTTGCCAGTGCCACACTGCTAACCCACAGCAGTGGCCTCTGTTCTGTTCTTTGATTTCCAAACAACTGCATTCAATTCTTCACCTGCTTCTTACTTTGTTGTGTTCTGGGTCATGAATTAGCTGGCTGGTGTTAATATGAGTAATTGAGAGTTGAGGTCAGTTTTTTGTTTTTATTTTTTAGTATCATCACCAACAAAACAGGAATTAAACAGCACTTAATGAGAGTTTACTACCTACCTTTACTTTTTTCAACCCTTCACAAGTCTCAGTTTGGGCACAATTCATCAGGGACTCTTCCACTTTTGTCAGCCACAATGTCTTATCATTCACAAATTTCTCTACTTGTGCACTTTGAGCAGTGAAATCTTTCAAGGTTTCTTTTGCTTCTTCAGTGAATTCTTTGGCATGCTCCAGCTTTTGCCTTAAATCTGCTTCTATAAACTAAATAGAAGGCACAGTTTCAACAAAATCTGTGAGAGCCAGAACACTTGTTTGGGAGGATACCTGTTCATGCGCAGTTAATTATCAAATATGCAAAAGCCTCACTATGGAAGCCAGCTTCAGAGCCAATTTGCCTTTTCCAGGAAGGAAAATCAGTGGGCTTAGCTGTCAAACATAGGAAGTATGTGAAAAATTCAGAAGGAAGATTATAGTGAGCATGAGATATTAAAGCAGCATTTTTTAAAAATTATTATTTATTGAAAGAGTGGCAGAGAAAAGGGGCTGGGGGGTGGGGAGGGGGAGAGAGAAAGAGAAAGAGAAAGAGAAAGAGACAGAGAGAGAGAGAGAGAGAGAGAGAGATCTTCCATCTGTTGGTTCACCCCCAAGTGGTTACAATGGCTAGGGCTGGTCCTGGCCCAAACCAGGAGTTCAAGAACTTCATCCAGGTTCTGTGTGGGTGGCAGGGGCCAAAATCATCTTCCACTGCTTTCCCAGACAAATCAGCAGGGAATCGGATGTGAAGTGGACAGTGAGACTAGAACCCACAGGTGGTGGGTTACCCTACTGTGCCTCACGTCCAGCCCCTAAAGTGGCAGTCTCGACTGGGGCTCCAGGGAATACACATGCTGAAAGCAATTAGACCTAAACAGAGCTCCCAGAGGGGCTCTTAACTTCTTGCTGGGAAACACACATTTTCTGCCCAGATGTCTCCACTGCTTAGGACAAACACTATAGGGTTTTATCTTAAAGCAGGTTTTTCTTTGTTTGTTTTCCATGCTCCATTGAAAGCAGTGGTGCTGATTCATTGCCCTTGCATGCATCAAGTATTTCAGGAAGACTGAGTTCTTGGGAACAGTCTCAACCCCACAATTCAAACATCCAAGCCCATTTGATAATGAAAGTTTTGAGCTTAAAGTTAAGGCTCCCTCTTTTCTTCCCAGCTCAAATCTGTTGCAAGCAGAAAGCCCACACTGGAAAACAGGCCCAGGGCCTCACATTTGTTTATTCTCTTTATTTCTACTCCTTCTTTTCCATTACAACTTATGTTATCTGCAGATTTGAACTGACAGACGGTAGACGAGGGTGCTGGTGTCTGTGCTTTCTAGGGTGGTTTTTTTGGACAAAGGGGAGACAGAAAAAGAGAGAGAGAGCTTCAAACTGCTGGTCTCCTCCCCAGATCCTCATGATGGCCAGGGGGTTGCCCAGGCCAATGCCAGGAGGTGGGACCTCAATCCAGGTCTCCTACCTTGGTGGCAGGGACCCAACTACTTGATTCATAACTGCTGCCTCTTAGAGTCTGCACTGATAGTGAGCAGGAGCCAGGAGCTAGAGCAAAAAAATTGAACCCAAGCACTTGCTGTTGGAAATTAGCATCTCAGCCCATGCCTTAAACCAAGCTTTGTTAATGGGTGTTGAGACCTCTCTCCCTTGTTTCCCCACTCCCACGGAAGCTTCCTAATGTGGTGATGCACCCCCCTCCCCCGGCTTTCGCTGCTTTCTTGTCCTGTAGGCATCTCTGACTCCTTGCTGTTGGGGTCTCTTTAGCCTCTTAGACAACCTGAGACATCCACCATGGTGGTCCCAACCCTCTTCCTTTCCTGTCATGACTCACGTCTGGCCACAGCTCACATTCTGGCGTCCCAGCATCCCCAAATCTGAGATGCAGGCCACCACAATCATTTCTCCTTTGGCAAGTATCCAAGCAGTGAGCCAGCCTCTCCATCACCTTGAGGGTTCTTGGGAGGTTAAACGTGGTACTCCTGTTATTTTCCAACTGCAGGAGAAAAGCATCCTCTAGATGGCGCTACTGAAACCCTTCTGCTTAGGATTGAGGTAAGGTAGGACACCCTTCACCTCCTTCCTTGTGTTTACATAGGGGTGTGTGGTGTGTGGTGTGGTGTGGTGTGTGTGAGAGATAAAGAGAGAGAGAGAAGCTCTCTCCCCAAATCCTGCCTCAGACTTCATTCTGCAACAGTCCAATTGCATCTACTGATATGTGCAACATAGGCGAAATGCATAGGCAACCCTCCCTCTTTGTTAGGACTCCTTTGCCTCTTCTTGCTTCAGAAAACTTCTAAGATTCTTGTACTTGACTATCATCTACTAATTGATAGATATGCAGTCCCAGACCAGAGCAAAAATGGGTTAAGCTACTCTGATTTGTTACTGTAACATAGCAAATTAAGGATAAAGACATGGAGGAAGGAAAAAAAAAAACCTACAGAAAAATCCATGAGAGCAATAGCAAATGTAGAGGTTAAAGGGCTCTAGCAGAAGCCTTATGTGGAGCCCATGGGGCTGGCAGCCAAAAGAGATGCACTATGTTGGGTGCTTCAGGGCTCTGGCACTGAAGTAGCCCAGGACTCCTGGCCAGCCCGCTACACCCCATTCTGCCTCTTGGTTTCTGTGGATTTGTGCTGTCTTAAGAGTATTGAAGAGAGATTTGAAGTGGGGATCCTGCCAAACCCAGTTATTGAGTCAAAAAATTTGGAATTATGAATATGTTCCTATTTAGACATAAAATGATCCATGCAGCAAACTGGCTAGTAATGCATCTAAAATTCAGTAAAGGGAAACAACACTTTATTATAACATTTCTGTTGGAAATGTTATTAATACTGGCAAAGGGATTCTAAAAATACCAATATTTTAACTTCCCGATCTGATAAGATTCACATTAACTTGGAGTTTTGATGATCATAGCAATGAGGATATATAAAGATCAATAGATAGATAGATATTTTAGAGAGAGAGGGAGAAACACACATCGCAGAGGAAACCTTACACTTAACAGCCATTATAAAATAGACTGAGTGCTTACCTGAAGGTCCAGTGGAGTTTCAGGATTTTTCGTTAACTCTTTAAGTTCATTAATTTTGGAACGCAATTCTTCCCATCTCAATGTTTTGCTTTTAACTTCAGACTGCCCAAATTAAAAAAAAAGAAAAAAAAAAGAGGGAGGAATCATGGCTAATGAAAAACCGACAGACTATATTTGGCAAATAAGAACGTCGAGAGCTAACTTAAGTACCAACCTGAAGTCAGTATGAAAAATAAGTCATCTGTCTCATGTTCTGAGGGACATTATTATTTCTAAATGTGAAAACGTTGCAGTAACGTTCACTTGGAATGTGAGGGAGGATGTGGAATTTTGTTTCTCCCCACTCTCTTATTAGAAAAAAAGCTCCTGGAAAAAATTAAAGGCTGGCCAAAAATCCTGAATCAGTGGGTACTTTCAAGATGTTAACTGTCATTTTTTCATTAGCAGTAATGCCACTGGTTACTATGGCTACAAGAAACTCTTGAAGAAGCATTTCACATCAGCAGTGCCTAGTGGCTATAGACTAGATGCAATACATACAAACATTTAAAGTAGAAATCTACAGGCAATTACAACAGAAATCAGGTTAACTAGGAAACTGACACCTAATATTTTGAATTTTTTGCACTAAGAAAACATGACAGAAAAATCAAAGAAATTTTTTTACTGAGCAAATTAGATGACTTATAAACTTCATTAGGTATTTGGGAACACAAAGGAACATTTAACAAATTACTGTTCTAACCTTAAAAAATGGCATGTGGGTGCTCTGTGGACATTAACAAACTTCCTGAAGCCTTGACTCCAGGAGATACTTTCCTGATGCAGTAGGATGTGACACACCATGGCTCCTGAAGCTGGCTGGGTAATTAAGGATCACATCTCTGCGTCTACACTCATTATTGCATTGTAGCAAAGTGGCACTGGTAGACAAGCACTAACTCGCTGAATTTATTAGCTAGTGTGTCACAGTCAGGAACACAAAAAATAACATCTCTGTGCGTGAGCGAGCCTGGGCCTGAGACACGCTGACTCTGAATCTCTGAGGTCCATGGTAGTCTACTGGTTTAACAAATGCCCTCCCCCTCAACACACACACATGATGTCACTGCACATGGGCTGGAAGACACACAGAGTGGCACATCATTCTACAGTATTTACACCATCTATTATACAGCAACAACATCTGTCGATAACTCAAGAGCCTAGATAATATGTAGAATAATAATCAGGAAATGATGCAATCATTATGATGAATTCAATTATATAAATTCAATGAGTATTCATTATCTTTGTTTTCTTTTTTTTTTCTTTTTTTTTTATTTTTTGACAGGCAGAGTGGACAGTGAGAGAGAGAGACAGAGAGAAAGGTCTTCCTTTGCCGTTGGTTCACCCTCCCATGGCCAGTGCACTGCGGCCGGCGCACCACGCTGATCCGATGGCAGGAGCCAGGTACTTATCCTGGTCTCCCATGGGGTGCAGGGCCCAAAGACGGGCCATCCTCCACTGCACTCCCTGGCCACAGCAGAGAGCTGGCCTGGAAGAGGGGCAACCGGGACAGAATCCGGTGCCCCGACCGGGACTAGAACCCGGTGTGCCGGCGCCTCAAGGCAGAGGATTAGCCTAGTGAGCCGCGGCGCCGGCCCATTATCTTTGTTTTCAATAAAATGTACTTAATTGTAAATTTATTTATAATTTCCTTTTTAATTGTTTTTAACACTAGTTTTGTAAAATTACTGAAAATTTAACAGTTGACTTTTCTATACCAGATCCAGAACAGGCAAGCCACTGTTAGAACTAAAATGTTAATTTAATATCAGAGACAGCAACTAAACAGACTGCAGTATCCCTTATCCTAACATTTCTTCTACTCTAGAAATTTTCTACTTCTTATTGCCCTTAGACATCATGATTAGACTAAAAAATCCAGAATGTTCTTTGGGTCCAAGAAAGCTGGACACCTTTGAGGCAAAATAATTCATTCCCTTATGTTTTTTCAAACTAAAGTTAATTATTTCCTCACTCTATTTTCCCTCACAGCCCAATTAATCCTTGATATTTTATATGTTTCATATGATAATATAATTATGCAAATTCCATGATGGCAAAGAATTTGTTTTACTATTATATTTTCAGTGTCTTAAACAGTGCCCTCACATATGTTCAATATGCATTAACAATTAATGATACAATGAATGGATGTCAGAAATGGGAGCAAAGGAGGTTAGAATAAGTCAGTGATGAGAACCTTCCCATGGAAGCCTGTGGCACTCCAATCTCCAGTTTTCTTTCCAGTTCTGAATAGGGGGTGGAAGAACCCAGCATGTAGCACAAAAAGTAGCACAAGGTTATGTTTTTTGAGAAGAAAACAGATACTAAATATTACTGAATCACAAACACAATTTTTTCTTTACTTTCCTGTGTTACCTTCTGATTTTCAGAAGAATCAGGAAAAGTATAGATTTTTATTTTTATACTATTGCTTCAAAACCCCTACTAAAACTGACAAAGATGGAGGAAAAAAAAACTCTTACTATAGCCTATTCAAATTGCAAGAAGTAGTAAACGATAGTTAAGTGTTCTTTAACATCATATGTGTTTTTGAAGAGAAGGATGAACTTAAGTTTTTTTTTTTCACATTGTAATCTATGATGTCACACAAGCTCACACCACAAGCTACCATCTGTAGGTACACCCAGTTTACCTCCAGGTCTTTGAGGAGTTCTTCAGCTCTGAGGCTGTTACTCAGGTTGCTGATGTTTTCAGCCAGCTGTGGAATGGAGTTATTTGACCACGCATCGATCTCATCCTTACTTGAAAGTACATCGTCCCAGATGGACAAGCTTATCCTCAGCTTATCCATGTTTTCTTCCAGTTTCTCTGATGCCTAGGACAGAAAACGCAAGGCAGAGGATTGATCCTCTGAGGTGCTGAGGTATCTAGTCTCTCACCAATCAGAAAAATTAATTAATTAATCAGAAAATTATATGATGATGGACATGTATAGTTTCACAAATATAATTTTGTAAGCAAATTAGCACATCTGACTCAAGTGAATGCTGATCAATACACAGAATGTTTCTGTGATTAGAAGAGTTGTTTGAGCGGCTGGAATTGTGGCGTAGCAGGTAAAGATGCTGCCTGCAATGCTGGCATCCAATATGGGCACTGGTTTGGGTTGTGGCAGCTCCATGCTAATGGTCTGGGAAAAGCTGCAGAAGCTAGTCCAAGTATTTGGGCCCCTGGACACACGTGGGAGACCTGGAAGAAGATCCTGGCTTTTGGCTTTGGCCTGGACCAGTCTGGCCACTGTGGCCATCTAGAAAATGAACCAGTGGATGGAAGATCTCCCTCTGTCTGTCTCTCTCTCCCTAACTTGGACTTTCAAGCAAATAATTATTTTTTTTTTAAAAAAGAAGACAACTGAGCACCAAAAAGGAAACCTATTGAAGTGAAATGGACATTATGAGAAACAGTGACTTGATCAGCCCTTGTCTAGACTGTTGATGAACTTAATACTTTATCCCTTTTAGTATTTTTTTATTCTATTTAATATTATTGGTTGAACTCTTTAATTAACACACAATTATTCTTAGGTGTTGAAATTTAACTGAAAAGTGATCTCTGTTAAATATAAGAGTGGGAATAAGAGAGGGAGGAGATGTACAGTTTGGGACATGCTCAAGCTGACTTGCCCTAAGTGGTAGAGTTAGAAACATACCAGGGGATTCCAATTCAATCCCATCAAAGTGGCATGTACCAGTGCCATCTCACTAGTCCCAGTGATCAATTTCAGTTCACAATTGATCATAATGATAGGACTAAGAGTCAAAGGGACCACATAAACAAGACTAGTGTCTGCTAATACTAACTGTTAGAATAAAAAAGGAGAGAACGATCCAACATGGGAAGTGGGATACACAGCAGACTCATAGAATGGCAGATGTCCTAAATAGCACTCTGGCCTCAGAATCAGCCCTTAAGGCATGCGGATATGGCTAAAAAGCCCATGAGAGTATTTCAGGCATAGAAAGCCAAGACACTCTGGAAAAAAAAAAAAAAAAGAAGACCTAAATGAAAGATCTCTGTGAGTGAGATCCCAGTAGAAAGAAGGGGCCATCAAAGAAGGAGGTACCTTTCTCTGAAGGGAGGAGAGAACTTCCACTTTGACTATGACCTCTTCTAAACAAGATCGGAGTCAACGAACTCAAAAGGCTTCCATAGCCTTGGCAACTCATGACAAGAGCCTAGGGAGATTACTGACACCATAAACAAGAGTGTCAATTTGTTAAGTCAACAACAGGAGTCACTGTGCACTTACTCCCCATGTAGGATCTCTGAACTTAATGTGTTGTACTATGTGAATGAACGGTATAACTAGGACTCAAACAGTATTTTACACTTTGTGTTTCTGTGTGAGTACAAACTGTTGAAATCTTTACTTAATATATACTAAATTGATCTTCTGTATATAAAGATAATTGAAAATGAATCTTGATGTGAATGGGATGGGAGAGGGAGCAGGAGATGGGATGGTTGTGGGTGGGAGGGAGGTTATGGGGGGAAAAGCCATTGTAATCCATAAGCTGTACTTTGGAAATTTATATTTATTAAATAAAAGTTAAAAAAAGAGTTGTTGAATTTCTGAGACAGATTTTTATTAGTAAATAGGGATACCAACAACAGGTCTATCTATAAATCTACTAAAATATAATTTACTATAAGTCTGAATTCTACAGAATTGAGGTTCATTTTGGAAGTATTCTATTTATTTTTGAAAGTAACATAATACCATTTTTTGGGGGGAAATACTGAGACACAGCAATAGGCATTATATTCATTCTTTCTCCTTCTCTTTTTAAGATTTATTTAAAAGTCAGAATTACAGAGAGAGGGAGGGAGGGAGAGGAAGAAAGAGGGAGAGAGAGGGGAGAGACAGAGAGAGATCATGAATCCACTGGTTTACTCCCAGATGGCCACAAAGGCCAGGACTGGACCAGGGCAAGGCCAGGAGCCAGGATATCCTTCTTGGTCTTCCACATGGGTGGCAGGGGCCCAAGCACTTCGGCCATCTGCTGCTGCTCTCCTCAGGCATTAGCAGGAAGCTGCATCAGAAGTGGAGCAGCTGGGACACAAATCGGTACCCATCTATATCAGATGCCAGCATCGCAGGAGGCAGCTTTACCTGCTAAGCCACAACCCTGGCCCCGGGTATTATCCTCTCACATATAACACAACACAAACTAACACGTATAAGAGCAGTGGAATGCATGTATTTAAAATGTCACTGTCTAATACTTTTTCTATAATAAGAATGCTCTTTTTGAAGTATGGGCATATGAGGTTTTCCTGCAGTTCTCAAATTATTTGATTACATTACAGAAATATCAATGTCTAGCTTTGGTAAATTTAGCTTAGATAAGGAACTTCTGAACTTAACGATAACAGGGAGCAGCAAAAATCCCTGGATTTTTGAACTGTAAGGTAATATAAAATATTTATGGGTAAACACTTGAGTTCCAGGGAAGATCAAATGACTTCTTCTGTGGTCACATAGCTATTAAGTGACAAAGCTGGAACTAAAACCCAACAATGTGAAGTCCAATATTTCCTAATGCAAAATTATAACCTTAGTGATTTACATTATTATATATTACAGCTTCATTTTCTGTAACATGTTTATAGTCTTCTATTTTTAATCCATAATTCCAGAGTTTTGAAAAGGAAAACTTGCAGAGCTGTAATTTTTTATGATTAAGGCTACCATGTGAAATTCCAGAAAATCTGCCAGTAAGTTTTAACAAAAGGAAGCAAATAAATTTTCTGGTTCTAAACCTTATGTGAACACTACTTTTCTTCATAATATCATTTTTCATTTAGCATTAAAAGTTACAAGTGAACACACATCCCTGAATAAACCTTCGCCCAGGAGTTTAAGAAACAGGAACATTTAAACTGTTCACCGAACGCCTGTGATTGTCTTACATCCAGCCACTTGTCCACAATGCTCTCCATGTCTGTTTTCACCAGGATGAAATCACCACTGTGAATTTTTTTCAGCTCAGATAACAAGTGTTTTCCTTTACTGGTAAAACTATCCAGCTCTTTCTGTTTATTATTCATTTCATTCTTGGCAGTTTCGTGCTGTGGACATAAATGTTGCCTTAATTAATAAAGCAATCAATAAGTCTAGTTTAAAATCACTTTAAAAAATTTAATATCACTGCCATTTGTCAAACCATAATTAATCAATGATGTTAATTATATGTATATTTAGTGACATTTTCTTAAATTACTAGAATTCTAGGCTATCAATATACCTAGAAAAAAAAGGTTGAGTTTTTTCAGCCTGAATTATCCACATATAAATATACTGACAAGAAGAATTATGCAGAGAATTGCTGTATGAGTAAAAAACAGACCTACTAATATAATAAAATAAATACATTTTGAATTTTACCTTGGAAAAAGCCCACTTAAGATCCTCCTGATCTTTTATAGGAGTTCTGGTTACAACCACACTGTTGGCATTTTCCAGGACTTTAGATACAGTTGACTTCAAGTTCTGGTAGTCTCTCATTAGGTCAATAAGTCCACAGCACTGACCCTGGCTGTCACGATGAAAGGAAAAATAGCATTTATTGTCACATATCAAGAAAGGGAAGAGGTCTCTATTGCTGGACTGATACATTTCTATGTAAATGCATCTACACATAAATGCTGGAATGAGAAAACCATATTTCTCCCTAGTAAAGCCAAAATAATGCTACTGATTAATACTATTTAATTCAAATGGAAAAAAAATCTATGAACTCATTGGCAAAAAAGAATCCATATTTATTCTTAACAACTCAAACTTATTTAGGTGAGTCACTGCAGTTTTTGTTTTTTAAAATGCAGTTTTAATTACTCTATAATGGCATATGTTGGGAGTAAGAAAATATAGCAATATAAAGCAAAACATAAACAAAAGAAACAAACACTGCCATTGTTTGAGATCTTTCCTTACATTTCAGTATAGCAAATCCATTATTAATGAATCACCTGAAAATTGTCAAAATAAGATATTTTTGTTTACAAGAGCAAAGTGCCATTGATTAAGCAATTCTATGTTTAAGAAGTTTTCCAAAGAAAAAGATTTATGTGTACTAACATTTAAGTAAAGTGATATTCTTCACACCATTTTTTTGTATTTTTAAGAGGGAAACAAAAATAATCCAAATGTTAAAAATGGATTAATGATTGAATAAATTCTACATTCTTAACAACTGAACACTGCACAACCTCTAAGTCACAATCTAAAAATTTTAAAACCTAGAAAAGTTTGTATGAATGGTTAAATTTAAAAAGCCTACATTAACAGTCTACATTTTACAATGTGTTCTTAGTTCTGTTTAAAAGGCTTTTGCATGTGAGGTAAGGAATAGCTTGAGGTTCACTTTTAATGCACAGGTTTATTCAGTTTTTCCAGTACTATTGTTGAAAAGACTATCCTTTCCCCATCAAATTGCCTCTGTGGTTCTATTGAAAATTCATTGACAATGTGTGAGCAAACTAATTTCTGCATGCTATTTATTCCATTGACCTATACATATCACACTGAAAGCAGGTAAAGTGAATTCTTGATTTTTTTCAAAAGAATACTATTTATAATAAGCTTGTACGCTTCTAAAAAATTGTGTGGAATTTTTGATTGTCATTATATTGATACAAAAGGACCACAATAACTATTTTAAATAAAAAAAAAATGGTTGATGTGAACAGGTGCTTTATTAACAAAGATATGCAGATGGCAGATAACATATCAAAACATGCTCAATGTCATTAGTCATCCGAGAAATACAAACGAAAAATACAAGATACCTTTATACATTTATTAGAATGTCAAACAAGAAACTAAATAAAAACTTGATGACACCAAGTGCTAAAAATTATGTGGAGCAACTGGAACTCTCATACATGTTTGCACTCTGTTGAGAGTGCAAAATGTTGAATGGAAACATTTAGGAAAATAATTCTTTTAATGTTAAATATATACTTTATCACAGACCCCACAGTCCCACTTTTACCTATCCAAGCTAAATAAAAACTTATATACATGAACTTGAACATGAATGTTCATAAATTTTTTTATTCATAATCATCTACACTAGAAAGAACCCAGATGTCCATCAACTACTGAATGGTTAAACGATGCACACCCATTCAGTGTGCATTCAGGTATAAAAAAGAATAAACAATGGATACATGCACATTTGCAAAGCAGAAAAAGCCAGACTCAAATGGTTATGCCATGTATGACTGCCGTTATATTGTTATTCCAGAAACAAATGCAACTATAGATACAGAAAAATGATTAAAACTTGGCCAAAGACCAGCGTTGTGATGGAGGAAGACTGATTGTGAGACATGAGCGATTTTTTTTTTCAGGTGGAAGAACTGTTAATATAAAATTTGAGGGTTTGATAGTTACAAAATTGCACGTTCATCAAAACTCACAGAGGCAGGCATTTGGTGCAGTGGGTAAGGCTGCACTGGGGACACCCATATCCCATGTCAGACAGCCAGAGGTCCACCCCTGCTCTGCTTCCATTCCAGCTTCCAGCTAATGTGCACCCTGGGCAGCAGCAAGTGCCGGGTTTAGGTCACTGTCATCAAGGGGAGACCCAGATTGAGTTCCTGATTTCAGGCCAGCCCTGCTCTGGCTGGGGACAGCGGGGAGTCAATCAGTAGATAGAAGGTATTCTCTCTCTCCCCCACTGCCTTTTATATAAATGAAAACTAGGGTGTTGAAAGATTTATTTATTTGAAAGGTGGAGTTAAAGAGAGAGAGGCAAAAGCAGAGAGAGAGAGAAGTCTTCTATCTGCTGGTTCACTCCCCAGATGGCCACAATGGCCAGGCCAAAGCCAGCAATCAGTTACTTCAGCTGGATCTCCTATGTGGGTGCAGGGGTCCCCAAAGCACTTGGGCCATCTTCTACTGCTTTCCCAGGTACATTAGCAGGGAGCTGTATAGGAAGTGGAGCAGCCAGGATCAAATCTGTGTCCATATGGGAAGCTGGCACCACTTAGCCCACTACACCACAGTGTGGGTCCTAAATAAACAAATTTTTAAAAACCTCATAGAATTGCACATGACAAAGGGTAATTCTCCTGTATTTAAATTATACCTCAAGTCACTACAAATACAATAAAACAAAAAAAAGAAGAACCAGAGTTTCTCATTTTAACACTTTTTAATTTTTGATAATGTCTGCTTTCAAGCAGTGTCTTCCATGTGTAATTACCTCAAGACTACACACTTGATAACCTTCTGTGGGACTGGGTTTTTGTGTGCCTAAAGGGACACGGCATACCTACGGCAGCAGAAGGTATTTAACTGTTGGTCACATCGAGGTAAATCAATAACATATGGCCTAATGTCACAAAGTAAGGGGGAAACTGAAAACAGAACTGGGGCGTTTTTCACTTACTTTTCATGAATTAACTTTCTCGTATCTTCCCAGGTGACTTCTAAGCGGTTTATCTCCCTGTCGACTTCAGGAGCGAAAGCTACATCTTTCTGGGCAATTTGCTTAGCTTTGTCTTTCAGCCAACATAGTTCATGCTCGTGAGAATTCAGTTCATCTTCTAGCTGATTAAACATTCTCAACCTGTGAAGCATGTTATTTTATGGTCAATTTTCCAAAGTTAGTAAATTATTTTCTCCCTTAGCACACAAGGTATCCATAAAGCACACAGAGGGACAGCTAGAAAAACGTTTAACCCTTTAATTAGTGTATATTAACTGATAAAGATGCTTTCCAAGTTAATTTTGCAGCATAACTTAAATGATATTAAAAAAAAAAAACTAAAAGTTACTTTTACTATTCACCTTCAACTTTCTGCTGACCTTGTCTGTCTACTTTGTTTTGATAGTATGATTTTGAAGACTCAGGCTAACCTGTGGGCCAAGTAGGTGAATATTCATTGCAAGGCCATTGCAATAAATCCTTCTGTGCCATGAGATGCAATTCATGTAAATAATGCTATTTAAAGGTCGCAACTGTTTCACTCACCATCAAAATGGCTTTATTAAGCTTTATGAAAACTATATTTAAGAACTTAAAGGACCTACTGAATTAAAAAGATTTCCATGTGATCACGGTTGTATCTCTAATATATTAATACTTGAGCATTTATGGCCTCACGGAGGTTCTTCCAGTCTAGTGTTTCGGTACAGCTTTGTAGAGTTTATACAGGGAATATCCAGGTGTTATTCATTTTGTTCCCACAATGAAAGGGTTGGAAGCAGGCATTATCATTGTCTCTGCCTTACAAGAAGTGATGTGGTTTTCCCAAGGGGGTGCAGGGACGCATAGGCATGGCTGGGATTAAATGAACCCATCAAGTCAGAGCAGCATGTGGCATCCCACATGAGACTGTGGAGTTTGGTTTGGGGGCACTAGCAAGGCTCTTGAGCCCAACCCAAGCTTCCTTTTCTAGTAATGCTAGGGTCTCCTGTTTGCTTGGCCTGAGCAGGCCTGAGAAAGTCCAGATACCCTACAGGACCTAAAGCTACTGCCAACTTCTGGAGTGAAAAGCACTAGGCAACTCCTCTCTGTACTCTGCAGGCCATTTCTTCTTCCCAAATCTCATCCTGTTGTGTAAACTTCTTCCCAGATCTCATTCTGTTCTGTCAGTTTACCACGAGATTAGAGAGGAAGCTTACTGCCTACAAGGGATGCAATTTCAGGTGCTTAGTCGTTGCCCCATATTAACTCCATTCTCATCTAAAGCTTTGGCTTAATGTATGATTTTGGTTAAAATGAGACAAATGTCAGTGTTCTTGGTGGAGCCGACATGGATCTGATTAGTATGGAGAACTTCGTTTGAGTGCATTTCATCTGTTTTGTTGCCCCAAAAGTGGCCCCGGGAACATGAAAGGAGAGATTTTATTAACAGGGAAAAAGGAGATTGAAATGAAATCTGTACAAAGGGGAGATCATGAAGGGAACTTGCCTTTGAGCCCTTTGCTTCACTATCGCACTCACTTGACAAAACCCTGATTTTGCTGAAACCCATTTCTCTGCCCTCTTCTGCATACACGGAGGCATACAGACAAGCAGCTGTCCTGGGGAATACTACGCCAAGCTGCCTGGTCTCACTTGAAACGAATGAGCACAGACCTCAGGTGTCTGCTCAGTGCCTTCCTAAGCTCCTCAGCCAGAGAGCTGCTTCCTGCCACTTCCTCTCTGGCAACATCTGCCAGTCTCTCACCTTAGGAGCTTGTTCCAGTGTTCCACCAGGAGCTGGCAGTCCCCAGGGAGGAATCTGCTTATTTTTACCATCAGAACAACCGATCTACTCAGATTTCTTCATTTCTTTTCTCCCATTCTTTTTAGAAAAGATGAGTCCCTTCTCCTATCCATAATACATTGCTTAAAATGGACAATGTGAGTGCCAGATCTGGCGTGCAACAGATTAAGCTGCTGATTTTGATACTGGCCTTCCATATCAGAGTGCCAGTTCAAGTCCTGGTTGCTCAGTTTCCAATCCAGCTTCCTGTTAATGTACCTAAGAAATTACTGGACAATGGCCCAAGTACTTGGGCCCCTGCCACACATGTGGGAAACCATTATGACAGAGTCACTGGCTCCTGCCATCCCTGATGGTCGCAGGCATTTGAAGAGTGAACCACTGGATGAAAGCGCGCGCACGCTCTCTCACTCTACCTTTCAAATAAGTAAATAAATGTTTAAGAAACAGATGGTGTGAGCTACATGTGATCTTTTATCTAAAGTCTCAGAGTGGATCATACGAAATCCTTCTTAACATCCTTAAGGAAGCCAAGAACTTGCACTTCTCAAGTGTTAAATCACCCATGAATTTGCATCTTCGAGTATTCTTTAAAAGTTGCCAAATACAGTGCTGTTAAAGTTTCACACAAAAGTTAATTTGAACACAAATACAAAGAGCCAGCTGCCACGCACACCACTTCCCATTACCTCTGCTGGAGAGCCTGCCGGGTGGGCTCCTTCAAGCGCTCCTTGTCCGTCCGTTCTTCAATGTCCTCTATGCTTCTCAGCAGCTCCTCTTTCTGCTCCTGGAATGCTTTTTTCAGCACTGCCAGGGCATCAGCTTCACTCTGCTTGGTTCCCAGAAGGTTCTGGATCCGCTCTACTTCAGCAGAGAGCTGATCGGCCGTGGCTCGGCATGACGTCCTTTGCTTGGAGCTCCCGCTTCTCAGATGGTATTGGGCTTTGGCAAGAATGCTGTCCAGACTAATGGCAGTGGATTCTAAGGTTTTAACATCTGCAATAGCATCATTCAGGTCTTTTTTTAACAACTCCGATTGTTTCTTACTCATGCTGCTGGTTGCTTCCACCGTTTCCCTCAACCGGTGGAGAAGCCCAGACAGAGAGGCATGGGTCTGTAGGAATTCTGTCAACTGGGACAGAGCAAGCTGCCGCCTGCCCACCACCTGACTGGCCTCCTCAAACAGCTGGAAGCAGTCCTCTGCCTTGCCCTGAAGGAGGTGGAGGTCCTCGGCTTGGCCCAGAGACCCCAGCTTCATCAGGTGGCTCCGCAGGCTCTGCAGTTCTCCCTTCTTGCCGTCTACTTCTGCTGCATGGTCCTGGAAAGGAAAAGAGGTGCTGATTCCTCGAGTACACAACCATGCATGACACAGACGGGCTGCAGGGGTTGTGATGTCAACTACAATACTACAAGTGCAATGGACTCAGCAGCATGTAAAGGTCATTTATGGCACTTTTTTTTAAAAGAAATGTTCATAAAATTTCCCATTTTGTTCATTGGGTGCTTCATATAAAACACCATTCTGAGCTGGAACAAATTGCCTGGTGGGTAGAAACTGTCAGTTAAAACAAATTGAAAATTTGGAAGATTTCTAAAGATTATATAATAGAGAATAGAAATATTTTTATAAATAATAAATGTTTGTATAGAGCAAGTGTTTGGTCTAGTTATTAAGCCACCAGGTAGGGTGCCCAGATCCCACATCAGAGTGCCTGAGTTCAAGCCTCAGCTCTGTTCCCAATTCCAGGTTCCTGTTAATGCAGACCTCAGGAGGCAGCAGGTACTTTGTTCCTTATCTCCCCCATGTGGGAAAACTGGACAGTTTCTGGTTTCTGGCTTCAGCTGGACCCAGCTCTTGCCACTGGGGGCATTTGGAGAGTGAACCAGAAGATGGGAACCCTTTCTCTCCACCTGTCTTTCTCCCCCTCTCAAGTAAATAAAAAATAAAAATTTAAAAACATTTGTACATTACATATATATGCATATATAAACCTATGTGTACGTATACTACACATCCATATACATGGGAACTTTAAAAAGTTTGTGTAAAATGGAATTAAAAGATAGTGCATGTTTTCCAGGAACTTTTTGAAGTCCCCTGTGTGTGAGCACACGCTATACAGCTAATTCTAATAAAGCTTACAGCAGGGGTGGACATACTCCTAGATGAGCATTAGCGTCCTTTCAGAGGTGAAGACCTGCACACATCTCAGCTGCCCTCTAAGGCAGTGGCGCGGAGAAGACCCTCCTGTGGGAAGCTCCACTGTTTCCCAGTGACTCCTTCTTACAGTCCAGCAGAAACTTGCTAACAAGCTCAGCAGGCTTCCCATTAAAGGGAACTTCTTTATTTTGATGATAATGACATTCATGAACCCATCAGCTTGACTACTAAATGTTAGACCACTTCCTTCCTAACAGGAGGTTCTTTTTCTAGAGCAATTGCTTCAGAAAACTTGTCATTGCAACTCACTCTTTCCTCTTTGAGATGTCAATCTTTTCAAAGGCCTTGGGCCAACTCTTTAACCTGGGAAAATCTTCCCAATGACCTGGGGGCCTTCCCCTCGAAATGCAACCATCCTGAAAGAGAGCAGTCCTATCTCCCAATGTCTTTTTTTTTAATATCCTTTGTTTCTATCCTATACATTTTGTGGGAGGCAGAAACATAGAGGGAAAGAGAGCAAGCGAGAGTGAGAGAGAGTGCGAGCACTCTTATTCACTGGTTTACTCCCCAAATGCCTGCAACAGATGCAGGCCAGGGGCTGATGCCAGGAGACAGGGACTCAATCCAGTTCCGTGTTGTGAGTGGTAGGAACCTAACTATCTGAGGCAACACTACTGATATCTTCACTAGCACGAAGCTGAAGCCAGGAGCCAGAGATGGGTATGGAGCCCAGGGACTCCCCTATGGGACACAGGTGTATTAATTGGTATCTTAGTCAGTAGGCCAAAAGCCTAGCTTTTTGCTATAATTTTTAACGAATCAACATGCTATACTGAAAAAGGACACAGTTTTTTCCTAATATCCCTACATCAATATATACTAGAAAAGTGAAAAGCAGCAGGTGTATGTAGAAGCCTGAAAGGTACAAAGGAAAGAGGGGAGAAAGGAAACTATAAGGTGGTGCTGCCAGAGCAAATTTATTTTGATTGATATATGAATAGTATTTTTAGCTTATAAATCTCAAAGGAACAAAAATGCTCCATTTAACAGCCAACGGTACTTAATCCTCTGTATGTCATTTTAGAAGTTATGTAGCACAAAAATTGTATTTTATCACAAGTATATAAGAGCAATGCAATGATAAAGTTTTTATTGAATCATCTGTGACAGGCATGTTCCTGTCGCTCCCCGTCTTCGTGGAGGAACGACACAGGACCCTGCGCTGTTCTTTCGTCTGCTCGGCCCTCCCCGGGTTTGCTGCTGGTTCTTCCCGGGTTGGCTACTGTCCCTTCCACCTCCGTGGAAGGGCGGTTCCCCCTGCCACATTCCCCACTTCCGCGGGGGAGCGGCACACCGCCGGCCGGCTCTCTCGGGGGCTGCACAAGTGTTCCTTCAGATAGATGTTCCCCTTAGATGTTCCCTGTGCATGTTGTCTCTCTCCTCCTTTATAGTCCTCCTCCGCCAATCCCAACTCGGCTGCCCACACGCCGAGTACGCTGCTCTCCTCCAATCAGGAGCAGGATCAGCTCCTGGAGGTCATCACTCAAGTTGGCAAGAGGCAGCTGCGTAGAAGCTGTTTTCTCCTCTCCCAGCGCCATATTGTGGGAGAGCAGATGCATAGAATAAGTCTTAATTCCAGTAACTTAGTCTAGTCCGAGTTGCTCCCCACATGTTCCAAATGTTTTATCTCTATTATTTAATTTGATTCTCCTCATACCCTTATAAAGTAGCTACATTATTATCCCCATTTCGTGTATAAGGAAACTGAGACTTAAAGCTAAGTAACTTGTCTGGATTCTAAGAGATGTAAGAAACCACAAGGCACTTCTAATCTCCCAATGTCTTTAGTGAGTGCCTTGCTCCAAGATGCAAATTTACCTCCTGTCCTGAGGGTATGAGAAAGTCCGAGCCAATCAACAAACCATCACAGTCTGAATACTCAATAAACATAAAATGTTTTGATATTAAGTATAACAGCAAACATATTATACGGCTTATCCCAATTATACCAATGCTGAATGATCAATGTCTGATTTTCCTAAATGTTTTTAGGTTCTAGGATAGATATTACATTGAGTTCATAGATAAAGGAAGTCATAAAGCTTAAACCTCTTTAAATAGTAACTAAGAAAAATGAGATTATTAAAACATTCAGTATTAGATTTAAGCATTGGAATAAAACAAACTGGGAAGCTTTAAAATGGACATGGCATCACATTACCCTAGAAATCACTTGTTCTTCTATGAAAAAATTCTCTCCAGGTGGGTGCTTATTTTATGAGACATGATTTTAACTCTTAATCTACATAAGTGTTGCCTACACTCATACGCTCAATCATTAGAACATTTTCAGGTGAGGAAAAAAGTAAATTGGTACCTGCCTGGTAGACTGTTTTATTTAAATGTTGCATCCCTTTGCAACCAGGAATTATTTTAGAAGTCATTCTTCAGTATGAAAAGAACATACTTTACCTTGTGCCGGGCAAGAGCTACCTGCTGATCCGTCAGGCTTATCTCAGAAGTACTTTGTAATTCACCAAGAAACAGCTTAATCCACGTAGAAAAGGAAAGCAGCAGCTCATCAAATTGCTGGTGTTCGGCAACCACAGACTGAAGAAAATTAATCCTACGGAGAGAAAGGCGTGGAAATGCCCCAGAAGTGGGCAAGCTCCCCACGTGTTTTGGGAACTGAGCTTACCCCAGGCAGGTGACATCGTCAGACGGGGACACAACAGACCTCTGGCTCTTTTACACTTCCCAGCCCTGTTCATTTCCCAACTTCCCCTGCCACTGTTGGCCCCACCCACCCTCAATCCCCTCCATTTCTTTTCCACCACATCTGATCTGTCCATATCTGGTTAGCACCTCCACCACGGTAGGCAATGACACTGGAATCTTCTCTCCACGTCCAACCCCCTCATCCTGGTTGGAATCACTTCATCTCACGCTGGCCTCCTACATTCTCCTGCACCCACTTCCCTCCTGCCACCTTTGCCTCCATATCTTATTGTCCAAAGTCTAGATAACAGTCAGAAAGGATAGCATTCCCTGTCACGAAGAAACATTAGGCTCCTTTTCTGTGACACTTAGGAAAGCAAAACCCCTAGAGCTTCCAACTGTGGTCTACAAGGAAGCCCACACAATTCTTTTTCCTGCTCCATCTGACACGGCTCTGCCCAACACCCCACTGATCTCTTGTTATGTGATATCCCAGCTCATTTCTGCTATAGGGACTAACACTTTCTCCCTGTGTCTCTGTCCTCAGAGGACCTTGGGATTTCTCCCACACAGAACTCAGATTTCAATTGGATACATCGCCCGAGAAATGCTTTGTCTTGCCCCAGCCATGTTACCCCATGTTACCCCATGTTGTCCTCTTTACTATGCTTAGCATCACCTGGATCAGCTTTGTTCATTTGTTGATTATACACTCGTTTTCCCCTCATTCCTTCCTGTGTCCCTCCTCCTCCATGACAGCAAGGACTTTCCCTGCCTTGCTCGCTAGAAAAGTGGTTGGTGTATGGTCAGGGAGCTCCCAGTCCTTGTGTAATAAATGAACTGGTTCATTAATAATAGGCCATGAGAGCTCAGAATCCAAAACTGGTGTTAAAATAGCACCTTGATCCAATATTTGCAACTGAAGGTCAACATTTTAAAATTGACTTTCATGCTTTCATCCTTATCAAATCTGTTACGGATTATCCTCACATGCACAAATTATATTTCAAATGCCTTGATGTGAGTATAAGGCTTTAAAAGTCTTTTATTCTCCCCTGAGGGGTGGAGAGAGACTGTTCTATTTTACAGAAAATTGTTCATATTTTGAGAGTTGGCATCAAATCCTTCTGTAGGTTTTCCTGAACCCATTCTCCCAATGGTTTCCTTGTTATCCTAAAATTGATGTAGAAACTACTAAAGGTCAGGTAGTCTGTATTTTTGTGGCTCCAGTATCCGATATGTGTAGTATTAGGTAGGCACCCAATAAACACTTGTTGATTGAATAAATAAATAACCAATGAATAAGCTCAAGCTCCACGGAAGTAGTCAGTGAGAATCTGATTACCCACCAACACACACCAGAGTGTCCTGGTTACTATATGAACTCAATAAGTATTTGATGAATGAATGGACTTAAAAAACGGCCAGAAAGTTTGAATTCTTATCCAAGACCACATAGTAATCAAAATCAATATCAATTTAAAGAGAATTTGTTTTCTCTTTCATTAGAAAGGTATTTATGGCTAATTGCTAGTCATCTGGTTAATTAAAATTTAATATATTTCATATAACATATAATGCATTTCAAATAATAATCATTTTCCCCACTCTCCCCAAAAGATCTATATTGGAATGAAATGGAAGTACTAGTGTATATATATAAATGCCTCTGGTTGAGAAATGAATTGTGAGACAAATTTTAGTTACCATTTTCCATCTGTTCACAGACTGCTTGGGCAATAAACAATACAAACATTAGTAACCCTACTGTCCTCAATATACTAAAACTATTTAAATATTTGCTCATTGTAAGAAAAATGTTGAATTAAGGTTCATCAGTCATGTTAATTTTTGAGGACCTTAAAAAAGACTTGGACCTTAACATGACTGATAAAGTAGTTCTCATCTGTGATATTCTCTGAGCAGCTGAATTAGACAAACAAAACTATGCTCCAATTTAAAAGCAAGCACACAGTATAGAAACTGTTTTACAACCAACCGTTTGCTAATTCTCTGTGGTAAATCTCTCCATCTCTCATCCAACTGCTCCAGGTGCAGTTTCATCGTTTTCACGTCGTCTTCAGAGGCCACGGAGAACAGCGACCCCTTCAGCTGCAGAAGGTTGCTGTAGCAGGAGGCCTGGGACACGACTTCCTTCTGCAGAGCCTGGGGACAACAGAGCACATCACAGATGTTGGCCAATAGGACTGAGCCAGAAAGACCGCAAGACACCGGTGTTTGTCACTGACGGTTCTCATTCCTTCAAAATGCAAGCCATTCGGCTGCAGGAAGTTTTTAATTGCTTTTTAAAAAGATTTACTTATTTAATAGGTATGCACACACATATATAGAAAGAGAGAAAGGGAGGGAGAGAGACCTTCTATTTTCTGGTTTACTTTCCCAAATGCCCACAATTGCTGGGGCTGGGCCAGGCCAAAGCCAAGAACTGGGAAATCACTCTGGGTTTCCCACATGGATAACAGGGAATTGAATACTTGAACCACAGTCTGCTGTTTCTCAGTGTGCACACTAGCAGGAAGCTGGAATACAGAATAGAGCTGGGACTTGAGGGCCAGCCTGGGACTCCTCCATGGGATGTGGGCATCCTGAGTTCATCCTAACCGCTGCACTAAATGCCTATCCATTTTATTTGATTTAGAAATGGAACAACTGTATCTTTAATGCTAATTTTCAGATACTACTGGAATCCAAATGAGTTTTCTGGAGTCTAAGTTATATATGGTTAGGCTTATGTGGAAGCTGTAGAATCTCTTTCAGGATGTGTAGACTGACCATAAAACAGGAATCAAAGAAAAACTATTACCAAAGAGATCCACGCATCTAACAATACCAAGCTGTAGTGCTAAGTATATGGAACACAGCTGCTCTCTGATTAGGTCAAAATGGGGAACTTGGGCTCTTTATCTTACTTTCACACAACTGAACTACTGATTTAAAAAAAAAAAAATTCAGGCATTAAATCTCTTTGGCATTATGATTGCCGAAATTAAAAGTGTGGGTCCAACATAATAAGAGATAAACACTCATATAAATGGGCAACAACAGAATATGGTGTTAAATGAGATAATAGTTGTAGCATGACTCATAGCAGATGCTTGTCCAAACGTGCTCTTTCCCTTCTCAATGAGGCTACAAGCGAAACAGCTAAAGCTATCAGTGAAAAGAGTACATGGCCTAGGGGTGACAAGTAACACCACAAAGCAGAACTGGGACTGTGCCGAGTAGCACAAAGGGAACAAGAAACACAGGAGGCCAGACCAGGAGGTGGGCATTCACAGGTCACATTTGGCCCACCCAGAGGGGACAGCTTTGTTGACGCAGTATGTGGATGCTGCGGAACCAGGCCTGCAAGCCCTCCATCATCCTCTAGGTCATACAGTACTCAGCTTCCATGTAAACGCATGCAGGGACACAGTTTTATATTCCCAAATGTCTTTGTACCCATATGCCTTACAATCTGTAAGAAAGGAGCTGTGACTTCCCTCTTGGAACTTCTTACATGCACAGACTATGGACTAATCATGGCCTCTGTTCTCAGGGCAGCAAAGAGTCACTGTTGTTTTCTGAAAAGGAGCTTTTGTGGAAGATTAAAACAGAACACATCAGTGTTTGATGAACTTGAAAGGCAAGAGAACCCAGGCTGTGGAGGACTGTCAAGGTCAAGGAGGCAGGAGAAGTGACAGACACTTCTGATGGAGATCTTATAGAAGCAATTATGAAAAGGAAAGGAGCTAAGCTTCCTCTTAAACTTACTGTACAGTGTTATGGGAGAAAGCTGGGGTGTCAATCTGTAATACAATAAATCTTGTCTGAGAAGCGATTTTGCCTGTTGAGCTTTTTGTCACAGTCAGCACCACTTAAAATAAATTATTAATCTGCAGAAATCAGTAACAGTGTCTGTAGCTTCAATAATACTTATATTTTAAAACAACTTCTTCACGAATAATATTTATATTTTGAAAACTAAATTTTATTTATTATTTATATATTTATGTTATATATTATTATTTTAAATACTTAAATTTTAAAAACTTCAAGAATGTAACAAGAAGCTGGTTTTTTTTTTTGCATTTCTATCTACCAGCATTTCTGCACATTCATTTTTTAAGCCTTACTTGAAAATAATAATTACTGTGACTTCTCTCTACATTATACTACTCCTCACTTCTTAGAAATACTTTTTATTAACAAAAGTCCACATAAATTTGTATTAGAAATTATACGTATGACCAGCTTCAGAAATTATCAATCGATAATCAACTTTGGTTTATCTACACTCGTCTTTCTGCTCTCCCTCCCTCAACTCCCCTGACAGTTCTGTTCAAATATGAGACATTATGCTATGGGATTTTAGCACATCGTGGAAACTGGTCACCACAAAGTCCTTTTCGTTACTTTATCTTTGGGGCTGTTCTATTTGGGATACCTTGACATCAAGTGATGCTTCAAGAATCACAAAACCCAAGCAAAGTGTTAAGTTGGATCTAGGTTTTTCAGTTATTTTCTTAAAAAAATATAATGAGGACATAGCAAGAACATTTCATTTTCCATGCGCACACCTCCCTGAACTTGCCTGTATCAGCTGAAGTTCACCCTCCACTTTGACTCTGTCAGCAGAGATGTGCCTCTCTGGGGATCGGGCTATTGTCTCACACCGCTCCAGCCAGGTCGAAAAGGATGACAGTTCTTTCTCCAGCCTAATGTAATCAGAGAAGAAACAAATTCACCCAAAATTGTCATGCTAAAGGATTAGACTTTTCTCAAGTTGGAGGGTCCAACAGGAACCAGTTTAAACAAGACGATGTCGGTCATGTCATTCGCAGCTGCAAAGGTGGGAAAGTTGCTTCTTTCTCTTCCCTATGTGGACTTGCACACGTGTTTACATCTGAGCAGGATATAAAGATCCGTACACAACCTCTGCACCCTCAGAGGTCTTCAGCTGGTATGTAGAGGTCGATCGCATCCCATAATACACACATGAATTTATGTATTTTACAACGGGGGTGACTATTCCCCATCTCTTAAAGGATAGTAGCCCAGAACTTCCTACCTCCTAGGGAAAGTATCAAGAGAAAACACGGCTTACCTCTGCCAGTGGGCCAGCAGGCTCCCCAGCACGGCCTGTCTCTCTTTAGCCTTACTCAGCGTCTCTTCATACCGCTGCTGCAGATCCATGGCGTCCTGCATGCAGGATTCTCCGCTTTTCACCTTGCGGGCACTGGCAGAGAAAGCAGTCACGGTGCTGCTCAGGGACTCCAGGCCCTGGCAGAGGTCCTAAGGAGAGGGCAAAAGGAACATAGTAGCCCGTGCATGCTCTCAAACCCTACACAGACTTCCTATCTCTTATATACATATCCATGAGAAAATTGAACTTATAACAGGCCCAGAGATCACAGTAACTAAAAATAGAAACCGTAACAATGCTGCAATGAACGTCATTTAAATTTTACGAGTGGGTTCTTTCTGGACTCTCATTTTATCCTTTTAGGCCATGAGTGTGGGTAACTGGAAGTGTGAAGGGACTGTTGGACAGCAAATGCACAGGATTGAACAGGACACAGGATTATTTTGAAACCCATCATCAAAAACTATTTCCCCTCTGTTGTCATAAATGCCGGTGGTATCAAAATTAAAAAATGCTCTGTCCCAGATTTGAAGTAAGCTACAGAGAAAGTGAGGACAAAGCTACTTTCTCTCATGCTCCTCTGTCTCAGCGTCAGCCCAGGTTCTTCCAGGTCTGGCCCAGCCCTACCTCCGGCTTTCTGGTCCTCGCTGGGCGGTGCTCTGGAGAGGTTTCCCACAAGGAGAGCAACTTGCTGTGTACCTGAGTAGTTCCAGCTCTCCCTCAACAATTCTGGTATCTTGTGAACATTCCTATTCCTTTCACATAAAATTTGTATTTAAAGAATGCTATTCTTAATTGAAAAGCTGCTTGCAACTTAGTACTTCTATGGAAACATAGAGGAAAGGTTAACACCCAAAATAGCTGTTGCTGGGCTTCGAATAATCCCCAGATGCCTCTGAGTGGGGTGGGGCGGGGCAGGGCAGGGCAGGGCTGGGCTGTCCATTGCATGGACAGACTGCCTTCCTGAAATATGCAATTGTCTGCAGAGACAGAAGAAAGGCACATTCTGTCATCACACCCATTTTACAGATAGGACAATCAAGATGGAGAAAAGTAACTTATGTTAGGAAATCTAAGTATTAGAAAAAATAGAATGGTATTCTCTGGGATTGCATTATTAACCTATTAAAATAGCCATTCAGATTGATCTTTTCCTATTTTTCCTCAAATTTTTCAAAGGAACATGTGACACACAGATATACCATCATCATGAACACTCAAATGATAAAAATTCCACCCCCCTTTCCGGATGTGCCTGTCTCAGCTCCCTGCTTTGCATCACTTAGCACCTTTCTTGCATGTATGTACAGCATCCCTACTAGGGATAGCATCCGTATTTGTGCTTATTAATTTACACGTTTCCCTTTAGAATTTCCTCGTGAATGAATCTCTTTCTCAGCATTGTTCCCCAGGCCTGCCTAAATCCTCAGTGGCCTCGCACAAGATTCTCAGTGATCATTGTAGAGCTTGGACCACAAAAGCCAGCACTGGAAACAGATCTGTGAGGACACAGCCCTTTCACATCTCAGTGCAGTGGGCTGACACCTACTCTGCACACACAATTCTTCCTGCACATTGAATTTTAAACATGCTAGCAAGTGGTTAAAGTGTTTATCAAAGCTATATTCTCAAAATATTGTGTTCTAATTAAAACGGAAATATTTTTATAAGTTTTTTTTTTTAAACATGGGTGGCTTTAATTTCAAGATTTATTTATTTGAAATGGACAGTGAGAGAGAGTGAAAGAGAGAGATCTCCTAGGTACTGGTTCACTCACAGAAATGCTCACAATGGCTGGGGCTGGACAGGCCAAGGCTAGGAGCTGGGAACTCAATCCAGGTGGAAGGGTCCCAACACGGGAGCCATCACCTGCTGCCTGCTAGTGCACACGCGAATGGGAAACTGGAATTGGTAGAAGGGCCAAGAGTCAATCTCAAGCACTCCAATAACAGGGATGTGGACACTTAACTACTATGCTAACTGCCCACCCTACAAAATATATTTTAAATGAACCCCCCTTTCACATACATTTTTAATGAGAATTTATTTGTATATTTACACCTCTTTTATGAAGTATGTTTGATCTATATGTTTTAACATGAAAATCTTTCCAATTTTAATTCTCATAAAATATTTACTCTGTTTTCTTTTCAAGTAGGAGTTATCCAATTTTGAGCTGAAATGTTGAAGCATATTCTTACCATATGTTCTTGGAGTACTTTATATGTTTCTGTAGCTGAAGAACATATTTTAATTGGATCAGCCAGTTTATCTTCAAATTCAGACACAGACTGCTGGATCTAAAACATTGGTGAAATACAAAAATATTGTTGACAAAAATATACAGCAAGGCTAAGAAGGTGGTGGAGAAAAAAGTATACCAACATTTTATGGTTAACATTCAATGTGATGACAAAATTCACCTAAAAATATCTAAAATCAATAGGTTTTATTATTTGAATTGGAAAATTAAGGCTTCAGGACCATTTGCATGCAATGTGTAAGCCTTACACTTCCCTACAAAGGGTACCATACAAATGCCTATAACTTTAAAAATTATGGACGACCTGGTAGACGATTGGTAAGTGTATCCTTTGCTTACTCCACTACTTGTGCAGGATTTATTACATTTAAAAGGCAAGGCGAAATATGTAACTGAAGAAATCAGGGACCGATTCTTACCTTGCTAAGGTTCTCCTCAAACTTTTGCTGCTGAGATAAGTGCCCCAGAATGGTTCCTTCGAGACACTGTGCATGCTCGCGGAGTTCTTCCCAGTATCTTCTTAGTTGTGTCAACTTGGCTTTGATTCGAGCAGACTCTCCGGTGGTAATAAATTGAGCAAAAGACTGAACTTCTTCTTCTAATCCTGCAATACTGCTGAGCTTACTTTCTATTTCTTGAATAATGACCTATTTAAAACAAGAAAAACTGAATGTAGGCTGAGTAAGATCGCCTTCTTGAAATGACATAATTATCTGCAGAGACAGGAAAGCGAGGAAAACCTCCTTAACTGACTTTTCAACATACTTGGTTGGTTAGAGTACAACTGTGAAGCAACTCTGTTTCCTGACCTCGCTGGGAGGTCTACAAATACTACCCAGCAGGGTTGGGCTCTCTGGCTAGAGACTAATGAGAAGCAGCTACTTCTGCTTGCAGTAAGTGACTCTTAACAGTATCTCCTAAGGTGCAGAGAGCCGCCTACTCTTCCAACCAAGCATTTGCATTGACTGATCTGGGAGGCAGTGTGTTCTAGCAACTGGTGGGAATGCTAACATTTACATTCATGTAACTTCTCTGAAATGTAGCTGCTATCTCATATTTTACCAAGCTAGAAGGTTTCCTGGCTGCATCCCTATTTAAAACAAGTCTTTTCAAATTTATCGTCCATTCTCTATGTTTATAGTTTCCAAATTTAGAATGTATTTGGGCTTTCTGGTTTCACCTGCAGAGATCAGATCCATCAAGTCTAAGGAGGCACCCAAGATTTTGATTTCTAGCAGATTCCCAGAGAAGCTGATACTACAGAGTCAAGGACTCCTCTGCTCCATCCACTCACTTGCTCTCTACAGGAAGGAGCCAGAACCCTGTAATTTTAATCTGAGGCACAGATGACATGGCATATGTTAGCATATGCCTGAGAAGTGCCAACAACCCCTGAAGGATGCATGTGTATGGAAGTGGGTGTGTGTCTCTCAAACACAGAGGCTTATTTGTGTATAAGAAAATCAAAGTTATTTGAGAAAAAGAGCGAAATCATTCCATCAAAATAGTGCCAAGAATTTTGACAAATTTCAATTTCAAATAATTTAAATGAAAACTCATGTTATGCTAGGAAAAAATAAATTAGTGATTTCTGTCTATATGGGATTCATGAATAACAGAGTAAGTTTCAGGTATACATTGCTCTCTTGTCTATTTTTTCATATGTGTGAAACAGTGGGATAGCAGATATTTGTTGTTTAATGACAAACCATGTCTTGATTAATAGAGTTCCTTTCTCTGTTTTAAAGTCTTTTTTAAGAAAAATATTACCCATAAATTTATCATATCTCAGAGTGTCTCCTATACTCTGATAATTGTTTTCTGTGCTTATATGGTGAAATAATCTTAAAGTTTTAGTTACTAGAGTAATACAATTTCATCAAGATGTTCACAAATACAATTTCATGGTTGAACTGTGGCTAAAAAAAATTCCACTCAAGAGAAGATGGGCAGTGATGGGCATTGTTTATCAATGATTAATTAGAAATACGGAACCAGTTACTTGGAAGAACATGTAACAATGAATAAACACTAACCTTGGGTAACTGTCATCAAAACAGTACAAATGCTTCAAAAATTTTAATTGTGAGATTAAAGTGAGAACACTATGGAAGTACTACTATATTTTTAATATTTTCTCTAACATAGCTTTCTGTTGGACATAGAACATGAGTCTAGCCAGCTAACCTCCACAGAATAGTCATTTCCATCTTTCCTTTCTTCTAACAGATGTTTTTTCTTTGTTATTTATGCTTATGTAATATATTTTTAGATAATTTCAAATGGCATACTGGACATAATAAAATGTAGTAGTTTTCTAGTCTGATGGCATGGAAATCCACAATTGAATATTTATATATGTTAAAATAAAGGGTGTAATTTTTTTTTACTCTGAAGAATAACAATGAGATGACATTGGATTATGGATGTATTTCAGAAGACCCAGAACAAGGGTTAAAATAGCAGTAAATGGATCACAGGAAGAATATAAAAGTTAAAAAATATATGTTCATTTTGAAAGGGGAAATATTTAAGAACAAACTACTCAAATATGCTATTCTTTTTTTTTTCTGAGAATTTGGGGGAAATGCTTGGATGTCTACTTTGAACAATTTTAAAGATTAAAATTATTTCATGAATATTCTTTGATGGTTTGGCATGTATTTTTCCTAACATACCATGGAAAGTAGGGCAGACTGTGTGTACCACATCTTGAGTATCTGTACATGCAAGGCAAGAAGGATCTGTATGGCTGTAATCTTAGCTCCACAACATTGCAACCCCCAAGCCCCTGCCTCCATGGTCATGGCTTGTTTGAGTCATCATGTGAAATGTTCCCTCACCTTGGTATTTATTTTATGCTATATGATGAACAAAATGGCAGAGGGCTTTCCTGTTCCCACCCCTCCCTTCTCTCCCACCACCAAAAAAAAAAAAAAAAAAAAAGAGGGAAGAAAGAGCTGATAAAGAAGTGGCTGAATCTTGAAAATGTGTCATGTAAAATTACATAAAAAAAAGAGAAAGAGACCACTCCAAGCTTCTTTCTCTCAGTCCATTTTTCCTTAAACTGCTTGATAAGTGGACGATGACAATCTAAACACATGGTTATTTTAGATCTTGGAGACCTAAAGTTTCAGAGCATCTGTTCATGTCCCAAGGTCATTAACAAAAACATTGCAGGGGGTGGGGGATCTTTTTTTTTTTTTTTCTGCCAACAGCCATTTGGATATTTATAATATCTTCGAGTTACACAAAATTATCAATTTACGAATTAGCCTGCTACAGATTTATTGAATTTCAAATCTCACCTGTAGTTCCCTTGGCAAGGCCAGACCAAATGATTTTACCAGCTATAAGACATGCAGGCTGAATGCTCCCCACCCCTGCAGTGTCTGACACTTTACCTAAATAAAGTGAACTTTGTGAGCTCCCCCTTGTGGTTCATGAAGGAAACACCACTCATACGTGAGCTAGACATCTGAGATGACTCTCAGAGGACAAATGCATTCCAGACTGTAACAATGAATCAACAGAGCACCTCATTGAAGGTTAATTCAAAATCAAGGAAAAGAATAGTGTAACCATAAAAATATTTTAATGATATCGCACACAATAATGGCTTCAGATGCATAAGTCAGACAATATTAATACATAATTCCATCTATAAAGTATTACTCATTGTATCAATGAAGACCTCTTAGCTGGTATTTTCTGTGAATTTTAATGGGATCACATAGCAATGAAAGATTGATCCTGGGACCACGTAGTTGTTGATGAAATAAATTTAAGAAAGGAGTTCTAACAGCTAGGCATAGATCAGAAATGTAACATGGGAGCAGGTCACCTTAATTTGGCTGATTTGCATGTCCATGGCAGATGACGAAGTTTCCAAGGCATTGAGCTCATTTTCTTTCTCAGTGATCCAGATGGACAGGGTCTCAAAATTACTGCCAAAATGATCCCACTTGTTTTTCACCATTTCCATGGTTTTAATACTAAAATTAACCAAATTAAGTAAATAAAATGCAGCATTTTAATATAGAATAACAACAGATTTTCCTTTAAGTCATCAGGTGACATGATAGTGAAGACATTTTACCATTTATAAGTTGAAACTATGTTAATGAAAAATAATTTACATTTGATCTTAGTAGTATGTCAGGCCTTGAGTCTTTTATTTACCTCTGAGAATAAACTTTAACAAGGCAACACCTATGCTATGATAGAAATGGAACCACAAATTTGAACAAAGTATTATTGGGTACAAAGGGGAATTGCCTCCAAGAGAAATCTAATTTTGTTTGGGCCAGTAGTTGCCAGGACTAATCTTAATGAACTATACCAGAGTAGATTCCAGTGCACGGAGTTTTATAAGTGTACAATTTTCATGGACACATTCCTCTTGCCCATAAAGGAGAGACACTGTCAGGATGCTTTATACTGAAATATATATTTATACATGTGTCTTTGTAATCTGAATCCCATACCATCAGGCAGAAATTGTGTCCATCATTAGTGTTAGGACTGCAATTTATAATCTAAAATGATTTCAACTATTCTTATATCCACAGATGTCCTACTGTCCTGATTCCAAAAGACTTTTAAAAACTCTTGAGCATGAGCACCCTGTTTTTAGACACTTAGGCTTATCTATAACATATGTAGTGAACAATATCAGCTACAGACTCCCTGTTTGTGTTATCTATGCAGACATAACTAGTTGAATATGGCTTTCAGTTTAGAAAAAGACTGAGTACCTAATGGTATAATGTTGAACTGATAAGTCTTTCTTTGGGTTAAAATAAAAAGGCCAAAGAATATCCCTGTTTACCAAAAGGCACTTGAAAACATCAAGCAAAATTGAATGGTATCATTGATTGTCAGATTAAATAGTATTGTAGTCACAAATCTATGCCCTTTTTTATACAAAGTAACAAATAGATATTCTTAATAGGAGATTCCTTTATAATAAATTTTAAGTTTTACTTATAATAAATTTACTTTATAATAAATTCTAAGTTTTACTATTTCCATGATACAATTATTTACTATAAAGTCCTCCAAATTTCAAATCTTAATTTGCTTATAGCAAAACAGTTATCAAATTTTAAAGCTGAGGCAAATGGAAAATGTTAATTTCAAGGTGTTAACAGTATAAAATTTTTGAGATGATTGGCCGTAACTGACGTCCTGTTTCTCAGGAATACAGTGCTATGTGTCACTGAACTTTTTACCAAAGGACCTTCAAACAGAAATGCCTAACTGTATTTTGAAAAATATTGGCCATATCCCATTATGTCTATCTCCTCCAAACTTTTTGTATATATTGTATATATTACAGGATGCCAATAGGCCAAATTGTTTTTTTTTTCTTAAACAAACATAAAATGCTTAAGAATTAAAGAGATTATTCAAAGTAACTTCTGGAAATAGCATATGAGTCAGTGACAATTTGAATATCTAGCGCCTGTGAACAAGCTCCCTGAGCCTCCCCAAACTGGAGACAAATGATCTATAAGGGATGCGTTTAGACCTAGAATTTAAACGAACAAAATTTCTCCACTTCCCTCTAACTGGTGACACCAGAATGATATGGTAGAAGAATTATATGAAATATTGGTTCTTTTTTTCCCTCTACAATGTACAAAGGCCACAGAGTTGAATAGATATGGCTTTCTAATGGACATAACCCACTAAGGTGCAGAAGCCACATCGTGTTTGTTTACTCTGGTATAGGTAGTGGTTCCTGTATTGATGACATTTCTTCTGAATTGTGAGCTGCTTTCTCCAACATGCTGAAATACACAGACACTTAGGATTGTAAGACTGTTTCGATTACAAGATACAGGAAAGACTGCATTAAGCTTTAGCTCAGAGAAGAAAGTTTAGGACTTGTCGAGCACGTACTCTTCTTCAAGTGTGTCTTCTAATTTTTTGACTTGCTCTTTGACTGACTTAGCCTGCTGTTGCAGCAGCTGCTTGTTCTTGGGCCCCAGTGGTATCTCCGAGGCTTCCTTTACAAGGTTCTCAGCCTGGACTGCGATATTTTCTGTCCGTTTAGAAAACTCCTAGAAAAAAATATAATTGTTAGATGAGAGCAGTTTTATTTAGCTTAGCTCTGCCCTCTGCACGTGCAGGTGTTCCTTGTTATCTGTGAGGAATTGCTTCCAGAATCCCTTGTGGGTGACAAAATCTATGGATGCCAAGTCCCTTATACAAAACGGTGTAGTATTTGCCTATTAACCTGTGTATATCCTATTTTATACTTTATCTCTACTTTACTTATAAATACAATGCAAAGATGATATAAATATTTTCCTATATTGTTTAGGGGATATTAAGAAAAAAGCCTACATGTTCAGTACAGATTCATTTTTCAACAATGTTTTAGATCCACAGTTGGTTGAATTTATGGATGTACAACATGGAGATATACAGGGCCAACTGTGCTGCATATTCTCTCCCAGAAGAGATGGGTGGATAGATGGATTCATGAATATATGCACCTATATTGCTCTTAACAATAAAACTTATTTTCCTATGGCCAAAATAGACATAAAAACTTTCTCAGTTTACAAACATAATCAACTATTACTTTTCATAGCCACCCACGAATCCTCACAAAATACTCTCTCCATTATATCCTGGTTTTGGTTTACTGTTTAGAATTATAAGCTACAATATAATTATTAAATTGTCTATAAATAATTACTATAGGCCAGTTCATGAAATAATAGTGATTGATTTTTCAATCATGGAAATAAATTTCTAAGCCAATGAAGAGAAATATTTGTTTATTTAGTTGAATAATATCTTACACAACACACAATATCAGTAATCTCCACTATAAATATTTTGTTAAATTGTTCTCTGGAAGATTATATTATCTGATCTTAATGCCATTAAACCTTGCTTACTACCTGTGCATACACAACATGATAGAAAGAAAGATTGAACTTTAACCAGTCAAGCCTGGTCTAGAATTCTGGATCTGCCAATCATGATTTGTTTGTTGTTGGCGAATTGTTTGCAGCTCTTTCATGTGAAGTGGAGACAGGAATGCTTTTCATGGGAGGTAAGCATTTTTAAATGCCTAACCCTTTGGCAGTTACCATTTATCATTTTATATCTTATAAATAAAAATGAGGACTAAATGGTTTATTAAATCTACATACTGATATTTCATAAACTATTTTAAATAAATATTAATGTTTAAAACTTATTTGAAGTAAGTCTATTTCTATAGACTATGTTAATTCAAATGTTAAAATAGATGAGGCACTGGTAAACTTCAGGTGCTGTCTAAATTTTGTTAGGTAAATACATTAAATACTGAAAGCTAAAGGTAAACTCAAGGATAATATTGAGTGAAAAAATTTAAACTTTGTGTCTCATTTCTTCTCATGTAAGAGAATCTCACAGATCTAAATTTTGGTCCTCAGTGCCACGAAGAAATCCAATGTAAATATTAGTAAAAAAGCTTCTCTCTCAGAGCATCTCTGGGAGTTATTACATAATCAATACTAGTCATACGGTCATTAATACTGCTTTGGCTTGAAAGTCTTAAACTCATGGAAATAAAATATCAGTGTCATTTTGGAGAAACAACCTGCAATTTGAGAAAATAAAAATGAGTAAGTATAGCTTCCTTCTGGTAAGATTTATAGTGTCCTAAAATATGATGCTTGCTAGTATCACAACACTAAATTCTGTGGTTAAAAAGATCCACTATATAGGCTGGTGACGTGGCTCACTAGGCTAATTCTCCACCTGCGGCGCCGGCACCCCAGGTTCCAGTCCCAGTTGCTCCTCTTCTATTCCAGCTCTCTGCTGTGGCCCAGGAAGGCAGTGGAGGATGGCCCAAGTGCTTGGGCCCTGTACCCGCATGGGAGACCAGGAGAAGCACCTGGCTCCTGGCTTTGGATCAGCGTGGTGTGCCAGCCGCAGCGGCCATTTGGGGGGTGAACCAACGGAAAGGAAGACCTTTCTCTCTCTCTCTCTCACTGTCTAACTCTGCCTGTCAAAAAAAAAAAAAAAAAAAAAAAAAAAGGATCCACTATATCTATGTATGATTTTATAGTCCCTGCAGATTCAACTGTGAGGGCCATGAATCCCAGAATAATCTCTCAGAATCCCATGAGGATCAGAAGCATAAGATAAAGTCTTCTTCCCCTTTGTATTTTCCCGATTGCAAGAAAAAACACAGAGAAATCAATGCTTGAATATGCTTATATACATTCAAACTTAGAGCCTCTTATGTGAGCTGTTAGGTGAAAGCACCATGTAGAGGAATCCCAAGAGCAGAATGCTGTTGATAGAAACAAAATTAAACAAAATAGAACATTGTGAGGTCTTATCCCTAAATCTGAAGAAGACATATCAGTGGTAGCACAATGTATCAGGAAAGAATTGATCTGGAGTTGAGTCTAGGGTCTTTCACTGCTGAGTGAGTTGTATCCCACAACTCTGTGAATTTTATTTCCTCAGGAAAGTCACGTTTTGTGGGAGGAGAGAAAACACGATCCCACTGTTGGATGCCTTACCACGCCCTTGCACACAAGGGACAAAGAAGTCACTCACATTGTCAACTGCAATGAAGGCTGTAATAACAATGCAGAGTAAGCAAAGAAGCAGAGCAACTGTTATGGATGATATCTGCCCGTGTGGCAGTGTAGAACCCAGTAAAGCCGCTCAGCTTTTTAACAAAAATCCAATATAGGAGCCAGCTTCACCACTTAGAAATTTGGAGACCAGGACAAGTTCATCAGTAAGCTTGTGCCTTCTTAGACCTCACTGATAAAAGAGGATTAATATTCATACCTTCTTCTTGGTATTGTTTTGAGGATTAAAGAAGGTGATAGAAGATGATAGACATGAGGATATAGAACATATTTAATAAATGTTTGCTCAGATCATCAAACCAATCTCAAAGCATGGAAGATCATCAGAAAGGCAGAATGTTAATGGTAAGGTTAAAAAGGTTACATTTGTTTTATTTACAGGCAGTTAAACTGATCCAGAGAAATAAGTACAGTCACAAGGTGTCAGACAACCTGGATGGAACCTGAATGAATTTACATGCAAAATCCACATGTAGATTAACCCAATGAATGTCTTTGAGGTTATAAAGACTCCTGTCATGCTTTAGCACAAAATAATTAAAAACTAGATGCTCATCTTTCCTCATTAACAACCACTCCTTCACGTTCCCTGTCTCACTGTCATGCTAACAACTTCTTGCTTCTTACCTTCTCTATCTAGTTTAGCTGCCCAAGCTTAGTGTGAATGGCATATCTTTGGCATTTGTCTCCAGGGCATCAACTGCAACCCCCCTCCCCTTATTTATACGCATATTAACTAAGGCTCATTTGCAGCACCTTTCTGATTAGGTTCCAGGGTCCCCAGTCCTCACGCTTTCAATCCCTTCTCTACACTTGTCTAGAAATTCAGCTCCAAAAAGCGCAACTCTTTCTGAAACCCTTTAACAGCCGCCGTTCCATGCTGCCATGAGAATTTCTTTTTAGGTCTTATCAGACTACTTGGAATGTGGCCTGGCTTTCCTTGACAAATCTACTTCTTATTCTGCTTTACAACACAGAAGCCCCATATATGGCACTTTTATACCTCATGCTATTTTCCCTCTGAGGAATGTGTGCTCTCTCTGCTTCAAATGCTACTTTTCTGAGTTTCATCTGACCTCCAAGATTATTTAAAAGTATCTTTCCCTCCAGATTTTTAAAACTATACACACATATTAGGGAACTAATCATTTTCCACTTTATGAAAACATCACTTTCTCTCTTGATGGTTAAGTGCACCTGATGATTTCATTCCCTGGAGTATTGAAATAGTAGATTATCAACACATAAGTATTGATTAAATGAATAATAGCAACAGTAATAATGGAGAGAAATAAGTGATATTTTTTTCTGAATAATGAGTACCGAGGGACTGTATGGTCTTACTAATATACCTTCGTCTGCTCCAGTTCTGAAGATAAGCTTTCCAAACTGCTAAAACTCAAGAAGCGTTCATGACTGGAACCTGTTTGGAAAAGGTATCGGACCACTGTCTCTTTGTTTGTTTCAAACCGTTCCCACTTTCTTAATGTGACCTAAATATGGAAAAACAAACATGCCAGGTTACAAATTACCAAAATGTGCCACGAAATATTGTCATTTTTTATCCATTTGCTAAGCTGCTAACTTCCAATGAACTCTAGCTCAAATCGCACACAGTCACACTGAATAAAATGATTCCAGTGTCTTAACAATTTCCTTTCTGCACCTCAAGTCTTCATCCATAAAGAGAGGGGACACATGGAACAGATGCATCCTGAGCGCTCCATTAGTTCTGACAATCCTAATATTTTAATTTAGATAAGTGACAAAGGCAGGGAAGCACCCCAACCTCATAACAGAGAGGAGGAAAGGAAAAGGAAAAGGAAGGAGAGGAGAGGATAGAGGAGGGAGGAGCAAGGAGGGAGGGAGGGAGAGAGAGAGGGAGGCAAGAAAATCTAACTTTTATAAGATCACGTGCCCCCCTCACAATGAAACAACAATGTAAGGCGAAGGTGTCGCCGCTGGGCTTCCTGGCAAAGTGAAATGAGTTGGGCCAAGTTTCTGGATTCAGACAAAGCAAATCCTGGCTCTATTCTTGACCACTGTTGTGAGACGTTGGGCAAAGTGCTCAAAGCTTTTTTAGGCATATGCACTTGGACAACATGTTAATTACAGTACTTCCCTTCCAAGGCTGATATGATGATTAAAAGAAATAATTAAAGTACTACAATGCTGGACGTGGGAGGCAAGAACAAACATTTGCTCCTGCGGGTAGCAGGTAGAGCCCTGAAGGCCACCTGCAGAATGGCCCCTGCCCCACAGCTCCAACCTGGATGCGGCGCTCCTGTCTCTCTCTGCTGTGCTCCACGCGGTCCAGGGTGCTCTCCAGCCTCTGCAGCTCCTCCCTGCCGGGGCCCGGCCGGCCACCTTCTCCCTGTTGCGCCTGCGCGATCTGCTGCTGCAGGTCTTTCTTCTTAGCTGAGATCCTCTTGGTCTTTTGCTGGAAGCATTTATTCAACAGATGGATATAAATGTTACTCTCCAACCAGCAAGTCAGGGACATAAACACCCACACACATTGTAGGTACAGAAAGGTACGGATTCATGAAGTATGGGCCTGAACTGTATTGTAAAGTTAACAGTTAAAATGACAATGGTGACTGTATAGGTCAACATGGACATTTTATATAAATATTTTATGTTTTTAATAGTAAGCAACATAAATAATTTGGCGTTAGTGCTTTAATTGTATGCAAATTTGGAGAACAATTAGCATGTTGTGTAATACCTTAGAAAGAATTTGGCAAAGCAATTCATTTGACATGATGCTTTCTGATATATTCTGCCTAAAAACACAAAGTCTCCAGTTATTTTTAACTATGCTATATAATGCTAATATCAAGAGATGGACTTCTTGGATATACTCAAAAGGGTTAATTTACTAAATATTGAGGGAAAGTTATGTTGTAAAGAAAATTTTTTCATTGAGATACAAGGGGACTTCAAAATGCTTGGAAAATGGAATGCAAAGACACTTATTTTGCAAAAAATGTGAAAATCATGTATATGAGGAGTATTTAAAAAGATCATGGAAATACATAATATGAAAAAAACTAAGTATAGATTAAGATTTTTTTGCACCAAAATAATCTTTTACTTTTATCTTCACATGAACATTCAGCCTTTGTATAACCTTCAAGCACAATGGTCCACAAATCTTGAGTGTACAACTGATGAGATTCAACAAGCACACACATGTAAATATGTAACAGTCCAAGAACTATGAGAAGAGTTTTAAAATATTAATATAAACACATGTAATCTTACAATTTTCTAACAAAGTATATGAAACCTGAGAAAATGATTTTGCAATGCTGGAGAACACAAACATTAATGGTTTTGTACACACAGCCTTTTTCTAGTTAAGTAAATCAATAAATCTTAGTGGCTGCCTTACAGTTTCCAGGCAAATTCCATTTCCATTTTATACGTAAAATTAGCTGTCTCTTTGCTATACATACATGAGAAATTTGTCACTGAAATTTTTGATTTGAATCTTATTTCTATTTATACTGAGTTTTCAAAGTAATATTTTCCATGTATACATGTATTTTAATATCTACACCAGGGCTATCAGGGAATAAGTTGATTAAAGTTATTTATTTCAACATAAATACCAGGATTCCTCTACTTCTAGTTCTAATCTTTGGTAAGAGCATGTTCTCCTGAAAGGTCTGGTACTTTAAGTGAGTTATAATTTCCCAAAGTAAAACATATTCAAGGTTGCAAATTGAAGAGAAATATTTTAACATAGTGACAAAAAATAATGGTTTGAACTATAAAGGAATTTGTCCATATTACACCTTCCCTGTTAGGACAAGGACTTTAATAAGTTTCATGCATATTTTCATAGTTAAATTATTTTTCTGCCCATGGTATTCCTTGAACTTTTTGATGTTATAAATAACTCCTCTGGGAATTTGTCTTTCTGGATATCCTAAAATATTTAATACTTACGAGACAGAATAGAATACAAATAGCCAAGTTCTTTTCACCATTCAAGCAGACTCCTTCTGGTCCCTCACTCCTCCAGCCCCCCATCCCAGTGGAGGGACCCATTCCTTATCTCTTGTTTTGTCAGCACCCAATCAACTTTACACGAATGCACTGGAGTATACAGGCTTTGCTACCTGGTGATGAAGAAGCAGCTGCTGCGCTTCAAACAGATTTTCAGTGTCTAAGATCTTCTCGGCTTGTTCTTGGACTTCTTTAGAGCCAGAGATTAAGTCTTCAAGGGAACTTTTGACTATTTCTTTATACTGGACACATTCCCCAAAGTTGCTTAACATCTTTTCAACCTAGATTTTCATGAAGTAAAAAATGTGTATTAATTGCTAATTAGTGAAGTTCATGCAATCATTTTTACTGAGATACCATTGACAAATGCTGTATATGTTTAAGGAATACAATGTGATGCTTTGATAAAGATACACATGTGAAAATTTCCCAAATCAAGCTAAAAAGTCTATCCATTACCTCATTATTTACATTTTTGTGTATAGGTGAGAACACTTAAAATTTATTCTCCTAGCAAATTTCCAGTCTACAACACAGTATTATTACAAATTCCACTATGCTGTTAGACCTCCAAAATTTATTCATCCTGTAGCTTAGAGTTTGTATTCTTTGATCAATACTCTCCTGTTGAAGTTCATGTATTGACTTTTTAGAGTATATTCCAACAAACAGAAGTATGTATCTTTTATTCTTTCACACATTTTAAAGTTGATTTATTATTAAATTACATAGTGATGTGATTACAAGCATTATTTGATATAGTGCATGAGCTCTATTAAATACCCACTTGACCTGGCAATCAAAGCAGGAAACTAAAACTGTATTGTTCCCTACAGCTAAATTATAATCTTATTAAAACCCAATTATAAAAGTGTCTTATAAGAAAGTTGAATCCATACTGTTTAAATAAGGAAAAAAAATGTAGAAACAGAATAGACTATTATTTGTGGGAAATGCATTTCCTATATTTATAACTAGAATGACATAATTTCTAATTTTGAGGTTCTTTTGTGGATTCTGTTTTTTTTTATCATCTTCCTGAATCTTTGGCTTTCTAATTCTGCTTCCTTAGTTTCATCAGTATCTTTTGTTTTCCAAATCCATCTTCCCATCTTCACTAAGATCGGGCTTTTTATATATTGCCATCATTTGTCTCCCCCAGAAGACTCCTGGTTTCTCTTCTCACACCCTTTCCCTTTGATCCTCTTCTGGTCTGAGTTGGCTCAAGGTAATGTGTGTCATGCTCATCTCTAAAGAAGCAGCAATAAGACCTGTGAAACCACACACTCCAGATCTTAGAAGTGGTGTGAATCTACCCACAGTCTCTTTCTCTTGACAGGGGACAATTGTAAACACATTACGATCTGCATTAATTTAAATATTAAATGGATACTGATTGAAAGAAATGATTGAATGTGCCAAACATATGTTTTTATAAAAGCTTATCCATAAACATGTTTTTTCTTATTCCTTTATTTTTGCTTTCATTTTTTGATTAAGCCGCAAAAAATGGTACTGATATTATACAGAATTTTAAGGTAGACAAACATGCCAAGAATTAATGTTTAATTGTGTATTATAGGAAATGTAAAAGATACTGTTAAATTTTCACTTAAAATGTAATAAGAACAATTAAGTTTGACCATTGCTGTGAGAGGTAATCAAAATATTGAAATAGCTTATATTCCATAATTGGATTAAAATCCTAAGTAGTCTGAAATACTTTTGGCATATAAAGCAGATCTGCATGGATTAAAGTCATCAAATGTTAATAGAAAAATTGTTACATTAGGGACATCAATAGAGAATTCCAGATCTTCAGAATCAGAAAGCTTTATGTGCCTTTTATAGTAATCTAATGGGCTATTTTTCCGAGCACGTTTATACTTGAACAAATCCAAGAAATATTGGCAAATATATATTCTACTTTACATTTTGATATTATCTTTCCATGCACAAATTACGCAACAGCCCAGTCAATAAAACTCTTCTTGCAGAGGGGAAAAAGTCTCTACTAGAAATGAGAGAGATGGCTTGTATATTTTAGTCTAAAAAGGAATATAAACAAACATTGAAATGCTATCAAAAAATTTAATGTGGGGAGGTCATAGCTAAAAGAGAAGCTTATTGTCCTATTGACCGAATGTTGACTATTTTATAATCATCAGCTGTGAGTTACTGGACATTCACTGAGTTCAGGCACAGAACTCAGCACTTTACAGACTTTATTACGTTCAATCCTTGCTACTGCCTTCTAGGGTGAATAATTTTTTGACAGAGTTAGAGAGAGAGAGACAGAGAGAAAGGTCTTCCTTCCATTGGCTCACTCCCCAAATGGCCACCATGGCCAGAGCTGTGCTGATCTGAAGCCAGGAGCCAGGTGCTTCCTCCTGGTCTCCCATGTGGGTGCAGGGGCCCAAGCATCCGAGCCATCCTCCACTGCCTTCCCGGGCCACAGCAGAGAGCTGGATTGGAAGAGGGGCAGCCGGGACTACAACCCTGCACCCACATGGGATGCCAGCGCTGCAGGCGGAGGATTAACCAAGTAAGCCACAGTGCTGGCCCCAGGGTCAATAATTTCAATCCTGTTTTAGAAGTAAGGAACAAGGAGTGGGGGATATTGAGTAATAAGCTCAAGACTACCTAGGGAAGCAGGATATCAAATTGAATCTCTAATCCGGAGTTTGACTTTCAAGTCTTTTTCTTAACCTCTGTGCTCTTATATGATTGTGAAATAATAATGTTTCTAGTATGAGTGAAAAAGCATGGGCTTGGTAAGCTTTGAACTTTTTTTTTCTTTTTTTTAACTTTTATTTAACTTTTTTTAACTTTTATTTAATGAATATAAATTTCCAAAGTACGACTTATGGATTACAATGGCTTCCCCCCATACCGTCCCTCCCACCCACAACCCTCCCCTTTCCCACTCCCTCTCCCCTTCCATTCACATCAAGATTCATTTTCGATTATCTTAATATACAGAAGATCAGCTTAGCGTACATTAAGTAAGGATTTCAACAGTAAGCTTTGAACTTTTAATGTAGGCCATTAACCTGAACTAACATATCCAATAATGGCACAGACCATAACTGAAACACTCATCTTTTCCAGCAATGGTGAAGCACCGTGACTATTCTGTATCATCTGAACTTTCTCTATGGGATTAGTTGCTACAGTGTAACCAGACAACGTTCCAGGTCCCTCATGCAGAACCGTTCCTTTAGGGTTAGTAAAGGACATACCTCTGACAGTAAGGAACCCAGAGCCTTGAAAGAACTAGATAATTTTGCCAGCTCATCCCCTTGCTTTTGGGCTTCTTTCTCAGAGGAAACCTCAGTCAGAATTTTAAGTCTGGATTTCAGCCAGCCAAGAGTCTCTCCTCTTTTGGTAACGCCACTTCGAACCTCCTGAAATTAAAACAAACAAACACAAAAAAACACTTTTGATGAGCAAAGTGCCATCGTGGAGCCTAACATTCCAGCAAGAAAGGACTCAATCCAAGAAGATTTGTAAGGTGGAAGGAGGGCCAGCGCCGCGGCTCACTAGGCTAATCCTCCACCTAGCAGTGCTGGCACTCCGGGTTCTAGTCCCGGTCAGGGCGCCGAATTCTGTTCCGGTTGCCCCTCTTCCAGGCCAGCTCTCTGCTGTGGCCCAGGAGTGCAGTGGAGGATGGCCCAACTGCTTGGGCCCTACACCCCATGGGAGACCAGGAGAAGCACCTGGCTCCTGCCATCCGATCAGCGCGATGCGCCGGCCACGGTGGCCATTGGAGGGTGAACCAACGGCAAAAGGAAGACCTTTCTCTCTGTCTCTCTCTCTCACTGTCCACTCTGCCTGTCAAGGAAAAAAAAAAAAGGTGGAAGGAGGAGAGCCAGGAATTCTTTCACCAAAACAGTGTCTCCTTATGTTACATATTGTACATGTCTTTCACAAAAGTCTACAATTACTCAAGAGAAATCTCCAATGCCAATACCCAATGTGTAAAATTAATAGTTTACAAATAATTTTCATGATTAGATTGGTTAGATATTTATAGACATTTCTTTAACCATGACAAAGGAGCTACTAAACACATGGAAGAAGAATATGAGGTACCAAAATTGGGAAGTATAACATAGATATACTTTGTCATATCACTTTCTATGAGCTGGAAGAAATAGTAATTTTAGAAAAAGAGAATGATAATCCTTTTTCAGCCAGCTGATTTCTATTACTAAAAAGTCCACTTGTTGAATATTGCTATGCATGCTCTAAAGATCTGCTTTAACTTCATCAAGTTACATTTTTGGCCTTATTTTTGCTAACTTTTAGAAGTCAACGCCCAAGTTAGATGCATAAATAGGAATCCCAGTTCTAGTCCAGGAAGGGAGGATTCGCAGCAGCCAAAACAATGCTGTGAAGATTTTGGGGCTTTGGCTTGTGAGGGAGAGGTGACTAGTGCAACCTGTGCTCCCTCTACCAGCCTGTTCCAAGGTTTTTGCAGGACAAATGCATACAAGCCAGAAAATTCTAGGATCCAGAAGTAAGTGATCTTTTCATTCCAAATAGCTTTTTTGTTTTTGTTTTATTTTGTTTTTACTATAACAACCACCAGTGGAAAATACAGCTCCTTCCATATACATACTATGACATTGAGTACCTCTTGCATTTGAAGGGATTCCATGATATAATTTAAAATAATGGACCTCACATGACAGAAACAGGAAGGAAATATCCTTAACAACAGCCAGTTGATTTGCAAGGGTTAAAAAATGCTGAAAGCAAAAAAAATTTTAAATGCTAAAAATAGCCTACGTCTACAAAATGAAGAGCTAAGATGAGAGGAAGAGGAATTGCTGGAACAATTCCCAGAAGTCAAGCAGTATTCAGGCCTGAGGCTCTGTCATCTTGGCTGGGAAGTGAAATTAAACAATTCACCCTGAACATGACATAAAATGGATGCTTAGAGACTTTGCTCAATTCTAAGTTTTCTAGGGCCTTGCTTTTGCATGGTGGAAAATATATTCTATAAAAGCATGCAGTGTTCTTGTTTACCATGACTATTTTCCGCTCTCTGCTGTGTTATCCACCCATGCATGCAATTTTCCACTCAGGGCTCCCCATTAGCTCGAGATCCATTGGAATCACCACCCAGAGGGACAGAATCTCAATGTTCCCAAAGATTCAATAGAATAAAACCCTATATAGCTCTTCACAATAATACAAGATTTATTTTAAAGAAAATTTTCAAGGACTCAATTTTTTTTCTAGAAAGAAACAAAAAGAACAATTAGGTTGTTTAACTTAAAAAAAAATTACTGGACAATTTCCTCTGCTGAACAGTGGACTTGGACTTACGTCAACAACATACGTGACCTCTGCATGGTTGGCAGCATGGATGGCCTCATCTTTGATCCCTTTTAACTGCATTTCCTTGGCAGATATCCAAGATGAGAACTCAGAAAATCTAAAGTAACACAGGCATTTTCTTATTAGAGGGAGGACATAGTAGAATGGGAATATGTTTCTATTTTGAATTAATTCACAGAAATGGGACAATCAAGCAATTACAAAATTGATTAACAATTTTTTTGGAAACTGTTCACTTAACGTGCTCTCACTTGAACAGATCTTAGCTGAGGACAAAGCTGCATCCTGGGCCATGAGCATCTCCCAGGAAGGGAGCAAGGAGCTGCCTGTCATCTGGCCTTATATGCTCCTACCGCAGGAAGACACTCACCCAAAGAAGCAGACGCCCCTAGAGTGGGGGATGTGAGGAAGTCAGGGAGAAGGGGGTTGATCAATGTTGCCTCTGGGTCATTTGGATACAAAGTATCTCACCCAGATTCTGACTGAAAATTTTTTTTATTAAATGTAGAATTTTCATATAAGAACATGTGATTATTGCGTAAGAGGAAATATACGCTGTTTCTCATTTTGTAATGATGTCTGAACTAATGGAATTATGGTAGACTAGGTCCTTCTGTGAAGACAATCCCAAGACAATACCTGCTTGTGTAGTCCTGCCACTTGTCTGGGTTTTCCATAAGCTTTGCACAGGTGCTGTCGATGGCAGCTCGGAGCTCTTTGAGGGTCGCATGACAGCTTCCAGGTGTTTCCCTAACGGGGTCCCGGACTGGGAGCTTCACACACAGTTCTTCAATGAGCTGCAACCTCTTCTCACAGAGATGATGAGGACCCTTGTCACTGAAGAATATCTAATGAGCAATAAACATTTTTATAATGCCTGTGAGAATCCATCCAATACCTTGACATTTTCATAGAAAATCCAAAGAAAGATTCTCAAGCAGACTATCACTGTAGGGTAATTAAAAGATTTTATCCAATCATATTGTTTAAGTAACAATGTGTACAAGGGAGAGATGTACCCTGTGCTCTTTGATGATCTTTTCACTTCCTTCCTGGGGCACCAGCCTGGTCTCTCGGTCCAGCTCATTCCTGCATTCTTCCACACAGGCTAAAAATCTATTCTTCTCCACATCAATCTTTAGATGAAGCAAATGATAAGGGGCTTCTCCTTGAAGATCCTGCATTCCACAGGAAAATCCAAAATACAGGATAATGTTTCTATGTACATTTCCAATTGAAGTGGCAAAAAACATCCCCTAAAAATATTCTATTTAGGGGCCAATGTGATTTAAATACTGTAGATATACTTAACCTCTCTATACTTTTCCAAGTACTGGGCCTGCAGCAAATCCTTTCCTGCTCCTGTAGGTCAGGTGTTTCTACAGTGATTATTCTATTTGATTCTCACAATGGCCCTGCAAAATATTAATGTCCCTATTTTACAGATTAGGCTACTACAGAGGCTCAGGGGATAACTAGAAAAGCTATGATTTGAACCTAGATCTAAACCATGCACTTATGCCATTTACTTTTTCCCTGCTAGGTGTCCCTGTTCATTTTGGCCACAGCTATGTGAGGTAGGAAGCACTGATACTGTGCCTGCTTCACAAAGGAGGAACATGAGACAATTTTGTAAGTAAAAACAAATCAGGATCAACTGGTGATGGCTGGCCATGCCCTCTTTCCATAGGTCACACACTGAGAAAACAAGCAAGCAATACCCAAACAACACATACATCTTCATGTTCTCTGATATGGGCACACGCTTCATCATTATCCTTAGTTCTTTAATTTATTAGCCAATTTGTATCCTATAGCATTTTAAAAATTACCTAAAAAGAAGATAGAGATGAGGTGGGACTATGAAAAGACAATGAGAGATTATATCCTACAGAGTTTAACATGTATGTGTGTAATGCAACACAACTTCCAATTTTGGTCTCTATTCTAGAACACATGTGTGATGTGCTAAGCCACAAAGACATCTTCATTTCTTTAAGGATCTTCTTTATGAGGAGGCACTTAGGTTTCAACTTAGAAACTTAAAAAACACATTGCATTAACTGCGCTTTTCCTACACAGATGATATTTTAGTGAATATTGCTGAGAATTTAAAAATCTTGAAAGTAACAAACTAATGGAGAGAGTTAGGCTCCAGTCTTTCAAGCCCTGAGACTCCCTGATCTAATACAAAGGAAATACCACCTCACTGCAGCCCCCGTTCACCCACAGCTAGAGTCGTCCTCCAGCTGTTCTCATAGAAGATGGCCTTGCCGGGTCTCAATTACACTGTGGCTGTCTGGAGAATCTGAGGTTGATTCCTCCTCCCCTGGGTCAGGTCTGGTCTCAGCTCCCTCAGCAGACATTCGGGGAAGCCTGAGCCTGAGCGCGCCCCTGGTCCTCCAGTGCATACGCTCCAGTTTTCTCTGATTGCTTTGCCTTCACCATCCTATCCACATTCACATTTTTTTTTCTTTAAAGTTCCAGCTGAGGAACAGGCATTTTAGCACAGGTATTAAGATACCTGTGTCCCACATTGAAGTGCCTGGGTTCAATTCCTGCCCCTGGCTCCTGATTCCGGCTTCTACTAAGGTAAGCTCTTGGAGGCAGCAGTAACGGTGCAAATGATTGGGTTCCTAGCTCCCATGAGGGAGACATGGACTGAGTTCTTAGCTCCAGCCCATGACCAGCCCCACCGAACATTTTGGGAGTAAGCAATTGGTGGAAACTTTCTCTGACCACATTTCTCAAAAATTTTTTAAGAAGTCATTGTAACCCATAAGCCGTACTTTGGAAATTTATATTCATTAAATAAAAGTTAAAAAAAATAAATAAAATCATGAGTAATTCCTACATCAAAAAAAAAAAAAGTTGTTGTTCAATACTAATGATTCTATTCACCCATCTCTGATCACCAAGTGAGTTAAATTCTATCAAAGCATGGGTGTATTATTTATGATTTTTGACTATTGTTTACAACTAACTATATTCCTATCTATATTCTAACATCTTTGGTGGAGAAGAATTATGCTTTGTTCATTATTGAATCCTAACCAATAAATGTTTTAATTTATAATTTTAGATCATAACTATCTGACCTGGATGGCAAAATATTTAGTCCAAAAACTGTGTGTGTGTAGTTTTGTAATTTTAGTAGTATACCTAGGATGATTTATTCATCTAAGAAGAGTTCACTAAATGTTGCTTAAGTTAAATGTCAAAAAAGAGAAAGAATACTCAAGCAGTGTGACAAAAGTGATGCCACCAAAAAATAAAAACAAAAAGTTCTATCATATTTTATCATTTATTCATGTCCAGTTTTTTTTATAAATCACCGAAGCAGCTATGGCAACTTTCTCTGCATTTCTCATTTCTCTTAGAATCGGACCTTAGCACACTGACGTTCTCTCCACTCATGACATGTGAGGCACACACTGTGGCTGACTCACCTTCCATTGCTTATGGAGTTTTCTCACAGCTTCCTGCAGCCCCTGCTGCTCCTGCTCGGGGAGGATGTCTGTGAGCTCGTCACAGGCTTTCAGGAAGGCATTGAGCACCCTCTGATCCAGCTGACTGAAGAACTCCTGGCGTGGAGCAGCGAGACGCGGGAGGAGAGTGCGGCAGAAGAAAACGCAGCATTGAACACGATCTCACTCCATATATGCACCTGTTAGAGGGCTGCTGCCCTCTACAATACTTCCGGAAACAACTAGATTTCTTTTGTAGGAATGAACTGTAAACAACTATACTTGGAGGTCAGAAACCCTCACGTCTGAAATTTAGTACTTTTTATTCTTCAGAGAGAAACAATCTGCTTTCACATTTGGTAGACTGTACCAAAGCCAAAGGGGATCCTAAATCCTAAGCCTTGATTCCTCAGCGATAGTTTGGGATCCTCTTTGGTGAAGTCGGGAGAGCAAAGTAGAAGCCAGCACGAATCTTCTTGGTGCCTCATTCCCTAACTGCAATGTATTCCAAGCCCTGCTGGTTCATTAGGAGCTATTACAATGTTCACACATGTGCACATGAACACACACCTACGTCCTGACTTGTGTGCCTGCCCCCAATTCCTATGTCTAAGCCTTACTCCAAATACGTTGTTTTTGGGGATGTGGGGAATAACCACGTGTAGTTGAAATGGGATGATCATGATGGGACTGATACCCTTGTAAGAAGAGACACTAGAGAGCTGGCCATACCAACTCTCTCTGTGCCACATGAGGACACAGGACAAGCCCACCACCTGCAAGCCAGGAAGAAGGCACTCCCCAGGATCTTAAAATAGTGGCAACTCTGAACTTGGACTTTCAGTCTCCAGAACTGTGAGAAGATAAATTTGTTGCTGAATCCACCACTCAATTTTGTTATGCAATCTAAGCAGAACAGGACAATACTTGTGTAGACACATCTGTGGCTGATCCCCCACAGCCTCAGGTACATGTATACAGAGATAAGGTGAAACAACCCTGATTGGAAACATAAAGAGCTATTCTACAGAGGTGTACAGATGAAATGTTTTGCATTTGGTCACAGAAATTAACCCTGTAGTTAGTAGCCTGTGTCAAATCCATTGGTCATCTTTTGAGAGGGTAATTTAAATAACTATTCACTGAAATTTCAGGAAAAAACAACTCAAATACACATTTCTCAAGTGCTATCTCTTTAGATTTCATATTTTACTAATTTTTGATACTAATACAACTTAAACAAGTATAATGAACAAGGATATAGCTTCATAATACTGGGACAAGATGTGTAAAGCAGCTATGAGACTTCACATGCTTTGATGTGGATTTATAAAAGGAACACGAAGGATATAGACGCTATTCTCAAGTTGCCTTTCAAAAGAATCTTTAGTTGCAAACAAATTATTTTGCTAAATAATAGATTTAGTAATTAGAGAACTCTCCAACTTAGTCATTTAGAGAGCCTTAATTATCCTGGGCCTCTTGCTGTTCCAGGGGCTTAAGAATTGTCAGTTGGGGGTGGGTGGGCATTAGGCCTATCAGTTAAGACATGCGTTAGGACACCCACTTGCATCCCATTGTTCCTGGGTACAATATCCAGCTGACTCAGACTTGGGAGGCAACAGCGATGGCTCAAGGACATGCTTCCCTGCACCAACAGAGGAAATCCAGATTGTTTCTGGCTCCCATTTTAACCCCTAGCCTAGGGCCATTGCAGCCATTTGAGGAGTGACCCAGGGGATAGGAGATCAAACGCCCTCTCTCTCTCCTCCAAATAAATTACTTTTTGAAAATTAAATGGGCAAGTATAAGCTAATCAATTGCTCTTGAAGTTCTTTTTGCCATTGTCTCTTTGAGTCTCATACCTAAAAAGTTCTGCCTTCCTCACTCATCTCCCCTCTCCACCTGTTAGATCACAACGCTCGGTATTTGCGCATCCCAGGCCACCTGTTTATGCACTCTTTATGCACTCGGGGAGGGTGGACTCACAGTGTGCCTCCGCAGGAGTTCTTCAGGATCTCCCTTCTCCTGCAAGCCCTCCTGTGCCATACGCAGCACCTTCTCCAACTCTGCTCGAGATTCCTCGAATTTCTTCATCAAGCGACTGTTGGTTTCCACATGCTTCTTCCAGTCTCCAGTTTTCTTTACCATGTTCTTGATGTAAAACAAACAATTGATTCTAGGACCCCCATGGATACCAAAATCTGTGGATACTAAAGTCCCTTATATAAAATGGTGTCATATTTGCATTTAGCGTAAGTACATCCTCTCATATACTTTAAATCATCTCTGGATTACTTACTTATAATACTTAATACAAATGCAGTATAAATAGTTGTTATATTGTATTGTTTATGGAATGACAAGTTTATATATGTTCACTGTGAATGCATTTTTTTAAAAACTATTTTTGATTTGTGGTTGATTGAATCTATAGATGTGGAATAAACTATGATCATAATGTGATACTGTTTTCTCATTATTGAAATTACCATTGTGTCAGATAGTATTATTAGGTTTTAAAAAACACTTGGAAGACATTATGTTATGATGAGATTCACTCTTTTAAACCGATATTAGAAAAAGTAGTGAAAACATTGATTTAAACATCAAGCAAGGTGTTTACAAGCCTGAGCGCCCAAGTGGTAATTACCTGTTCTCAGTTTTTACATTTTTCCTGGCTCACAGCACTAAAGCAGGAGAGAAAATTACCTGAAAAGCAACATGAACATCTGCAATCTGTCTTTGCAGCTTCGTCTGATCAAAATGTTTTAATACATTGCTCAAGGTCACAAACTTTTGAACACTTTGACTGCCTTTCTCAACGAGTGTCAAAGTTTTCTTACAGCTTTCTTGACAAGCTAACAGTTCCTACAAAGAAAGGAAAGCATAACAATATTATTTACAAGTTAAAGAGAAGGAAAGTGACGAACCTTACGAATAATAACATTATATAGCATTTAGTCTTTTAGTCAGCAATGAGGAAAATAAAAAAAAATACAGGGGGAATCAAAAGCACAGGGGGACATTTCAATAGAGCTCAATTAGAAGAAATCACTAGAGTCAGTGCTTTTATGTAAAGTATTTAAATATCACCATGAGTTTGAGATTTTACATATTTCGTGAACATTTCAATGACAGTAAGGAAATGACACAGCATCACAATTACTACTTGTCCAGTGTTTGCTTTCCTCCAGTCAGTTGATAGGGCTAAGGTTTATTTAAAGAACAGCCATAAAATCAATCTACATGTCATGGATTTATTTAAAAAAAAAAAGATTGATCAATTTGAATCAGAGTTGCACAGAGGGAGAGATAAAGACATCTTCCATCTGCTGGTTCACTACCCAGTAGACCACAATAGCCTAGGCTGGACCAGGTGGAAGTTAGGAACCAGGAGCTTCACCTAGGCTCCCACATGGTTGACAGGGGCCCAAACACTTGGGCCATCTACTACTTTTTCCAGGCCAATAGCACGGAATTGGATTGGAAGTAGAGCCTCTGGGGCTTGAACCGGTGCCGATATGGGATGCCAGTATTGTAGACAGTGGCTTTACTCGCTATGCCATAGCACTGGTGTCAACACATGTTTTATCCCACCAAATCAATTTAGCACTAAAGTGTTCGCATTTTACTGGAAGAGTCCATTGGCAGATTACATGTTACTTCTATATCCTAAATTTATGATACTTGAACTCCTAAGATTCTCAGGTTATCATCTTCATTATTGAATTTGTGGATTCCAGATCCAACTCAGAAAATGCAACAGAGGGACCAGCACTGTGCAACAGTGGATAAAGCCACTGCCTCCAGTGCCAGCATCCCATATGGGCAGCAGTTAAAGCCCCAGCTGCTCTACTTCTGATCCAGCTCCCTGATGATGCCTGGGAAAGCAGCAGAAGATGGCCCAAGTGCTTTGGTCTACACTCATGTGACAGACCCAGATGAAGCTTCTGTCTCCCTGCTTTGACCTGGCCCAGCCCCAGCTATCTGGGGGGTAAATCAGCAGATGGAAGAGCACTCAGCCCTCACTCCTCACCCTCACTCTGCCCTTCAAATAAGTAAATCTTAAAAAGAAAATGTAGCAGACCAATGAGTCTGGGGAAGATGTGTGGATGTTACACATTAGCAGGATGAGATGCAACAGTGACTCACAGAACTTCCACCTGACTATCACAGGGATTTCTGCAGTAAGTATCATGGAAATACAATCCCAAGGTAGAATCATTTTTTTTTTCACTTGAATGAACACCACTTGTATTTCAACACCTTAATTGCTTTGAAAAAATATTTCTCATAGCTCGTATTTTTGGCTATCTAGATGTAAATATTTTTAAAATTCTTATTTCAGAGATAAATACACACAGAGAAAGAGAGAGAGAGAGAGAGAGAGAGAGAGAGAGAGAGGGAGGGAGGGAGGGAGGGAGGGAGGGAGGGAGGGAGGGAGGGAGGGAGGGAAGGAGGGAAGGAGGGGGAGAGAGAGCGAGAGAGAGAGAATGAATAAATGAATCTCTTCTATATACTGTTTCTGTCTCCAAAGCTTCCACTAGCAGCCAGGATAAGGCCGGACTGAATCCAGAACTCAATCTAGATCTCCCTCGTGGGTGGAATGGACCCCAGTATTTGAATCATCACTTGCTGTCTCCCATTGTGTGCATTAACAGGAAGGTGGAATGGGAAACAGCTGGGACTCAAACCCAGCACTCTGATATGGGATGTGGGCACCCAAAAGTGTCTGAACAGCTGTGCCAAATGCCTGCCCCAATCTAGTCGTCAATATTAACAGCAGGGTTTTTGTCTTGTTTTGGGAAAATGGAATAAGGCATACATTTTCCTTTTGAAGATTTAGGAGATAAAATGTTGTTAAATATATTATAAAATGATTAATATTTATTAATAAGAGTATAAATATTATTTCAACATGGAAAGATTATATGATAATGATAGCAATTTATAACAATTTGAGAATGTAGGAAATAGTATGTTTTAAAATATAAGAAAAAATTTTTATCCAATATTTTGAGAATCTTTGTTTGGTGGTATAATCATTGGGGTCTCACTGTGGATAATAGTAAGAATGTTACTTATGGAGTATATACTACCAGGTATTACCACTTTAATTTTTAAAAAGGAATCAAAACTAATCAAGGTTTTGTAATTTGCCTAAGATTTGAATATCTGTCTGGCTCATTTCAGACACTCTCTACTCTGTATACTAGGAGATGCCACGCTCTTTCCCCAAATCTATGGGAATTAATACAGGAGTATAGTTATTTCTTTTATCATCATATATATCTAAATGTACATATAATAGATATTTGTATGTTTGCAAGGAATCAATTAAGGAACATACACTTTTTAAAAATGAAATTAACCATTTCAGCAGTTAATGAGGTAACAGGTATTATTCAAAGTTATGTGTGGGAAACTGCTCTAAATGATTTCCTAAAAGAAAGCCAATATAAAGAGAAACATGTGTGTGCACATGTGAATTTTCTATCCTTTAGAAAATGCAAATGAGAATGTATTATACTTTTTTATGGGCTTTGATGGTGAAAAATAATCCCTGGAGTCAATGGCAGAAAGATACTGCAAGAAAAACAAACAAGTACAAAAGCAGAGAGGTTAATAGAAAGCCCTTCTACTAAGGGCATCCTTTTGGTTTCAAAAGAGAGCGGTGGCTGGCTTGGACTGTCTCAATCATATTCTTTATTTCATACAGACAACATGAATATCTCACCTTTTATACCTGGAGATCTGAATGTGCAGCATGGGTGTGCACAGAGCAGCTGCTCAACACTTGTTGGGTCCTGTCAGCTCACCACACTGCCCAGTTCATAGGAGGAGAGCCAAGTGCTCAAAACAAACTGGCCTTCCAAATTTTGCTTAAGTCCATGAATTTATTAATGAGATAATTAGTGCCTGTCTCTAACAAACCTAGTTTGCACCTCAGGATTCAGCTTAGCTCTCCCCGGAAAAATAATTCAATTTCCTTTCACCAACAGTGGTTAGGTTTGCATCATTGGACAAGGCATGAATTTTTGTTTTTTCATTATTAATACTGTACTATTTTAGAAATGTTTTTGTCCTGAATTTCTATTCAGTCTCATTAAACATGCATTAAAATAATTATGCTTCCTGAAAGAGATTTTTCTTACCTGGTGTTTTTGTTTAAAAAGAGCACTAGATTGTGCTTCATGCTCAAGAACCGCTATAATTTCATTGATTTTTCCAAGTGAGTCATAAAAGCACGTCATCTGCTTTTCTAATTCCTCCAACGGCACCAGCAGCTGCTGAGACTCATAAAGGAGTGGGGAGCAACATTCTTTGACCTTTAGAAATACAAAGACAAACACCCCGTGAAAGAGCGTTGGGTACCAGAGGCTCTGGCACCATTCATAGCTCCTACAAACATTTTCTTTAGTGACATGGTCATTCAATGCTTAGAAATATCCAAAGACACTTTTAACATGCTTCCTGTATATTATTAAATTCTGCTATAAAAATACTACTGCTGCAGCAAACGGCTTTTTTTTTTTCACATGAGAATTCATCTAAATTGTCCATCTAGACAGCATTTTCTAACCTCAATGATGGCTGTTGGTAAGCAGATGGCACCAAATTCTACTTCATAAACCATGTTAGAAGATGTCTCCCTCATCTGAGTTGGCTCAGCCCTTATCTTTCACTTGTTTTTTAAAAAATGCTATCAGCTCATACACCTGCATTTCCTTCATGAAGGGATCATAAGGTGGAGTCCAAGAGCTTCATAAAGTATCTGCCTTCTCATGTTTATCCAGGATCTTAGAATTCTCCAAGGACTTTATAATTCATCACCTTCCTAATTTATTTAATATTATTAATACAAAGAAAATCAATATTTTAGTAAGAGAAAGTGCTTTGTTTTCATAAAGTATGAAGACAATAATATGTTAAATTTAGGTGTGATATTTTGAAAATAATCCTTGAAGAAAGTGGGAGGTACCAATTTGTTAGACTATTATATGTAGAAGTTCCCACACAGAAATATTTTCTGGGGTATTCTGCCAGAAGGATACACTCATCAAAACAAAACAAACAGGGGCTGGTGCTTTGGCATAGGAGGTAAAGCTGCCACCTGCCATGCTAGCATTCCATGTGGGTGCAGGTTTGAGTCCGTCTGTTCCACTTCTATCCAGCTACCTACTAAAGTGCCTGGGAGAGCAGAAGATAATGGCCTAGGTCCATGGGCCCCTGCACCCATGTTGAAGAAGCTCTTGGCTCCTGGCTTTGGACTGGCACAGTTCTAGCCATTGCAGCCACTTGGGGAGTGAACCAGTGAACCTCTGCAACTCTGCCTTTCAAATAAGTAAGTTTTTAAAACAAAACAAAACAAGAAAAAAAGCCAAACTGCTAGCTTTCTACTGCAATAAGCCTCAGTTAAAATCACCCTGTAAAAAACCTAGAGACTAGGCCAGCGCCCCCCGGCTCACTTGGCTAATCCTCTGCCTGCGGTGCTGGCACCCCGGGGTTCTAAGTCCCCGTATGGGCGCTTGTTCCAGTCCCGGCTGCTCTGCTTCTGATCCAGCTCTCTGCTATGGCCTTGGAAAGCAGATGATGGCCCAGGCCCTTGGGACCCTGCACTCACGTGGGAGACCCAGAAGAAGCTTCTGGCTCCTGGGTTCGGATTGGTGCAGTTCAGGCTGTTGTAGCTATCTGGGGAAGGAATCAGTGGATGGAAGCTCTCTCTCGCTCTCTCTCTCTTTCAAATAAATGAATAAATTAATCTTTTAAAAAACACAAAATGTTTCTACTTATTTATGTAATAACTTTTATCAAAAGTTAATTACCCAATGTTAGAGGACTTCACAAACAATATTATTGATTCAACTCAAATTCAGAGAACAGATCTCAATTGAACTTTCAAAGCTGTTAAGAAAAGATTTCCAAATAAAATAGGAAAGACCTATGGCTAATGCTTATAAGCATCAAGCACCCTGTACGGAAGTGTCATAAACATGTATGTGGTAAGCCTAAACTGAGCTCTGTCAGATGAGGACAAAATTTCCACTGCTTTGTGTCTTTGCTGCAGAAGACAATAGAAATAAATGTAAAGTGGAGGAACGTCGAGTAAATATCAATAATTCTCATTTCAACATATGACTTGCTCTTTTTCCTAATCCTCTTATTCTTTATGTTAGTTACCTTTACCTCTCTGTTTCATCACATTTTAAACTTCTCTAATCTATAAAATGCATACCTATTAAAATGTAGTTATTGCTACATTTTTAGCTACTATTACTAAATTTAGCAGCTATTACTACTAAATAACAAAAGTGATTCCTGGTATCATCCTCATAGTTCATTTTTTAAGTTCACTACAAAGTTACTAAATGCCAAAGTTACTAAACTAAGAATTCCAATGGGAAACAGAAGCATAATTTGTCACCAAGTCAACCACTTGCCAACAGTTGAAATGAGGCCCTAAATCAGGCTTGTTGAAGGCAGAGTTGGCACCACACAGTGTGGCACATTCAAGAATTTTCCCACCTTGGTTAGCTGTTCTTTGAGCCCAGACATGGTTGCAAACATTTTATTGGCTTCTTCTTGGGAGCTTTCTTTGGTAATGAGGTGTGCTGTCTTTGTAATCATCTTGTATTGTGCATCCATCACAGGTACCCTCTGCTCAATATCCTGTGCAAATCATTGGAACAGGCAGATTAGCACCTGGCACATCTTCAACTTCAGGATTCCACAAAAGGCAGAACCAAGGTCAGCTTGCATGGTGCAACACTCTATGCCTGAAGCAAACTCACGGATTCCAGTTATTACTGTCCTTTGTTACTAACATATTGGTAGTATTATACAAAAAACTAAAAGCTTCTCAGTAAAAGTGTTTAAAAATCCATTAACAAGTATTCTTTGCGCTTTCAAACAAAATCTATGATACTATATTGTGAAAGTATTATGTCATATAAAGGTATATTATTAATTTTGAGTATTTCTGACTCTAAAGATTGACTTATTTTCTCTTTAAAAAGCAACATATTGTCATTGTTGAAAACCTATGAATTATAGATATTAAGAGAATGAAAATTTAAATTACTTATAGCCTTCTTACTCAATGATAAGCAAAGGTAACATGTCTATATCATTAATCTTTTTTAGGGAATGCTAACATCCACCCAGTTTCATGAAAACAGTTTATATCAGTTTTAATTTTTCTCATTGAACAATTTATTTAAATATCTTTCCATGTTGTTAAATATTCTCCTGCACTTCATTTTTGAGAGGTGCAGGCTATACGAGGTATGTGATCACCACAATACATGTAATCATTTCCTTTATTATTGGAAGTATTTATGCAAAGTTGCTATCCAGATGTATCCTGTTTTCTCATTTTTTACAATTTGGTTGTTTAAAAAAATCTCCAATAGAAAAACTATTTTGAAGTTACTTTGTGTGATCAAAACATATCTTAAAAATATATTTTTATGAGTGCAAATCAGGATATACAGATATGTCAAAATGGCCACAGGAGACAGTGTCAGCTTCTACAATGATCTGAGTAACCACAACAATGTTTATTTTCACTGTAGAATAGTTTTGCACTTTGGTGTCCAGAAGACCCTCACCTCCAAGTCTTGAATTAACAACTTGACATTCATGAAGGAGACTTCTAAGGGGTCAGAAAATTTCTTACGAGCTTCAGCTGCAAAACTCAACAGCACAGTAACACAGTCTGTGTACTCTTTCTTCATTCTGTCCATGTCATCAGCCCTGGCGTACTGCAAGACAAATGGAGGGACACCTTGAAAGCCATCACACTGAGTTCAGAAGCCCACAAACTTCACTTTGGCACACTGCCCTATTCTCTGGAATTGTTAAATGCTAGAATGACTCTCATTCCTGATTCTTAATTTAGATAAATTTGAAGAAAGTCCAACTGCTCTGAAAATAAAAGGAAGTAGCATGGAGATGAAGAACTATAATTTTAAAGGCAAATCATTGCATATAAGTAGGCTCCATATGTCAACATAATCCTTAATCAAACTGCACATTTCTGTAATGTTCCTCCATGATAAATGGAAAAGAATGAATAATGGACTATAAAACATATCACTCAGAAACACATCTATTCCTGCCGTAATGAAGCCATTCTATCAAAATAAAATTGTCTTCACAGCTTGTTTACTATATTTATAACACACACGGCTGAGAGATGAATACAGATTTAAAAGACATACTTGCTTGACTTCCATAAACAACTCCCTCCATCGTCCATTTAGCAACAGTAACTGCTGCTTGAGGTCACGGGAAACCATCTCATCACAAGTTTCAATGAGAAAATTTCCAGCATCATTCATGGTGGTGTGTTGTTGAATCCAATGAGGCAAATTTCTAAAAAAATCCTAAACAATAAATAATACACACTATTATAATTCATGAACTAGATGTTAATGACTGATTTGCAAGTGACCATATTAAGAAAAATATCTTTGAGGGGGCTGGCGCCATGGCTCACTTGGTTAATCCTCCACCTGTGGCGCTGGCATCCCATATGGGTGCTGGGTTCTAGTCCCGGTTGCTCCTCTTCCAGTCCAGCTCTCTGCTGTGGCCCGGGAAGGCAGTGGAGGATGGCCCAAGTGCTTGGGCCCCTGCACCCACATGGGAGACCAGGAGGAAGCACCTGGCTCCTGGCTTTGGATCTGCGCAGCACCGGCCATGGTGACCATTTAGGGAATGAACCATTGGAACCAAGACCTTTCTTTCTGTCTCTCACTGTCTATAACTCTACCTGTCAAAGAAAAAATAAATCTTTGATCTAAAATTTTTAAAGTAAATATGAAATCTCTTTCAAAATGCAAATCTTAATGGTTTCACAAATAGTGTGATAGTTTTATAAATAAATTTATATTTTAATTTTATTTTCCACACATTTTTTTAAGATTTAATTTATTTATTTAAAAGTCAGAGTTAGAGAGAGATATCTTCCATCTGCAGGTTCACTCCCAATGGTTGCAATAACTGGGCTGGTCCAGGCTGAAGCCAAGATTTAATACCTTCTGAGTGTCCGATGTGGGCAGACAAGGACCCAAGTACTTGGGCCATCTTCTCCCAGGCCATTAGCAGGGAGCTGGCCATTAGCAACTGTGATTGAAGTGGTACCCATAGAGGATGCTGGCTTTGGCTTTACCTGCTACACCGAAATGCCAGCACCTAAAATACTATTTTTTTTTTTTTTTGACAGGCAGAGTGGACAGTGAGAGAGAGAGACAGAGAGAAAGGTCTTCCTTTGCCGTTGGTTCACCCTCCAATGGCTGGTGCACCGCGCTGATCCAAAGCCAGGAGCCAGGTGCTTCTCCTGGTCTCCCATGGGGTGCAGGGTCCAAGTACTTGGGCCATCCTCCACTGCACTCCCGGGCCACAGCAGAGAGCTGGACTGGAAGAGGGGAAACCGCGACAGAATCCGGAGCCCTGACCAGGACTAGAGCCCGGTGTGCCGGCACCACAGGCAGAGGATTAGCCTATTGAGCCACAGCACCGGCCTCTAAAATACTATTTTTTAAAGATTGCTTTGTGTGTGTATGTGTGTGTGTGTTTGTGTGTGTTTGTGTGTTCAGAAGAATATCTGCATTTCTTTATGTGTAAGGGACTCACAGTCTTCAGGCTGGTAAATGCCAGTTAGAGTGTCACATAAAAGGCATACTAGGTCAGGGGCATTTAAAAAAAGCTTGAACTACTCTTTTTGATTTTAAAATCTGAATATAGTATATTAAAACAGAAGACAAACATCAAAGGAAAACTTTTTAAATGAAATACTAAATTTAAAGACAAACAGCAGCATACTTTCTTACCTAAGGGTACACACTTGGCACTAAAACGTTTCTGATTCATTTAAAATAAAATACACATGTTTGCACATGCAGACACACGGATCACAGTAAAAGCCAAATACCAGAGATAATTCAAAATACTTTTCCTAAGCCATGTGTAGCAGAACTTTCAGTGTCAATAGATGAGAACACTTCTGTATCTGGAGCTGAGCGGCCTTTGGATCCAATTAACACATAGGACATTGACTAGGACTCCACTAGTCTGATCAAAAAGATTAAAATCTGTGGGCAGCATTGCAGCACAGTAGGTGAAGCTGATGCTTGAGACACTGGTTTGATTCCTAGTTGTTCTGCTTCCAGTCCAGGTTTCCGCCATTGTGCCTGGGAAGGCAGCGGATGATGGCCCAGGTACTTGGATCCTTGCTATTCATGTGGGAGACTAGAATGGAGTTCTTTGCTCCTGGCTTCAGCCTGGCCCAGCACTGGGTGTTTCAGCATTTGGGGAATAAACCAGCAGATAAAAGATATTTCCCTCTCCCATACTGTCTCTGCCTCCTCTCTGTCACTCTGCCTTTTAAATAAAGAAATGTTTAGAAAGAAAGCCAAAATCTGTATGGTTACATAGTTACTGCTTTTTTTGACTATACAAATGTATATGAAATATAGAATGGTAAAACATTTTTAAATAACTATCTACAACTGTAGAGGAACCAATCTTGGATAGCAAGCAGTAATTCTAACACATGTATTATATTACTCTTGTTCTTTAAAAATTATTATTTATGTGGGAGGCAGACACACACACACACACACACACACAGAAATAGACAGTGTACCTATCTGCTGATTCATTCCCCAAATGCTAGCAACAACCAGGACTTGTCAAATCTAGGAGCCATAAATGCAACCCAGGTCTCCCACATGGCTGTTGGGAACCCAATTATCTGATCCATCGCTGCTGCTTCCAGGGTACACTTTGGTGGGAAGCTGGAGTCAGGAGTTGGAACTGGAAATCAAACCTGGATAATCAAATGTGGGGATATGGGTATCCTAATTACTAGGCTGAATGGCCACTTCTAAATGCACTATATTTCTTAATGGGAGCCTCACATGTTGATGTCTTTGACATATACATTGATTTTTCATGTAAAGGTTCCAGACTTCTGTTAACAATAATATGCATAGGTTTCAGTCCATTTCTGCGATACTTACATGTAAGTGACATTAAAGTAAAACATTGACTCTTACATGCAAACACTCATATACATTGTAAATGGTGTAAAAGGAATCACTCCTCAGAATTACACCTTTCGCTGGGGATTGATAAAATCCAAAAATGAAAATGTAGACAAAAAAATGTGATGTTCCAGATGTCCTACTGGTGTTTGCCTCCAATTAAGCACTATGTTAGCTGAAGTTGTTTTGTTTTCCCATGAGATTAGGAAATCCATATCCTAGACTTGCCCTTTCCTTTACAGACCCCTGGACTGTCCTTGGGGTTTGGATGACCTTCCATCTCTTACAGCTTCTTTGAATGTAAAAGTCAAAGGCTGGACTCCACAGAAAAGGAACTGTTTGAACAGAGGTTTTGCTAAGCAGTATATTTATTGGTTCAAAATAACTAACCTGAAGTGCAACTTTTTAGGTAAAGGTAGGATTCTCAAGTGTTTTTTTGTTTGTTTGTTTGTTTTTTTGTTGTTTTGTTTTTTTGGACAGGCAGAGTTAGACAGTGAGAGAAAGAGAGACAGAGAGAAAGGTCTTCCTCCCGTTGGTTCACCCCCCAGATGGGCACTACAGCCAGCGCACTGCGCCGATCCAAAGCCAGGAGCCAGGTGCTTTCTCCTGGTCTCCCATGCGGGTGCAGAGCCCAAGCACTTGGGCCATCCTCCACTGCCTTCCTGGGCCACAGCAGAGAGCTGGACTGGAAGAGGAGCAACCGCGACAGAATCCGGGGCCCTAACCCAGACTAGAACCCAGGATGCTGGTGCTGCAGGTGGAGGATTAGCCTAGTGAGCCGCGGCGCCGGCCAAGGATTCTCAAGTTTCTCTTGCAAGCATATACCACCTAAGAAGTCTGTCACTTGTATTGATGAAAAATTGAAAAAATAGAGTAACAGAAAAAAGTCTCATTTCTACAACTGCAACAATATTTTTTTCTTTCGTATGAAAGCCTCTTACCTTTTTGGCATTTTCTGATTGATTGAGCATTTTTTCGGCATCCTCTAGCCAGGCTTGAAGACTAGCCACCGTATTGCCATAGCGATCCCAGTTAGAGATCACTTCCTCCAGCATGCTCCGCACACTCCTGACTTCTACTGAGAGATTCCGCCACTGAGCAGTGGTTTCGGTCATGAACTTCATAACATTCTCAGCTTCTTCCACTAAAACAGATAAAACCAATTACAAACTTCATTTTTTAAATCCTCAATGTCTTCTTTCTGCTGTCTTTTATACTGGTCTACTGAAGCCCTAAGCACAAAAGCTATGTTTCTAGCAGATGTTTTTACAAATGGAAAACATGTTTTACAAATTGTATCTTAACACTTACTCAAGTTCTCATTCAATTGATTATGATAATCAAGTTTTTCCAATTTGTTTTGCTACAATCCTTAGAATTTAAAATAGGCTGAAAATTTTCCATTTAGAAAATGCTTATTTAGCTATTCTTAGAAGCTCTCAGTCTCTCTCTCTCTCTCTCTCACACACACACACAGTGAGAGCAAGAAGGAGGGAAGGAGGGAGGAGAGAAAGAGGGAGAGAGGAGGGAGAGAATGGAGAGAGAGAAGGACAAAAATTATTATGCATGGTTAGATATTGCAAAAAGTTAAGTAGATTAAATCCAGTGTCTCCAGGCCAATGACTTGGCCATGTAAGGATTCTGCAGAGAAAAAAAAAAAAATGATTTGATCACAAAAAACCCTACTCTACATCCTATCTCGTTCCAGCCTGCAATAAACCCTGCAGGGTACATTACCTGAACCATCTGCTTTGACGTACATCTCAGCTGTCTGTTTCAAGATCTGGTACGTCACTTCATATTGTTCAAAGAACTTGCTGTTTTCTATAAAAGACTAGAAAAGGAGGAATGGTTAGAAGAGAGTAAACATCAGCCTTATATAGGAATGGTAAAGACGATTTGTTTTCAACATAGTTATATGGATATTTTACCCAAATTCTCCAATTTCCTTCTTGAAAATACAAATGAATTCCACTTCCACAAGTAACTAAGATTATACTGAGCACATAAAATTGATTCTGCACTGTTGATTCTAACTCAACACTAGACAGAGAAAATATTCTATTTCTTTGCCACCCACCCAATGGTTTGTTCTTTGAAAAGACAGAAATTTCTCCAGAGAAGTAGGGCTTAATGTTTAGAAAGCACTAAATTTGGAAGAACATTTTAAAATATCCCACTGAGATTTAGCTGTGGGAATCTGTTATTCTTTAAACATTATTATGGGTGAATGACTGTTTTGAGGAAATTCAGATTATAAATAAATGATGTTACACAAATACTTCCCTTAAAATAAAACATAGGTAGAAAAATTTAATTATGTATTTCATCTGTGTTATCAGTGGTCTCACATTTATCATGTTCAGTATAAAAAATTAGATAATCACACCTAAGTATATCTGTATGTAAATTACATATTTAATAAAGTTATTGTCAGCAAATAGATACTATAAACACTGAGAACATACAAAAATTTAAGAAAATGTTACTGCTAACTCTAAAAATAATTCTTTTTCCAAGAATTTTATTTCTCCTATTAATCAGAAAAATTAATGCAATTATAGAAACACATCACTAAAGGCTTTTTAATATAATGAATTCCTATTATTTTAATACATTAAAATACTTAACAGTGTCACTCATAAAATCCAAAATTTGTCCTCCAAAACCAGTTGAACATCTGTGCAGTATGTTGATGAATGCATAATGTACAGATGAAAAATGCCTGTGTGTAGATGTAAAACTATTCATGCAGCAATTCACAGCCATATGTAGATTTTACTGGTATTTAACATTTTTTTTTTTTTGACAGGCAGAGTGGACAGTGAGAGAGAGAGACAGAGAGAAAGGTCTTCCTTTACCGTTGGTTCACCCTCCAATGGCCGCTGCAGCCAGCGAGTTGTGGCAGGCGCACCCTGCTGATCTGATGGCAGGAGCCAGGTACTTATCCTGGTCTCCCATGGGTTGCAGGGCCCAAGGACTTGGGCCATCCCCCACTGCACCCCTGGGCCACAGCAGAGAACTGGACTGGAAGAGGTACAACTGGGACAGAATCGGCACCCCGACCGGGACTAGAACCCGAGGTGCCAGTGCCGTAGGCAGAGGATTAGCCTATTGAGCTGCAGCGCCGGCTTATTTAACATGTTCTAACATTTAAAAACATACACATGTATGTACACATATACATATACATATATACACCCATTTAATATTTTATGTTCGTACAACATTTACTTATATTCTTCAGGATTTAAGTGAATAAAGAAAGCTAAGAATTAGTTACATGGAATGAGAAGTTCCATGATGAATGCTTTATAACATTAATAGATATTATTATTTTGTTTGAGAATAAAACAATACAACAGAAGTCTGGCTAATTCATTGTTTAGCTTTATGTCTTAGTCCTAACACTTCAGTTGGGGGAAGAAAAATTTATTGGAATGTAAACTTTAAATAATTTAACCAAACAAGCAAATTATCATTTGATGAAAATGTATACCTAATGTTCAAGACACACAGTAGGAAACTGAAGAGATAATTATATGATAAAATTTTTAAAATATCATCCATTTAGTTTGGGCACAAATTTCAAGGAGATAATGGGAAAACAATTGCTCCAAGTGTCAAAGAAACAGGAAATCATGGCTGTGGTGGACAGTATGAAGTATGCTTTTGCTAGAGTAGTTAATTTAAAATGAACAATAGAGAAAGTTTACTTCCACTTTCATTTTTAATTGCTTGGTGAATGCTTTACATATTATACATTTTTCAGGGATTAAAGAATTTTTAAAAATTTGAATGATAGAAAAAGAGAGAGAGAAAGAGAGAGAGAGAGACAAAGAGAGAGAACAAGACTTATCTCTCCAAATACCTACAATGGCTAAGATGGGGCTGGGTCTGGGGCTGAAGCCCAGAGCCAAGAATTCAATCCATGTCTCCATATGGGTGACAGAAAAGAACCACTTGAACCAACACTGCTGCCTTCCAGGGTCTGCACCAGTAAAAGCTAGAATCAGGAAGCAGAGCTAACAGCCTAATCCAGGTACCCTGACGTGGGGCACAGTCTTCTTACTGGTGCCTTAACTTCCTGGACAAATGCCAGCCTCATTAAAGTATTTTTAAACTTCCTATTAGGAAGACCAGGCAATTAATCTTTGAAGGAAGATATATCATTTGTTATTTTAATTTGTATTAGTAAATTTAACTTGACCATATTTTTCTGACTATGAATTAAATCCATTTGACAATGTGAATTATTTGATTAGAATCATTTTAGCAAGAGAACTGCTATGTTTCCTTTGTACTGTGATTTGTCCAGACACACCTCTAAGATAAATGCAAAAGTAAATACAATTGAATTCTTAAAATGATAAAAAGATGATATTTTTTTCAAAATTAGGCTGAAACTTGGCTTTCAAGTTCAATAAATAATCCATGTTAGTTAGGGATCCTTTGGACAAATATCATGTTTTTTCTGATACAGGGTATTTAATAACAGAATACAAGAAATATATAGGAATGCAATGGACATCTTGTGATTTGATTTTGATTTTTAGCCTTATTCATACTCCTGTGGAACTGTGGTCTTTCAACTTTATACTTGATGAATATTATGGTTAGTGGTAAATTAAGCCTGTGATTATAAAAAGTTAATTGAAATCATGTTTTTGGAAATATTGGAGGAAAAAAAAAGGAAGGAGGGGGGTTGAAGGAGGCACTGAGGGAGGGAAGGAACTATGGTTATGTTCTTAGAATTGGACCTATGAAATACATGAAATCTGTTCTGTTTAATAAAAATTTAAAAAATAAAAGCAATAAAGGATGATATTTCAAAAAAAATAGATGCCTCTTATGCCATTAAACTCAAAATACTAGTGGAAGTAACCAGATTTCTATTCTCATGAGATGAGTACAGATATAATAAATGAATAAAACTCATCAATTTCATTTGAGGGGAGCATGTATTAATTTTGTTGTTGTCAACCATTCTGAAAGCAAGAACCAAATCTGTTACCTTCTGATTTACATTACAGTATGCATTTATCAATAGCATTTGGATTAAATTAATTCTATCAAGCATTTGTGAAGTATTTTCTAAGAATTTGTTAAGTACTCAGTGGCTTTATATCTAATCAAGGAAGCAAGTTCTCTGATTCTCCAATCCTTAAAAAAATACTTTGTCATTATTTTTTGTAGATGAATAAAATTGGGTTGGGGCAGGTGCTGTAGCATAGGTTAATCTTCCACCTGTGGCGCCATCATCCCGCATGGGCACCGGTTCTAGTCTCAGCTGCTCCTCTTTCAATCCAGCTCTCTGCTGTGGCCTGGGAAAGCAGTAGAAGATGGCCCAAGCCCTTGGTCCCCTGCACCCATGTGGGAGACCAGGAAGAAGTTCCTGGCTCCTGGCTTCAGATCGGTGCAGCTCCGGCCATTGCAGCCATTTGGGAAGTGTACCAATGGACCTAAGACCTTTCTCTCTGTCTGTCCCTCTCACTGTCTGTAACTCTACCTCTCAAATAAATAAAATAAATAAAATAAAATTGGGTTGAGAATTCAGACTGAGGTAAAGATAATTATGAAATCTTTATAACCAAATAGTACGTTAGCTTTCAGATGATGTGGCAGCATATGGCTTATTATAATACATTTTTTAGGTTCCTAGATAAGATCACATTTAAGAGAGTGACTTTATTATTTAATATGAAACTTTGAAACAATCTGTTCTAAAGAGAACTACACTCCCCCAAACGCCACAAGGATGAGATAGGCTCCCAGGGGCTGATATAGAAGGAAACATTCTGTGTCAGTCTTAGTCCCTTAGAAAAATTCCTGTTTATCATTGTCAGAGAATCGAAAATGAATCTTGATGTGAATGGAAGGGGAGAGGGAGTCGGAAAGGGGAGGGTTGCGGGTGGGAGGGACATTATGGGGGGGGAAGCCATTGTAATCCATAAGCTGTACTTTGGAAATTTATATTCATTAAATAAAAGCTAAAAAAATTTTTTTTGAGAAAGTCTTCTATAAATTCTATAAATTAACAAAGTCACATTTAGCAAACAGCTGATCCATGATTTGACCACATTTTTATGACTGGCGGCCTGGCTTCAACAATCTCTCCTCCAGAATACCATGCTGCCTAGTGCATGGGCAACAACAATGAACAGGCTGGAGAGTGTGAGTGTAAATATTGTCAAGTCCAGACTAACATTAAATGGTACTATATTTATGTGAGACACATGCTTTAGCTCAATAAAATGTGCAATATAGCAATGATTCGGTCTTTTTAGTTAATTTTTTTTCTTTTCATGAGCAATTTTTTGATAGTAACATTCAGTATTTGAACCTCAAGGGCTTTTGATTTAGAAACACTTCCATGTCTTGCCAATTGTACCACCTGGGGTATATAACTTGAACCTTAGCGCTGCAAGACTTTAACATGATTTCTTCAGTGTAGAAAACAATGTCACAATGTCCAGCCTGCAGGGCTGGCGTTGGGAGGAAAAGTGAAATGTCCCACCCCCCAGCAATTAAAACTATTAGACTAAACTGCCTTGAAAGACCTCACAAGAAAGAAACACAAGTGATACACTAGGGTTCTTGCTAGGGGATAAGAATATTAGGGAATGGTCATTCCTGCTACCAATGAGACTGCAATTGTTGCCAAGCAGCTTGCTATTAGCAGCTTAGTGAACTTCTCTTTGACTTTATAGAGTAGGCAGAAAGTTGTGTCTTTTTGCATCATTAAAAATAATTCTACATTTACATATCTGTTGGGAAATTTAAAGTAATTATTAATATCATTGTATTAAGTGTTTTTAAAGTAGTAGAACAGTCCCATTAGGTAGCTAGATTGGATTGGCTGTTTTAAAATAGATAGAACAAAGAATGGATCCCATATAATTAACCACAGTGCTTTGAGTGCAACATTTGATGTGACTAAACCTGAAAATATAAATGCATATCTGTAGTTAATGTTTAAAGGGCTAATATAATTGCTTGAATTTTAAAAAAGTCTCATTACTTTCCAGAATTATTTTAAAAGGAATATATCATAACAGATTTCACATTTTTGACAAATGTTTCTTGGATAATTTTAGTAAATCTAGAAAAAGATTTTACTTTAAACCAGTTAACATCTTTTTACATAAGGGTTATTCATCTATCACTTAGAAAATAAAATTAAAATACAGCAGAATAGATCATGATTCTAAGATGCTTCATTAAAGATATGGTTTCAATGAGAATTCAGTGATAACATATTAGTCATTGTCACTATTCAAGTCATAAATGGGCTTACATTTTAAAATTTCATTGCTTTAACATTTAGAACATTTGCTTTAGCACAAATGAAAGAATATAGGACTAACATGTCATTAATTTTATGAACAAATTTGCCAAGTTTTGGGGGAGGGTGTCATGCCTAATTGTCCAAGAGAAAGTAACTGCCTGGAACAAATATAATGCACAAATTATATATAAATGGAAACACTTAGCTTCAGAAAATAAACTTAATTGTCTTATTAATGCAAGGCTACTAGTCTATGTAGTTACAGTATTATCTATAATGAAAACCCAATGTATGAGATAATTTTTAAAAATTAACTTGGTATAAAGATTCATAGACAAAGTGTTACTTTCCCTGGGTGCACACAAAGCAATGAAGATCAAAGAATGATCATGAAAAACACACCTTAAAAAAAGTGGACAGTTTCTGTGTGGACAATTGAGAACTGCTCTTAATTACCCTGGACTGGATTTCAGAAGACAAGAGGACAGTCTTTCAGAATTTTAGCACAGCTTCCTAGTGAGCTCCAATCAAAGGTGTGAATATGCAATGCAAAAACTTTGAAGCAGTAAAACCAGGCACAATGGTTATGTATGATTCAAGCAGTAAAGCCTTTTTGAAGTATGGGATTTTAAAGAATGAAAATACAAAGAATATAGAGTTACATTTCAGATGATTGTGATAAGCTCATAAACTTACACCTACCCATTTAATGCATCAGTATCTTTATATTTAAATTCAAGTTTCTAGCCATATTGTCAATTAAAATGGTAGTTGTTAGATGCTAAATCCATGGCTCATCTGATTTCACCCTCAAAGCACCAGGGACTTACGATGTAGTTTTGTAGAAGCAGCTCCACTGACTCCCTCCTTCCATACTTGATTATCCAAGACTTGAGCTTTGACTCTGCAAGAACCAGCAGTGAGAGCAGACGGTACTTTAATTCTAGAAATTCCATTTTCATTAAGTGTAGCTCTGATGTGGAGGAAACAAAATGAAACCTAGAAATAAAACACCGAGAGTTTACAGGATGTAACAACCATTAACAGAACGATGCTTACTTAACCTGTTAAATGTCAGCCTTAAATATGATGCAGCCAGAGGTCTTAACACTGGCTCCTCACTGCCTGGAGTACCGATTCCTTTTCTAGCTCTGGGTTTTGAAGGCAAAACATGACTGACTGAAGTCTTTGATTTAGTTCTTTACCCTGCCAACACATCCCTCCCTCCTCTGTTTCTTTTATAAGCTGTTTTTGCAATATTACATAATGTTCCTTACAGAGCAGAATAAAAATACAGCCTATGAAGAAATCATCTCTTTTCCGAGGCTATGGGTACATTCAGGTCCACTCTTTTTAGTTAATATATTAGCACACTGGCAACCTCAGCATATGTCAGGGGAACCCACTTTTTATTTACCAAATGTATGCATGCATATATCTAAAAGATCCAACAATTCACTAGAATGAAATGCAAAAAGCACCCACCTAGCATTTTTTAAGAAAAGGACTTCACTTAAAACCTGACATTCTCTTACCTCTCGGCCATGTCCTCTAACTGATCATGTGGCACTGGGATCCCATTCACAGTCCTGGTCCGGTAGATCTCATGAAATGCTCTTTTGTGGGCATCTGTGTTTTGAAACAGATCCTAAGATACAATTTCAGAAAAATAAAAAATGAGAAAACACATTTCACAGAAGGCTTAGAAGCCAAATTTTCAGTCTGCACCGCTGAGTCAATGCATTCAACAATTTGATCCTGCTACCACTGTCAGATGCAGTCTGTCACTGGCTTCTACCTTGAACAGGAGTCCGGTGTGTGTATATAAGGCACCATGTGAGAACCACATCTAATAATTATGGCATCTTTGAATACACGACACTTTCATAGCAATACATTCAGACATTTTAAAGGCATATGATTCAAAGGAAAACATAATTCCTGCAATACAGAATGATTTCAGCATTTTTCTCCTTCCTCGATTTTGGATATGTTGGTATTTAAAGGCTGAAAGCTAAGCACTACAAACTTAACCCTTTAATTGCAAAAAATTACACTCTCAGTTGTTTTCTTATTTTAAATTCTTCCAGGCTATTATAAGGAGATATTTGCTTGCTTCCTAAGATGTGTCTGTTACATTTCAACATGTTTTGTTAATTTTTTTTGGCTGGAAAATTTCGAACAATTGCGAAGAATATCTCACTTATAGCACAGTGGGAAGATCAAACATGAGGTTAATAAACATTCTTTAGCAATTATATGGAATTATACAGGTTTGGTATATTCAGGTTAATTTGGATCTTTCTGGATTTGCTTGGAACATTTTTCACACTAGAATATTATTTATATAAAGATATGTAAGTATATTTCAAATGTTTGTGAAAAAATAGAATTGAAAGTTGATTTTGGTGCAAAAAATTGAAATCCCTGCACAGTTTTTTTCATGATCTGTATTTCCATGATCTTTTGGAATTAGCTGTATCTCAGCTTCCCAATTTCTCACACAGATGAAGAGTGAAGTGAAAAGAATACACCATAGTTTCTAGAGCTTGGTTTGCTTCCTTGTTGCAAAAATAAATGCTTAACAGTATGTCACTCAATGAAAAGACATATTAGTCCAAGAAAATAATAAATTAAAATATTGTTTCTCTCAAATTGGGATGCATTGAATTTGATAAAACAGAAGGGAAAACAGCCTAAAAGCAAAACACACACGTTTGACAGAAGGCACAAATGGAAGGACTTCATTATAAGTTAAAACGTTAAGGCCCATGTGTATTTGTGTGCATAAGTGACAATACCACTGACAACCTCAGAACCAAGCTTCTGTCCTGATGTCTTCTGCTATGAGCATGTTTTGCCTTGCTTTCAGGCTGTAGGCAACAGCATACGTATTCACAAGTCACTGGTGCCCTGGTAGCCAAGAGCTGCTCACAGAGGACAAAGTTCTGTTCTTGAGATAGCTATTAGTGATGAGTATTTTTGTCACCCTTTACCTCCTTTGTTTGATCCAGACATATTCTTATATTTTTGGTCCTGGTGGAAACTCCCTCAAGGGACTAAAGGATGAACCTGGAGTTGCCACCATGGCTAATTCTTTGTTTTTATTACATCTGACAGTTTTAAATGGCTACTGCATTGAAAAAGTCTTCATGTGATATCAAAATAAACACTTTCACATGTATGACAAAACGATATCTACAGCTGCCTCAGAAAGGATCTCTCCTTATAGAAGAAGCATACATTGTTACACGATTTTTATTCACTTCGTTGGGGACATAGGAAGTAAGAGAAGTCTTTTTTGTCCTTCATTCTATGAGATGTGTCCCAAAACTGGTTCATGAACCTGTGAACAATAACAACTGAAAAAGCCATCTTGTTCTGTGGAAATATTTATACATCTCCTGCAGATGGAATGTCAACCCTAGTGTCTTTGAGTTGAGTCTTAAAACACTACCATTTCCCCACAGGGTGGGGTGAGGGAGGATGGATGAAAAAAGGTGTTTAAGGCCTGTGCTGCAGCTCACTAGGCTAATCCTCCACCTAGCAGTGCTGGCACTCCGGGTTCTAGTCCTGGTCGGGCCGCCGGATTCTGTCCCGGTTGCCCCTCTTCCAGGCCAGCTCTCTGCTGTGGCCAGGGAGTGCAGTGGAGGATGGCCCAAGTGCTTAGGCCCTGCACCCCATGGGAGACCATGAGAAGTACTTGGCTCCTGCCATCAGATCAGGGCGGTGCGCCAGCTGCAGCGCGCTGGCCGCGGCGGCCATTGGAGGGCGAACCAACGGCAAAAGGAAGACCTTTCTCTCTGTCTCTCTATCCACTCTGTCAAAAAAATAAATAAATAAATAAAAAGAAAAAAAAAGAAAGAAAGAAAAAGGTATCCTGATACACTGTTGGCAGCGAATGAGTACAACCATTATGGAAAGCAGTATGGAGATTCCTCAGAAAACTAAAAATAGATCTACCATCAGCTATCCCACTCCTGGGAATATAACCAAAGGAAATTAAATCAGCATATGAAAGAGATTCATGTTTATAGCAGCTCAATTCACAATAGCAATGACATGGAATCAACCTAGATGCCCATCAACTGATGTGATATATATACATGATGGACTACTCAGCCATAGTAAAAAATGAAATCCTTACATTTGCAATAAAATTTATGGAACTGGAGATCATATGCTAAGTGAAATAAGCCACAGCCAGAAAGACAAGTGTTCTTCTAGCGTTCAAGTCAACATAGAGAATATATGTATGGATGTCATATCATTTGGCATAGTTATAAATATTGCACCACTGAATCAATTATACCATGTACATGAAAAGGTACCCTCCCTTCCTTCATTATGATCATTGTTATAAATTTCTCATTTTGTGTTTTTTTCAAGAGAAAAATAATATGTGTATGTGAAATAAATATGTATCAAAATAAAAAATAAAAAATGGTTAGAGGAAAAAAGACATAACATTTGAGATACTGATAAATTCTAAAAAAAAAAAGAAATGTAAATAGGAAAGGGTAAAGGGAAGTTTTAGGAAGTTGTAACTTCAAAAGGGGTGGCCAGGAGGTGACAAGTAATAAAAGGACATGGAATTTTGTCTTCTGGCCCAAAACACTAATTTGCACACTAAGCATGCACAATATTCATTGAAATATCAAGAAAACCAGAAAAGTACTTATTGTTCCCTCCATTTGAAATTACAAAAGTAATTTTCTAAAGTTACTTCTTAAAACTCATTTTCTCCATTTTCTATTTACAGTTTTTTTTTTTACTGGCACATTTCTTTATATTTATATATGTATTTACTCTTTATTAATATAAAGAGAACAGGTTCCATGCATTCCAAAGGTAAGCTCCAAGAAGACAACAATAATTCCTTCCTTCCACACCTTCCACCCTGAACCACCTCTCCTCTCCCTTTCCTCTCTTCATCAGTTTTTGCAAAGATAAAATTTTAATCCACTGTATACTAACAGGCTTAATTCACCACTAATCATAATATTCAGCAAGTAAAAACTAGGAAGATCACAGTTCCACGAGAGTCTAAATAAGGGCTAAAAATGACTATCATTTTTACAGTTTTCTTTAGAATTTATCAACATCTTAACTGTTGTGACTTTCTCTCCCTTTAACCATTTCTTTCTTATTAACTGAAGTACTGTTATCTTTTTAGATGTACCTATGAAGTACATGAAATCTGTTCTTTATATTAATAAAAATTGTTTTAAAATGTATGCATGTACACAAAAGTATTTAAATTTTTCTCATTTTATCTTTTATATAAACATATATACCATTTTTCTCAAAACAGATATTAATGTCACAAAGTGAGGAATTCATGACAATGATCATAATGTGGGAAGAAAACCAGGAAATAGACTGATGAGAGCATTCTGAGGATGAAGGAATAAGTGCATGAAACACTGCGAATGGAAGAGGTAAGATGAGGACTGAGCATTGGCCACTGGGTGAGGAATGAGGCAAACCCTGGTGAATTCCACATGGGTAGAACAGCAAGGGAAGTGTGTGATTAGAACAGTCCTAGGAAGACTGAGAGATGATTTTGAACATAGATGTTTCTTGCAAAGAACTTTGCTGCAAAACAAAGGGAGGGGGGAATGGGCAGTGGCTAGAAAAGGAGGTAGAGTTAATGAACAGATTGCTATATATGAGTGAAATTGACAGTCTGAGATTTGATTATTGTTTATACCCTTTGTCTATACTCTTGTGGAACCATGGTTTTCCCATTTACTGCTTGTTGAATTCTATATTTAGTGGAAGGTTAAGCTTGTGATTATAAAGTAAATTGAAAGAATGTCATTGTAAAAATTAAACGAAAAATAATGAAAGAGGAAAAAGGGTGGGTGGAAGTGAAGGAGGGAAGGAGGGAGGGCAGGATGGGAAGTATCATGCTGCTTAAACTGTATAATGACATACGTGAAATTTCTTCCATTTATATAAATAAAAAATAAAAATAGCATATTTGTATGTGGATGAAGAAAATCAACAGAGGGAGAAAGAGAACAAAAATAAGGGGAGGAACAATAGGAATGGTGTTCTGGAGAAGGGAGGAGGATGCCATCTAAGGCACACGTGGAGGGGCTGGCCACAGCTTGGAGCACAGATGGTTCACTCAGAGTAGCAGCAGTGAAGATGGAGTACCCGGGCACAGATGCAAGGATGTGGGTGGATGTGGTCGTGGGAGTTTGCGGAAATTCTTTTCTGATTGCTTCTATTTTCTCAGAGAATTAGGAAGTAATGTCATCAGCTAAGAGTGAGGATGGGGAGGAGTGTGTAGAAGGCTTAAGGAGAGAAGGGCTGAAGCAGTTGCCCTAGCAAAAGAGCTTGTAAAGGTCTTGTCTATGCCAGGCAGCATGAAGGGCCCACTTGGGTTAGTCACTGTGCCTGGGGTGTGCTGTTCTCTAGCCAGAGTCAGCTGCATGTGCGTGGGCATGAACCAGGCAAAGAATTGGCTTCAACCAGCATTGTGTTTTTACCAGGGGAGTATGACAAAGTGAGGCGTGCACAAGGCAACTGAATGTGTACATAAGGGGTGACATTTATGAGTACTGAATTTAAAGAGAACAAAGGGTAAAAATGGAGATAGCCAGATTGACAGATTTTAGGGCACAGAAGAAATGGGGA